CGCTAAGAAACCCCTATATGCAATCCCTCATGAGATATAGCACTATTAAGGTCCCTGAAACACGTCTCCACGCCAGGCAAGCAGCGCTATTTACAGAGGCCGCTAATCGAGCGGCTTTAGCGTTCTTACGGCAGCCTAGAGAGAAGCAATTACTGGACTTTTTACTGCTTCCCAGGGTTCTCGGCCTAGGATTACAGAAGGAAGAGCTCGCTAAAACGCTGAAAGCCTACCCTACGACTATACCGGATATCCCTGAAACTCAGGGACCTCCCCCTGAACTCCCTACCCCCTCAAACGACTCCCCCGCCAAAAGAGCGACTAAGCTTCTGGAAAAAGGCTATATAGGGCGTGCCTCTAGAGCCCTAATCGACCCTACGCCTCTAGCTCCTAGCACTCCAGAGACGCTAAATACGCTATACTCGAAGCACCCTATAGGGCATAATAACCCCTTCAGTAACGCTAACCCCTCCCCGGGGCAAAATATCACCCCTGAAACGATACGACAGGCTATTCGATCGATTAATAGAGAGAAAGCCCCTGGCCTCAGCGGCTGGACCCGCCCGCTACTTGATATAGCGCTAAATTCGGAAAACTCCCCTGTAACTATAGCGCTTACACACCTAGCGAATATGATTCGACAGGGTACAGCTCCAGGGGTCGACCTCCTATGTGCTTCCCGACTTATAGGCCTTCAGAAGCCTGACGGAGGTGTGCGACCGATCGCTATAGGGGACCTTATTTATAAGGTAGCCCTAAAAGCGATCCTTATCAGCTCCTTCAAGCCGTCTATGCTTCTACCCTGCCAATTAGGCGTTAGCACCCCAGGTGGTGTAGAGCCTATAATCTTCCTCCTTGACGACGCTATTACCGGCCCAAATACCCTAAAAACTCAGCAAATCGCCTCCTTAGACCTTATCAACGCTTATAACCGAATCGGACGAACCTCAATAGCAGCTGCAGTCGCTAAATACGCCCCTACTCTCTATCGGACCGCTAAATAGGCCTATAACCAGCCTTCAGTGCTAGTAACAAACGAAGGCCACACGCTAGCAAGCGCTGAAGGAGTACGCCAAGGAGACCCTATTGCCCCCCTCTTATTCTCTCTAGCGATCCGCCCCCTGCTAGAGCACCTCCAAAAGACCCTACCGAAGGCTACAATTATAGCTTATTTGGACGATATCTATATCCTTAGCCCTGAAACTACAGCACTACTCCCTGTAGTTATAGAAGCCTTCAGGGACTCTCCAGTAGCTCTTAACCGCCAAAAGAGCACCGAAAGCCCTATTTCCCAGTTACAAACCACTGGACTTAAGGCCTTAGGGACCTTTATAGGCCCTGTAGCACACCGCCGAACGTTCCTCCAGGGGAAAATCGACACTCTCGCTACAGCGCTATATACCCTACGAGACCTCCCTAAACAACACGCTACCCTACTCCTACGGGGTAGTATACACCTACTCCTACGACACTTACAGCGCCAATTGTACTCGGAAGACCTACTAGACCTCTGGAGGTTAGCAGACCTACGAATCAAGTACGCTGTACAAGCCCTAATCGCTAGGGAGCCAGGGGAGAAGACTACCCTAATTCGCCAGGCTTTACTCTCTCTTCCAGTGAGAGAGGGAGGCCTAGGGCTCCCTATACACGCCTTATTAGCCCCAGGGCTCTATAGGGCAGCTAAGGAAGCCTCTCGATCGATTCTAGTGGCTATATGCCCTAATCTCTACCCGGAACCCCCTGGACGCCCTGTACCGACAGCCCAAGAGGTCTTCTCTAGTGTTAACCAAGACCTAGAAGAGAAGATTCTACCTACCCTATCAAAACAAGCGCTAAAATCGAAGCTTGAGAACGCTAGCTACCTCGGACGATACTGGCTTAGAACCCTGCCCACGCAAAAACACCACCTTTTAGCGGATTCTACAGTTACCGAAGCACTACGGACTAGGCTCTTACTCCCTGTAAAGCCCCCTATTTCGCCCTGTACCGCCTGTGGAGCCTACCCTCAAATAGGCCACGAAGACACCTGTAGAGGTGCTGAACGACGCTGGATTATACGCCATAACCAGGTTACCCGTGCATTTATTACTACCCTTTCTAGCCGGGAAGACCTTAAAGTGGAATCGGAGCCTACGCCAGCTAGAACGCCTATAGCCCTAGAAAACAGCCAACGACCGGATTTTTCAGTGCTTATAGGTACTTCTAGGCACTATTACGACGTTCAAATAGTAGCAATCAACAAGGATTCAGCACGCGAAGAAGCCTATGCTACGCTATCAGAGGCAGCAAACGCTAAACGGCTTAAATACAGCGACTTAGGCCCTGTATTTCGCCCCCTGATCTTCTCGGCAGGAGGCCTAATGGAAGCCGAAACAGCGAAGACCTATAAGGCCCTACAGGGCCTATTAGGGCACTCTAGGGCTAAGTGGTTAGACGGGTATATCGCTAGCACCCTAACTCAGGCTCGAGGAATCGCTGCAACCTCGATCCTAGCACGTAGGTAGCTTATAACACACGCTATACCTACCCTACAGCACACACTACACCTACCCTATAACACACACTACACCTACCCTACGGCACACACGACACCTACCCTACGGCACACACTTCACCTACCCTAAGTAACTCACACTTCACCTACCCTGTGATACACACTCTATCTACCCTATAGTACACACTCTACCGACCCTGCGACTCACACTCTACCTACCCTTTGGTACACACTCTACCTACCCTATGGTACGCACTCTACCTACCCTGCGACTCACACTACACCTACCCTGTGGTACACACTCTACCTACCCTGTGGTACATACTCTGCCTACCCTATGGTACACACTCTACCTACCCTGCGACTCACACTACACCTACCCTTTGGTACACACTCTACCTACCCTGTGGTACATACTCTGCCTACCCTATGGTACAGACTCTACCTACCCTGCGACTCACACTACACCTACCCTTTGGTACACACTCTACCTACCCTTTGGTACACACTACGCCTACCCTCTGATACACACTTTACTTACCCTTTGGTACACACTCCACTTACCCTGTATTATCTCCTTCTGTCTTAGTACTCTACCTTCTGTACCCCTGACACCTTCAGGCTCTTACCCTCTGTATTATTAGTATAGTCCTTCTGTATTTCAAGACTATTAGAGAGAGATAAAAACACTCGTCGCAAGCTAGCGTAGTTAGAAACAAATATAACCCAAACCTCAAACCCTAAGTATAGTCCTTCTGTATTTCAAGACTATTAGAGAGAGATAAAAACACTCGTCGCAAGCTAGCGTAGTTAGAAACAAATATAACCCAAACCTCAAACCCTAATCGCTAGCACCCTAACTCAGGCTCGAGGAATCGCTGCAACCTCGATTCTAGCACGTAGGTAGCTCATAACACACGCTATACCTAACCTACAGCACACACTACACCTACCCTATAACACACACTACACCTACCCTACGGCACACACGACACCTACCCTACGGCACACACTTCACCTACCCTAAGTAACTCACACTTCACCTACCCTGTGATACACACTCTATCTACCCTATAGTACACACTCTACCGACCCTGCGACTCACACTCTACCTACCCTTTGGTACACACTCTACCTACCCTATGGTACGCACTCTACCTACCCTGCGACTCACACTACACCTACCCTGTGGTACACACTCTACCTACCCTGTGGTACATACTCTGCCTACCCTATGGTACACACTCTACCTACCCTGCGACTCACACTACACCTACCCTTTGGTACACACTTTACCTACCCTTTGGCACACACTCTACCTACCCTTTGGTACACACTACGCCTACCCTCTGATACACACTTTACTTACCCTTTGGTACACACTCCACTTACCCTGTATTATCTCCTTCTGTCTTAGTACTCTACCTTCTGTACCCCTGACACCTTCAGGCTCTTACCCTCTGTATTATTAGTATAGTCCTTCTATATTTCAAGACTATTAGAGAGAGATAAAAACACTCGTCGCAAGCTAGCGTAGTTAGAAACAAATATAACCCAAACCTCAAACCCTCTTACTCTTAGCTTATACTTTCCTATAGAACTTAATAACTATAGTATCTCTCGAGGATTAGTTATAACTATAGCTAGCTTCTCTTTCTTCTTTTTCTTTCTTTTCAACTACTTATAGACCTTTTTACTAAGCTTATCTACCTTAATATATTTAAAGCTAATTACCTTTACCTCGCGGCTTTAATGCCTTATTAATAATAAGTATTAATTCGCTTATAATTTCAACTCTTTTATAAAGTAATTAATTTAGCAGATTACTAAGAAATATACTTTTTCTAAACACTTTACCTACCCTTAGGTATATACTCTACTTACCTTGTATTATTTCCTTCTGTCTTAGTACTCTATCTTCTGTACCTCTAATACTCTCAGGCTCTTACCCCCTGTATTATTAATATAGTCCTTCTGTATTTCAAGACTGTTAGAGAGAGATAAAAGCACTCGTCGTAAGCTAGCGTAGTTAGAAACAAATATAACCCAAACCTCAAACCCTTCTCTAGTATTTCCTTTGTCTCATAGTCAACGATTCTTCAATATTCGGCACAGATTGACACATGGATCGACTGATTGATTTCTTGATGCCGATAAAAACTCGTACTTTCGCGCTCAACTACCAGGTGAATGATCCATTCATCCAACAATAATTGAGCGCATTTCACTCTAGTCGTATCCTCGGATTCGGAACAAGACTCCTTTCCTTCCGGATGTGGCATCGTGTGGTCCTTGCGTTGTGCTATTCCTGGTTTCTTTGTTTATACGTATTAACTCACGTGCTTTTCAATCGTTCATTCCTCCCAACCTCGAAAGTGAAAACAGAAAACTGAATGTAAAGCTCTCTTACATATCGGGAAGGGCAGAAAGAAACACCCTTCCTCAGAACCCCCAGTTTGCGAGAAAGAAGAACAGGAAGCCAGCCCCGCCTTTCAATCTGCGTGTGGGAAACCAAACCTCGCTTCCTACTCTGGCCATCCCTTCAATTGTATCTCGAATTTACGAAAGACCTGTCGGCAAGAAGCAAAGAAAGAGAGGGGAATCTTCGTAAATCTGTGGATAGCAGGGAACAACTAAGCATTGCGCGCACGTCTGGTGTGTAGACTGGGGGGGCTACTCTGACTGATACATGATTTGTAGCCGCATTGCACTTTGCACTGCAGGTGAATTTTCGAACCGAGAAAAAGTATACAGTCCTACTAATCCAACGCCTTCCTATTGACGCGTGATCTCTTGGATTGACTTTTATTTATTCACGACTAACTTGACTTGGAAAAGGTTCCGTCCGCTTCCTCTTAGTTTTGAAGGCACTCGAATTGTCATTCATAAGACACGAACCTGTGCCAACGAACGATACCCCAGCCATTCAGTATATCAGCACGAGCTCTTTATCCTCCCTCTTCCAGCTGGAATCATGTCTCGACGAGATCCTCGCCCATCCTCAGATTTACTTGAAGCTCGAGGTCCCAGTCCAGCTTCTGGTACGACTTCAGGTGCCACTGTAGCTGTGCAGCCTGCCTTAGTCCAACATCTCGCCGATGCTACTAATCTTGGCCCTGACGATCTTGCGGCCTTACAGTTACAACTTGAAGAAATGGAACAATCCCTGAAGGCTCGTGGGACGGAGGAGAAGAAGGTCAGTTTCTCCGCACTTCTTTCTTGTCCTTTCATCACCACTACCTTCTTCTTCGGACTTAAGATTGTCTTCACTGACTTCTATCCTCCGCCAGAAACAAACCTCTCCGAATTGTTCCACTCGAACAAAGACACAAGCCCATGAGAATAAAAGGAAGGCCAACATTACACGCCAAGTTAGGGAATCTTATACTCTTATAGCCCAAGATTTCATAAAGTTTCAAAATATTCCGCCATCAGCTCACGCCAGCAGGAGATCCCAGTCCGATGGGTTTATTCCACCTACCGCCCCTTCACAATATCGTCAACGATCCTGTGGGCTTGAAAAGTTACAACATGTCCCCGCGGTTCTTCGCTTCATTGTGAAGACATTCTTCTTTCTACTCCCTTACATTATCTTGATCTACTTACTTGTACTTGTCCTATATTTCACCGTCTTTACCGATCGAGAAATATCTGTCAGTTCCATAGTTCTGCAAATGGCCATCTTCCCAATTACGACACCCGCCTCCTTCCTGTTATGTCCGATTCCGGGCGTGCGTCAATTGGACGCCCAAGGCTTTTCGCTTTGTCCAGGATCCAATAACACTTCCTCATTTTTCTCGTCTGATGAAACGACACCCTCCCAGAGTAACGCCGGCAGAAGAGGTGGTGAATATGATCTACCTAAGATGGAAGACTTCGAGGTCATGGACCGATTCGAGAGCCTCATCTCAACCGCCTTCTGGGAAGAATCACTCGCACACACACACGGCATCGAAGCCGTAGCCAATTACCTCCGCGCCTCGCGCTCGTCATACCAATCTCTCTATAACGCCTGGAGATGGACTCCTGATCCAACCCTTCGCGATCGGCGGGAGAACTTGCTAAAACGCCTGGTGGAAGTAGTGGCCTGTCTGAATGATGAGGCCGACGCCCTAATGGACTTCCTTGGTACGACTCGGAGTACGTGGTTGACTATTGAAACCACGCTGGGCTTTTTCCGGGTGAAAATGAAACGCCTCCTTGAATCGTTACCGTCGTCGTCACCAGAAGGATGGTGGGCGCAAGCTTGGGACTGGACGAAAGCAAGCGGCAGTAGGTACTGGAGGAGGCAGGCGGAGGGTTTGAAAGCCCAATATGTCTATTACGCCACTAGCATTATTGCCGAGATTGACCGGTTGATTGCAGACCTCGATAAGACTATCGACTTTGCTAGCGTAACGGACGAGTCCGTTGAACATGTGAGGAGCGACTTACATAACCTGCAGGCTGATAGGAAGCAGCAATGCGATGCGCAATGGGATGCGCAATCTTGGTGGGTGAAATACTGGTGGGAGAAAAAGGGAAGTGAGTGGTTGAACGAGGAGAGGATAGTCAGCAATTTGGTTGACGGTCATACGGATATGATTGCCTCGTTGAGTAGGGTGCGAAACATGCTGAAGAACAAAAGAAATGACTGGTATGATAGTTCATTCTCCTCTTCTCCCCCATGTGCTCTCTGCTTTCCATAATCCTATTTCCTTGTTCTGCATTCCGGTTGTTTCTCTGCTAACCTCTGAACCCACTCTCAGGCAAGAATTCCAGAGAATCCTCCGACGTGGTGACATTGATTTTAGTGTCCTCAGCAATCGCTCCTCATCCTCAACATCTGCCGATTCTGAATCTTCTTTCACCTCAAGTGGTAGTAACAGTAAAGGTGAAGCGGCTCAAGGTAAAAAGCGCACCTATGGCCGAGGGAATGAGAAGGTCGCGTTCGAGCGACATTTCAAGCTTGTGGATAGGGCGTGGCAAGAATATAAGCATAGGTCTAACGCTGAAATAAGAAGGAAAGGAAGGAGGGCATGGGATGATGAGGATGATGAAGTGAGGAGAGAAATCGAAGGCGGGAAAAGGATGGGGTAAAGATTCAGACCAGGATAGTTATGTAGGTTGGTGGTTGGATAGATGGATAAGTGGCTGCGTGAAGACAGTGGCTGGATGGGCGGATAGTTGAATGGACAAATCGCTACATACAGGGTAGTTCAAGCAGCAAGAGAAGCAGAAGAAAGTACGCAGTCTTCAATGAAAGTCTTGTTTGGTTTACATCTTTGATGTTCCCGTTTGTCAATCACAACAGTATCACTATCATTTCAAATGTCAGAGAAGACAACCATGCCTAGCAATAAACAAGGATATACAGTGTGAGATATAAAGAGCTTGACCCTCTGCTCTCTTTTGGCTTCTACTGTTCTCTTTTTAGGGATATAATTCAGCCTTGGGGTAAGGCTCGCTGCTGTAAAGGCTCAAGTTGGCTACTTCTTGGCAGATACAGGTACGAGACAACGATAGTAGCCCATCACAGTTGTGTGATTATCGGAATCAAGCTTACCCTTGGTAATTGCATCTCCAAGAGCTGAAACAGCAATTTGTGATCCTTCGGTACTGGAGGATGTCGGACGCGGCGACGGAGTCGTAAAAGGCGGTTGAATGAAACCTCAGACTCAGTCTTTTCAGAGGCAAGCACGCACTCGTGCAGCTGCAAGTGATCATTTGCCTTTTCTTCGCAGCATCGTAAGGTAAATATGTTATATGACGCGGTTCATAGTGCTTTCAGTATTCAATTAACGCACCTTCAAGTGGAAAGGAACCTCTCGAGAGTGCTGTATCCCGTAGCAGCTGGTAACTCACAACTCTTTACCTGCTTACAAGCGCTCCACATTTTTATTCGCATTATCTGAATGTCGTTCGTCTCGAGGGGAGCTATCTCTTGGATGGTGTCAGGTCGGCCCAGCTGGCCAGCATGAGGCGTGAGATGGGAAAATTGGTGTTTTGGAGAATTCATGGAAGACATGGCTGTACTTCCCGCTGTTCTGTGGGCTTCAAAACCCTGAATCAGTCAAAATTGGAGGTCTCAGTAACACGGGAATATTTGCAGTAAGATGTGCCAACAGGAACGAGTTTTACGCATATATAACAGTGAGGATTGATATGCAGCCCATTTCTCCGGGATGGGCCTGAAAGTTTCGAACTCACTGATGCGAAGTATGACTTCGTGGCGATTTCCAAGTCGTCCAACTTCTAACTTCTACTGGCCTGGAGAGTCTAATTGTATCACTGCTGAAAGTTAGATAACACGATAGCATGGAAACTTACACCAGTCTTTGTGAATAGAGTGGATGGATGGTCTGGCGTATAGGAAAGCTTTGGCGTGGGTCACAGGTAAAGTTTGGGATGGAGAACGCCTGATATGACGAGCATTCTGTTTCAGTAATGCAAGCAGCTGAGAAGCTCAAGCTTGATGGAATCTCTGAAGATTTTACCACGGTGAAAGGGAATGCATCCTTTTTCTTACTTCAAGAGTACTGCAAAGCACATCCACTGCTTCCTTGAGGAACATAAGTTCTCCAATCCTCTATTACTTTCTTATATCCTTTTATACCTCTGTGTCCCTTTCTATCTTTTCTCTCTAACATCTAGACTTTCACTCCCACTCATCCTACTCATCTCTCGGGTATGGCGTATATATAGGTGGTACTTCTATCCTTGGAACTGGAGAAGGCGTCACAGATTGCGTCTCTCTTCGAGCTTGGTGCTGCTGTCCGAAATGCTCCCCGTTTCCGCTCACTTGTCGATTCTCGTTCCCTATCACATGTTCATAGCCCTTGTCATAGTTTACCGGTCCGCTATAGTTCTGCTTGGGATCGTACTCTTCTTTCGCTGCTGGAAGCTGCTGCTGATATAATGGTTGAGGATCCGAAGTGGAAATTTGCAACGGGGAAGGACCATACTGGTATGTCGATGTGGCTTGCATTTGTGGATTATCCAATGGCGGGTTTCCATGCAGGCTGGGATTGTGGGCTTGCTGTCTTGAATGGCTGTACTCCACCGTTGAAGAATATTGCTGTTCATACCAAGAATTGTTCGTTCTTGGTGGTGTGCCATGTTGATATGCTGGTCCGGGACTGGCCATACGTAAGTGTGTCGTTGAATCTGTTGGGTTATTAACAATCATGAGGTGCAAAACATCCTTCTCTGATCAGCAAATTCCCACTTGAGTTTCTGGAGCGACCTTACAGAGTGCATAACTTTCTCCTTTATACTCTTCAACGTCCCCGGTTTCTTCTTCTCTTTTTCTCGCTTAGGTGTCTTCCGCATGTCATCCTTGGCATTCGATAAATAGCTCGGATCGGCGTATTTACTCGTGAATGTTGGTTTAGGGCCAACGAGCGTTGATGCAGGATTTTCTTGCGCCTAGTTTAACTCAACAAAAATATTCATCGCATACATCACCATTTGCAAGGGTGAAGATGAATCAAAAACCTACAAAAGTTGTCTGTGCTCGACGATCTTTGAAGTCAGATACAAAGTCCGCCATTTTAAAAAAGCCGTTTCGGGAAGGATCGAGCGTTTGCGGGGGAGCCGAGTCGGCAAAGACGAGAGGGCAAGAATCAGGTAATGTGAAATCTTGTTTCTGATACGAGTTCCTTCCGCTCGGTGCTTTCGGAAACAAACGTGGGTAAGGTGATGGAAACTGAGATCCATTCGACGACACATCTACATTTAACATATCTCCTGTCTGTTGAGGTTTGTAGGTCATGATTATGGCATACAGACCATGTGGTACGAACAATTTCGTGTTCATCTTGTCGAGGTATGATTGAGTTCTATACTGGATTAGACTGTCACATTTATTCTAAGTCCTGGGAGAAACAAACTGGTGATTTGACTGCGCTTGCTTCGCTACTTGAACAGCGACTGGGACAGCCATCGAGACGATCATGGGAGTGATTCCGGGAAGAAATCCTACACCGGCTCCCGCGACGTTGACGACGTGAAAATAGGGCGATGCCTGGATGCGTCGGTTAACCTGCGTGTGGTTTCCGAATCCCTTTTTGGTAACACAAGAAGAGGTCTTCTTACCTTGCTCTCCTCATTGAAGCGATCGATGAAATCCAAAAACGTCACTTCGTCAATGCCCGCCCCCATGAGTGCTGGTGCATAAGCTCGCACCCAGCCGCGCGATTTGTCCTGCGGTCTTCGCTGTGGGATGATGACAGGGAGTGGCAACTCTCGTCTTTCTCGAGATGAAAGATGTTCGTTGGGTTGTTGGTATAATAGAGCATTGTGAGAGCGAGAATAGTATCCGTACTTTGAAGTGTGGGGAGCACTTTGGGTTGAAGATGGGTGTGAGAGAGCTGTTGCCGCTTCGACGGTGAAGCCGTAGCCGGAGGAGATAAGACCCGATAGTTTGCCCATTGTGGTTGAGAAAATTCAATCAAAGGCACAAAATTGGGAAAGATGTTTTTTGACTGATTGACAGATAAATGTGAGGTTTAACATGCCGAGTTGATATAGCAAGAAGAGCAAGTCTTATGTATGTGAACGACCTTTGAATTCAGCCACAGTGGCAGCTCAGCTCAAATTGTCTCGAAATGGCTCTCAACTCGCTGACTAGAAACTAAGGGGTATTTTAGACACTCGACTGCAGACACAGGTTATTTGGGGGAGTTTTGCTTTACAACTCCCAAGTTGCAACAAAGCATGTTGGGTGGATTGCCCATGAACCGGCGCTCTGAGTCAGCGAAGCGAGCTGGTCGCCTAAATAGGAAGGGTTTGAGTTACCAACAAACACTGCCGGTATACACGTACACAGCGACAGTTATAATTTCTATCAACAAAGAAGGCTCTTTCGGCCCATCTGATGTCATTAAATGGAAGTAGAAGCAATCTAAGAAATGCTCTTCAGTCTGCAATTGAATCCTCTTCTTCTGGCTACTCGTCCTTTTTACTGCTATTTTTGCTTTTGCTAATAGATGTCCTTATTCTATTACCTCCAGTCTCATGTTATTGGTAGTATAAAATTTCCTTTTCCTTATTTTACCAAGTGTAAAGGTATAAATTGGACTGAACTAACTCTGATAATGTTGAGAAGTAACCCTAAAGATTAATTAAAGTAGTGGATATGATACATAAAACAACCTGCGGAGCTAGGAGAGGAATCAAAGAGGTGCTTGTCTTAAAGGTGAGTCCTACGCCTTTTCTAGATCTGGGACGTCTTCTGTTGTTGAATTGTTGAACTAGTGTGTCCGCTTTTCCATGCAGTTGCGCCAAAGTCCTTCGATCCTCAGTATCCTGCTTTGTCCAGAAATGATTGACACTAAGAGAGACGCGCCTCAAAAGCGATCTGTCCGCCAAGAGTTCACTCATGGAGATCCTCCACCAAAGTCCTGGTGCAGAATCTCTAAAGGTGCATCCATGGGTGATTAACATCCCGCACTGCATGAAGTGATTTGCTTACGAGATCAGCCTAGTCGGACAAGACGGAACAGGTCATCATAGATGTCGCCGCAGCACCTATAGGCTTTGCAGTTTTCCGAAGTCCAAGGCCTAGGACAGTCATACGAAATCTCAAGCAGCACCTCACCTCACCTCAGTCCGGTTTTTGGGCAGGACGTGCGACGACCTGGGACAGCTACGTAGTGCAGATGGTGAAAGCCGAGTCCGCCGCCAGATCGAAAATTGTATCTTTATCTTCTCATTTGGCAACTATGACATAGCTCTTCTGAGCGTTTTAATGAATGCCAAACGAGCCGTGCTGCGAAGAACCACCTGACGTCGCGTGTGATTATCAATCAAATATCCAAAACTCTGGTCGGAGAACGGGTAGCAGCAGCTTGAGCCGCTGAGGGTGGGGGTACGGGTAACGGCAACATCGAAGGTGGGGGGCTTTGACCTTGCTCGAGGTTCCGGTGCACATCAGACAAGGACAAATTTATTGGAGGTGTGGCTAGGAAGGCATTCGTTTCTGAAAGCATAGTTGTAGCTGATGAGGCTGTGTTTGCTTTCGTGTCTGCGATATCCAAAGGCATCTTGCTTCGTGGAGGCGTAGCGAGAGGAAGATGAAGATGGAGATGGACATGGAGATGGATGTGCAGACGAAAATGTATATTTAACCATGGAAGATGCGGGTTTCTTGAAGTGCGTGTCTTTGACTCAGGCTTTGGAGGCACTTAGCTACCTGTGTAGGCAGGTTAGGTAGGCAACGAAGTAAGGTAGGTAGGTGCCAAGGAGGGAAATCTTGTCACATGACCCTCCGCGACTGAAATCAGCCGGACACAACTAGACATAACGAGACAAAACAAGACACAATAGTATTCTGTAAGATACAACAAGATGCAACAATTCACAACTAGATACAACTGGACACAACTGATAAGACTCGTTGAGTGTATCCCTTTGGGCAACTCGGCACATATCAGAAGCGGCTGTTAAGCGAAAGTATTTGAAATTCAATGTCCTGCTCAACTTACTACGACTTCTAGGATAACACATCATGGCCAAGGCTAGGTTGGCTGGTCTTAGACCTCAACGGCGCATTCGATTGATTCATTAATCAATCAGTCAGCCAGCCAGCCAGTCAGCTAGTCAATCAATATTCTTTGCTTTGAGCACATCATCAATCAAGTCAGCAGCCAAATCAGCAGCAAAGTGTCCAACGGCAAGCAGCAGCTTGAAATCAAGCAAGCCCTACGATTGCCTAAGTGAGTAATGAGACAGTCTCGGTAGTCCACTAGCTAAGTGCCGGTTTTGTTCACGGGGCAGATGATTACCCAGCCACGAAACACATTCCAACGAAGAGACATGTCGATCATCATCAAAAATCAAGCCCATTCAAATAGTTACCATTTCTCTTGCCATTCTTATCTTGACCTTTTTAATTCCACTCCTGAGCATTCATTCTACCAGAGTTACTCGCATCCCAAACAAAAAATGATTGGGTTCTCTCCTAAAAGCACTTACGCGCAAAGCCTATCACCTGGATCGTTACAAATAATAATAACGGTGAGATTCTTAAATTTGGCTTCCATGGTTAAACTAACAAGCTAGGTGGTATGCATTCTGTCGATTCTCCTTCCCCGCGGCCTCATCAGACTGAGCTCCGGCGCAATTATCCTCAGCTTGTTCCTTTACACCATCAACTTCACTACCGACCCATCACGAGGGTCGTATCTCGCAGGTGTGTCTTGCGCAGGATTAACCCTACGTTGGATTGATCTGGTAGGGATTCATGTACCGGAAAGGGACTTCTGGGAAAAGGGTAGCAACAAAAAAGATTCGCCAAAGACTTCCTTTGAGCGGTTGAAGTGGTTCATCTACCTTTGGAATAGTCAAAGGTTCGACATTCATTGCTTGAAAGGCCAAGCGCTGACAGGTTTCTAGGGGAGTGGGATGGAATATTGAACCGGACTGTCTTCCGGCAGCTCACAGGCCACATTGCACGCGATCTATGTTTGTCAAGGACAGTCTGCTCGCTGCTTTCAAGGCCTACCTTGGCTTTGACGTCACACAAGCTATTCTGCAAACGTATCATGCAACAGAAAAAAACTTGTTCTTTGAGATGTCACTTCCGAAACAAATATTTATTGCTTGGGCGGCCGCATTTAAACTTTTCTATAGCATCGCCCTCCTCTATGCCATCGGGAGTGGGTTAGCTGTTGTAGTGGGAGCTTATCAGCCGGTAGATTGGCCTCCAATATTCGGCTCTTTTAAGAAAGATGCGTGGAGTATCAGGAAGATGTGGGGTTCTTGTTGGCATCAATTAATGCGCCGGCCGTGTGCCGAGGGGGGTAAAGTCGTAAAAAGCTATTGTGGGTTTCGGACTGGAAGCTTTACAAGTAGGTACTCTCAGATCTGGGTCGGATTTGCTGTAAGCGCCGCGATACACCATGCCGGAGCAATCGTAAGCATGTTGGATAATAGTCGGTGGCAAGTGTTTTACTTTTGCATCCAGCCAATGGGTATTATGATCTAAGATGGGGTCATGGGAATCGCTCGACGTTGTGGTGTTCAAAAGACGGGTAAGTTCCCTTTTTCATCTTCCATCCAAGGATCTGAAGCTGACTTTCAAGCATGGACGAAAATACTCGGGCATGTCTGGGTCATGGTCTGGTTCTCGTGGAGTTTGAGATACATTGTTGCTTGTCAACCAAAGTCATGGGTTGAAAACTCCGCTGTACCTAGTCTTATAGGCGTGCTGTTTCCATGGCTCGCATAAGATGTGTATTACACAATGTGTGTCTCGCAGACTCAAAGCATGGAAATTGAAATGCCTTGGTAAATCCAGTTCGGCGTCTTCTGATCCATATATTCTAGAGACGTGTGAGTGTCTGGATATAGGAGAGTCTGGATTCCGTCCTGTTCTTATATGAAAGATACATTTCTAGAGGATTTTATATTCTTATTGACTTACACTAGATGAACCTGGATTGATCTTTGAAATCAAAGCAAATAAACAAAGATCAACGGTTTTCTTTTCAAACTCGATTCCGAAACAAACAAAATCTGACCGGCTCGCTTAATATTTCCCCCCAGCAGAGATACAAATTCCTAGAATCATCACTCTTGCGTGCGTGCTTGCTACATAGCTTACCAAGCGACACGTCCAGGATTAGTCGACGTTAGTATATGGTCAAACGGAAAAGATAGGGGAAAAGGTAGAGGTTTAGGTTGCCCTTCGTTAGCTGTTACGCTGATATACGACTGTGATGTTGCGGAGAATCTTCTGGATCTGATAGCTTGGACATTTGAGGTAATAGAAAGAATAAAGACGGGGCGGCTATTATTGGGCCTATTGTGATGATCGGCCTGCAGTTTTCATTCCTGAAGACTTATCCTTCTGTGTCTTATACTTAGGATTCAGGAGCTAGACCGGGGCTTTACAAGGGCAGACACAGGCGTAAACAGCAGTTGGTTTGGGAATATTCAGTTACTCTAGATATAGGCATGGATCGGTATAACCCCACTTGCAGGTTGAAACACACTGAAGACAGAGAATAAACAGAAGCCTTCTATGCTTCCCTGTTGACAAAGATCGCCTACCACTGCAATTAGTAGTAGATGCTCAGGAGAAAAATTGCCCTAGGGCTCATATTCTGGATCTGCTAATGCTTCCATCTTCAAGACCTTGTCCTCTTCTGCCTTGAATCTCTTCTCATCCCGCTCTAGCAATTTCTCCTCAGGCGTGAGTTCCCTCGGGCGCTTCTGTTTCCAAGTCTTTTTGATCTTAACACCCATATTGCTGTCGATCAACGCTATCTGGGCCTCTGCGGCCTGTAAGTATTCGCACATCTTGCTCCCTGTTATCACAATCTCTTCCTCTGGTGCCTGCTTCTCGTTGAATATGGTGTTGGGCGCGAAGTCTCGCAGAGGAATTCGGAGGTCGCATGTAGGAGAAGAGATTGCATTGCCATTGCCATCGCGGAACATCTGTAGAAATCAGCTTCTTATTGTAAAGAATGTAGTAGGGTATATACCTGGCCATTAATAGTCTGCCTGGCAACTAAAGTATCTATTCCCTCAACATCTACAACAGCAGGCTCCCACACTGAAAGCGTCGCCATGCCTGCATTATCCCCTCTATACTCAATGTCAATTCCCACTACGACTTGAATGTTCGCATCGGAGCCTAGGATATATTCATCTGCCAGGTGTGGTAGATCTCTCTTCTTCTGGCTATGCGACACTTCGATAATCACGCTGGGAAACTGTGCCTTTAAGTGCTTGAACTGCGCATCCGGGTCATGTCGTCCATAGTCTGGGTCAGAGCTTTTAAATGTAGTAGATGCACGCGACTCAATCTGCCGAGCGAATGATGCGGAGGGTCCGCGAATAGCCTCCAGTTGATCTTGGATCTCTTTCACGATCCTCGCAATGAACTCCTCGTGTCTATCTCCGGGCATTCGAAGTACGAGTCGTTTAGAGGAAGGGAAGTAGTCGAGTCTGCAGCGAACAACCAAATGTCAGAGTTCAGACACTGTCTGACCGTCTGGCTGTCTATCTGTCCACGGGGCACATACCGTAATTTGTCTTCAGCAAATCCTGCGAGCTCCTTATCTCGTTCTAGCCGCTGCTCGAGATCAGAAAACTCCGCGGCGTCTAACTTATACACCGGCCACAATGTCGGCACTCTCGTTTGTCCTGTCCTCTTCAGGCAGCGAATATCTTCGAGAGCGCGGAGCACCGCCGAGCTCGAGCTCGATTTCTCTTCTGAAAGCGGCGGCGTTGGGGGGCTGGCGATGAAGCTCCCTGTGGGTGTGGTGTGGGTGTGGAGTAGGACTTTGCCAGAGACAGTCATGTTATTTCTGATGATATTGATATGGCTCATGGAGATGGGGGAGGAGACGATGATTCGTTTGCTGTTATCGTTGTGATGAAGGTGAAGGTGATGATGGTGATGGTTGATGTTGAGGCTGGTCAAGGGAGGCGCGGCGCGTGCGCAACGTGGCAGAGGTCCGGCATTAGAATGGACCCCCCCCATCTTACGTCACCCCACTCCTTGCCCTAGCTTCGCGTAATTCAGGGGAAACGTAAACATTGGATGCCAGCCAGTGTCTGTGGGATTGAAGTAAGACAAGCTGTCGCTCTCTTCAGTCAGGCTTCAAAGCTGCGATGTATCCGTCATTTGCCTCAGGGTCCACCACCATCACAGTCGACTCGGATTCCATTCGCACCCAAGCTCCTGCCCTTCGCAGTGTAATGATACGCAGCCGATTGGTAACAATTTCCTGAAAGGCTAGGCTCTACCACTCTCATCAACCCGATCAACCACCACATTAATTTATTCTATTGGTAGCTTACAACATAAGCACTTTCTAATTGTCATAATAGGCCAGACTCGCCCAGTTATGTGTTGATTCCATTTTTAGTAAAGGGCGGCCTCGCATGATGTTGGTGTCAGCCCAGAAGCTCCAAGTTTCAAGCACAGGACATCTCAAAAGCGCGTCTGGCCTGTGATCTCTCCAAGACCTTACCCGTCGACTCCTAGGGAAGAGATTGCCGTAACTGATGTTACGTATTTCGTTGAGTTCTTTTCGGGTTCTCTCGCTGACAGTTGACAGTTCGTGGTATCTCATCTTCGACGCGTTTTAACCCCAACATTAATTTCCTACTTCTTCAACGCCATAGCTATTTCACGAGTAGCGATTGAGGCTACCTTTTGCTTGTTCTAGGATTTTCAAGTCAATTTCAATGGCTATTCCATTAACTGCCATCCGGAATACCTTTTTACAGGGCTCAAAAATAGCGCATGTGCCCTGCGGTACAGCTGGCTGCTAAGTCTTTAGCGCCTGGCTTCAGCGTTGTGCCCTGTAAGCGTGTATTTCTGGCGGTTAGGGGATGGCGGTTCTTACTCTCCACTTATTTCAGGGTGTTTCTCTTTCCTTTCGCATCCTTGCATCTTACTTGTTATTTCCTTTACTACACGGGCAAGGCCGAAGCAGCATTATCCGAATATTCAAAGTATCAGATGGACAAGCAGGGTATCATAGAATAATTGAGATTGCAGATCTGCCACAAGGAAGCAAGGCTATTTGATTTTCGGGATGCAATGTCTTTCTTCTCCTCTACTTTTGTAATTTTCTCACTTGAAAGGAGAAATGCACAACATCGATTCCTGTCTACCTGTAGCTGTACCAGCAGCGACATTTTCCCCCTCAATATATCTCTTAAGCATGGTCGCCAGCCATTAAGATGTTGTTTTATGCGATTATTGAAACAGCTGGAAGCAAAATTATCCCAGCCCTAAAGTCCGCTCAAGCAATAATCATTCGTCGTTGACCTTGACAGCTCCTCACAGATCCCACAGGAATAGTAACTAGCTTTAGTCGTCCACAGTGTAAACCAACAGACGGCTACTTAGCAGTTCCACCACTAGTATTCGAACCGCTATCTTCAGCAGCATCATTCGTCTTGACATTATAGCCAGCCGCGGCAGCTTCATGTGCGGTCATCAACTTTAGTTTCATTCCAGGAGGGAGTGTGGCTTGTAGGTCCCGTTCGATGTCGCCGAAGGACTTGTGATTCGTAGTAATCCCGCCAGCGTCTCGTCCTGCCTTGAACGCACGATCTATCTCGGCGACAGATAGATTCTCCATGGGAACTCCCCCAGTAGCCTCATGCATGGCGCGCTCCATTCGGATGATCTTACAGACAGCCTTATGGTATGCCCAATTCTTAGCCTGGCACTCCTTCGAGCAATACCTGATGGCTGAGTTAGCTCTGAAAATGATGAGACGAACGAACTACGTACGAAATGCTCCTGCATCCTGCACAGAGCTTCAAGTTTCCTCTTGTTGTACCACATGTTCGGCAGCCTTCAGGACCAGCGTTCTTCAACTCGACCTGAGGTGGAATCAATGAAGTAATTACCTCCTGAAGAATCCTTCGAGCTTTGCCATCGCATATGCCTGCAGTGACACAAACGGGGGCTTGGAGATCGCGGATGGACGGTTCACAGCCCGATTGAGGAGAAAGGAAGGAGATATAGCAGCCGACAGTCGATGTGGCAGGTCTTGGGCAGATAGTGCATTTAAATTGGCGGGTAAGTAGCATATCCTTGGTGTGGGAAACACCTAGAGCATGGACGAATCGGGAAAGGGTATCTCTGTAGTCGGATTCAATGTGGTCGCCAGTACCGGGGACTTGGCCGCACAATACCGCAGGAGCTTGTTCGGTGAAGGTGAAACTGGATACGGCGCCTTCAACGTCGAGAAGTCTTGGGTCGCCGAGCCAGACATGATATTTGATGGGGATAGTTGGAAGAGCCATATCTGGTGAACGAGAAGGCTGCGTCGAATGGCGTTTCTCTCGGATGAGACTATCCGGGGTTATGTGGATCACAAAAGAGGTGACAAAGACCTGTCCTGTTTGACAAAGGAAGCACGATGGAGGTGGAGCTGATAGTGAAGGTGGAGGTGGAGGTGAAGGTGAGGGTAGAAAAAGAGGTAGAGGTGAAGTGAAGGTTCTGAACTGAAATTTGAGGCGAACTTGAGAGAAGAAGGGGGAAGGGAGAGACGAAGGGCAGACAGAAGAAGAGGAGAGTAAGGCGCTAGGGATTAAAGGTACCGTGACTCCTGTCTCGGCTACCTATCTAGGTAGGTACCTTAGGAGAGCTCAAAGTAGAAGGCACGTTTGCCCCGACCGTGGGAGGGGTACTTTATTGATACGATACCTTTGAAACTGCTAAGAAAATCAATTCACCATTGACTGACCGTTATAAAGTCTAATATCGCCACCCGAATTGCTGTTGGGGTCATTTTTGAGGTAGAGGTGAGGGAAATGGCCGGCCAGAAATGGTCGCTTCTCGTATAGAATCATTTTTGTTGCATCGTGATTGTCGCAAAAACATGAATTACTAAAGTCGAGCTACGAGCCAAAGGAAAAGTAATAAGCATAGAGCAAACAGTCAGAATTTTAGAGTTTTCAAGGTCGATAATTTGAAAACTCGCTGCATGCGAGGTACCTCAAAAGCTTTCGATGAATATCGAGAGAGACGGAGAGAGCGGATTCACGTGTACGCTCTGGGGAAGACCTCCGGAGCCTGCACCGGTTTATTACTTTTGCTTAACCTATTTCCTGACCGCATATTTCTTTCGGCAGAGCTCTCTTTGTCACTTTGAACGACTCTGTTGAAGGTCTTCTCGATACAATCCTGGTTTATTATTTTTTCCCTGGTAGTTCTTCTCCCAACTTTGATTAGTATCGTGAGAAACATCGTCGGTATCGTCGTTATAAGACGTTTTAAAAGTGTTAGTTGTCGTACTTCTCCGCCTATAGCTCGACTTCTGGTTTGCTATCATGGCAATCTCTGCGCGAAGTTCTTGTTCGCCCCGGACAAGACTATCGAATAGGACGTTGGAGTCAATAGAGATATGGTCAGATTCATTGGATCTTGGAAGCTGAGTGCAGATCGTGAGGTCGTCATAAGTAAAGAACACGTCATGGAACACAGCTTGAGAGAAATGGCTAGTGGGATTCAGTGATGTTCGCATAAGAAAAGAAATACGGAGTTGATTAACCTTGGCGTCAAGTACCTTTTGTACTGTCACACTTTGTCGTCTGCTGTTCTTGGGCTTCCAAATTGAGATGGTAGCAAGCTTGGAGTGTGGATCGTGGGGAGGTGTTTCGTCTATCATATCCAATATCAATGCCAACCACAGTCTTGATTCTGCCACTACTCCCAAGGATGTGATCATGCGCCACATCGTCTAGGCTGTTGGAATTTGGAGAAGGTAGAATGAAAGTTTTAGTGGCACAGATAGTTAGTGTCGCATGATTGCTTCAAATGAGACAGTTGTGACTCTCACCTTCTATAGGCAGAAATACGACAAAGATTTCTCGGGAAATGCTCCCTGCAACTTTTGGCGAGGGCGATGGATTGATACGCGACAGATTGATACACGACCAGGGTGAGATTTCTGGCCGTTCCCAAGAGATTATGCCCAGTTAAAAATTGAGTTTGTACTCAGGCAATATATCTAGTGGTTGGGCCGACTAAGAAGTTCTCGAAGATGGAGAATAGAGATCTTGTCGAAAAATCTATGGGGAAAATGAAGAGGACAATCTTTGAGAACTTGAGTGGTGCCATGGTAGGATATTCTGTGTAGTGGTGGCTTGTGACAGATCTTCTTGACTTAAAGCTGCCAAATACTGAACACTTGATTACATGCTATGAAAACGATTCTTGGCGGGGAAGTTCAGGCGAGACGCGAGAAGAGATTAACGTTGGTGGAGCTTGCCGATGTCTGGGAAATGAATAGCCAGCTCACAATCAATTCAGAGTAATTTCCTTATCGTCCCGAGTGTTCGTTTTCTCCCTGTGAGCAGACATACATTGGAGTCGAAAACAGAATCGAACATTATGTCCATACGAAGCGTATGTTTACAATCAATATTTACTTTCGGCTATTGTACCTTGGCGGATTTAGTCGGGTTTAAGACTCGCCCCGCAAGAGCATTCACATGTCTCAACGTCACCATTTTAATTAAATGTCAGACGCGCATATTCATATAATAGAGCGAAGTGATCTTTTGTTTTCCAGTGATATTTCCTAATTATTTTACAACTTCCATTCGGTCCAGACAAATCGATCAGTATGTCGACCTCTAAAATCACTGTCCTCGTGACAGGCGGCAACAACGGCATCGGCCTTGCTGCATGCCAACTTTTCGCTACCCAACCCAATTACCACACTATCATGGCTAGTCGTTCTATTGACAAGGGACAAAAAGCACTCGCATCAATCCAGTCTTCAAATCCGGTTGGTTCGATCTCTCTAGTTCAGCTGGACATCACCTCGGACTCCTCTATCGCCGCAGCCGTGGAAGAAGTCAAGTCCAAACACGGACACTTAGATGTACTGATCAACAACGCCGGAATTTGCCCCATGGACTTCTCTCGAACTGTTCTCCGCGATGCTCTTGAAACAAATGCCATCTCACCCTCAGTGGTAACAGAAGCTTTCGCACCGCTCCTCCTGAAATCCAGCAGCCCTCGCATCATCTATGTTACTTCCGCCCTGGGATCAATCCACAATCGTGAAGATCCCAAGAACAACGCTTACAATGAAGCGTACAAAGCGTATCGAATCAGTAAAGCTGCGTTGAATATGGTTGTGGCGTGTGACGCTTGGGAGTATCGGGACAAGGCAAAGGTGTTTGCATTTTGTCCTGGATATGTGATCAGTGATTTGGCAGGGCAAAGGGAAGCAAAAGAGAAGGCTGGATTTGCAAAGAGTCCTGAGGGAAGTGCGAGGGGGTTATTTGCTATTGCGTCCGGGAAACGGGATGAGGAGAATGGGCTGTTTTTACATGATGAGAAGGCTGGGGAGGTGTATCCTTGGTGAAGAAAACAATCGGACTAGATGGAGTGTTCCATTGGGGCAGGAATCAATCTTGATCACTTACGGGCTATGGTGGTGCTTGTGGAGTAGCAAATCAAAGTTTAGGGCGCGTGAGGATCTGAATTTGAATGCTAATATTCCCAGAGTTAAGTTTCCGGGAGCTGGGGAGTATATGTTATGCAAACTCACCTTGAAGGGGAAAATCCAAAAGTTGCAGTGTGTGGTGCTATAATTCAAAGTGACAGTACCTCACAAGTATAAGTCCTTCTAAGAATAGACTAAGTAGTTGGATGAGCTCAGGCTGCGGACGTGCTTGATATTAGTTGTGCGAACTTAAACCTTGAACGTACTATTAGAAATATGGGGATTGTATGCGTAGACTTAGTACTGTAGGCCGTACTACTGAGTACGCTACTCCTTTATATAGGAGATTCTCTCTCTCTGTAGTAGCTCCTTATGCAACTGTAATTCTGACACGTACAGATATTCTGCCCTGGTATGTTTATCTTATTCCGCGTTTCTAATTAGAAATAACTGAGATTATAAAGCTTACCTTACAGCTTACTTGGAGTAATTCAAAGTCACCTATTTGCATGGACGATTTCAGAGACTCATCGAATGTTGCAGGTGAGACTTACCTACTACCAAATACAGCTGCCATGATCACGTGCACGTGGGTTCGTGTGGTTTGGGCGATGCTTGCACTCGCTCCTCCATCTCCGTTCAAGCCAGTTACAACAGCCCACCACGAACCACGAACCACGAACTGCCTGCCCTGCCTCGAGCCTTTGGAAATAGCTCTCAGGCCTCGAATTCCCTTCGAATCGCCCTCTTTTGCTACACACATTTTATGCAACGCGGAACCTGTCGGATCGAACTTGTTGGCAGATCCCAAGATCAATCAACATCACATTCTGCCAGTATGGCACGTCTGCGGGGGGCTACAACAGAAGAAATATGACAACATTCAACTTGGCACAAATTTCAAGAAGCTCCTATATATGTATGTCCGCCGGAAAAGATATGGTCATGGGCCCGAAGGTCTCCAAAGGGACCTTGTTGCAATAGGACATCGACATCGACCAGTTCCAGGGGCTCTGTTTGGACCTCGCAGAGATCCCAGAGTATTCTAGGCTCACGAGCCATTCTCAATTGTCCTAGTATATCTCAAATCTTGAGCTCGAGGAATGCGCCTTAAGGAAATGGAACTTTTGTAGAGCCTATGGAGTTCTACAGCTATCCATTCTCGGAGTCCTGCCCTCCCTCACCTCGCATACAATTCTGCCTCGAGTCTTCTACCAGTGTACGAAAACCAACAACTTGGATTCCTTTTGCAATATCAGCTCTCCACTTTGTAGTTCTGGGTCAATATGTTTCGCTGGTACTGTGGCAACCAAAAAGGTTCTGCTTGACAATCAAGGGCTTGCATTTGTGCCGCAGCCGAAAAATTGGAATAACTCCTATACTTGGGCACAAGGCTTGTCCATTCACTGCAGATAAGTATCTTTACAACCCAAGAAGCCCCAAGAAGGCGTTATCAGGGGTCATTGGGCACGATATTGATAAGGCCCAAGGGCCATGGATAATGCCCACTTTTGGGACGTGGTAAGGTTCTATGTACTTATGCTTGATGGCAACTGCAACTTAGGATTCTTCGCACAGCCACTTGAAATTCCCCACGGAGAACACGGGTTTTGCTTCAACGTTATGGCTTCGAAAAGGCTGCCTATCATGAGCGCTGCAAGGTACAGCAGGACGCATGAAATTGACATGCTGACTTTCTTCCATGGCGAGTAGTACCCCATTTTCGCGAATTCCTTCCCAAAGTGGTACTTTGCGTTGGGGCTGATAGACAGGCATGTTGGTAGTGCCCCGAGCCTTGGGCAAATCAAGCTCACCAGAGCCTAGAGCACCCCTTGGAATGTGAGGAGATCTAGTCCCGCGGCCAACGTGCTCCAAGGCGACGGACAGTCTGTTCAAGTATCAGCTCATGGAGTGGTCCTAAAGCTATGTCAGTATTAGCTTCTTCCCAGTGAGAGCGTCTATGCCAGTGGCTAGTCCCCTTCGCGTAGCGTGCTCTTCCACGGTCTCGAAGCTCAAAATACCCTTGGCAATTGATCAGATGTCCATCAATTGCATGCAAATGTTGCATCCACTTTGTTACACTCTTAAAAGTTTTCGGGCGACTTAGATCGTTGATTTTAGTGCAATGATTCTGCCATCTTATTGCTCAATCCACGGCGCCTTTTGCCCTTAGTGAGGGGCTGGAATGGCGTTGTCGTGTGCTGCGGGGTAAAATTCCATGCTGTACTCTTGTTTTCCTGCACGGAGGTATGTCTCAACGCACGCCATTCTGCATCCTATCTCATCACACCCATCATGTCCCAGTGTTTGCCCTGTCTTAGCGTCGATAAGATGAGATACTATCGGCCTTCCCGTAATCCTAGATCTCATTCATCGCTCGATTGGGGTAAAAAGTACCGTATCTTGCATTCGGGGTTTTCTGATTGGGCATGCAGCTCATCTGGCCAATCAATTCGGACCCCGGGTGGATGCGCCAAGTGCTGCAAAGTGAGGGCGCGCTACTTAGATCTGCGCGAGCATGAAGCTATAAGTTTGGGGAACTCCCCGTCCAGGGATCCGGTATTGCTCCTGCGGTTTCACTGGTTTGGTCTGTCTAGATACAATCATGGAGTTCAATAAGAGAGATCCTGTTCTTTCGGAATACAAGGGCGAAGATCCTTCGTATCAACGATCTTCCTCTAGTGAAGGGGACATTGAGACTGTCGGTAATCTTCATCGATCACTCAGCAATCGTCAGGTTCAAGTAAGTTCTTCGCTAGTTTCTTGAATCTGTTTCAGACAATCATGGAATCTTCTGCCAACCATGGCTGTGTTATCACTACCAAAAAAGTACTGATGACCAGTAGTGGATTGCTATCGGTGGTTCAATCGGAACAGCCCTCTTCGTCAGTATCGCATGGGGACTAACAGCTGGTGGGCCCGGCTCACTCTTCATTGCATTCCTCTTCTACAGCTGTGTCATTGGTTCCATCAATAGCGGCATCGCAGAAATGACGGTCTTTATGCCCGTCTCTGGCTCCTTCCTTCGATTCGCAGGTGTCTGGGTCGACGAAGCATTCGGGTTCATGGCTGGTTGGAATTTCTTCCTATATGAAGCTATCCTCATTCCGTTTGAGATCTCAGCACTCTGCCTCGTACTGCAATTTTGGAGGGACGATATACCTGTTTGGGCGGTCTGCCTTGGCTGCATTGTTCTCTATGGTCTCATCAACGCTTTCGCCGTCGGCTGGTATGGTGAAGCTGAGTTCTGGCTATCCTCTGGAAAGGTTATCTTGATCTTAATCCTGTTCTCCTTCACATTCATCACCATGGTCGGTGGTAATCCTCAACACGATGCCTATGGATTCAGATATTGGAAAACGCCTGGAGCCTTCGCGGAATCGGTCACGACAGGCTCGCTGGGCAAGTTCCAAGGTTTCCTGGGATCATTGTGGGTTGCTGCATGGACAGTTTGTGGTCCAGAATATATCGCTATGATCTCTGCCGAGGCTGTCTATCCTCGAGTCACTATCAAGCAAGCTTTCAAGACTGTGTAGGTTTGTCGCTACCACGTTCTGGTCCCCACTAATAGATACAGATACTGGCGTTTCGGTTTCTTCTTCATCCTTGGTGCCCTTTGTGTTGGTATTCTTGTTCCATATAATGACGAAACTCTCCTCAACGTTCTTGACACCCAAGGAACGACTACTGGCGCTGCTTCACCTTACATCATTGCCATGCAAAATCTTGGCGTTGGTGGACTTCCCCACCTGGTCAACGCACTACTCGTCACATCCATCTTCTCCGCAGGGAATACTTACTGCTACATGGCCACTCGCTCTCTGTACAGTCTTTCTCTTCAAGGCCAAGCACCGAAGTTCCTGCGCCGAACGTCCAAGTCTGGAATTCCATGGTTGTGCTTTGGCATCACAATGATCTTCCCGTTCCTCAGTTTCCTCCAAGTCAGCGCCAACTCAGCACAGGCTATCAAGTGGCTCATCAATTTGGTTACAGCGTCTCAAGTGTTGAACTACGTGATCATGGGAACTACATACTTGTTCTTCTTCCGCGCTCTCAAGGTCCAAGGCATTGACCGCCGGACCCTCCCTTATCGAGGTACGTGCATATTTCATCCCAACGCTTGTTTATACTCCCAACTCACAATCTAACAGGCTGGTGCCAACCCTACATCAACATCTTCGGCCTCGTTTTCGTTTCTATAATCGTCGTCGTGCAAGGCTACAGCGTCTTCCTCCCAGGTAACTGGGACGTCGGGACCTTCTTCACCTACTACACCATGATCTTTGTGTGCATCCTACTCTTCGGCTTCTGGAAGATCTTCAAGAAGACGAAATTCGTGAAGCCCGAGGAGGCGGATCTCGTGTGGGAGAAGCCAGCGATCGATGCATATGAGGCGAGTATCAATCCTCCCTTGGGGCTCTGGGAGGATATTTGGGTTACGACTTTGGATGCGTTAAGGATTAGGAAGAGGAGGAGTGAGAACCATGTTTGAGGAGTTGGCGGCTGGTATTGCGAGGTGAGTAAGATGCGACGTGTGTGTGCGTGTGTGATCATGTTCGGGATTGGACTGTATATGATGTGATGATGGATTGTGTGATCCGAAAGGCCCTTGAGCCGCTGCCTGTGCGCCTGTCTGCCCTATGCGAACTGATGGATGCGATCGCCCTACGCGAGATGCTAATGTCGTCCTATGCGCGTTGATGATCAAATGAAAGATACAGAGCATACATGTCTCTGCCAAAGCAACACCTGCTACTCTCCCTTTTTTGGATCTGAGTATCTGAAGAACCGCTAATACCAACGTTAAAATCTCGTCAGGTAGGTGGAGAGTCGTGCATCTTGCTGCGGTATTCAGCATCTGACATGGGCTTTTCAATGCTCCAATCCGTATCATAGGAATAAGTCTCATAGAGGATCTGGCGCATTTTGCTGTGGACAAGCTCATGAGAAAAATAGTGCCGAATAAAGCATTACGGAGGGAAAGAAAATAAAGAGAACTACTTGATGTAGTTTTATCAACTTTCTCAACACTGGTTGTCACTTAATCTAAATTATCGGGACAAGAAAGTGCAAAGCATGGATCGAATTCGCAGACATAGGAGGATATATGTTAAGTCTTTCACCAATTCAAGTCCCGCTACAGCGTTTTACCCCATCATTCTTTATGAATTCTCAGCAACATGTGCGAGATCGGTCGACAAAGGTTGGATGAAGCTTTACGAGCTTGGAGCATTCTTACAGCCACGGCGGTCCAAGAGAACAAGAAAACCCCGGTCCTGCAACACAACAAAAGCCAAGTACATCCAAGAACGAAGAGCGGGTCAAACATACTGTAAGAAAGTGGAGTATAAGAGTTGATTAATCCTTGGATGTCAGTATTTACGCAAGGCTGATGGTGCACTGTTGTTGAACGAGCCTCGGCCGGCCAGCCAGCCTCGGCGTCGGGCCAAATTTTTGGCCGGTTCACTAGATATCAAGAGACAATATCCCGACTCCAGATACTTAAGCACCGACAGATAGCCTCTGGAAAGTAGTGCAGCGTGTCAAATTTCACCCCCTACGGTCTTCGATCTGATTGTGGGAGTTCAAGAAGCTTTGGGGATGTCTGCGAACCTGCGAATTCCAGATGGGAGAAAGACTCCCACGACCACTCTTCGACAATGACCCGCTCCGATTCCTCCACCCACAAACTCCACGACCTTCAATGCCTCGCAGAAGTGATATATACACTGGATATGGGATGGTATACATAGCTGAATAGTGATCGTCAGGAGGGGTGAAGCCTGGCGCCGCGTGAGCATGAACCTTGGCCAGGTGGAAGCAGACTGCTGGAGGGCGACGCGACTCCGAAAAGACATGTATCGCGACAACGACAATTGAGTGCGGATATAATCCCGTCCCAGTCTATCGAGTTATACATCGGGATATCCCCCCTGGGACTTCTTCGGGATCTGCGCATTTTACTTGGAACGGGACAATGACGGGGAGTAGTCCGTGATAGGGACAGAGGTGGTCTACTTTGTTCGCAGAACTCAATAACCAATCTAGGAATATTGTTCCGCACGATGAACAGAAGTGCGAGATCTTTCGATTATGTGTAGATGGGGAGAGGGTCACATTTGAAGGCGGACGGTGGCTTGGAGGAGAGGCCGCGATATCGACCGCGTGATAGGCCTTCCAAGAACTCACATCGACGTAGGGAATCAGGAAGCGCTTTCGCAGAGAAATACACTCGCCGAGGCGTTGTATATCCAGTCTACCGATACGTACAAGATCTGATTGCGGTCAGCATGATCTGCTTCCTTTTTGAACCTCGTCCAGGACGTAAGTGCATGACTGTTACACCAGCGATCTATGCGATTCATATTGACAGGCCGGACCACTATGATCAACTCGCAAAAAATTCCAAGGAGGGTATCAACTTGTTATTGAGGAAGACTCCATACAGGTCTGGCTGACCATTAACAATAACACGAAAAAAAACTAAAAAAACTTCGCGGATGAGGGACCTGGCTGCGAGATGTTCAGGGGAGAAAGTCAGGCGGATTCGCACTGCCGACCATTGCATGTCAACATGTGAACCGCATAATCAAATTTCGGAAAATCTCGATAAACCCTACTGCCCAGCGGCACAGCCAGCCCATGTGGAAAGTTCCGTTGATAAGAGGAAGTATTACAGACACGTCGAAGATTGCTCAAAAGGATTTGACATGTGTAACGCAGAGTTCCGTGATCATACAGATAATAACCAAACAGGAAAATGCGCCGAAAAGTTGAAAGTATGGTTCTTCGGTACTTACAGCCGCTCCCCTCATCAACATCGACGTCGAACACAACCCTTTCACCACCTGCAGCGGTGAGCTAGTCGGACCCGAGGCGCTTCTGTGCTTCCACTTGCTTTCGGCGATATGCATAACCTTTGCTACTACTAACTGATTGGTTTCTTCGCGAAAGGCAAGGAAATAATGCCAAGCTAGAAATCACCAACAGTGGCCTAGCACATGTCACCGATGTCACCACTGTCACAACTGTCTTACCCAGGATGGCGTGGTAAGTTTGTTATTCACAGCGCCGCATTCTCTGCACCAATGTTTGTTTTTCACCTTCATTCCCGTCTATCGTTCCATTTTCCTGCGTTCACACTGATCACCTGTCTACTGTACGAACAAAGACCAGTGCTTGCTACAGCTTTTGTTATTGTTACATTCGCTTCCACTCGCTTCCTATTCCTCGGAAGTACTGCACGAGCATCTGGGGAAGCAAATCTGGGGAAGCCAAGTCGGGGCCAGAGTAGTAGGACAGCATCTGGTGGGACTGGCCAGTAGTGGTCACAGTCTCAGCCTCTCCGCTGCGTTCCTAAGGTTAACCCCGCAAGCCACGCCTCGGTCCTTTACGAGTGCCTCCACCCCCTCGGTCCACCTGAAAGTCTCGCCGCACACTTACTGGCTGGGAGCTAAAGCGGACACATAAATGGATCATGGATGCATCCTTCATATGAATCAACTCATATCTTTCAGCGCCTTCAGGGGCCTTGGCTCGTGCGGAGACACAATGAGTGTGATGCGGTTGGCTCTCCTCCGGGATTAGTGCTAGAGTAGTGTTCGCGCTATCATTCCCAGATCATTCCCGTTCGAGTCTTAAGGTGTTATTGCGAGCCAGCTAACCGGCACTCTAACTTTATTCAAGCCAACCTCCGTAGTCCGTTTGCGTCTTCCAAGAAGGCTAAACTTCTTGGAAGCAAAATTGCAGATCATTGACCGAGGCATTTTCTCTCATTCTAGACGGCGACCAACTGACTTCTGATATGGAAGGTAATTGATAAAGAAAAGGGTTCCCCATGACCAAGCCGTCGCGTGGTACTGGACATATTCCCGACAAAGACGTACCCCTTTTTAACGTCTACACTTCAGTAACAGCAACAGGACAACTTCAACCATCGCCATCATGTCGACCACCCGGCGTTCGGATTCCGAGGAGGAGAAGACGAATGCCTCTCACCACAGTCCCATCACGACGGATCACCCAAAGCTCGAGGGAGGATTAACACACGCGCAAACCGCTTCGACGATTCAGAACAAGGTACTTTGACCTACGGCCACCACCAAGTAATCAGCTAACACGGAAAAGCGCACTTTCGGTTTTGTTATGACCATGCTGGGCTTCAGTATTTCGTTCGTTGTAGCTGAAGTCATCCCTCTGTTTCTCATTACACTCTTCACGGTTATTGCATACGACTTAAATTCCGGTGACAAGGCTATTTGGTTGATCGTGGCACAATTCATCGCGGTCGGCTCTACTGTTCCTTTCGTGGGACCTCTGGTCGATTTGCTGGGTCGCAAAATGACGACGCTTGTCAGTCTGCTATTCACCGTTGTGTCCATGATTCTGCTGGGAACCACACAAAACATTGCTGGAGCCATCGCGTCCATGGTGATTTCTGGTATGGGAATTGGCATTCAGTTGCTCACCTCCATTGCTGCCGTCACGGAATTAGTTCCCATTTCTCAGCGTGGTATCACGATCGGATACATCGTCATGGGTTTCATGCCATTTGCCCCTGCATCCCTGTATGGTCAACTTCTTGCGGAGCACAGCTGGCGATATGTTCCTCTCGTCATTGGTGTTCTTGCACTCGTTGGATTCGTTATCATCGCTATCTGGTACAAGCCACCACCACGAGTCAACTCTCTCGGATTGACCAAGCGTGAGATCCTCGGCAGAATCGACTTCATCGGTGCATTCCTTGCCATTTCTGGTGTCACCCTCTTCCTCGTCGGACTCAACTGGGGCGAGCAGCCATATCCATGGAACTCTGCTCATGTAATTGCCTGTTTGACAGTCGGTCTGGGACTCTTGGTGTTCTTCGTCGTATATGAGAAGTTCATCGTCAAGTACCCATTGTTCCCTGGAGAGTTGATCCAGCACCCACGTTTGTTCTTCGTCATCTGCTTCTTGTGCTTGACATCTGGAGTCAACTTCATTCCTGTCGTGGTCTTCTGGACTATTCAGTGCTACACTGTGTACGGTGCATCGTTCCGTGATGCTGGTATATGGCTTCTGCCTATTGGATTCTGCATTGCTGGAGGCGCTATCATCAGTGCTGGCTTGATGACTGTCTTCAAGACAAAGATTCACTGGATTCTTCTCGGATTCTGTGTCATTCAAACAGCTGGTATGTAATCCACAGTAATTTCGAAGAGTCCTTACTAACACATCCAGGTCTCGGTTCTGTCGCCGCTGCTGATCCAGAAAATATCAACACCGTCTGGGGCCCATTGATCATCGGCCTCCTCGGTGTCGGCGGCGTCCTCCTCCCCAGTCAAGTTGTCTTCTCCATCATCAGTCCGGAAACCCTAATCGGTACATCCATCGCCTTGTCCATCGTAATCCGCGCAGTCGGCCAAGTCGTCGGAGTCTCCATGTTCTACAACCTCTTCCACTCGCACATCGAGCACCGCGCCATGACCAACCTCACCATCTTCACCCTCCCCGCCATCACCAACGGGTTCAACCCAGGTTTGCACCCAATCGAGGCTACGACTGAACTGATCACCACTCTGACTGCGGGCCCATTCTCGGCGTATGCGGGGAACTTCAATATTACGGATCCGGAGAACATTGCTGCTATCCAGCAGGCAGGACATGAGCTTTACAAGACGGCGTTCCCGGAGCTGTATTTGGTTTCGATTGCGTTTGGAGGGGCGGCGATCATTTCGTGCTTCTTTTTGAAGGGGTGAGTAGAATCTTCTCTTACAGCATTCAGATGATAAATAACTGACGAGCATCTGAATAGAATCTCTGCGTTCATCAACGAGAATGTCGCTGTACACCTCGGTTAAGCTGCTGCTGGGCAGCATGGAGCTGAGGAGGATCAGGACGCCAAGTCAAGCAGGGTCACGTTCGGCTTAGGGATACCACATTCAGATATGTGACGTGATAGTCGATATCGGATCAGAAGCAAGCGGTATAGGAGATTGAGCTTGCGTTGAAACATCACACAGTATTTTTTACGCTAAAGTTCAAGTAACGTGTTGGTCTCACCAGTCGACGGCAGCGTTGTGGTATCCCGCTTGGCGGCTGGACATGGACTTGCTCGGAATTTGGCGCTTGTAGATTACGTGGAATGAAACCTGTAGAATATAATGAAACCATGTAGATCTATACATATATGAAAAAAGTATCCCAATTACTGTTTCGTTCTTTCGTTCTCATAACATCGAATTGATTGCTATTTCCAACTACAGTCGCGTGTATGGCAAACTCGACGAGCCGTTGACCGGGTATTATATCCAGGCGGATGAACTGACAACAGCAACTTGGATAATTCAAACTCGTGACGAGATTCCACACAATAGGCCCTGTTTCTTCAACCAGCTAGTTCTACTTCCAGGCCAAGCAATCTTGAGGAAACCTCCGTTAGACTCCATGTTGACAAAACCATTCCCGCCTTCCAAATATTTGTCCATCTTAACTAGAAGATGTGAGAGAGACGCATTGACCTGCTACGGGGATTCGGAAATGTTTAGAATTGAGTTCGATCATAGAGATACAATATATGAGCAATTCGCCAATGTCCCACTGTCAGATAACCCTACCAGCAAAGTCGGCTTCCAGACATAATCGCATTCAGGTTTAAAAGTTTGGGGTAAGCCAGTACTTCTTTATTTCATCGTATATAGAATCGGCTGACTTTGACCATTTCCAGATCACGCCTCACTGCCATCTTCAGTGAAATTTTGGAGCTAGAATGATAAATGTATCGAGATCGTGAGTTCACTGGTTATGAGAATTCAGGTAAAGGAAATTTGTACTTTGTTACCGCTGTATTCATCTGGGTCTGTTCATACACTTGAAGGCACTCATTCGAGATCGTATTACAACTAGATCATATAGGCTGCAGAGTATATGCCGACGAAAGCAACGTAGTACATGTTCTACGTATACGGCAATTCAGAGCGCGAGTGTCCAAGTTATGAAGTTATGAGGAGTTACGAGAACTTGTACAGAAGGGGAAAGTTAGAGCGCCATTATCCAAAATATAGTTTTCCTTACGAAATGGAATAAACTGCACGATGAGGGTCATGCTCCTACAGCTGGAACCCCCGATATCGCTCATGCCAATCAATAAACATGATCTAGACGCCTGACCCACTCCATCCTCCCCCCCTATCCTTATCGCTTCTCGGCTCCTTATCATTTGACAACCCCCACTACCAAACGCCACATCACAACCCAACCACCAAACCACAATACTCTACGCTTCAAGCGGGTAAACAAGCACACCGACTTCAAGCCAGAGCGAGATGGCCAAGCACAAGATGCATTGCCTGAGTTGTGATTCCGGGTTTACCCGGTAAATTTTGTTCGCTTAGCGAAGTTTTCGCATAATATTGTACACAACGTGAATGACATGGGAATCCCGCTCTCTATCAGGTCGGGAAGTCCATGCCTGTCTCAGACAAGCTAACTTGCACCATAACGACGTGATATACCTCATCTAAGACCCCATAAACCTCAAGCTAGATCCATTCTCACATATAAGATTATTCTCCACCCCCGGAATCTGGTTTTGCAAGAGACTTCTCTTCTTCTGTGATTGATGATCGACTCGAGGACGAATCGATCACTCATCTCATCCGCTGCACTATCATCATTCCCCAGATCTTACCCACCTCGGCCGTCCATATATCCACGAAAGCTTATTCCAACCGTCATCTCACCTCATCTCATTCTCGTAGCGACTTCCAGCAAGAAGGCGGCAGTATCAACACCTCTCCGCATCTCCACATTCCGAATCAGCAATCCTCTCCAAAAAGGAACAGAAATCGAGAAATCCATCCCCTCCCCACCAAATCTCAAACACGCACATTCCACAGCTGGGGAAAATCCGATTCCAAATCCAGATCCGTGGAATTGGAATCCCGCATCAAAGCCACCAAACCCATCTGAGTGGTGACTACTCAAATATACTTTCACGACTTCCCTGCACACCACACACACACATCTTGCCGAATCATCCAAGACGTAAGTGCCAAACTCAAATCATTTCCCCAAACATGCCATCCCAAATATTACATCCCAATTATTACTGTTAGCTCTCGTTTCCCGCGTTTCAGCTCAGCGCTGCTAACACCATTACTTGACATGATAGGACAGGATTTCAGCACGTTCAGTCAGCTCACGAAGGATTACCTTGTTCAGCCCTACGAGGTTTTTTCGAGTCCGAAGGGGAAGGATATATCAATCAGTCGACGCCACAGATCCGCTTCGACGCTCAACGTCCATTTTCATTCTTGTTCCTAAAATTCACGCACCTTGGATTCACAACAGAGGAACCGGACTTGTCCACTGCTGCCACAACACAACAAGCGCGCCAACCATTCACCCACCCCAAAGAACGACCCGTCAAAAATCACCGAAAGGCGTGGTGAGCTCGATCCAGCCTCATCAACAAGCAAGCAAGCAAGCGTCAAAGTCAAACGTGGCAACAATCGCAAATCATTTATTTCTCCAACAGGACAGTCCAGCCGAGCATTTTTCTTTTCATCCCAGCGGTCTGATATTCTCGGTTCTCGGTACTTGCCTTACTTGACCGATACAATTCGATGCTAGTATCAGTATTCCGGAAACGACAGTCAGACTTGCGAATTACACAGCAAGCTCGTTCACGTCACGACGAGACTGCTAAACTATCATCCCACGAACATTGGTTGTCAAAATCGGTTTAGTTTGGGAGGTTATCGAACCCTTGTTTCGACCTGGATTGGATTTCAAAGCAAAGGGACGCACAGCACAGGAGTTTCCGTTAACCTGTGTTCATCATATTTCTGATTGATTGATTGATTGACAAGTCTGTTTGGATTGTTATTCAAATATCTGATCTGATTTGGTCTCGTCTCATCTCTTCTCGATATATACGCCGGAATTCTGGAAAGAAGGAAAGAAGGACAAAGAGATACAGGAAAGGGAGGGGTTCTGAACTGGGAGAACAGGAAGTGAAAAGCGTTCTATATACCGAATCACCAAAGACAAAACCGAGGACGCACCCGAAAACGCAAGCGAGACAACAACAACAACAACAACAACAACAACAACAACAACAACAACACCCCTCCTCTTTCGTCTCGTTGTGTAGCCACCTACAACCACATCACGCACCACAGGCAAAGTAAAGCAGAGATAAATAAAAAGGACTGAGCAGGAAGAAACAAAAAGCAAAGACCAAGCAAGGAAGCAAAACGCCATACCCCCAAACACCTCGCTGAACGGCACTCATCAATCGATCAATCGATCGTCCCGTATCCATCAGTCATCAACAAACAATAAATTCGATCAAACGATACAGCCTCGACGAACCAAAAACGATAACGACAGCAAGAACTCCAGAAACAAAACGCTCAAACGCAAGAAGACCAACACCGAACCCGAAAAGCCGAAAATGGAGAGAATCAAAATATTCTTCAAGTCCCGCTCCAGTAGGATCAAGCGGAGGTTCAGCAGCACGACGACATCAGCACCGATATGCATGTCCATAACCACATCCACAACCCCAGCAGTAACAACCATATCCAGAGACAAGCCGTCGAGTTCAAACTCCACTTCTGCCTCCACGTCTATCACATCCACGTCCGTCACTACCACGTTCGAGACCGACAACAACACAATCCATCCAGAATCCCAACCTCCCTCACCACTACCACAAGAAGAACCACAAGAACTCCTCCAAGAAGACCCCCCACAAGAACACCAATACGATCACCAAGACCCCTACCAACCCCTCACACACCACCCTAACTCCTCAAACTCTTCCATCTCATCCAACCTCTCCACCTCATCCACCCTCTCCAACCTCTCCACAACGTCCACACTCCTCAATCCCTCGCCACCTGCAAAACCTACACATGCACTTCCCTCTCCCAATCGACTTCCCCATACACTTGACCAACACCGCCAAGCCCAAAGCGTAACAACATACGAGTCCTTCATCCAGCAAGCACAGGCACAAGCGCAGCAAGCGGAACAGACACGACTGCAAAGAGAAGATCTGATTGCGAGGGCGAGGGCGTGGATGAAAGTTGCGGAGGCGAGAAGGATCAGGAGAAGTAGGAGTAGTGCAGCGTGGCCGGCTGATCCGTGGAGAGGGGGGTTTGGACCTTCGGCTGGGGAGAGATGCGGATATGGGTACGGGATTGGTGTTGGGGGGATGGCGCCGAGGAGGGGCGAGGTGTCTGGGGTGGGGGTGAGGGCTTGGTTGGGGCAGAATGGGTTGGTGAGGTGAGGTGGGTGTCGTCGTGTTGAGGGTGTTGATTTGATCGGTGGTGATGAATGGGCGGAGGTTTGGATGAATGGATGGATGGGTGGGTGGATGTTTCATCTCAGCGTTTGAGTTTGGATTTTGCTGGAAGTCTAGCCGAGGAGGACTATGATGGCGTTTTGTTAGTTTTTGTGTTATGGGACTTTAGGTACCGGGTTTTGAGGCGTGGGATTTGGCGTTTGGGGGAGGATACTCCAAGGAGCAAGGACAGGCAAGAAATGATAGACAGAATAAACAAACAAACGACTTACTTTCCCACTCCCAGTCCTTCATCACCCCAACCCAATGCATCCTCCCCCTAACCGTAACATCATAATCCATCTCCTCATCCAACGGCTCATGCACCCTCTTCCTCTCCACCGCACCCACACTCCCACTCCCACCGGTAGGCGAAAACGTCCCACTCCTCTGCCTCTTCGCCGCACTCGTCATCCCATTCAACATATCCGAGTAAGACTGCACATCCATCTCCAGCTCCTCCTCAAACTTCCTCTTACTACTCTCCGAATGCGCCATCATCGACATACTACCCGGCTTCATCTTCCCCTTCTCAGCAGCCTGCGTGCGCGCCGCCTCCGCAGCGTCGCGCCTCGCCCAGACCTCCTGGTGGACCTCCCAGCAGCGGTCGATATTGCCGATTGACATTCTCGCGCCCATCGACGCCCAGCGGTTCTTGACCCAGGCGCGGTCGTCTTTGGATTCGGCTTCGCATCCTGCTGCGAGGAGGGGGTAGATCTGGACGATGACGAGGCGGGAGCTGAGCGGGACGGTGGCGAGGAGCTTCATGACTTTCTGGGCGAGGCGGAAGGAGGACCAGGAGGGGATTTCGGGGACGGCTTGGTGGAGGTAGAGGAGGGTGGCGTAGCGGTAGGCTTCGGCTGTTTGGAGGGCGTGTTGGATTTCGGAGGTTGGGTCTTCTGGTCGCTCGATCATCAGGACGGGTGGTGGGGACCATTGCACGATGGCTTCTTTCAATTCAATGGCCTGGCTGATGATGGCTATGGAGTTCGTCTGCATTTTCCGGACTTTCCTACAGAGGTTCGCAACTCGGCCGATGAGAGGGAAGAGTGACGCAGCGCAGCCCATGAGAGGGTCGATTTCTGTGCTGTTGTTATCGAATGGTGTGTTGAGCGGTGCGAGGACGTTATCGAAGTCATTGGACTCGTCGTCATCAACGGAGGTAAGACGTGCTATGACATCCATATACACCCAAGCATTGCACAGGAATCTCAGACGTGCGAGGTCGTCGCCTAAGAGGTTTTGCTTCTTGTGAGAGACGAGCGCTTGATTGACTAGAATCCTCGCTCCACGTAGATGTTCAATCCCGGTCGAAATATGTTGATCCCAGGATTCCGAGAATGCGAGGACCAATGTCGTAGCAAGTGCTTCATCAGTTCTCATATTCTCAATTCCTGTAGCTAGAGCTCGGATACTCTTTCGCATATGTTCCATTCCATCCACCCTCAACGAAGGTTTCTCCTTCGATGTGTGAAAGGCGGTCAATGATGCGATTGCGTGGTAAAGTGGAGTCGAATTTCTCGCTAGTGGCCAGATCAAAGTCCTCCAAGGATTCTCAGTAGGTCCATCTTTCACTGACAGTATCCCACAAGTCTGCTTATCAAATCGCAGCATTAGCATTTCCTGGCTTCCCGCTTGGACTTCTGGCTGCCTGTAGATCTTGTTGAATGGGTCATCTCGCGTGGTCGTTGGCGAAGTAGTGGAGGATCTCGAGTGGATGGGGTTCCGTATTGACATCCATAGATCCGCATCAGACATCTGTGGTTCCCTGACAATCTCCTCAATATCATCCTCCACATTCGCATCTGGCGTCATATCCATATTCAAAAAGCTAGGGTCCAGCATTGGGGACAACTCCATCACAGGTGATGTATTCGGTATCATTGGCGGCATAGTGACCGTCCCAGGTCTAGCATTCAATTCCGAGCCCGGCAACAGCAGATCTATCAATCTCGGGGATTGCCCAGAAAAACTCGGTCTGGATGTAGGCGGAGGTGAAGGATCTTCGAACAGACTGCTCAAACTCCTTGTAACTGAATCCGCCTCGAATCGAGGGCGGGGCAGCTCTCGCATATATGGAGGAGTACTCATATCGAACATTGGAGTATGGTCGAATTGTAGGTTTGGGGGATCGAAGTTCGGGGGTGTAAATGATGGGGGTGGAGGTGTCGGCGCCGCAGCGTGGAAGAAGGAGTCTTGCATAGACATATCTTGTTCCGGCTCGGCGCCGGGCGTTGAAGTCGTAGAGGCATCGGAAGGACTTGGGACTGGTTCGGGAGGTTTACTCAGTACTATCGAATCTGGGAATATCAATGTATGTTCTTGGAAGACCTTGATATGGATGCATACTTCGCTTTGGCTTTGGTGGAGCTACTTTGTTATTGAAAGTCGTTTCCTCGAATGGCCTCCACTTGAAATCCTTTTTGTATCCACCACATGTTACGCTCCGCCTGTGGCATTGTTGACACGCCGGTTTCGTCTCGTCGCATTTTAATCTTTTTGCTTTGCAAGTTATGCAGCCTGAGAGTTGCTGTCAGCAGTGCTCGTTGTCTTGCGATTGCTTCCCCGCTCTCAAACCCCCACATGCCCAACATTTTGATATCCGCATCGACCAAGCGATCCCGTATCCCAAAATCATATTGTGCTTGCAGATACGGTTGCAAAGAATAGAAGCTTCAATTCCACATCTGCCAATCTTCTACCCAGCTATCGATTCCACCATCCAGCGATACCACAATCCATTCCCTCCCCACTCCTCCACTCCCAATTCCCACCACCTCCTTATCAACCCCAAGATAAGCTCTCAAGAAAACAAGCAAGACCTACCATTACGACTCTTCGATTGTTTCGGCTTCACAACCCCACTCTGCTTCTTGCTCGTCGAACTCGACCTGTTGTGAGCAGAGGCAGACGGTTTGCGCTTCGGAGGGGGTGGTGGTTCGGGAGCGGGTTTGAGGACGGGCGAGGCGAGGAAGGCTGTGGGCGATGGAATAGTAATGGTTTCCATCTCGAGGGCTTCTTGAAAGGATGAGAAGACATCCACAATTTCCTCCTGTCTAGGCAATCCAAACCTAATACAGAAATTGGTTGTATGTATGGTATGGTATGTATGGAAGTGTTGGAACAATGCAGAAGAAACTTGGAGTGTGGTGGTGTGGTGTGGTGTGGTGTGGTGTCCAAATAATCTTTACGGCAGTGGAAGAAGGCCGTGCGGTTGTGAGGAGACAGAGTGGATTGGAGGGAGGTGGGACCATCTCGTGGCCGACCTGGGGCGTTGCATATCAGTGGCAGTGATTGGTGGGAGGGCTGTAAGAGCCCTGAAAATGTGGCTGACCGGCCACTGAACGATTGCAATTGTGGGGAGGGCCAGCTGTTAAGCACCGAGTGACCTCCCCCGGAGAGTCAGTGAAGTTAGCGTTCGCTTGGGCATTGGGGGGAATTAATGGGGCTGGAAAGATACTGTAGCGATCTACAGGGACTCCCTGAAAACTATCCGCGTTTAGTGTGTATCGCGGAGGACAAGAGATAAGCTGAGTGGTCTCGACTTTCATGTCCTGTCTCTTTGATTTCATCTCATTAATGTCTATCGATTTAACGTCTAGTCGCCTGTATTAATTCTACGAGTGCCCTCAATTTCCAAGCAGCTCCGTCCTACGTTGCCTCAAAGTATAACAAATCACTCACACCATCAACATACTTACCCCTCTTTGCTCTTCTCCACATTACTAACACCTCCTGATCGTGTCTGCACATATCCTGGTCCCTTATGTGTTGATCTATCAAGTGATTCGTGGGCGGACTTCCCGGCGCTGCGATAAGGATATGTTGGAGCATGCGCTACGGCGAGAAATCGGCACGAGGGGAACACTGACACGAGGGGAACACTGACACGACAGTACCTTTTAGTGCGTGGATAGCGAGTGTGGAGGACGTTCAGTGGTTACAAATTAACTGGTTGATAGCTGTACGCTGTCTGTATAACGATGCACAGGTTGCAGTGCAGATTGAATTGGGGCAGTTTGGTGGCAAGTTACACTAGCAGGTTGTTGGGAATCTCATGTGAGGAGGTGATTTGTTTGCATTTACTTTCTTTAGGACTTTGAATTTGTGTATGCCAATAGCAACATATCAGTGTATGGCTAGTGGATAGATATATTCTCAAGGAAAGTCTGATCTACCTAGGTAGGTAATCACTTCGAGGTCCGTCACGTGGTGTTTGAATTCATGTTCACATTACCTACTTAAAGTTTCTGGCTGGGGAATACTCTTCCTCGCGCAAGATACTCTCCATATTTATTAAGAAGAACGCCCCAAGAGAGGACGACCAGTCAAGCAATGTACCGACGATAGCCAAGTGTAACTGCCCGCATCGTATAAAACCAGTCTGTTCTTCTGGTGCTACTAAGTATTGCTTGCTACATTCTCTTTCTATCAGCGGAAAGACTCCCAAAGGTCCTACTTCTCAGCGTCTGCCTCTAGTTCGTGATTGATGTCAAGCACTTAGCTATTTTAGGACATGAATTGACACATCCCATCACTGATTCTATTTCATTTTCTCTTCTCGTCATCTGCCGTGGCGTATATCGATACATCTTCAATTGTCTAGAGATAGTTTGCAGGGTAGTTTCCGACATTTGGTCAAGTGAAAGTATCAATCAGCTACCTCCATTGTCATTCTTCTCTATGATTCCCCAGGGGTTCTGCGGGTGTCCCAGGTAATTAGTGAAGACCATAATTGCAGCACGAGCGTCCTCATGGCTGAGATTCTTAGAGCCTCGGAAATCTCAGTCAGTAAATATAAACGATAACTAACCCAAAAGTATCCACGTCCATTCCAGCGAGCCCAACTAAGTAGATGGACGTTCGGGTAATGACCTCAAATCCCACCAATCATAGGAGACTTCGCTGTGATCTGCTACTTTAAATAGTTTATACATCCGTATCCCGGAACGGCCATATCTTTCCAAAGAGTTCCCTCTCCACCTCATCATCACCCTCCTCAACAAACGAACTCCGCAACTCATCCACCGCACCAAGAACCTCATCAAACCCTCCCGGATCCACCATCCCACTCGGCGGCACTCCCCACCCCTCCCGAAACATCCTAAGTATCTCCCCCACATTCCCCATACTCTCCTCCTCCGCGGCATGCAGTGCGAGTTCCTGCTGGTTAGAGCTCACTGGACAGGTACCCGAATCGGGACAGAGGTCCTGCCACTGCTCGATGATTGAGAGGAGTGCTTGCCGGAGGAAGAACACGTCGCGATCTTCCCAGACGTTAGGGACTAGGCGAGAGGGTTCTGTTCGTATGACGGTGTTGTGGAGTTGTAGCTGGAGGAGGGCAGCCCAATGTCTTGGGTTTTGGGAGTTGGTTTCTGCTTTGTAGTATTTGAGACAGATCTCACTCTCTCGATCACTATCAATGCTCGCCTTCTCGTTTGGCTCAAGGGTGTCGTAGTCCTCTGGTAGGTCGGGCAACTCCCAATTATCACGAACTGTCCCGGGATGTTGAAACATTCTGGGAACGCCACACTGGTAGAAGAGTGGCATGACGGAGGCTGATTGCCAGTCGATTATGCGGGTGATTTTCTTGGTTTCTGGGTCGACGAATATGTTGTCGAGATGGAGGTCTGGATGCCAGAGGGTGGGGGAGTGTGTGTCTTCGTTTGTTCCTGGGGGAGGGATCATGGCTGGAGATAGTTTTAGATAGCGTTGCAGGAGATCGAGGACTTCCTCGGGTAGTTCGGGTTGTGTAGAGGAGCGATGATAGTTGAGACGAGGACGGGCATGGGTTTTGATGAATCGTATCTCGTTTGTAGCCACAGCTTTTATAAAATCAAGGGGTTCGTTATCTGCGTAATGTCAGAATAAGTTACTTATATTGTGTCTAGATGAAAGACTCACATGGTCCTCTATCCATATCCATATTTGCCCTTTCACCGCGCCAAAGCCCGCTTGAGACGAGTGGTCCCAACTGAAAACGCTCCAGTACCGAAGAGTCCCGTGGCACACTGGTCGCTATAGCATTATCACTACGCATATCCCTTGGAATATCACCCTTGAAGTAGATGGATCCAGATTTCACAAACTTCGTTGAGGCTAGTTGCCGCTCAATCTCCACGACCTGCGATATCATTCCGAGCTTGAACTTCATCGGCCATTGATACCAAAGACTACCCAATGGTTTACCTGGCGCCTTTTCCTCTAGGATATACTCTGCGCCGACCGGATTGCTTCGATCAGCAGACCAAGCGATAATACGAGGATTGGGAATATGTAATGCATCGCGGAGCTGGCGATATCAAAAGTTAGCTTCGTTTTCGGAGGGTGAGATGAAGAAGACGTGCAAATTCACGAGTGGCTACTTCAGATGCTGTAGTGTAATAAGCAGGTCCTGCGATGGGATTTGGGAGTTTTGCAAAGATTTCTGAACCGTTGTCCATTGTGAGTAAGTAGGCTTTGTTGTTGAGGCCTTCACGACACTTGAGAAGCTTTGTGCCTAGATTTTGTATTAGCCACAATATCACAAGCAATAGGTTTCGAGGACGTACAATACCGAGCACCCTCACTCGACAACGCTGTAACTGCAACTTTTACGAGTTCTTGGAGGTTGAATTTAAGATATCTTCCTGCCAGCTGTGTAGATTCATTGTATCTATGCCAGGTCAGCAATATGATATTGCTTGGTGAGAACGGACATAAAACGTGCATCCAGCGATTCCTCGTATATCTGTAGAGTTCTTCCTCTGGTATTTCTTCAACTGCAAACATTAGCATCCCAAACAGTGAGGAGATACTGTACTTACCAGTTCCATCAGACCTCTCAGCGGTAAGGAGGGGCAATCCACGCTTGTCAGTCTGCCGTCCTAGTGAAGTCGCAAATGTGGCTACAGCACATGATTGAATGTAATGGTAAGTGGCGGTTCTATCCGCAGAGAGCCAGCGATGTAGCGAATAGATCCGTGATATGAGAGGCATGCTTCAACAGTCGAGGTGAAGCCTTGAATTGTCGAAGGGAGTTAACAATCGTGACTGCCAACATGTTGTTTCCCGAGCCCCAATGTGCTCTGTGTCTTATTAAACTTCAAATCGGAGGACGGTAGGAGCTACGGTATCCACTGCTTCTTAGTTGGGCCTCCCGGTGGAGCGCTTGCAGCAGTATTATCAAAAGCGCGCGCGATGCCGTTTGCTGATGCAGCCACACCTAGGATGTCTACCAAAAGCGGTCCTGCGTCGAAAGCAACACGGTGAGCAACCTTCTCAGTAAGATATCAATTCAATATTTGATAGCATGGAGCTGGTACACATACAGTCTACTAGCCCCTTTCCCTCAGTGGACAGCACCCAAAGAAGAGGCAGCTCCCGTCGTTAATCGAACTTCTCAGCACATCACGTGGACAACCTCACCTGCTCACTCCCGTCGAGTTCCATCACGCCACACAGCACGTCAACGAACAACAAATATAACCTTCTTCTCGAACAACCCAAAAAATGCAAGCTTTTAAATAATCCGAGGACATCACATACACATCATATCACACGTACATCACACACACATCCACCCACACGCTCTCTAAATACCCGTCCATCCGTCTGCCGCTGCCGTGTGTTGGTGTATCAGTTGAAGCGAAACCTGACAAGAAACCGTTCGTTCGTCTAATGCGCCTCAAGACTCACTCCCCCGTGTCCCACGTCCCAGGGATTCCCTCGATGCCTCATGCACCTCTGTCATGAAAAAATCCTGCTTTTGGCGGAAAAATACAACCACAACCACGACATCCTAAACTAACTGCCGTGCAAGCGAGCCAGGCAGGCGAGGCAGGAAAGGTAAAGTAAGGTAAGGTAATAAGTTTCCGAATTACGTATTCTGGATACGTGCGTATGTGCATGCATGGCATGGCATTACTGAGCTGTCACGCCTACTGTACTTTGCAAGCCATAGATCGGATTATGAAGAAGCATGTTGTGTTCAGATATCATGCAGTGCGATGCAATGCAATGCAGCACATTCACCGTCCAGCAGTGGTTGAAAACTCTACAATAATGCAATTGTTGCATTTCGTACTGGAAGTCTGGATCTTGCTTGGCGGATAGCGTGGAGTTTGAGAGGGGGGCGAGACCAGACTCAAGGAGGGGCTGTTCTCGGCTGGATGCGACGTCGAGTTACAGTAGATGTGTTTGACCGCCCAGAGAGAGGTGAGACGCTTCCCCTTACGACTTCTCGTGGGCACGGCTCAGGACGTTGCAAGCCGATAAATTTCCATATTTCAAAGACCAGCTGATGGAGCTCTTGATTTTCCTTTTGACGTTTGAATTGATGAAGTCTCCTTCAGAACTGACTCGAAATGCTTCATCTTCAAGAATTATTATTATTGACGCCACTTCACTGAAGTTATCGACTTTATGACCCTGGTAATATTCAGCCACATCTCGCTTGAGCTTCAGCTCTCAAGTTCCAAGTCTCCTCTCTAAATTGCGTGGCCCATCCCGGCTATGTTTTTCTCCTTCAGCGATTGGAGTATTTATACTTTATCCAGCGCATGTATTCCCTCTTATTGGCTACCGCAAGCCCTTGATTACGACTTCAGCCACAGGTTATTTAATGGAGACTGAGGGGGAACGCCACACCCTAGATGCCCCCATCCACATCATGGAAATTGATGCGACGGCGTCTTGGACGATCATGTTCGCGTGAGGGATCCTCGAGTCGTGACTGGCCCGAGCTACCCCTGCCGACCTCCTATTCCTTGTTTACTCTCGATAGCGCCAATTGCCGCCCGGACAACAGGGAAATGATGCTTGGAGCACGGCCAAAACATGGCAAAGTGTTGCATTGAAGCTCTACGGAGAGAGCTGTACAGTAGCTCCGGCTGCTGGGATTTGGATCCTCAACCTTCTTTGTCTCTTTCTCCTCACTCTCCCTCCTCCCTCCTCCCTTCATAACCTTCTTTCACTTCATACCCAGTTGCTTGTATTTTGCCAAAACAACAGTCTCGCCAGTACTACGTGGTGAGGCAAGCGATTCGATATCGGGAACACAGCTGAGGCCTGCTAAGCAGCTCTGAAACAGGACCGCTTGACCACCCTGCATGCCCAAAATTAAGAAACTGCCCCATTTGTGTTTACCCTGGCCAACATCCCTCAGGATAACCTGGCCTTCCTCGCCGCCTCATCCAATCTTCACCAGGGAGTGAACGAACCTTGATCGCTACCCCAGTGTGTCGATTCTCGTCTCATCATCAACTTTCCCATCCACTCCCTCCCCCCGTCCTTGTCCTCTCGCAACGGCAAACCAAAACCCCCAGTCTACAACCTTTTCCAATCTAGAGGTCTCGGAGAATTGACTTTGAGAAGGACGATGGAGAACCATAATTGATTTCTTATTATTCTGGAGATTCGAGGACTTTCTCGGATTTCTCGCTTTTCATAATAATCAACATGGGCAACGAACAATCTGTTCCTGCCCCGAGACGGCCTCCAAACAAGCTATCGAAACCCAGAACGAACAATAACTCCAGTGCGAATTTACTGAACCCGAAATCTGCACCTCCGAGTCGACGGAACTCAATAATTTCAACGAGTGCATCTCCAAATAAAAGTCGGTTTAGCCTGCTGCCAACTGCAGTACCCGAAGGAGAGAAGAAGAAGGAAGAGAAGCAGAAGAAGAGGAGGAGTATTTTCAGGTCGAAAAGCGCGCAGCCTAAAAGTCGCTATCAAGCTGCGGAATCAGAGGTTGAAGATCTGTCTGCGGATCCAGCTACCATTCAGTCGCGAAGATGGTCGAGACAACCTCGAGGAAGGGAGACGGCGCCTTTTGAATCTGGAGATGAGGGGGTGGAACCGCCCGTAGAAATGTAGGGACTTCCCTTTATGTTTAATACACCACTAACAAAACCCAGGAGACCTCCACCACCTCGAAAACGCATGTCTCTCTCCCAACCATACGGACACACGAATCCACGGCTCTCACTCGTCGCCGAGCTACCTTCCCCAAGACCCGACCAAGCAGATACAATGCAGCGCTTAACTGGACACGAGGAAGAAGAAACAGCACACGTACCCATATCGCGAACGACTTCAGAAACGAACCTGTACGTACCCATACGGAGGAGATCGTTACTGCAGCATGGAGTCGCGACGCGAACGAGTTACGTGGAAGAAGCTCGACAATCACTACCGCCTCAACCGAGGAATGTAGAAGAGATCCAGAACTACTACTACAACCCCACCAAACCGACCTCGTCTCCCCTCGACCAGATCGCAGCTCTTGGACCGCCGCCAGGTCCAAGAGTGGAAACTCCAACGGAGATGGATTATGGACATATCGGTGCTTTCAAATTGGGCACACTGAGAATCATGAATGGAGCTGCGAGCCCAGCACCGAGTCTGGAACCTAGTCTACGGAGAGCTGCAACGATGGGCCAGGAGGAAGATTATATAATGGCTGGCGACGCTCGGAGAAGTGCAGAGAGGGGCCATAGACCACGAGCTAGCCAGAGAAGCAACACGATTTCCGTTGCCCAAGATAACAAGAAAGTTCCCTGGGTTGTTCGCGCGGAATCGCCTCTCCGACAAGATATAGCAGAAATGGGCGACGGTACACCAAGAACGCCTCTCCGCGAAACTCAACTGGAGTGGACTGTGGAGAAGGAGTCGCCAATGCCAGCAAAGTATGTTTTCAACCCACTATCAATTGATATTCCCGACCCCAGTTTTGCGTTGTTTGATTTCAGCGCATCTGAGACGTTATTCAGATCGACCGAGTCTCCTACGAAAGCGTTGGAATTGGCGCATGAGTATCAGCAAGATTTAGCATTGAGTCCGTTCTCATTTGATAACTCGCCTCCTGTGTCTCCTACGTTGCAGGTGATGAGCAAGCATATGGCTGTGGAAGATGATCTGTTTGCACCGGAACCGACGACTCCTGTTTTGTCGGAGAGGTTCCCGAGGTCGTTTGATTCGGGTTATGAGGGTGGTTTGCATGCGAAGGTGGTTAAAGGACCGAGGGATATCACTCCGAAACTGTTGGCAAAGGCGGATAGTGGGTATAGCTCGAACGTGTCTTTACGGTCATTCAAGAAGGACTCGACACCAGCTGCTGGTGATGAACCACCGCCAACTCCACCGAAAGACAATGTTCGTGTTGCATCAAGCACGTACTCGGAAGATTGGAGCTCAAGAGTATCTTCGAGCACATATACAATTGCATCTAATAGCTCCGAGACAACGCTGCGAGCTCAAAGATCACTTCCTGCTCTACCAGTCGAGGAAATACCCGAACAACCATTCAGACAACCACCTCCAGTTCCCGCGAAGGAGACCCGAAGTCCAACATCGCCTACCACGCAAAAGCCTGACCTCAGATACCCAGCAGCGCTCTCGCCACATTTGGTCGTCCCACCCCACCAGACTCGACGAAAGAGTAGCCCACCAAATCCTCGTCAGGAAAGTCCAGCATCAGATGTATCCCCGAATTCCTCCCGCTGGAGCAACAAGAAGCTCAACAAGCGCCCTCAATCCATGCAGCCTGAACCCGTCTACACTGTGCAAGCCTTCCGTTCTCCTAGCGAACAGCTGCGAATCCCTGCACCATCAGTTGAAGCGAGACGTAAACTCGAGGAGCGAGTGGATCAGTTCCCTGTAGCTTCGATTCCAAACACGTATGTAGGCCAACTTGGACTGAGACGTAGTTCTAGCAAGGAGACACTTGGGACGATCTTCTCTGTTGGGTCAGCTGAGGTGAGAGAAGAGGTGAGCTTTGCAAGACTGCAGAGTTCATTGCCCGCTGTACCGACACAACCAACTATCCACGAGGATCCAACACCTTCACCCACTTTCATCCACAGAGAGGAATTCGGCGCACAGGAGCCATATCAGCGTCCACACGACAATGCGCTCCCTCGTCTACCTGGGAACAGGAAAGATCTGCCTACAAGCAATGTCGTAGCTCGAACCGAATTCAACAGACGAAACACCTACCAAGCTCCCCTCCCAGCCCTTCCTCCAGCAGAAGAATGGACCCGCAGATCCATGCAATCCACTCCCCACGAGAGAAGCCAGAGCAGAACACGCACCCAAGCCGACTTCGAATCCCACATCACCTCCTTCAACACCGTATCCACCTCCCTCGGGCGCTCACCCTACGACGCGGCGTTGTCAGGCACCCCTACCCCGCGGAAAAGCACACCATCCTCCTCCTCCATTCGAGAAGACGAGCGCGCGAAATCCATGACCACACAACTCGCAGCCGACTCCGCCTCCGCCTTCGCTGCGAGATTCACCGTCCAGCGAACCGTGAGTGGTGAGTCCACAGGGACGGTGATCCGTTCTCGGAAGAGCTACGACTCCATCGCGAATGGGAACCCGTTTCTCGAGCCTGAAAATGTCAGTAACAGCACCAGCATCAGCAGCGGTAGTAATAGAAGTGAACGGATCCGTGGACGACCGCCTCAAGCGCACGCTAAGTTCAATAAGACGATGAAACGGCAGTCCAGTCCCGCACTGATCTCGTCGTACACGGGGACGGGGAGGAGGGAGGCGTCTCCTGCTCCTGCGGCTGGGGGTGAGCGTTTTGATTCCTGGGGATGGAATCAGGATTGTGATGCTAGTGGGATGGGGATTGGGGTTACTGGGGAGGAAGATGAGCGTAGATTCTCGACTCTTTCGTCGCTGGTGAGGAAGACGAGGTCGCCTCCGCCGGTGAGTATGACTACCCAGCGGAAAGTCACGCCTACGCCGCTTGGTGCGCATAATATCGTTCCGTTGTCGAGAACACCACCTATACCTATTTCTATGTCTGGACATGGACATGGACAAACTCATGCCGCACCAGCACCAGCCCGCGGAGGTCCTCAAATCCCAGGACATTTCACAGCTCCTCCTCACCAGAAGCGAGAAGCGGAGCCGAACCGCGGCCCGGAATGGAACTGGAACCAACCGGCGAACTTCTGGGCTGAGCGTCGTAAATCTGCTGGTGAGGCGCTGAGGGGGGTGCAGACGAGGAGGAGTATGGAGACGGAAAGGGAGATGGAAGGGAGACCTGAGTTGAAGTTGAGGGAGAGGAAGAGTATGGATGCGTATACGTACCGGCTTTTGCAAGCTTCTGCTTCTGCTTCTGCTTCTGCTTCTGCTTCTGCTTCTGCTTCTGCTTCTGCACAAGGGCGAGGGCAGGAGTCGATTCCAGCTTCAGCTCCGGGTTCGCAGCAGGAGGTGAGGGTTAGGCCGAGGAAGAGTTTGGATGGGGGTGCGGAGAGGGAGAGGGAGGGGTTTGGTTTGACTGGGAATGGGGCTGCTGCAGCACGACCGGTGTTAGGGGCGGGGTATAGGAGTTTTGATGCCAGCCAGGGCAATGGGAGCGGAAATGGGAGTGGGAATGGGAGTGGGAGTGGGAGTTCGAACGGCAGGAAAGGATGGAATGTTGGTGTGGGATATGAGAATTTCACGTATACCCCTCATCCACACGCACACCCCCACGGACATGCCAATCCACAAGCACAAGCCCACCCATCATGGGTAGATGATGGTGCGGTACGAACACGGACCACTGCGTCGTATCACTCCCAATCTCAATCTCAATCCCAGTACCAATCTCGGTACCAATCTCAAACCCAGACGCAAAACCAGACGCAAGAATACGACCACGCATACGGCACCCAGTTCTCCTCATCCTCATCCTCGCACTATAATAAAGAGAACATCCACTCTCAGGAGGAGTATTACGACCAGGCTGCTTCTCACGCCCAATATGAGCAGAACCAGTATGAGATGAATAACCACCTTCCTGAGAGAATCCACCGAAGGAAAACTTCGACGAGTGAGATGCTGGTGTTGGATCGGTTTGCTGGTGCTGGTGCTGGTGCTGGTGGGTTGGAGTATGGGTATGGGTATGGGGTGCGGGCTTGAGGGGTTGAGAGGGCTGGAGAAGATGGTAGGGGGTGGGAGTGGTGAAGATTCAGGAGGCAAGAGGTGCATTTGAGTGTTGTGCCGGTTCTGGTGCCAAGAGTTGGGAGTAGATGGAGAGGAGGAAGTTGGGAGTTTGGATGTGGGAGAGAGGATTGGTGGGAGAACAGGAGGATTGAAGATTGAGCTTTGAGCGCATATATACCCGGCGTTATTTTTGGATCTATATATATATTTCAACACTACGATCAGCAGAGTAGCAACACCATTCGGGACGATTTGACCATTTAAATTGGGGGCGCTTCAGAATATGATGGTCAGCATACGCCAGCAGAGCGAAACACAACAACAAACAGCAGCACGTATTCAGCATATGCATCCAGATTCACAGCAACATCCGCATTGGGATTGGGTATACCTACCTTCCGTCCTCTCAGCCAGGAAACAGAAAACTGGAAACAAAGTCCTTGCCTCAACTTGGACTACAGGGCGGAATATAAAGACAAGTACTTCATTGGAAGTGTAATCGCCTGAGCTCTTGGAAATTTGATATTGCGAGGATCGGAACAGAGCAAACTGGGAATTAGGAATTGGGAATTTGGGAATTTGGGATTTTGGGAATTGGGAATTTGGGAGTATACGATTTTATGACTTTACTTCTAATTTAGCGAAACCTTGGGGGAAATCTGGGGTTGTATATAAGATGGATAGCCAAGGTCAAGGCCGTGTATTTATAGATAATCGATGAGTGAGCAAAAAGGTTGAGAATAGTGAAATGATTGGTTAAAGAAAAATAAACTAAGTAACTAGTATCTTCTTTCTTTTCAATTTCAATTTTCGTATTCGGAATTCCTTACTACGTCCATCTATCTCTCCCATCTGTCCGTTCTTGTTTGTTGACTGATTAATTGATTGATTGATTGTAAGTAGATAAGTACGATATGTAAGTTGAAGAACGCCAGCTACTCTGTCTTCAAATTCTCGAGTTCTAGATTTTTAACACAGAGACATATTTATATTTGAGTTTTCATTTCGTCCTATCCTTGAGCTCGCTCCTCTCCAGATATATCCTTATGCTTCCCTGAGTCTTTAGTTTAGTAGTAGTGTATATTTTGACATTGTTGGGTGTTGGGTGTTGGTTATTTATTGCCTGAGAGAAAGTCAGAAGAGGGGTCCTTTTAACAATACATACCAGCGAAGATGCTCTACTCCTCTTTTTTAGTAAAGTGAAGCAAAGCAACGCAAGGCAGAGTAAACAACGACTGTATTGCCAGAGCCGTAGACATAGACAAGGCGAGGAAGAGAAAGAGACAGAGAGAGGTTAATTATTGAGTTTTTTTTTGGGATGGGGGGGGGGGGGGGGGGGGGGGGGGGGGGGGATAACTAGGCCATATCTATCGAAAACTCATTTCAGCTCTCTAGATCTGTAAATCTCTAAAATCGCGTTTCCGTTTCCGTTTCCGTTTTTGAAAAATAAAAAGACAAGATTCAGTATCTACCTACCTACCTACCTACCTACCATTCGGCCAACACTTCCTTACCCTACCCGAGCCACCTCCTCAAACGACGATTGATTAAGGTATCCTACAACAATCCTACGAGTAGATTTATTCATTTATATTCTCTGTTGTAATATAACACATACAAACATACAAACATACAAACATACAAACATATATATATAATAAACTAATAAGTAGTATACTAACATCACAAGGTAAGTTACCTAAAGAAGAAAAGAGAAAGCAGTGAGTAATTAAGTAAGTGAGTGAGTAAGTGAGAGTAATATAGAGTCTTTTTCTTCTTCTTTTTCTCTTCTTTTCTTATTCTTTTTATTCTTATATATACCTACAGTTCCTCTTCATCTTCGTCTTCAAATAAGATTTGAGGGTAGGGAGCTCTCTTGACTATAACTTTAACCCCCCCCCCCCCCCCCCCCCCCCCCCCCCACACACAGCCACAGCCACAGTCACAGCCACAGCCACAGCCACAGAGTCCCTCCTTTGCTTTCCCTCTTTCTCTCTTCCTTTCTTTCTCCCTTTCTTTCTGGCTTTCGTCCTTTTTTTTCTTTCTTTCTCTGTAGTTCAGGAGCAGGAGAAAAACAATTCAATGTCCATCCATCCATTTATTCGCACTATCAGAATCAAAATCCATCCCTAAATCTCGAAGAAGAAAAGAAAAAAAAAAGAAAAAAAGAGAAGCACAGAAACACTTATGCGTTAAGAACAGAAGGGGAGAGATGACCAGAGTAGATCGATGAACTGGACTGAACTGGATTGAACTGGGTATTTCACTGTATTCACGCTCCGCTAACGAAGAACAACCCCACACACGCAATCTGCTTGCTAATAGAGTAACTCCCCCCCCCTTCCTCCCTTTCCCCCTTCCCCTCCTCCCGTGTAAGTAGCTATAAAACATAACAAAAGACGCTTAAGCTATTATCATCATCATCATCATCATCATCATCATCATCAGACATTAACATACTCCCTCTCCCTGGTCGAAATCGTCATTAAAACCGCCCAACTCCCGAACTCCCCAGTCCCCAATCGTCAATCGACCCTCGATCCTTCAACCCAATGTTCCATCCGTCCGTCCGTTCAATTTTCCGTCTAATTTTCCACTACCTCTACCTCTACCTCTACCTCTACCTCTGCCACAGCTATAGCTATGGCTGGATATGTATGTATATACAATGATGAGATGAGATTCGTTTCGAGGACACACACACACACACATACATACGCACACACATGTATATTTACCAGCTATAGATAGATAGTAATACGCACATCTCCTCTCCTCCTCCTATACTGACTGGCAGGAGCAAGGCAGGGCATGCCAGGGCAGGGTATGCCGGGGCAGGGTATGCCGGGGCAGGGTATGCCGGGGTATGATTCATGGCCGGTTGTGAGGATAGGATGGGATGGGATTGAGTTGGTGCTGGTTGCTGGTTGTTGTGAGATGTGGCTGGTGTACGTGGTGTACGTGGTGTACGTGGTGTACGTGGAGACTGGATGGGGGTGTGCTTTGAATGATATGTAGGTTGGTTGGTAGGTAGTTAGGTAGGTTGGTAGGTAGGTAGGTAGGTAGGTAGGTAGGTAGGTAGGTAGGTAGGTAGGTATGTGGGTAGGTGGCGGTTTGTTCGTCGGTTTTGATCGTTTGATCGGTGGGCCGATCGACTGGATGGCTAGGATGGATAGGGGATGGATGGATGGATGGATGGATGGATGGATGGACGAGAGAGGTGACAACTTCCACTGCTTGTGTTGACGACCAGTACTCCATCTCATCTCTCTTGGTGTAGACAAAGAAGTAGTCCAGTTGATGCATGCGTCTCTGCTGGCGCATATACCTTCGGTGGAGTTTATCTGGTCCTATCCATTGCCATGGTGTGGCCGGATCCTTTCTGGTCCGTCATCTCAACGATATTCCAGCCCACAGCACAGCCAGATTTGGTAAGATCTTCCTCCCCATATCCCACCCAGGAGAATATACCAGCCAGTCTCCAAGCAAGCGATCCATCCAGCTGAATCCTCTCCTCCACCCCTCCTCGTTCACAGAAGCAGTCTTCATTCCATTCCATTCCATTCCATTCCATACCAGTCCATTCCATTCCAACCATCTCACCTCCAACCCCAACCCTCAGCAATTCATCCTCGAAGCCCACGGACTCATATTCACCTCCCTCGCCTTCTTCGCCTTCTTCTCCCTCTCCCTCTCCTCCTTCTCCGCATCTTTTCGTGCCTTCTCAAGAAACTCCATGTAATCGTTACTCACGGCGCCGTGGTCCTCTTCTTCATCTCCATCTCCTTCTTCTTCCCACTTCACGACCTTTTCCCGAGCAGGAGGACTTGGTGATTGTGTGTGGCCTGGCGATAGAGGTGGTGAGATGATGACTTCGGGGATTTTGGAGGAGGAGGAGGAGGAGGTGGTGTGTTTTTGATGTGGTGGGTGTTGTTGGGTGGATGAGGAGGAGAGGATGCGGGTTAGTACTGTTGAGGCGTTTTTGGTGCTTTTGGTGGTGGAGGTTGAGGAGGAGGATTTGGAGCGCGAGCGGAGGGATTTGAAGAACATTTTGTGGGGTGGGGGTGGGGGTTGATGGATTGTGGTGTTGGTGGGTTGATGTGGTGTTAAAATTGTATGGTGAGTGGTAGGTGAGTATGGTACGAGAGTCGCACAGGAGAGTCGCGAGGGGGAAGTCGCAGATGGAAAGAGCTGGCTGGCTGGTGGGTTTCTTATTCGAGGTTGGGAGAATTCGCAGAGGGAAATCGAAGGTGGCTCTTGGATGGTGAGTAGGTATTTGAGGTTCGCAGAAGAGAAGAAATGGAGTCGCTGATGGGTGGGGTGGTTTGGTGCGAGGTAGGAGTTTGTGTTGTTTGTTGAATTAACAGATGTCGATATCCCGCAGGAGAGATGCGAAAGAGAACCTATATTTCTAATAGAATCGGCTCCGTTGTCGCTTTCGCATTATGTTATTCTGTGTTCATCGACCCTTGCCTCGATAAATGCCTTCTGGTCTGATCAGGTCAGATCAGGTACACTGAGAATACCTCCCGTCCTCTCACTCGACTCGACTCGACTCGACTCGACTCAACCCCGCGATACACAAGGCTACAATCCTCACTCTCAAAGCTTTTGTCAGCCTTGCATTAGCAGATGGTACCTCGGGTGGTTTCGAAACAGTAATGCTTGATTGATGCTTGATGATGTCGATTTTCCGAAATAGCTTCAATGACGTGCTCTGGATGAGTACCGATTGATTCGTAGGAAAATGTCTGTCAATCAATCATTATTCAAGGATGATGCGAGGGCGGATGCGGATGCGGATGCGAACAGACGAAAAGTAAAAAAGCAAAAGGGAAAAAGGAAAAGGCCTGGGCGAGCGGCGGGGGCGACCGGGGTTCTTTATCAGTGGAACTGAGTCTGGGTCTGGCCCGCCCCGATACAGTAGGTAGGAGGGTGGGTGTTGGATGACAGGCCATTAATGCTGGGGGTGGGGTGATGCGTTGCTGTTTTGGGGGTGTGGTGGCGTGCTGTGCTGTCCTGACGAAGCAAAAGGCCCAATCGTTCAGTGGATGGATGTCGCTCTGAGAACATTCTGGTTTGGACCTGTGATAGCATACCTCCGAACCTAAGGTAGGAAGCATGAGGCGTAAATTCTGCATTAGTAGGTTATGACCTCTTAAATTCTGTTCCTGTCGTCGCCGTTGGATGAAGGGGCCTGAGACTGTAGAAGGAAGCCTGAAGTACCTCCGTAGAGATGGTGAAAACCGAAAACTGGATTCCAGTCCAGAAGCGAGGGGCGTGGATGGTGGTGGTCTAGACTTTGCTGGGAACTTGAAGTGCTGGGAGCCCGAAGTGCTGGTTGCAGGGATGGGAATGGGGTTTGAGAGGAGAGGGGGTGGTTGCGATAAGCTTTTAGCTTGGGATGAGTTTTTGGACTCGGATTCTTACCTGAGATGGAGAGCGTTTCGTGAGATCTAATGGATATTCCACTGGGAAATAGTGTGAGGAGATATTCAGGCTGGGAAGTAGATAATACACAACTTTTGAAAGGAGGAAGGGGGGGCAATATCAATTATCGCAGAGCACAACTGTGCATGCACACAGAAGTTGCCTGTCTGGCAGTAACGAAGTAACGTGACATTCATTCCGAGTTGCCAGGCCAGGCTGAATTCTACTACAAACAATTGATGTCGAATTAGTGCAAAGTTTCATAAGCCTCTCGATCCTGGCATCTAAATGGTATCAATAATATTCCGAATGTACTCAAGTAGTATTAGGAGGCCGTTGAAGTTATTCCGATTCTTTCTCTCTCGCTTGCTCTCAACACAGTAATGCACTTCATAGTCCATTCAGATACCATTTCCTCTCCAACTTCCTCCAACCAACACTCAATGCGAACAAATATTTCACTAAACCGCACTATAGACGCCACTATACTTTAGTGAAGTAAGCCTTTCGACTTTAAAGCAAGCCTTCATCCACAAGAATTGCGGATCATGGTATTCGAGAAATCTGATTTGACGACCGGACCAGCATCAAGCTCAATTGAAGCCAACACTGAACATCTGTACCCGCTCTCGCCCGCATGAATAATCAATTCCAGTCCGACAAACTTAGTTTAGGAAATTGTAGCATCGGAAGCATCTCCAGATGATTTGTGTATATTATTCGCCTCCAGCAAAACATTGATTGACTTTTCCCTATCCAAATCAAGTCATCACAACTGCATCGAGCTGCAGTGCAGTAGTGCAGTACAGTAAAAATCGCTACTGTAAGCGAAAGCTGCAACACTACCCGCTATCATATCCAATCGCCATTATTGTCAACCCGCCCAAGACTCCAAGAGGCTGGCAATCGATTATTCGATAGATCGTTCATCCCTGAACCCAGTGCCCACAGCCCTGTACAAACCAATCACAGCCCTGCAAACAGCCCCTGTCCATCTCAGCTCCAGACCATCAAGCCCGTTGTTGGGTTCGCGGTCTGGGGCGGCCCACCCGAAGCTAGAGAACGGCTGCACCTCCACCTCCCCATCCACATCCACCTCCAAGTTCGAGGAGGCGTCAGTAGCTTCTCCTTCTCTACTCCACTCCACTCCTCGACATATCTTCAATCATGCCGTTTATATTTTCAATAATAATCGCTGCATCTGCATGCTCGACCCCACTGCAATGACCGGTCCCGATACCGTGCTGGATGGGGTCGTGGGGTTACTGAGGCGGGAGCTTGGCCTGGTGAGTGTACCTTATCTCACATACCTGCCTGATTTTAGTTCTTCCGTTCCATTGAATTCGGCGGGGCGAGAGAGTCAACCAGTTCATCCAAACTCCAACTCCAACCCCAACGCTGACATCTCCTCTTTGCCTCCCAGAACGCATCAGATCCTCGAGTCGGCTCCGCGCGCGACAATTCCACTGCGACGAACGTCAAGAAGCTAGTCGAGCCAACCAACTCCGCTTCCTTCGCGGCGCTGTTCTCGACGCTCGTCCCGGTCCTGGTGTATGCGGCGATATGTCTGTCCTTGTTCATTGTGGGGAGGAAGTTCTTCCCCAGGGTGTATTATCCCCGGACGTTTCTGAGCAGTCTTGCGCCGCAGTATGTTTCTGCCCTACAAATTGATCCCGGAGTTGAATGGCATGGCTGACGGGAATGAATAGTGAACGCTCGAAAGCTCTACCGGATGGATGGTTCAATTGGATAATCCCGTTTTGGAAGACGCCTGATATTGAGATTCTGAATCATGCCTCGCTGGATGGGTTCTTGTTTCTGCGGTATATCAAGATGCTTACTGTTATTTGCATAGTGGGATGCTGTGTTACTTGGCCGGTTCTGTTCCCGATTCATGTTTATGGTGGGGGAGGGACTAAGGAGTTGGATATGTTGACGTTTGGAAATGTGAAACATACGAGTTGGTTGTGGGCACATGCTATGGTTGGTTGGGTGTATTTTGGTAAGTTGGATCTGATGCTGAAGAAAGTAGGCTAACAAACCAGGATTTATTCTATACCTGGTCGCTAGAGAATCAGTCTACTTTATCAACCTCCGACAAGCATACCTTCTCTCACCCCACTACGCCAATCGCCTCTCTTCCCGAACCGTCCTCTTCACATGCGTTCCGAACCAAGTTCTCGACGAGAAGAAACTCCGTCGCATCTTTGGCGAAAGCGTGAAGAATATCTGGATCCCAAGAGACACAGATGATCTCGACGATCTCGTCAAGGAGAGAGAACAGACGGCTGATCGACTGGAAAGAGCCGAGATTGAACTCATCAAGAAAGCAACAGCCGCATACAAAAAAGCCGTCAAGAATGGCCATCCAAATATCGAAGTTTTGTCACAGACACCATCACCTAGAGGATCAGGCGAGAAGACCGAACCGAAAACAGTGGATATCTCGGTCCGGAGCAGATCTCCCACCTCTTCAAACCAACCTCAGTCCCCCGACGCAATCACCAGCCCAACATCCACCTCGTCTTTCCCCACCAACTCAGCACCTTTCACCTACTCCCCTCCACCCGACATCAACGGCTCCTTCGCCGCACAATGGATCCCCGCCAGCCAGCGGCCCTCCCACCGACCCATCGCCAACTACGGCCGCCGAGTCGACACCATAAAATGGACGCGCAACCAACTCAAGAAATTAGCTCCGGAAATCAACAAGCTGAGAAGGGAATACAGGAAGGGGAAACCGCGACCGATTCCAGCTGCGTTTGTGGAGTTCCAGACGCAGAGCGATGCCCAGATTGCGTATCAGACGCTGGCGCACCATAGGGCGAATCATATGCAGGCGGAGATTGTGGGGATTGTGCCAGAGGAGATTGTGTGGGATAGTATGTATTTCCCGTGGTGGCAGAGGATTATTAGGAGGTTTGTGATACAGGGGTTTGTAGTTGCGATGGTTATCTTTTGGTGAGTCTTTTCGCGAGAGCTTGGGAAAAGAGATTCCGAATAATCGTCTACCTGCCGGCGGAGAATGGTACTGACATGACGTCTAGGGCCATTCCAGCTGCTATTGTTGGCATGGTATCCAATATCAAGGATATCACTGAAAAATTAACTTTCCTAGCATGGATTAATGACCTGCCAAAAGTCGTACTTGGTCTTATTCAAGGACTTCTCCCCGCTGTAGCTCTCTCAATGCTCATGGCCATTGTTCCAATGATAATGAGAGGTAAGCCTATTTACTTGAAAACCCAATTCTTGTCTCACTTTTATAAATTCTCACCTCTATTGATCCACTTCTAACTCTTAGCAGCCTGCGCTCGTCAAGCCGGCGTAGCAACCCAATCCCGAATCGAACTCTTCGTCCAGAACTCCTACTTCCTCTTCCAAGTCCTACAAGTCTTCCTCGTCACAACACTCACCTCGACCGTCGCCTCAGCCTTCACAGATCTAATCAAGAACCCAATGGGAGTCCGCAAACTGCTCTCCACGGCTTTACCAAAAGCGAGTAATTTCTACATCAGCTATTTCATCCTGCAGGGTCTGGCAATGAGTGCGACTAGGATCGTGCATCTGGGTGGATTGATTAGACATCAGTTGTTGCGGTGGGCGGGGGGACGACCGAGGATTATAGCGAGGAGGTATCATCGTTTGAGGAAGATTCATTGGGGGAGTGTGTTTCCGATGTTTACTAATATGGGGGTAATTGGTTCGTCTATTTACTTTTCCCCTTGTCCCAACATCGATTGTGCTGTAAATCTCGGTCTCTTGCAAAGAAATGCAATCATAAGTACCCAGCTAACCACCCCACAGCAATAACATACTCCCTCATCGCCCCCCTAATCCTCGGCGTCGCCACCCTCTGTCTCTCCCTCGTCTACCTAACCTACAAATACAACCTCCTCTACCTCTACTCCTCCTCCCCGGACTCAAGAGGAATATTCTACCCGCGAGCTCTCAAACAAACTCTCACAGGCGTCTACCTCGCCGAAATCTGCATGGTCGGACTCTTCGGTCTAAAAGGCGCATATGGACCTCTGGTTGTGACATTCGGACTAGTCATCTTCACCACGCTCGTGCACGTAAGTTTGAACGCGGCGTTAAGCCCTTTGTTGTTCAATCTACCCCGGACGCTGGCGGTGGAAGAGGAGTTGAGGAGGATGGGGAATCCGCCTTTCTTAGCGGAAGTGTTCAGTGATATGAATGATCCCATGCACGACGGTGACGAGGAAGCAAAACTCGAAGACGCAGATACACATCACCACCCTGCCGATACAGGATACGACTCGGATTTCGACCCTTCGCAACCAAACTCGTCCCCCTCCCACGGCGACCAAACCTCCCGCTCCCTCCCAGGCGCACCAGAAGGCACCTCCCGCATCATCACCCTCTCCCACCGCACCCTCCGCTCCCACCTCTCAAAAGCATACCACTCCTCCCCGCTCCCCTCCCTAATTTCCCATCTCGACTTCTGGACTTACTGGATCACACCTCCACCCACGACTAAACCAAACTTCCTCCTCGCCTTCCTCCACCCGGAAATCTTCGCCGATTATCATATCCTCCGCAGTCAGATCCCAGAGGATGTCGCCTCGACGGGGGAGGAGATCCAGGATGCGTATACGGCGGAGGTGTTGAAGGATGCGTATTCTCCGCCGGCGATGCGGAAGAGGACCCCCAGGATTTGGATCCCGAGGGATGGGGTGGGGTTGGGGGGTGGTGGTGGGGTGAGTGGGCAGGAGGTTAGGCATTGTAATGGTGATGGTGGGGGAGGGGTAGGAGGAGGAGGAGGGAGTGGGAGTGGGAGTGGAGTCGAGTGTAGAGAGGAGGAGGCGTGGTTGGATGAGAGGACGGGGCAGGTTAGGTGTGAGTTGGAGGGGGGTGTGGTGGAGGAGTGGTGTTTGGAGAGGGGGGAGAGGGTGAGGTTTTGATTTTTGGTTTTGGTTTTGCGTGAGTGGGCTGTAAATACTTGTTGTTGTTGTTGTGAAGAGAAGTGCTGAAGAGAGAGTAGGGGGAGGGCAAGCGAAGGTATGAAGGGAGAGATGTCACATATAGGAGGGAGAAGACACGATATCATGACATGACATGACATGATCCAAAGTACGTACGTACGAGATAGTTGAGTAATAAGCGAAACTGAGCGATTTTAGCGAGCGGTTTAGTTTCGGCGACTTGATTTGATTTGATTTGTTCTGATTTTGATTTGATTTCAATCCAGCCTAGTTCTGCTTGGCCTGGAGGCGTTGGAATAAGCGAGATTTACATTTACCTTCTGCAATCTACCTACTTGTGTACATAGTATAATAGGAGATGAGATGAGATGAGATGAGATGATATCCCAGGGTAGGTAGCAATTACAATACAGCACTGATTGCAATACACCACGGAATGGAATGGAACAAAATGAAATTAAACGAAAAGGGAAAATAACCTTTTTCAATACCTGTATCACTCCTCTTACTTAGAGAGAGAGAGGCGAGAGAGAGAGGCGAGAGAGAGAGGCGAGAGAGAGAGAGGGAGTGTAATCGTCAGCTGACCAGCGGTGGGCTTCCTAAAATCGCTCTCGCTACGATTATGTTAATTTTTTTTTTTTTAAAAAAAAAAAAAAAAGGGATGAAATAAATAGATAAAGAGGATGTAGATGAAATGAAATTGATGATTCTTCTTCTTCTTATTTGGCGTGGCTAGGGAGGAAAGGGGAGGGAGAGAAGGACTGGATGGGAGAGGACAGGACAGGATGGGATGGGATGGGATGGAATAGGATGTAAGTATAGATAGGTACTTTTCTTAGGTAGATACTTACAGAGCATATTTACAGAGGATACGTAGATAAGTGTGTGAGAAAGAGAAAGAGAAAGAGAAAGAGGAAGTGGAAGGGAAAGGGGAAGGGGAAGGGGAAGGGGAAGAACCAAGAATTCTGATTATGATTTTTGGGCGAGGTTTGTTTTTGTGAGATACTAAGACCCAAAACAAACACCTAGCTTGGGCTTGGGGTCTGGGTTGAGATTGTGCAGAAGGAAAGAACTTCAGGACTGAGATAGAGAGAGAGAGAGAGAGGGGGAGAGATAGAGATATGGATATATGAATAGTTACAAGTAATTTTGGGGATAGAGAAGATGGAATATCCAGAGGCTGCTTTGAGTTATATTTTCTTCTTCTAGGATAGGTTTGAGGGAGGGTATGTTTGTGAGAGTGAGAGTGAGAGTGATATTGAAACACAGTGTTGTGATATTGCAATTACAAGTTTGGAGATGAGGATGAGAAATGTAGATGTGGATGAGTATCAGGAAAAGAGATATATATGAGCTGTAATTGTATTATGTATCGTGGATCGTGAAAAGGATATAGAAGGAGTTCTTTAATTTCACTTTTTGAGGTAAGAAAGAAGCCGGTGGTTAGTTAGTTAGTTGAGCTGTTGAGAAGATGAAAACTAAATCCAACATTGCGCAACATCATGGCTAGGGATTGATATATATGTGTAAGGTAAGATATACAGGAAGGCGAACAGACCGGAACCGCGCTCGGAAAAGGAATTAAGGAGATAGAGGAGACTAGAATCAGACCGCGGTTCTTATACTCATTGATCTATGTCCAGGCCAGGGCAGGCTCAGCGAACCACTTCGATCCAACCCAATCCGGCTCAACACCTTCCCTAACCCCCCTCCTCCTCCAATCGTCCTTTACGAAGCCCAAATCCAGACCTCGATCAAAATCAAAACACCAACTCCAACTCTACAGCCACAGAACAAAAGAACCTAGTAGCCAAAGCGGGGGCGGGGGATGCAGTACCATCCATCAACATCAACATCAACACCACCCAGTGCTGGCAATTACCAACTGAACTGGCTAACATAACGAGAATAGAAAAATTGAAGTCACCTCACCTCACCTCACCTCAAAGGAAATAAAAAAACAGTGAGCTCAGCTCCATCTTAACTTACTGGGCGCGCCCTCTATGGTTCCGCACAATTGATCTATCAATAAATCAAATAAATCAATAAATCAATCAACAACCCGACTCGTTAATGACTGTACTTGCTCGAGTAGCGGCTAGGTAGCTGTCGGTCCCTTATGAAGGGCAAGAGTTGAAAGTGGAGGAGGAGTGGAGCCTCGCTCGTGTGGTAATAGCAAGGTAGTAAGTATCGAGGTAGGAATAGAGTATCCAGTACTTTGGTACGTACTAGAGCAGATAAGACGGGAAAAGTAGGGATGGTGTTGTGGTGCGGAGGTGCGAAGGAAAATAAGAGAGTGGGAGCAAGAGTAAGAGAAAGAGCAATTGCTGGGATAGGAGAGAGACACGGTGCAGGATGTGGATGAAGATTCGTATATTCATTAATTACCAGACCTAGTCCCGCGATATAAAAGTGATATCTGGCTTCTTTCCCCAGTCCGTAGTTTCTTTCCATCTCGTTTATGGCAATGTTTACCTTGTGTTTATGCGGTTCCCTCCTGGAGAAAAAGCCAATTAGCTACGGTTCGGGAAGGGAAGGTGTCGAATGGGAAGGGGAAGTGGAAAGGGAAGGGATGTGTACCTTTCTCTGTCCAACGAAGAATCCTAATCCGAAAGATTCGGTTGTGAATGTGATTTTGCTCCCTTTTGGGACTGTATGTTGTCAGTTCAGAGTCCTCAATCATGGAAACCACCACACCCATCCACTACCATTCAATCCAATTATCTCCCTCCTACTCTCCCTCCAAACAAACCAAGACCACAGCACAAAAATTCCACTCACAATAAAATACATCCCCCTTAACAGCATGCACCTTCTGGCCCGTCTCATCACTGATATCAAACTCCCCATCAACAATGATCTTCATCTCATGATACGTATACTCGTAGACCAGCGGCGTGCCCTTCTCCAATCTGTAGAAACCTGCTGAGATGGGGGCTGTTGCGTCTGTGGATGTGGCTACGTCACCGAGGTAGGCGTTCTCATTTGCGATCAAGGGAGGTTTGAAGGATGTTTGGGCGCCGGCTAGGTGTGTGAAGGCGGACATTTTGGGTTCGTTTGAGGTGGTGGTGGTGGTGGTGGGTTTGGAAGGGGAGGAGGAGGATTTGGCTTTGGTTTTGCTGAGGAGGGAGCCCATGTTAGCTTTGGAGGGAGGGTGGAGGAGTCTATGGATGGTGTGGTAGGGAGTTCGTGGAGGTAATGCAATTGAATAGAGCAGACTTGAAATAGAATCGAGGGGAGAGGTGCACAGGGCAGAGAGAATTATACATACCAGTTTATCAAGAGTACCACTTTTGGTCTTCGCCGTGATCGCTATCAATCGCAATCTGAATCGTGCAAGATAGAAAGAGGCTGTAGATATACAGACCAGGAAATCTTTCCCTTCCAGATACGACCAGCTACCACTGCCACTTATATAGCTACCTCTTACACGTCTGCCGTCAGCAAGAACATGATGACTACCCCTCTATAGCAAGACAACCCCTCATTCGAGAGCCGCATGTTGAGGAGCTGGACTGTATTGCTGTTTTGGGAGGGAGGGGTGGGAGGTGACTGGTTGGCCTTGTCGGGTCGGGGTTCTGGCTGTCCACTCTTGTAGGTTGTGCCCGGCTCTACTCCATGGTCCTGGTATGTAATGCTCTGTCGCTGGAGGGATATGCAATGCAAGAACTGGTTGTCCTAGTTCGGTCGATACGTGGGGTGCGAGGTATCGTGCCAGTAGATTGGAGAGGTATCGGGCGGCCTCCCCGCCGATAGGAGCTATTGTACTTCGCGGTTTCGTATTTGGGAGCCCTGCAGATTAGAGCTCTATAACTTGGCATCTGTATCATCCAATACAAGATCACTGTTGTATACAAGAAGTTCTTGCATAGGCTACTGCCTTTCTCCAGACCAGTACTTGCCTCTGTAACTTACCTCCAGCTTACCATGCTCACTCTTAGCCATCAAGGGATGGCTAGATACGCACGTAACACAGCCCTCGAATAGTCTCAAATCGAGATACGCATCTGCAGCCAGGCCCTCATAGTATTGGAGAAGCCCATGTCCCTGGGCTATTGTAGCGGCCGCGATAAGGATGTTGTGAAGGAAGTTTTGCCTGGATGCGGTTAAAATGTTGATACGGAGGTCCCCACTTTTGATGTTTGCGCTGTTTGCACGCGGGGTTCAAAACAGCGACGGGATTCTTAGGTTGTGGAGTGATTTGACTGCAGGGAATCTGATAGATGGATGGATGGATGTAATTCGGTGATTCGGTATCGGGAATGTTAGTAATAATGTGTTGTATTTTGCTTTGAATAACTTCTAGGGCGGCTGAGGGCATGGGCAGTGTAAGCAGGGTTGTTCACGCCAACCTCAGAGCTGGAACTGCTAGCGCGGGGTACTGATTGCCCCGCCAAGTTCAAAGACCAGTATAGTATAGAAAGTCCCGACCCAACGCTCAGAAGTCTCTGAGTCATTGTTTACAATATTCGCTTGCCTCTGGGTGTCTACGGATGATAAAAGTGAGGCGTGTGTGGGCTCAAAACCTGCAGCTAGATCTCCAAGGCTGTTGGTCGTCTGATTGGTAAGGGCAGGGAGGGCGATTGGGAGCCAGCTTTCTCTCCATGCCTTACTCAGTACCGAGCAGAACAAGAAAGAGTGATGTTAGATCATAAATGAAGACCGAGCTCTTTCCAAGAGTTGAAGTTTTAAAATATAGATGTATCCCTGGGAATATAATATTTATACATTGCAGCTCATCGTATGGACCGGAGAGTGGAGTGGCTCCAGTTTCATCCTGCTCCAAGCGAAACCCACAACAATCTCCACCTTTCCCATCCCCAAAAATTTCCCTTCCACTACCTCCTATAGTTAACTAAATAAGCAAAACCAATCACAAATCACGAGTGATTCGCCTCACTCAAGACCTCTTGAAATATCATAATTCAAGATCAACCCTCGGTCGTCTAGTTGGTTTATGGCGTCGGACTGTAATGGTTATTCAGTTTCATCCGAATGTCGCGCGTAAGTGCATCCAACTATGAAATACTTTCTCTCAGACAGCTGTTAACAGTTGTATAGGTTCGACTCGCGCCTGAGGGACAAATCATTTTTTGCTTTTTTTTTGTTCATTCATTTGTATGCGAGTTAGAAGGGGATTGATTGACATGGAGAACAGCGAAGAGTCATTCAAAGAAGGTAAGCGAGACGTCTTTGTGTGATGAATGAATATGTGGGTCGTTAGGGCAGATCATACACTTTGGGATTAGAAGCCCAAAACAGCTTTTATCTATCTCAGAAGACTTCAATCTGTTCATACTTTTCCTGTGAAAGCATTACCAGGTAGACATTGAAAGAAAAGTTGACTTGTTCTCTTGATTCGCATGCTCCTCTGGAATGCTAGCCGATATCGAGCGAGTGACACTCCTGTTGCCCAACTTAGATCTCTCGTCAAATATTTGACCAGAATCATCAAATTCTTATAAAGTGTACCTCTGCCTAGGTTGTATCATTTATTTTGGTCTTTTATTGCTGTAGCTGATCTGGCCGCCGTTCTCAGTTGTCAATGTGACGCTAGCTGGTAACTATCTAGCATCGAGCCTTCCTCTACAAGCACTTCCAAGCCGTCTAATGCTACTGAGTATCGCCTTGCACTAATGCTCTACCAAACCTTTGATTTCCCCCTATGAAATTCATCACAGGCTTCATTCACATTCACATTCTGAATGTGATGATTCACGAACCCACCACGTGACATCACACGACCTCACTCCTGACCTCATCTCATCGCTTCAGTACCTACTCCACAACAGCCACACATACCTAGGTATGTACAGCACAACACCACTCCACCACTCCACCACTCCACCAGCCATGAGACCATCACCAATATTCTCACCCTCCTCCTCCATCCCCTCGACCCAATCTCCATCCCTCCCTCAGCCCCAACCCCAACCCCTCCCCCTAACCACCTTCCCCCTCTTCCCCCGCCTCCCCACCGAACTCCAACTCAAAATCCTCCACCACTGCACCCATCTCGCCCCCCGCAACATCGACATCTGGACATCCTGGAAAAGGTGCTCTCACTCCAACACAATCTTCTACATCCAGCAATACAGCTCCTTACTATCAGCGAGCGCTTCAGTCGCCCCGGTATTATTGTCTGTGTCGAAGGATGCGAGGAGGGAGTGTTTGGCTGTGGTGGGGAGGGAGTTTGAGAGTGTGATGAGTGTTTCTGTTGCGAAAAGGGGAGGGGGTGATTTAGGGAGTGGGAGTGGAAGCGGGTGTGAGAGGGGAAGAGAGGTGGGGAGTGAGGTTGAGGTTGTGGGTGAGTTTGAGAGTGAGGATGGAGGGAAAGGGAGAGGGAAAAGAAAGCGAAAAGGGGAAGGGAGCGGCAAAAGATATGCAGAGGTTCAACCTCGTATGGAAATTGAGAGCGAAGATTCCACCCAATCCATCATCACAGCCACCCTCCCCCCAACACTATTCCTCAACTACCAAATTGACACGCTCATCCCCCGCGGTTTCTGGAACCTAGTATCCTTCTCCGACTTCACGACTCGGATCTCATTTCTCGGTCATCAATCCATCGCAATTGATGTCTCGGGCTGTTTCTGGAGAGAGAATCTAAGGGATTATTGTAGGAGGAGGTGTTGGGTGCTGAATGGGGTGGGGGAAGTATTGGTTTATGATGGTAGGGAGTCGAGGAAGGGGATACTGAAGGAGAGCGATAATTTGGAGATGTTTAGAGAGAGGGTGGTGAGCGAAAATTTGGCGGGGAGTGTGGAGATGAGGTTTGTGGATTTGGATTTGGATTTGGATTTGGATTTGGATTTGAACATTTCTGATTTGAAATCGAAGGGGGAGGGTGCGGGGGAAGTTGAGGGAGATGCAGTTGCAGGCGCCAACGAGGGATACAGGGAAGTCAAGGACGTGGCGAGGTTTTTGAACAAGGTCTTTGATGTCATTGAGAACGACGTGGATGTCGAAGGGGACGAAGAGTTTGGAACTGTAAGGAAAGCAGAATTCGTTTCCATGGAACCTACGGAGAAGAGCGAGTTCAGGAGGCCGGTGGTTAGGCTGGTGAGGTTGGTTACTGAGCCGGTTGGGAAGACTGTTTAAGTATTGGTGTTGGACTTTAAGGTTGGATTGTAGCATTATTTGGAGCTTTGGGAGCGGGATATTATTATGCACGGATTTTGGTATAGTTAATCGTGGTTGAATTGCTTGGCAAGCATGGTGTTTGGACTCAATCCAAAGGCTACATACACTTATCGTATGTAGCATCTGCTACCGAATTTTCAAGCACTGAGCGAATGCCATGCATTTCTTTCGCTGGTCGGTTCCAGTCACTTGAAAAATGCCAGAAACGATCATTTACGATCTTCACTAAACTTGACTAAGATTATTCCCGCAGCCTTTCACGTAAGACGGGACGACTTCCATTCCGCCTGATACTGTTCTTCAACCACAAACAAAATTCGCGCACGCGAAAAATACCGCATGGCAAAGTTACAACTATCTAAGTGAATGTAAGACTCCAATCGCTTCCTCGAGCTGCCGCCATTTGGAGCTTAAATTCCATTTCCTGTTAAATATTCCATCTCTTGCTCAAAATCTACTTTTCCAAGCGCTCAGCTCAACAACTATTTACAAATCGCTCTAATCTACCCCAAACATCGAAATTGTATTTCGTACCAAATCAATTACGGAAACTTCGGCAATATACCCATGAGCCAAGACATGTCCACCACTTCACCGATCACTCAGCCCTCACAATCTATTCCGAAATTCACATCGGTAAACCCGTCTCAGAACTCTGGCGTGGCGAAATACTACAACAGCATCTCCACCACGGAACACTCCCGCCTGATAACCAACCGCGTCGAATTCGAGATCTCTCTCCGCACTATACTTGCGCATCTCCCAAAAAGCAAGGAAGGACAAGGATTGAAAATAGCTGATATAGGCGGAGGGACGGGACGATATGGTATGTTCTCTCTATTCTTTTGTGTGTTCTTACAATCTGATTATCTATCTTTGTCCTTATTCAGATATGATCTGTTACATTCTGTTTTGTTTCTGCTCTGAAGGAGAATACAGAAATTACGCTCATGTTCCCTGGTGTGAACTTGTGTAACAAACTTCTTTCCTTGGTATCCTTGCTTCTCTCTCGTGCTGTATGCATGCGTAGTGTGCATAAAGTCCGTATGTCCATAACGATGAATAACTAACTAACATTCCCCTCCTTTCATCTCCAGCCGTTCAACTCGCCAAACTAGGCCACCAAATCACACTCCTCGACATCTCACACTCCGAACTCGACCTCGCAGCCCAACATGCCCAAGACTCGGGCGTAGTTCTAGATGGTATCTACCACGCCGATGCCTCTGCACTTTTCGAGACCTGTCCCGCTCTACTTTCTCAAATCGGAACGTTTGACGCCGTTCTTCTCCTCGGGCCTTTGTATCATTTACTTCAAGAGGAGGAGAGGGTAGCAGCGCTGAGAGATGCGGGGAAACTTCTCAAACCCCTTCAGGTAGTGTTGAGGATGGAGAGGAGGGAGAGAAGGAGGGTGGTGTCTTATTCGCAGCATTCCTCACGACGTTTGGCCATTTGAGGGGTGTTGCGAGGAATGATCCAGGACGATTAAGTAGGGAGAGGGAGTTTTATGGGGGTTATCTTGGGCTTGGGGATGGTTTTTGGGGTGGAGATGGTGAGGGAAAGGGAAAGGGAGAGGGCGAGGGTGAGGGTGGAGGAGATGATGGTGGGAGTAAGAAGCGGAGGTATACGAGGAGGAGGGATGAGGGGGTTGTGAGTTATCATTTACATCCTGGTGAGATTGAGGGGTTATTTTCGAAGGTTGAAATTCCTCCTCCGCACTTCACACAGGCACAAGCGCAATCCTCGTCGGAAGCCAGGGTAGAGAATACCGGGGAGAACTCCCTAGGATTGGAAATACAGAAAATCGTCGCTTGCGAGAGTTTCCTTGGTGCAGACATAGCGGGGAAATTGAATGGGTTGGAAGAGGAGGAGTGGAATGCTTGGATGGATGTTTTGGTGAGGTTTGCGGGGGATGAGTGTGTGGTGGGGGCGAGTGAGCATTTGCTTGTTGTTGCAAGATTGGGTCAGGTTGAGTGATTCAGGGAAGGGAGAAGTGGGGAAGGGAAAGAGGCAAGAGGGCGAGTCAGGAGAGAAGTACTCTATGTATGAATGTACAACAAATTTCGAAGTGAGGGAGATTTTGTTCGGACTGTAGGATACCGACTTGAGTGGTACAGTAAGAACAGATGCGAATACTTCATGCTCATCACTTCCACTGCCTTGAGAGAATAACTTCATGCCTCAAAGAGCATATTTCAGCTGAATATCAATGCTTTTCTTTGGTACAACTGATTATCATCCCGTGAAAATCCTCAAGTCCAAGAACCCATCAAGCAATAAGCCATGCAAGTCCATACCAGCGAGTCAACACTCCAACCCCTTACTTGGCGTTCTTGACAGCATTGGCAAGATCGGCCAATGCCTCGCGACGCTTGAACTTGGCATCCTCGATGACGCCTACTTCCGGTCAGCTTCATCCTTTTCCCAGTTGAGACTCAAGAGGCGTATGAGGAAGCGGGGCGGGTGGGGAGAACAGAGAAAAGGCATACCGGCATCAGCATCACTAGAAAAGTGAGCAGTCCATTGAACGAAACTCTGGCCTTCATGACGACCCGAAGTGATTGGGAAGCAGCGGATAGTGCTCAGGACAGAAGAGTAGGTGAGTTGAGGTTGAGCGGTGATGACCGAGTAGGTGATATAGTGGTCGATGGACTTTGAAGCCATATCAGCAAAATTCATCTCAGTGCACACCCAACCCATCCAACAAAGTCCTTTTCAATACCACCTCAAGGATATATATCAAGGTGAAGTAAACACTTGGTAAAGGAGAGTGCAGTGCTAAAACTCACAGAATGCTCCTCCTGCTTAACCTCCAACACCTGCCCATCCTTAAAAGTCCACTTCACCACATCAGTATCTGGCGAAACGCCCTTGACGGTCTCGCTCTTCTCCAGAGCAGACCAGAAGTCAGCGAAGTTCTCGAGCTTGATCATGTGCCAGACATGGCTGAATGTTGCGGAGACGACGGCGGATTCCGTGACGGTAGTGGAGGTGGGGATGCGGGAGGCCATTGTGTTGGTGGAGGAGTGATTTGATTTGGTGGAGGGGGATTGGTGTTGTGTTTGTCTGTTTTGGTGGTGATGTTGAGTTTGTAATGTTGTTGGTGTTGATGAAGTCAAGGGGAGGGGAAGAGAAGGAGGGGTAGAGAAATGAAAATATGGAGGGGTAAAATTGTGCTTTTATGACGTCATCAGCGCGAGGGCGTGTATTTATGAATGGGCAGTTGCGTTATCTCCAACATTCAGCATTTTAGAATAACGTCGTCCAAACTTAGCATTCTTGAATCATATAAGCCCAAAGTCAGATTGGTCACAGGGAATATGCCGAAAAGTGGAACGGGTGGTGGTAGGCTGCCACAGGGTTCGTTTTGCGCATTGGAGCCCTAAACTCAAGCTAGATACAGGCATGGACCGCTGGGATCTGGCGCCAATGGAGATAACAGGCCGCTAAATTTCAGGTCCCAGCCCCTGTAGAGTGGGGTGCAAACAGCTAAATGGTCTGGATTGGAAATAATAGCCATCACTTCAACGCGACTAAAATTTCAAGTGCTGTTGGAACTCATGGAATAAACGACTAAGAGAATCTCAAAACAGAATATCTTGGTCCAATTCCCAGACATAATTACCGAGTAGAGCATATTGAAATGACTTCTTAGCCAGCATCCGGAAAATTGCCTGCATCTCATCGTGAATTTGGAGGAGAGTCACATATCTTGGAGACCAGCCAAGACAGCTTGCAGCATTTGAAACTCTTGAAAATGATCAGACTGAGACTCATCATCGCCAGCTCCAGAGACAGCCCATGCGTATGGACCTAACATAACAAACGACATGAACCCGAAGGCTAGGTCATTCTCAACAATGCACCAGTCCGCCTCTTCTACAAACGCCAGCAAAACCAATGCCTAAAAAATAGTGAGTTCATCCTCTCCCTCAAGTCCATTTCGACACATCATGCTGAAGCTTCCTCGGAAAAATCGTCCCCCCACTTTCATGGCATGAACTCTGCTCGTCGACAGAAGCAGAAGAGCTGATCTCGATGATCCGCAATGCCAATCTCTTTTCAGCTCCAGTTTTGCAACTAGCCCCCAATACCCCCAGTACCATTCACCCGATCTTCGGTATAGATGAGTGACTGAACATCCCCTACCCTCAACTCAGGATCGCAAACAGTCAGAAATTTCCCTTCTATCTCCAGCTTAGCATATTGAAAATCTCGACTGTTGACCAAGCGTCCCGTTCAACCCATCAACGATCGAGAGTGGACTCGGGTCGTACTTGTAATCGACGGCCTTGATGGCGACCCCTTGCTGAGTGTAACCAAGAGATAGATAGTAAGCAAGAGTATAGACGAGCAGCATATAGCAGCAAACGAGAGACCCCATGCTTTCAATAACGGCTTTGGCTCTATTTCTTGCGATCGCATAGACGGTAAAATACAATCAAGGTCGGAATCGAAACGGGTACTGAATGATATTGAATGATGTGATGTGAGTGGGAGTTTGGATCTCGATTTCGGCGGGGAATGGAGACAGGCGAGGGGGTTGTGTTGTGAGGTGGGAGACTGGCGTATATATAAAGACAAAGCCTGTTGCTCAGGGGCTTTCGTCATACTCTTACGGAGGGAAGCGCAATTGATATATTATAGTTTTCATCTTTACCTACCTGTGTTGACGTCTCGACCCCAGTCCCTGTCAGCATCGTGTGTTGTCCTGGGCGCCGTTTATTCGTCCAATCGGAGTTTTCGCTTCGGGATGTACGCATGTCCCCGTTTAATCGACCAATGAGTTGCGAGACTGTGCAGGATGGAAGAAGGATCGGTAAGAAATGAATGTAGCCTCACGCTGAAGTGATTTATTGCTTCCTTCGTGTGCGTGGTACGTAGGCCGTTGGTCATGGATAATGAGAAGCCTTCGGAAATTCGAGTACAGTAATGAGATGGTTGGTGGAGGTCTAAGCTAGATCCTCTAGCCTGGAAGTGGAAGATCTACTTTCCTACGCAAACGGAAATGAACATCAATTTAACCTGAGGGAGATCAGCATCATGAACTCGCAAGACTTAGCCTCTATTTGATTCTATAGTCTACTTGTAGAGAAAACACCAGTCAAGTGTGGTCTGCTATAACATTTGAGAATTCATGTAGGTAAGTCCGGGTACGTGCAAACCATCGTGTCGTACACACTCTTCCCATAACAACCCGAAATATACCAAAACACATCCTCCGGTTGCCCTACCATCGGATCAGTTGTCGTTTCCGGATCCGACCATTCTCTCCGAAACCAAAAGTCCGCGACATCCCCCAACAAGAGGCGATAGCAATCAGTCGTTCCGCTCGGATACCGTGGTTGCGGGGACCTTTCTACCATCTTGATCCAAAATTGTCCACCTATTTTGAAACCCAGATCCCGACTATTCGTAGATGGGAGTTTTGAAACCACTTTATGAGCTGTCTGGAGTTCATCCAAGGTCTCGGCGTCCATTAGGATGCAGGACTGGAATCGAGGACTAGCAGCTGAGAGATGTAAAGGGTTCCCGTCCCAGTGTGCCAAGCACCATTGCTTGAAGGCCTCGGTGACCTGTGTTCTGTCTTAGTTGGCTTTTCAAGCGTATAAAATCTGTACGACAGATTTACCTGAGGCACGCTAGCACCACTTAAGTTTTCTTCGTCTTCAACAATATCATTGACAAATCGGCCTAAGAAACACTCGTTCGGTGCCGAGCTCGCAGTCTCAGGCATTCCCTCCGGCCAGTGATAATACTTGATTTCGTAATCGCCGCGGAGGCCCAGTCGGTCACCTCGGCCGTATATCTGCTCAGTAGCATACCTCAATTCTTGATCGCTCCACAACCTGAGAAATTTGTGGATGACTTCGATTCCAAGCTTGAATTTCTCGTCATCGCCGGGGCGGTAGGCGGTCCGGACTATGGTGTAGCCCCACGTCCGAGCGCGGTAGCTATCGTACCAGAAATTTTCGGTGAGATATTTGAGGTGTTCAGTAATGGTAGATCGTTCTGGCTCGCATGTTTGGAGATTAGCATGGGGAGGGAAGGTTTTGCTGTCGATAGCTTGGAGTATTATTTCGTTATCCGCTTCTGCAGCGACTAGGAGCGGGTCGTATACTGTGAGTGAGGAAGAAGTCATAGTTGGAGATACTCAGATCCTTTCTACAGTCTTAGATTTAAGATTGAAAGGGAGCTTTTGCGGTGAGGTCCGTAATTGGTCAACCCGTGCTTTATTTCTCGGAAAACTCTGCCGAGTACTTGACCTTTCCTAATTGGGCGTGATAAACGAGTACTCTACCTGGTCACTACTACCGTTATAAAAGTCGCTGTGCTTCTGTCGCGCGGCACTTTGCAACGAGTTTGGGCTTGTGAAGGAGCCCAGCAGGAAATTATTGATTTGTTCCAAAAACCGAGTCCATAGTGTTCAATGGCTTATGTTATGCTACTTCTAATGTTTCAATGGTCTTGTATCGTGGGAATATTTGAGTGACGTATGAAATAGTACTGTTAGTATTACGTAGAGTTATGAGAAGACGATCATGGAGTTCAGGTGACTGGAATGATGTGATGCCGTTTTGAGGAGGGAGCGCACTTTCAAAGATTGTGGATTCCTCCCCACGACTTGAATTGAAAAAGAGCCCTCCTGTTTATTTTGATACTAGATGAAAGCATCGGCACTCTTTGATGCCTGTCTGTTAGTCTTGGCTGGCTGCATTGTGCTGACTCAAGGAACCATGCAGTCTAACACCACCTAATGAAACCAAAAGATCCAAAGCACAAAGACAAATAAAATGCACGGAGGCTTACAAAGCACATACCTTGTCCAGTATACACTCTTCACAGTAAATGAGCAGTGAGTTAGAGACAGGTTGAATGTTCATGGCAGTCCTTCTGTGGCGGAAATATAGCCCTTTTTTGCTTATCAAAGAACACTGCACTGGCCCTCTAGAACCAAGTTTTTCCTGTTATCCAAAACCTGACAAAACATAAACACACATAGACGCGGAGCTCCAGAACCAAGCTGCTACACAAATAAGAAACTGGTCGCTTGCCGTGGTATCATCTCCACCTCGTTCCGAGCGAAGCGAGTTAAGCGAGCACAGCAGCTCACATCATGCAGTCAGCTTCAGCACATGCACGTCAATAACTGCTCCACTTTTCGGTGCCACTTACTGATACTATCAACACTCATATCTAGTCTCTGAATTGCTTCCCGGTTAGTTCCGCGCCAATGAGAGGAGCTGTATCGGCCGGCCCTGTAAACCAGTGCCGATACTGGCTAATCGAGATCAAGATACCCATGTTCGGTGTTTCCTATGCGTTCAAGGTTTGGGGGGAAGGGCTGTTGAGTGAAAGATGGTGATAGGTGGTGCAAATGGATCTGTCAGAAAGTGAGGATTCGGAATCATTGATTGAGGAATGGAGCTAAAGATGTGATCGATCGGACATGGAGTAGACATGAGGGGGTGATATGATGCGATGTCTCTGATGCTGATGCTGTGCTTTGTGGAGCCGGCTGTACTGAGGACGATGCATATATATCTCGAACTCGCCACTTGCATTGCCCATGCTGCATCGAAAAACCCACCTCCAAAGTCTTTATCAATCACGAAGATATTATTGTTAAGATCATTGCTCAGACTACACACTCTGGAAAAATGACCAAGCCAAGAATTTTGACTGTCTTGTCCTCGCACTCCGCAGGATGGTACCTGGTAAGAACATCATTGCTCAGCTCACTACGCATGCGTCTCACAATCATTCATTCAGCCAGAGCTAGCCCACCCATACGAAGTCCTATCTCCATACTGCGACATAGTAATGGCATCTCCCAAAGGCGGCGCCACAATCCTCGATCCGGTGTCCATCGAACTCTTCAAAAAGGACGCATACTGCGTCGAGTTCGCAGCTACGAAATCGAAGCTGTGGCTTGAGACGGAGAAGCTGGAGTCATTCCTGGGAAAAGCAAAGGATTTCATTGCTATTCTCTATGTTGGCGGGTTTGGACGTGAGTGTACCTTTTTCTTTTGATTTTGATAAGCACACTTGCTGAGGATAAATATCTAGCCATGTTCGACCTCTCCGACAATCCCACATCTGCACAACTCATCCAAGAATTCTACCTCGCAGACCGTATCATCTCAACCGTCTGCCATGGTACTGCCGCGCTTCTCAAAGCAAGGCTCCCTGATGGAACTCTCCTTGTGACCGGAGAGAGGATCACTGGGTTTAGCGGCCAGGAGGAGATTGATGTGGATAGACAGAAGGATATGCCGTTTCATTTGGAGAATGCACTGAATGAAGCGAGTGGAGGACTTTATGAGAAGGCGAAGAAAGCTTGGGAGCCGCATGTGGTTGTTAGTACTACGAAAAGGTTGGTGATGGGCCAGAATCCGGCGAGTGCGAAGCCGTTTGCTGAGGCGCTGTTGGAGAAGATTAAGGCTTATCCTGCTGCATAGAGAGTGTGCCCAACCACCGAGTATGACCGTCGAAGGATATTAGTTCTGATTGACTACGTCTCGTTTATTTCCTGCCTGAATTTCCCATGCTCAGAGAACGAGATCTTGCGGCGGTTCGATAAATCCCTCTCGGACATTGGTGGACAGATAGCCATGCCAGCCTCCTTGTACTGCCTGCCGCCAGGAGTCAAAAAGATCGAAAGCATGTGGCCTTATTGGCAAGTACAAGTCGTCTGATATCACGCTATCATATATCTCAACCTTCATAGCTTGCATGACTCCTTGCGGGTCTTGTTTCCAGGTAGCCTTAGCAACGACTTGGACGGCATCTTCATCGTTGTCAAGCTCAGTGTAACCGTACCTCATGTAAAATGCTAGTATCTCGCCATCTTCCGAGACTGGCATTAGTAGGGGAATCAACCTGCTGCGTAGCGGACCGAGATAGGAGTTTACACCGAGCCGTTCCGGGTTGTTGCGATTCATCTTCGCTTGCAACTGACACATGACATCCAGTGTATTGGCCATCGCAAACCCATTCGATAGTCCTTCGTGGCCAATCACCCGCAATGTGTCAATAATCCACTGCTGCCATGCTACTGAATAACAACGGCGAGCTCCGTGATACAAAAGTGTTGAAATTCCCATGTTCACTGCATCGCAAGGCTTGTATGGTTTCGACGAGTTCTGGTTATCTCTCCCTGTTAGACCAGCACCAATGCAAAGAGTTTGGTAGACAAGATTGAAAGCTTCCAGTTCTCGTGGCCAGGGATCTGGATCTGTGGTACTGATCATCGCCACCGCACAGCCAAGATAGCAATTCGCGGTAGCCAGGTTGAGAGCTGCATCATTACAAGCAAACCTGCAAACGGGTGGCGGAATGGGGTGTGTTTCAACGTCTTCTGGGTCAAGCGCTTGTATCACTTCCAATTCATGACAGCTCTCAAACGTCCCTGGTGAGTTCGCTTTCCAAAGTTGCATCTCTGAGTAGAAACCCAGCAGTTCGGCACGATTTGGACGTTCGGAGACAGGACTCCAACATCCCCAAACAACGCGAGAAAAAGTGTTGTGTGCGCAAATAATCTGTATCTGACGGAAGCCTTCACTGGCTATTCGATCATTGAGAGTCATCCCGCAGTATTCGATTGCAGATCGATTCCAAAATGGACGCTCCATAATTGCTCTATCTGAGAATTGAAGGAAGGATGAGCAAGCATAGGGGACTACCTTCTGAGCGAGAAAGTCTAATCGTAGCATTGCATCGTAGACTGGGATCATGTTGGAGATTTCTCGCTCCGAAAGCTGTTGTTCAGATCTCCTCATAACTTGTATTGCAGCCCAGAGATGTCCGAAGGCACCTTTCGGATTCTCCATGAAACACTACGCAATGTGAGCAAGACTGCGCTTCAACTTGCTGTGGAATATACCTCAAAATATGCAAGAAGCATGAGCACCGCCATGATTGCCAGAACATCCGGCACAGATTTACTCCCCAAATAAGTCGGAAGCATTTGCAACGTCTTTCCATATGATTTCAGTCCCAAAACCTTCAGCTGAGCCGCACCCTGAAGATCCCGATGCTGGCAAGCCAAAAGAGTAGCTCGATGCATCGCTCCAATCGCTAGAAGTGCTTCATACACGATATCAACACCAAAAGACATCTGAGCCACCTGATCTCGCCAAAACTCGATATGGTCATTCCGAAATAGCCGAACCGCTGTAGTCGTGATGAAGTGATGATAGAGAGGTAACTCTTCCATTCTCCAATTGGTATGTCGCCATGCTAGATCCTGCACCAGCTCCGAAGAACCTTCACGGGAGGAGCTATGTTGAGGCGATGTTCTTGATGAAGATCGCACGCGCGGGGTATCCCCTGCTGACCGTGGAGGGTCGTATCCACCACATTCGAAGTTCGCAACCCGACAGCGAGCGCAAGCTGGTTTGGCTTCGTCGCATTTCACACGTCTCTTTCGACACGTTATACAGCCGGTACGGACTCGTAATCGTCGATCCATGATTGAGAAATACGGAGCCGCTGTGTTTCTCTGGCATGATCGATGGCGGGGTTATGGTGGTTGGGACGGCTGGAGGTTGGCGAGTTGATTTCTAAGCAGGGCACAGTGCCTAGAATGACTAACCACTCCTGCGGGAGCCTACAAATCAGGCGATGCTCGCTAGTGTTAGGGGGATGTTTTCTTCATTTTCGCTAAATTTGAAAGGGGATCGAAAAACTTGTGGGTAATACAGTCAAACTATTGACTATGCTGGGTGATGAACTATCCAAATATAATATGTCTAACGAAACAATCCATCAGTAAACTCAGATTGGAAGATCTCGTGAAAGATGATATTGTCCTGAGCAGGTTTGGCGTCTGTATGAATGACAGCGATGCCACCACCAGTAACGGTGATGTAAATCGCTGCACCAAGTTCCCACTTCTCAAGAAAAGCCACAAGTCTCGTTACGCAACAGTGTTCCTACGTCTTTCGAACGAGCGAATGATAACAGTAGGAAGATTAAAGATGGCTTAGAGACCCCACCCGTAGCACTTTTACAGCCGGCTGCGCCTCATGTGCAGGTCGTCGATATTCTTACATCCGCGGAAATAACAAGGATGAAGTAAAAGCGTTAGAATGAGACACGTGCTTCTTTCTTAGAACCGCTTTACAGACAAGATGGATTCCCAGTCCGGTTCGAAATGTGCCAGAACAAACAAATGTCCTTGAGAACAAGCGCGATGTTTTGTCAAGGGCCGAAACGATTAGCATAAGAGTCCAAGAAATCAGGAAGACTCATGAGAGACTTTTCCAGCCTAAATAAATCTCGAGTGACTGATTTTTTCACATTGGTGGGGGACGAAAAACACGGGCATGGCTCCAAGGCGGGTTCTTGCATCAGAAGATTTATTATACGAACAGATTATATACATCTCCAATACCACTCGTTATCCTGTGCTACTTGGCGCAGCAGGAGTGGCACTAGCTGCCGGCGTAGTAACGACAACCGGCATAGGCGTACTGCTCGACGCCGGAGCCGCCGTCGAACTCACCCCCGCACCACCTGTACTCGAAGGCTTAACAGCTGTAGCCTGCAAAATTTGTCCAGCAGCGTTAAACACAATATCGACCAATGTGCCTAGAGCGGGGAACAGAAATTGCTTTTTGACCTGTCCGTTGCCGAGTTGTTGAATGACGCCAGTTTCCGTCATATTGGTCTTGTAGTTGCCGACGATTTGGTCAATTGTGTTGCCTGCCGTGCCCACAGTGGATTGTACGATGTTGCCTAGGTTGTCGATTACGAAGTTGACGAGTCCGCCGGGGCCGGTGATGGAGCCTAGGAGGCCATCGACAGCACCGATTACGCCTGTGACCTATTCCGAGAATTAGTCTTGCTCTAAATATACAGAGACAGAGGAGCAGAAGTCATACAATGCTCGTCACGTCTCTCAAGACATCAATCAATAACGGATTCAAATCCAAACTCTTGAACACCCGGTCCACGATATCCACTAAGTGGCCCAGTCTCACGATGAGCTCAAGCTTAACCTCCACGTCTGAAATCGTGACATTGATTTTCTGCACGCTGACAGCAACACCGGCGTTGATCGTCACGAGGTTCGCTACTTGCGCATTGAGATTGATGTCTGCAGCTAGATTCTCCACCATAAGCTCAATTTTCCCAACGCTGAGATTTGGGACGTTGAGATGCACATCTGGGGCTGTGGAGCCGGTCTGTGAAGGACGTGTTGTGACGGAAGTTGCTGAAGTGACAGTGCGAGACGAGGAGCGGCTGGATTGTGATCCCGATGCATTTGGTACTGGGGTTTCGGATGATGCAGGTGGAGGAGTTGGCGTGGATGGTGGTGGTGTTATGGCTGCTGTCGAGGACGCATCTTGTTGTGCTGAGCCGAGGAAGAGGAAGCTGGCCACTACCAAGAGGATAGTGCGGAAAAAGAACATTTTTGTCGTTGGATCCACGTGCTAGATTATGGTATGGCGGTTTGACAGGAACGACAGAACGAGACGAGTATCCTCAATTATTACGCTGGACGAGGCGTCAACGAGAGGAAACTCGACTGAAGACTTCTCAGCCTCCAAGATTAAGGATTTGAGGGAAAGGAGTGGATGTAAGAATGCGCAGCTGAAAACAAAAGCTGAAGAGGAGACGACGTGATGTGAAAATAGCAAACCCCCTATGACGGTTGACCTCCACAACACTGAACTCTAATATCAAAATCCCATAGCAATATCTCCCTGTTCTTTACATGGAAAATCCCAATCCCATCTCCACATTTGATCCACCCTATCCGCATTCATGCATTCAGGCGCATCCCAAATCCTGTTTGGGGTTACATCAAGCTTTTTGTTTAGTCCCCGGTACCCGACCATCAGCTCTCGCTTGACATCTACCGAGCTACTATGACTGGTCCGTGGACTCTCTACCCCGGATAGGGGCAAGCTTCGGTACTTAATAGGAGATTTATTGATGCACGCTTAATTTGCTGTCATGCGAAATATTGATTTTGCCTTGTTTTCTGCCATGCGAGATTCTGCTTCTAGAGTATCGAGAAATAGGATTGGTCTCCTTTTCTTCAACCCGCTAATTTTGGTTAAAACGGGGAGGGGTAGAATACTAACTAGGAAAGCCGCCTCCGTCATAAATGGTATTTCTGGCATAGTACACCGTTGAGCGTTCAAGTGGATTAGAGATTTGGCCTATCATGATCTATGACTGGGATTATGGATGTTTTCAAGTAAAGAAATAGAAGGACGGTTACAAGAGTTTGTATCTGCTGACTGGAGATTGCTTACTTCTTTTGTTTTTCTCATCTCCCGATCTCCCGCGTTATCCCCTCGCTCAAGCTGGTCCGCTGTCATTTCTCAGGTCCGAGACTTTGAAGAGCCTTCTCCCGCAAGCCTACCTATCCGTTCGTTTCTGAACTTGACTATTTCGTTCTTTCCACCCATACAAAATACCTCCAAAGACGGAGGCACATCGAGAAAGAGAATGAGGACAACGACCACGATGTCGCCTCTTTTACGTACAATAGCTCTGTTGCTTACTTTCGTCTCTATAATATCTGCACAATCAGTCTCTACGGCCAGCACAGATGGTGGTGGCTATACAGGATACAACCTTTCACTGTCTCAAGACGAAGAGTCAGCAACTTACGATACATCATCGACACCTGCGAATGTCTCTGTATCATGGCGTACGTCCTATCTTTTCAGTCCCATTACACACTTCCAGTCCCCAATCATGGCCGAGAAATGTCCCCCATACGAGCTCACAGCTGACTTCCCCTACCAGCCGAACCAGACGTCTATCTAAATGCCAGCGTCTTCGTCGGCGAAATCTCAATTCTCGTCGCAAACCTCACCGCAAAAATAAATCTCGATGCGCAAGTGCTTTCACTACTGAAGTTCAACGCTGGAGTGGACCTACACATCGATAAAGTCTCACTCTTAATCCAAAACATCTCCGCGAAAGTCGTCCTCGAAGCCCGTCTGGAGAACCTCGTCCTCATGATCGACGACATCCTCGAATCTCTAGACCTGAACCCGATTCTCGCAACCCTCGGCCAGAGCCTAAACAACATTACGGATTCAGTTGGCGATGTTGTGGGGGGCGTGGTTGGGACGCCGTCAAGCTCTGTTCCGGGATCAGCGCCTACTGCTGCTGCCGCAGCTGCGAAAAAGAGGAGGACTGGAATCGATCCGTTGCAGTTCCCGTACAATTACGAGATTCAGCATAATATACTGTATACGATAAATGATTACACAGGGCATTCGCACACGAATCGCGTGTTGTCGCAGACTGGTGCGATTGTCGATCAATCGCTTGATGATATGGGACATGTGGTGTCGGAGAAGGAGGTGGGCACTTATGAGAAGGATATGAGGTTCAACGGGGATAATATCACGGTTGTGCATGATGGGAAGGAGGTGTGGCAGTTGGAGTATGTGTATGAGCCGTTTAGGGGGTTAATTGTTCTTAGTTATGTTTTCGTGGATCAGGGTGGGAGGGTTGTAGGGACGCAAGTTGCCAGTGAGGGATATGCTGGGGGAAGTAGCACGATCGGAGATAATTGATCTGGAGAAGTATTTGATCGTGATGCAGATTAATTCGCCCCATATTTTCCAATCGATTTTCGTGGGGTAGTTCTGGGTTGGGTATGACAACACGACTTGCTGTTCATCTGAACTTGTCTTTCATTGTCACCCGTCAGTGACATACGCATTGTTCGGTTAATGCCAAAAGGGGCTGGTTGTTGCTAGCCGAGATGTGAATCAATGGTTGAAACACGGCACGGAACGAGCTCCATCGTCTTCATGCGAATCTGATATTAACCATGTTAAATTAATGGGATTTTGAAATGAGAAAAGCCCTTAGGAGAAAGAACAATAATGGTAGGAGAGCAAGGAGGCCTCACTCATTCCCTGTGTCCAACCTGGGTGAGAGATGATCGCAATATGTTGCGAGTATCCACAGCCAAATCATACTCCAACTCATGATTATTACCATCCCATCCTTGTCCTTGCATCATTGCTATCCTTCCATTCAATGTCAGCCCGGTGAGGATATGGCCGTTTCCTTTGGAGGTGCCATGAGCCACGTGACAGGCGTGTCACATGATGTCAAGAAAAGTTCCTGCGTTGACAAGGCTCTCCATAGCAAGATGTCCATCTTGAAATTCTCTTTTGGACTGTCCAGATCTCATTCCAAGGATTTGAGAATGTACCACGCGGGAAAAATTGACTTCGATCACGCTCCGCCAAGATCAATAAAGCTGCCCTTGCCTGCTAACTGCAAGTGGCCTAAGCTGCCGCCGTGTCTAAGATTAGATCCGAGAACTTTGACATCCAAGCCTCGTTATCATGATCATCACCAACATTTATTTTGTCCCCTTGTTGTACAACAACCTGCTGTCCCTCATTTCGCGGGTATGACTTTCGTTTGAATAGCTTCATTTTCATAATGGCACGCCTTGAGCGGACCGGCCAGTAGTATTAATCAACCCGCGACGCGCTTCATCCAGGGGCAATGGGCCATCCCAGTTCCCCCGGTGCTTCCGGATTTTCAGCCTCATCGGATGCCCAAATAAAAGCTCAAGAGGATGCTATTACATCGGATTTCACCGAGCAACCCCTTGGATCATCAGCTGGACCTGGGCTGGCTGGTGGTATTCCCCTGACCTCGTCGCCATTATCCCCGCATCCAACGCCTTCACCAACCCCTGCTGCGACAGCACGATGGCCTCCATCCGCGCCAGTAACACGCAGCCGTGGTTTCTCCCTCCGGAGAGCTGCGTTTGCGATGAATCTATCTCGATCTGACCAAGTCCAGCCTGAACCTATCCCTCAACAGAAGTCATCTGTTGTTGAGAAGATCCAAGAGGAGAGCGAGAATAAGCGAGGCGATATCCAGGACGCTATCCTCTCATCCAGTGACCAGGAAAGTTCATTCGAGGGAAATAACACTATCGCCGAACCAAATATCCAGAGAGCAAGTACATGGTCTCCCAAGAAGCAAGTTTCCAAGGTCACATCAACGTTCACTCAGGTGATCAAGATTATCACGAGAACCAAAGACATCCCACCAAGTAAAGATGGACGACACATAGATCTCAACCCTTCTTCTCAGGACGACCTAATCGACGAAAGGACAGGCAAACCGCACATTGGTAACATAATAACATCTAGCCGGTACAACATCTACAACTTCCTTCCTCGCCAACTGATCTTTCAGTTCTCGAGAGTGTCGAACTTCTACTTTCTCTGCATTGCCGTCTTGCAACTCACCGGATTCAGTACGACGGGAACTTACAGCACTCTTGTACCACTCATGGCATTCGTGAGTATCGCGATGGCAAAGGAAGGTTTCGATGACTGGAGAAGGCACGTCCTGGACAGGGTGGAGAACCGGAACACGGTAGAGGTTCTACGTCGAGGGATCTCCGGGCATGAAGACGAATGGTTGGAAGTCAAGTGGGCAGCAGTGAAGGTTGGGGATATCGTCAGGCTGAAGAGAGATGATGCAGTTCCAGCTGATTTAGCCGTCATATTTTCTGAAGGGCCGAACGGAATGGCGTACATCGACACTGCTGCTCTGGATGGCGAGTCGAATCTCAAAGCTAAGCAAGCTTCATCTCTGCTGCGAAAAGTGTGTTGTAATGAAAGAGATATCTCGATATGTCAAGCACATATCGTTGTGGAAGATCCGAACATTGATCTTTACAACTTTGATGGCCGCATCACGATCGGGAATGAGACTTTGCCGCTTACGGGGAATGAGGTGATCTATCGTGGAAGTGTGCTGAGAAATACAACCTGTGCATATGGTATGGTTATCAACACTGGAGAGGAGTGTAAGATCAGAATGAATGCGATGAAGAATCCGAAAGCAAAAGCCCCGTCGATGCAGAGGATCGTCAACCAGGTCTGTAATCCTGCCCCCTTGTCTGAAGCCTCTACTAACTCATAGTTTTAGGTTGTTGTAATCATCGCATCATTCGTAATGATCCTTACAGGGCTCAACAATGCGGCTTACGGAGTGTGGAAGTCGAAGGAAGAGAACAACGCCACGTACCTGATGGGAGCTTCCGTTGGTCGAGGGGAACTTTTCGCCAGTTCTTTCGTAATGTTCAGCACCATGATTCCACTTTCCCTGTATATCAGTCTAGAAATCGTCAAGGTCGGACAAATGTACATTATGGGCGACATCGAGATGTATGATGCCGAGACCGATACGCCCATGGAGCCAAGGACGAATACCATCAACGAAGAACTAGGCCAGATCAGTCATGTGTTTTCGGACAAGACGGGCACGCTCACTGAGAACATTATGCGCTTTCGGAAGATGAGTGTCGCTGGGATGGCATGGCTTCATGATCTTGATTTGAAGAAGGATGATGGGTTTGAGAAGGTGCAAACGGGAAAGTCGACTGTACCTGACAAGTCTCGTGTCTTTGGACACTCAAAGAAGGTATCTGACCTTGGGCCCCTGGTCACCTCCGAGACGAGGGATTCTGGTTTCAGAGGTAGACGGGGTCAACTATCACCAACAATTACCAGGACATCCACAAGCCAGTACGATATGCCATCTAGACGGGAGTCTACGACTGAAGAGCTTGTCGCATACCTACAGCGCAGAGTGGATAGCCCGTTTGTCAAGAAAGCCCGATTCTTCCTTCTCGCGATCGCGCTCTGCCATACAGCCCTCCCGGAGACTCAAGAGGATGGAACGATCGATTACCAGACCATGTCACCCGATGAACTGGCATTGGTGAGAGCTGCCAGAGATCTAGGTTACATCGTGGCAGACCGACCCTCGCAGTCCATCACAATTGTCTCGAAAGATGGCGACAAGCAGATTCGTGAGATTTATGAGGTATTGGACGTAGTCGAATTCAGCAGTAAACGGAAGCGGATGTCCATCATTATACGTTTCCCAGATGGAAGAACTTGCCTCTTCTGTAAAGGGGCAGACTCTACCATTATTCCTCGGCTAAAGACTGCGACGGGAGCTATTCAGAAAGATGCAGAAATCCGCAAGAGCCTGACCGCGAAGCGGAGATCAGAGGCACAGGAAGAGCTTCGCCGACAAAGCGAAGATCAACCCCGCAGCAGTCTCAGTCGCCCGAGCTTCTCTCGTACAAGGAGCCAAGTTGGTCGTCCTTCACTTGTCAGCCGCCGGAGTACTGCGGATGGGAGAGCTAGTATCGAGTTCTTTGGACGAGTGCTGCACGACTCGCCCCGGCCATCGATGGTGTCGAGACGATCTTCAACTTTTGCAAACCTCAACATCGATCATTCCGTCGCATCAGATGATTCCGCAACGCTTGTGGCTACTCTTCGCCATATCCATGACTTTGCAACAGAGGGACTTCGGACACTGATGTATGGTCATCGATTCCTTGGCGAAGAGGAGTACCAAAGCTGGAAAAAACTGTTTCATGAAGCATCTACGAGTTTGGTCAATAGGCAAGAGATGATTGATCAGGCTTCTGAAACCTTGGAGAGGGATCTTGACTTGACTGGAGCTACGGCGATCGAAGATGAGCTTCAGAAGGGCGTGCCAGAAACGATCGATAAACTGCGCAGGGCTGGGATGAAAGTGTGGATGTTGACTGGTGACAAACGAGAGACCGCTATCAACATCGGCCATTCCTGCAAGCTGATTACCAGCTATTCCGAAGTTATTGTCCTGGATCACGAGAAGAACAATGTTGCCGAAGCAATTGCATCCGCATTGCAAGACATCCACCAAGGCGACGTGGCGCACTCAGTTGTTGTAGTCGATGGGCAAACATTGTCCGACATCGAGACAAATCCAGCCCTACCCGCCCCATTCTTCGAGCTCGTCATTGCAGCCAACTCTGTAATCTGCTGCCGAGCAAGTCCGACACAGAAAGCGTTCCTCGTCAAGACCATCCGCACCAAAGTCAAGAAGTCAGTCACGCTGGCTATCGGCGACAGTGCGAATGACATTGCTATGATTCAGGAAGCGCATGTCGGCATTGGGATATCTGGGAAGGAAGGCATGCAAGCAGCGCGCACATCTGATTATTCGATTGGCCAGTTTCGCTTCTTGCAGAGATTATTACTCGTGCATGGGCGCTGGAATTATGTTCGCACAGGGAAGTACATCTTAGGGACCTTCTGGTATGTATTCCGTATTTCTACTTTGATATTTCTCCGCTAAGATGCCTTTCAGGAAAGAAATGATGTTCTTCCTCACCCAAGCCATCTACCAAGGCTACAACGGCTTCACAGGCACCTCCCTCTACGAATACTGGTCCGGCTCTGTAATCAATGTCATCTTCTGCGCGCTCTGCATCATCTTCCTGGGGATGTTCGAGCAAGATCTACAAGCATCCACATTACTTGCCGTTCCAGAGCTTTATCGTCGCGGACAAGTCAATGGGGCATTCAACTTGCGCAAGTACGCGTGGTGGAACTTTATGGCTGCGACGGACGCGGTGGTGATTTACTACTTTGTGAATCTGAGTTATGGGATGGCGAAGTTCAATGATGTGTTTGTGGACTCGAGCGATATTTTTGCGTTTGGGCAGTTGGCGTTTGCGATTTGCATCGTGGTTATCAACACGAAGCTTCTGTACGTCCCCTCTTCTCCCCTTTCTTTTTGCTTTCCCTAGCCCCAGACCCGAGATGTTCCTCCCCGAAAATCTCAAGCTGACATCGTGTTTCTTATGCAGAGTCCTCGAGATGCACAATCGCACGATAATGTCCTTCATCGGCTGGTTCTGCGGTATCGGCGGCTGGTGGCTCTGGAATCTAATCATCAACCAAGTCTACGACCCTGCAACATCCTTCTACGGCGTCAAGCACGGCTTCGTGGATCGTTTCGGGAAGAGTAGTCTCTGGTGGTTGACGCTGATTGTTGGGTCCGCTGCGGTATTGCTTTGGGAAGTGACAGTTAGCGCTGTGAGGATTGCGTGGTGGCCGGACGAGGTGGATGTTTTCCAGGAATTGGAGAGGGATCCGGTGTGGGGGAGGAAGTTCGAGGGGATTGCGAGGGGGGAAGATGTGGGGGAACATGAAGAAGAAAGGGAGGACGGCAGGTGAAGTAATCAAGAGACGATTGCATAGTTTAATTCGTGGATAGAACATATATCGGTTGTGGAAGTCCTGCTGAACATTCGATGATTGCACATAGATGGGTGGCGGTACATAAGGGATCTAGGATATATACATGGGCAAGCAAGCCTCAACTAACTCATTACTCTGTATGATAAAAAAGGTGTGGATGTCGTCAACGAATGAATTCGACTCTGCTACAGTATGTACAAAACCCCAAGATCGTCCTGTATTCACAAACCATGCTACACTCTAGGTACCTCCAATCACCGCAGACAACCCCGCACCCACTAATATCTACACTATCCACACTTCATAGACGTCCTCCTATATACTTACGGGACACACTGGCTGTAGTAGTCGCCATTAGCGACACACTTGCCTTGCGCACACGTCTTCGGTCCCGTCCATCCAATCCCACCACACTGTCCATAAAGCGCAGCTCCCGCACCCGACGAAGCACTCGTAGTTGTGGCCGCCGCAGACGAGGTTCGGGTTGAAGTCGCAAGAGTGGTTGTGCTACGCTGCGATGTCGTGGAGCTGCGTTGGGTTGTGGTGGGTTGACTGCCGCCGCTGCCGCCACCGCAGACGAAAGGTCGTGGGCCGGGAATCGTGTAGGAGGTCAGAGGTGGGTAGTAGATGCTTACGAGGATTCCGGGATCGTTGGCCTGTGAGAGGACGGGTTAGATGGATGGTAGTGTGGACTGGTGTTGGAGGATGACTTACGCTGTAGGCGCCTGGGAGGGATACGGTTGCCGGGCTTGCAGTTCCAGAACCGCCTGAGACGTTGATTTGTGCGCATTCCATCTGAAGTATGTTAGTCGAGTTGCTCTGCTTTCGGCCGGGTAATCGGGCGCTTTACATAGAATTGTGCTCCGGCAGGACTGCCAGCTGCGGTGTGTTAGCTATGGAACATGTCTTGTACTCAAAACAGGGGATACATACCACCATGGAGAGCAATGATCTCAGCGCGGAGAAGATATTGTCCATTTGGAAGGCAGGATGGGATTCGAATGTTTTGATAGCCGTTTGCAGCAATCTAGAGGAGATTAGCTCGTAGATCCAGATGCATAAATTGGTTTTTTTTACCAGGTCATCTACAGCCCAGGTTCCAGCTTCGGCAGAATTAGCATGTGTGACCTGACAGAGTAGACGTTGCTTACTGGATGGGTTGTAGCCAGCTTCTTCAATCTTGAACCATCCGCCACCAACTCCGGTATCGGTCAAGGCGTTGTTGACTTTCTTCAAATATGCCATGACAGGGCCCTTTCAAAGGTTAGACAAGTGTAATCATCCTCGACAAATTAGCATACCTTGTGGCTGGCATCGATTACCACTGTTTGTAGCGTCAGCCACGTTGTCTAGAGATGCATGTTCTGAAACCACTCACAAGCATCGGAGTGTCTCCATCTTGCCTTGACAGTCTCGCCAGCAACTACATTGATTATCTGGTTCGATGGGGTCGTAGGGTTTGGTCCTCCATTGCAGGCGATGTCGTTAGAAGTGACGTCGTTGATGGGCTGGCAAATTGTGTTAGTAAACACAGAAGTAGAAATTCGTAACACAGCATACTCCGTTGTAATCTGGCTTCCGGATACCAACACCAATCCCTGCCATATGGTTAGTTCGAAGCGTTTGGGATGATCTAAAGGATAATGACTTACCGTACTCTGTACCACCAGCAACAATCTGCTGGAAGATTGAGTGTGCAGAGGCGACAGCCGTTACGGCCGACAGTGCGAATGCGTACTTCATATTGGTTGCCCGTACTACAGCAATATGGCAAAATGAGAATGAATAAATTGATACAGAAATCGAGCACTGCAGGGATGGGTGGAATCAGAGGAACATTCATCCAGCTTATATATCTTTGTCTCAATTTGGCCAAGATCTGATTTTGATACCAAGGCGGAGTACGCGCAGTCAGCTAGTAGAAACAATACACATGACACTCCTACCAAGGCGGAAGGTCTTGCTCTGGGCATTTACTTTGTGGGTTTTGCTATCCTTGGACTTAGCAGTTCCCAGTTATGAAGGTACTGAATATTCAGACCATGTAGTGCCTAGACATTCAGTATGGAGGAGAATTACGGCCCGTCGGGCAGGATGACTAGTGTGATGTCCTTAATGTCACATCCATCATATAGCCGGAATGTGTTTCGTGTCATGTGGTGGCATGGCAATCAATTTTCGGTTGACCTGCTCCGGCAAGCCCTAAGCGAGCGCATGCCGACGACAACAATGTTTTATTTGAGGCACCACGAGATTTGTGCATGCATGCCAAGACAGAGGCTGTCTCCGTGATCTCCATCCTTTTTGGGAGACTAGTATTCGCTCCAATCGCTTCCCCAGCTTACTGGCACGGCCCCTTTTTTTGTTTGCGAAGAGCCATTTTGCGGGCAATGCGGGGTACCTTGGCAAGCCGTTGCAGAGCGGAGTGACATTCCGTTGGGGAAATCACCAAGAAAATGATATGGTCGAAGTATTTCCACGTTGGCTTGAGTCTATAAAATGAGAGCAGACAGACTTTTGAGACAATTAAGTTGAAATAAATATAGGTGAGTAAGCTGACTGAATTCTCAACTTCAATGAGGAAATGTGAGAAGCGGTAGGTAGTCAGCTACAGGACCAATTTATGATCATGACTGTAGCGTAATCATTTTTTCTGAAAGCGCTTATTTGATCTATAAACAATTATTTTCGGGTAAGGAGGGTCAACCCGAGATATCCCCCACGAACGAGAAGGTGTATATTGCAAGGGCCTAGGCTTCTCGACACGGCACTCTGTGTATACCATACCTCTAGACGTCTCAACTCGCAGCCTCTTCTCGCAGACGTTTCATCTAGAGGTTCTAATAGGCCTCGTCATATCTACAACAAATGACACTTTAGACTAGTTCTAGAACAATTTCAGTCTAAATTCTGTCGCAAAATAATTATGGCTCCTTTACATTCACACCGTGTACCTAGCTAGGATGAGAGCTGTGCTTGCTTTTCTTGGACTCTTAGCCTCAAAAACGGCATCTAGCTCTTCAAGTGTTCGACCCTTGGTTTCCACGAAGAAGAAATAAATGAAAAGAGCTTCGAAGACATCCCAGAAAACGAAGAATATATAACTGTCGACGAGTTGGCCCCAGTGTCTAAGCGGTGGTAGGTACACTCACAACCAGTACGTGATATTATTCAGAGCAATGGGGGCTGCAAAAGTGTTGACGAAGCCAGCACACCCAGCAGTGATTTGAAAAACCGCCATACCCTTGGCACGCTGATCATCTGTAGGCAAGGATTAGTTGCGGCGCTCGCTCAACGTCTCCATACCTGGATAAATACTTACTCGACAATACCTCGGCTGGGTAAATTGGCTGCATTGATGTGAAAGCGAATGCAAAGACAACTCCGAAGATAAATGTAAATGCAATGCTAGCCTTACTCGATTCCACGTTCCCATTGTTTTGGAAATCTGCAGCAGTTGCAGCCACGATGGCCAGGCATATAGCCATTCCAATACACGAACCCATCAGCATTTTCCTTCGACCAGCGATATCGTGGAATCGTGCCCCAGAGGAGGCGGCAATCCAACCCGTCAAAGCATAGATGATATTCAAGAGAAGTTGTGTATTGACGCTCGTGATTCCGACAGCCTTCAACATGATGGGCAGATAGTAGCTGGCGATATTGTTTCCTGAGAACTGTCCGAACCACGCCATAGCCATGCAGAGCATCAGGCGGTATCGTCTCGCTCGCGACTTGAAGAGGACACGGAGATCGAAAAATGTTCGGAATGTTGTCATGCCTTCGGCCTCGAGAGACTTCGTGATCTCACTCATTTCGACTTCGCAGATGGGATGGTTCGCGTCGCCGTTTGCATGATAGTATGTGATGATTTGACGAGCTTCTTCCACTCGACCTTTGCCGATGAGCCTGTGATAGTTCCGTCAGGTCTGTCATCACCTCGCTTCTGGGAGGCTTACCATCGAGGCGACTCGGGAACAACCCAAACGCCTATACAGACCAGGCCAGGACATACCCTTTCGCTCAGTCAATAACCATTCTGAAAGGATACCGCGAGCTACCCACATCTGTAACCATAGTGGCAGACGCCATTTCAGATTGCCTGGAATATGAAGATTCGATCCATAGATTGCTGGATGGAACTTTAGCACAGATACGTGAGTTTATCGAATCTGGTGAAAATGTCACTCACTGCAAGTTGCAAGAATGGAACCCATATAATAAAGAGTGTTGTACACTAGCTCTCGTCAGCATCACACAGATCAAAGTTGCTCAACAGAACTCACTCCCAGCAACTGTTCCTCGATAAAACGGTGGAGCTATTTCGACTAGATACAGGGGTGCAGCAACAGTGGCGATGGTTGAGCAAAAACTGAGGAGGAATCGGCCACCAATGAAAGTTGGGACTGTAAGTATCAGCAATAGTCTGGAAGAAGTGGAGAAAAGCTTACGATTTGGAGCTACCGCAGTGATAATTGTTGATATCACAACACCGAGGCAGCCACCAAAGATAGGGACTCTTCGACCCTGCCAGTCACAGATCCAAGTAAACAGAGCTCCAGCCATTTGTCCGATCTGGAAAATCGAAAATACAAGACCAGTGCTGGCAGCACCAGTTGCACCTAAATTATAGTACGCTTGATATTCTGGTATTGCATTGATGCTTCCCATTAACGATCCATCGTATCCTGACGAGATCAGCACCGGACTCGAGTCGCACCGGATGAAAGGACTGTTACCGTTCATCGTTGAACACATATAGATCAAAGCACACATAAGATAGAGTGATCTATGACCTTTCCCCCATGGATTCGGTCGCTCGACAGCAGCGAGAGTCTCTGGCTCGGCATTTGCTGGGAATTTCTCCTTATTACCTGAAGCAGTCTCCAGCATGGAGACATCTGGTTTTTCCGCAAAAGACATGATCGATTTTCTTTTAAACGAAACTGATAGAACAACGAAACTTGAAGGCGCGAAAAAGAAAAGTAAATTCCGTCAGGTTCTGATTGCTGGTCTTATAGTTTCCCGGACGTTGACAGCAGCTATCACGGCTTGGCGGGGTTTACACTTCAGAAACGTTACTCTACGCAGGTGGCACCGCACCCCAACTTTCCCCGCAAAGATGGGGTTGGAAACTAAACCCTATTTTGCTTCTTCTGACGACTCGTACCGCTGCGTCGGGTGTCTGTGGCTTTAGTCAAGCACTTTTAGTCATGATTTAGTGCGGAAACTCAAAAATGTCGACTTAGCTCTCCCCGCGTCGATCTTTCCGCCTCACAAGTGGAGCCGCCATCGGCACTCAGAGGTAGCTAAACCTTTACAATATCGAAAAACCAGCCTCCGAACTGGATCTAGAATGGGTTTTGTACGTTTCAAAGCATTGGGTATGGCAGCGTAGGAGTTGTTTGAAAGGAAAGGGGGCGCTTACTGCTCGCCTGCCCTTTCATACGCCAAAGACCATCAAACTTTCCCGAAAGCTTTCACATCTCAACAACTTCAATTTAAGTGCTTGTAAGATTGATGAGAATCATGCTTGAGAAGTCGTAGCATTCATATTTGAGCTCGGGATGGGACAACAAAAGAGACCGATGGGAATACAACACATCAGGGCTCCCGGCGAGAATGTTTCATCAGTGGTTGTATATTGCTTCTAAGGGATCACACAGTCGGTGAAAAGGCCAACTTGCCGTCTAGACTATTCGCTGATACTGTTACTGATACCAGATCCTCTCAGCGGTAGATGATCATGTAGTTGGACTGGTTAGTGGGAAGTAATCCCACGAACCGTTCTCTCTAAGGATTGACTTAAAGATGAATTTTCTCTGGGTCCATGGGATGATCTGAATGACCTTCCTTGAAGCAGCTCTTGCAGTCAAGATCATTCTGACTCGCTTGTCTGTTTGTTATTGTTGACTTTCGCTTGGGCCCACCAGGTCCACAAGCGACTAGGAACTGTTGGACTGCTAAAATTTAAAAGTTGTAATGCTGATTATGTACAAGGTTCAAATGGAATGACGCCCAGAGAATTCCAATAATAGCTGTTGCTGGTACAGCGACGACAGCTCTTCTCATACCTACCTTGGGCTGGTGATCACGTGATTTTGCTTTGGCTGAGGAGGCGTTCTCTCAAACCACGTACCTAAGCCGGCTGCCGAAATCAAAACTCCTCCCCGAGCACCCAGCCAGAACAAGACAAACCTCGGCTTGATTTCCATGCCTCTCAGTATCACCAATCGAAGGGTCCCACGGAAGGCTTCTCTCCGCACATCAAACCTGGCTAGTCGCTGTGGAACGGAAGATTGTCCTCCGCTCTCCCCAAAATGGTAAAGTCCAAATACCATCAGTAAGCAAGTCACGATTTCTTACTCTCATTGCGATATATCAACCTTTAATAGTAGTGAGAATGGGAGAAGTGTGATGAAAACAGCAAATATAGAACACCCGACGATTCTTGAAATTTTGAGATGGATTGTCGTGCTGACACAAAGATGTTCGCACGGATGGCTAGGGATTGCAGTCGGTCAGAAAGAGCATCACGATGATTTGAATATTTTCGAATTGCGAGGAGGGGGCATTTATCGGGGAATACAGCCTACATGCTGTGACATGGTGCTACACCGCTGACGAAATTTGAGCACGGACGTTGTACGATGTTGTAGATCGTAATGCTGGAGTTCCACGAGAAAGTCGTACAGACAGCTGACTTCTTGCTTCGAAGATACTTGTACTTTCTATCTCAGGAGCATAAAGATTTGGGATCCCCTCTTGAAAATGGTCGATGGTCCAATGGATATCTTACGTCGCATACAGCTGAACAGGTTCCAATCTATCCTTCCACTTTTACTCTTTCTCAGCTAGGGAGTGAAGACAAAAGTCCCGATATCCAAATCTGCAAGCTCCAAGCCGAACTCAAACTCTCGCCATAATCATGCACGCTCGAGACCTTCTCCACATCTCCCTCCTCCTTTCTAGCATCACCGTCCTCGCAAACCCGCTCGCAACCAAGACTTCAGCAACCTTACTATCCTTCTCAAGCAAAAAGCCATGTCTATGTATGACCGAGCAACGAGGATATTTCTGCGGCTCGAGATCCATTCCAGGGATGTTCAATCCAAATCGTCCAATCTTTATAGGAGACTGTGACGAGAATACTAGATACACTTGCGTGGCTAGGGGAACGTATCCGTTTCCGCCGAGGGAGGCTGTTGACTGTGGTGAGACGGGTGGGAAGTGTGTCATGATTGGTGGTCTGGATGAGGCGTATGGTTTTGATGATTGTGACGCTTGATTGGAGTGGGTGCTGATCGAAGCGGGGGTGTTGCTGGTAGTACTTCAGCGCCTGGAATGACTAAAATGTGATAGGGTAGAAGTTTTCCAATGCTAGGAAAATCCTATATCGACGTTCCTCCAGTCCATGATTGTCGTACCATATGAAGATATTGATGACCCTCTCACATCCTACCAAGAGATCATCTTCCGCCGTGGGACCATTTCCTCAGATTTCGCAGACTTCCTCTGCCTACAAAATAACAATGCAGTTCTCTTCTCCAAGTCACTCGTCCATTTAACAGTCTGGATCCTTGCCCACGCAGGAACAAAATCTCCCTCGAGATGCTTCTCCTCCACATACATAGCCCACTGTCCGACCTTCGCCGCAAACGCCGTGTCCCAGACACCCTCTCGTTTTGGCCAATCCAACAATACATTGATTGCCCTTCTCCGTAGCGTGCGCTCTCTGCATTGCAAACCGATGAAATAGAGAGGTAGGATGAGACGTGAGTCAAAACAGTATGCTGTTGTCCGGGATGTGGATGGAAGTCGTGTGTCGTTCAGGACATCTTGGCAGAGTTCGATAACTTCTTCGTACATGGAGTTGAAATCGTCATAGGCCATTTGGTCGAGAGTAAGACAGCACGAGAGACTGATGTATGCGGCTTTCATGGTGAGTTCCAGCGTCTTAGCTTTTCTTACCATGGTGTGGTTATTTGGATCTCCTTGCTCCCGAACCACACTTGGGAGAGATCCATATGCTGCGAGCCATTTATCGAAAGCTGCTACATGAGCTTGCCATTCATCGTAGAGCTCGGTGGTGATATCTGATGGTTTGAATTTCTCGTATCTTCTTTGCGATGACGCGAAATTCATGCCGCGTCGCAAAATCCCTTGGTGGTAAAGAGTTGCTTCTTTGAGCGATGTGAAGGCTGTGGGCATAGTGGCTGTGAACTCTGTGCCTTCGGCGCGAATGATAGCCCTACAGTCCAACGAGCGATCGCTAGCAAAGAAGCAGACCTGGATGGCTAGTCGACAGAATATCTGAACGAGGTCATCTTCCACGAAATTTGGTCCCACAGAACTGTAGCTTGGCTCGCTTTGAGGCTTTTCCGAGTTGGCCTTCCATTCGAGAATCAAACGGATACCCGTCTGAACTTGCTGGACGGCGAGGTTGAGATTTCCATTCCAAGCCTCGAAACATAAGATCAGGAGACAATTCAGAAGAGTCGTTTTCAGATCCATCGGCTGGATCGATGTGCGCATTAAGCTCACGGCTTTCGTGTACTGACGTAGAGCGGTGCGATGGTGTTCACTGGAGGTGGGAATGCCATCTGAGGCATCAACGGAAAGTTTCCGAAAATCCCTTGCCGTCTCGGATGTTTTGTCCAGTGCACCGATGGCAATCAAGGCATGTCGGATAGCTGGATTCGTGTGACACGACTGCAGCATCATCCGTCGAGTCGTACCGGAGTCAGATTCCGGGAAGATCTCGAAGGCCGTGCGGGCGCAAAAGAGGTCGAAATATCGGTACTCTTCTGCATTTTCAAATGGCGACCTTGCGAACGCTGTGGGGATGGGAGCTGCTAGGATTGATTTTGGTAGCAAATCTCGTCTTGACGGTGCTAATCGATGCTTCTTCAGTAGTGACTCTGGAGAGGCATAACCGTCGCAATCAACACCAAGCTTTAAACAGCGGAAACACGATGGCTTCTCTTCACCGCATTTGACTCGTCGGACCCTGCCAACGCGGTTAGACGAGCGCAAACAAAGACATGGATGATCACTTACTTGCACGTCAGACAGCCTGTTTTGACTTTGGGGTTTGACCTTCGCTTCGATACCATCGAGCGGTCCTCCATGACGATTTTTGGAGGATGAGAAACATCGCGTGAGGTTCAGAGAAAGGTATGTCGTAACTGCATGTCAGCTTATTATGGCTGGGATGATCGTCGGATTAAGGTTAACGAGCAACGCATTTTAATTGGTGTATTCGTATCTGCTAACCAATAAGGGAAATGTCTGTCGTTGCGCTTGGCCCATCATCACGTACAACGCGATAGACGCGGATGAGATCATATGCCGACAGCAAACAAAAAATGCGGACCAAAAGAGCCGCATAGAATGATCCATATACCCGGGAGATCCGTCAATAATCCTCGTTCTCAAAAAGGGGAAATAAACGAAGGAACAGATCATCAGGGGAGTAAAGCAAATCCGGGGTCAATCTCCTCGCTTAGAGCTGGCAGCAAGGGTAAAGCGGGGTAGTCCCCTGACCTTAAACTCATTTGCATCCCAATTCTCTCACCGTCACTCAAACCATCCAGATACGGGACGAGACACCGAAAGTTGACATCTCGAAAGTCACCTATGATCATCTGCTAAAGGCGTGAAAGGGGAAGGTATCACGGATCATCGATACTAGCACCAAGACAAGTCATCGCTCCGACGATAGCTTCATCTGCTGGGTATCACGCGAGTCTATTCTGACAAGACTAAGTCGGTATCACATGGAGTTTTATTTCTTGCAGTATGTGATCGGTATTTCGCTATGGTGGCATAGACATACATATAAAAGGTAGGTGGAGAATTTCCGGGCCTGTCCGAGTAACTCGCACTTGAGCTTCAGTTGATGAGATTTTAACTCCTGCAAACATGGCTCCTTACATATCTCTCATAGCATCTCTCGCTTATCTATTCAGTTCTGTTAATGCTGCCCCATACAACACATTCGATGGCGAGGGATTCCCTGCTTGCCGCAATGTTTCCGCAGTGTACCAGCCCTCCTCAGTAGATGAGATGGTCTCTCTCGTCAAGTCTGCGGCAGCGAAAAACACGCCTGTGCGAGCAAGCGGGAAAAGTCACATGTGGTATGACACCATGTGCTCCGATGATCCGTCAACAATCATCATCCAGACCGAAGGTGTCAACAAGATCGGTGGCTTCACACTTTCCGGTGGTACAGGATCGGTGATAATCGAAGCAGGTGTGACCTTCTTCCAACTTGCCGATTATCTCCATGCAAGGGGAGCTTCAATGGGATACACCCTAGTCAACTGGAATATGACCATTGCCGGTGCCGTTGCTATGGGAGCTCATCGGTCATCTTTGAGAGAAGCTTCTATGGTCGCGGCTGGAGTGCTGGAAATTGATATCATTGATGGCACTGGAACAATCCAGAAGATCCCAAGAAATGAGAATAACGATACGTGGCTTGCTGCTTCTACATCGCTGGGTCTCCTGGGTCCGATTGCGAGAATGAAGTTTAAGATCTATAGCGACTTCAAAGTTTACGCAAAGCAAGACATGTGAGTGGTTCTGTCGTACAGGTTCGAACATAGGCTAACAGTATGAAGTTTGGAAGAGAAAGACGTCTTAGACGGCGATATCTATGGCCTCATTGCCCCATATGCAACAGCAAACTTCTGGGTGAGACATATAACAAGTTAGTGTTGATAGAGCACAACTGACAGCCTTCCAGTGGTGGCCCTACCTCCGCAAGTTCCATCACAGATACTACGACGTCGTCCCCACAAGCATGAGCAACCAGCAGGGCTTCCAAAACACCTTCTCCATCTCCCAAGCCGAAGCCGACATCGCGCGCGGCCTCCTCGACAGCGGCAAATACCTCCCCACCTCAAACATGCTCGCCGAAACAATCTTCTACGGCATCTGGTCGTCGCCTAATTTCCACGAGAAGACCAACGACACGGCAATCACCAATTGGCCCGTCTACGGATGGAACTACGATGTGCTTATCGGTGGATTGTATCCTGGTCAGCAGCCAGAGTGGGATTACAATCTGCACGGATACACGCTGGAGCTTGCTGTGCCGGTGACGCAGGCTAACAAGTTGTTGAAGAGGGTGAGGTCGCTGTTTGATGCGGAGCTCAAGAAGGGGATTGTGATGACTTCGACTTATAGGAGTGGGATTAATATTAAGTTTGGACGGCCGTATAATGATTTCTTGGGTCAGGTGTGGACGAATACGACGGATGGATCGGATTGGTCGAAGGGGGCTATTATGTTTGATTTCCCTACTTACTGGCCTACGGTTGGGGATCACTTGAGGTTTAATGAGCCGTTCTGTATGTCTCCCTACAACTATATTGAGCTTGGCTAATCGTGTAAACAGATCACAATCTTGCTACGGTCATCATCAACGAGTTTCCTTGCAGACCACATTGGACCAAGAACAGTCGCGATGTCTTGACTCAAGCTGTCAAGAACCTCGATGCAAGCGTAAGGACTCTACTCTGAATAATTTCGAAATCATCATTGCTGATATATTTTGAATAGCACCTTGCGCGTTTCAAGGCTGTCAGAAAGAGGTTCGACCCCAAGGGAATCTTCAAGAGTGTCGTTGGGGAGATTATCGGGGTTATGAATTAATCGTCCGTAGACTCATCTTGGAGATGCCGTTCAGAAGTTGCTCAATAGTCGTATCCGTATTCTCAAATATAAACACCATCCTGCTCATAACCTCGCTTTTCTACCCTCTTCTCTAGACATTTCGGGTTTGTAGCACGCTTTGGTGGGGGTGGATAAACCTAAGCGAGACAGTCACAACATACCCCAAAGATGTTTTGACTCGACTAGAAAACGATGATCCTCACATTAGGACACACTGAAGATTTCAATGTAAGACGATTTAACGCAGGGAGTTGGTATGTATAAATTACAGCTCTCGTAACTGCTGGATATCAGAGAAACAGAAACAGAAGCACCAAAGCCTGGAGAACTCTTCCACTGTCTTACAGCTCCTGCGCCTCGTCCTGCTCAACAACTGCAAGCGCCGCTTCAACAGCAGCAAACACATCAACATGAAAGAACGGCCTGTTCACACCATACAAAGGAACAGACTTCCCCGTGACAGTGACATTCCCACCCTTCTTCTCATCATACGCCGGCGCAGCACTTGGCGCCGTAATCTCATCGTCCTCAGTCCTCGCCTCAACATCATAGTTGGCCTTCTCCTGGCCCCGACTACTAACTGTCGAAACCGAATCATCAAAGTCGGCCACACTAATAATAGACTTCCAATTAAGCTCAGGGCTGTTGTTCTTCGGGTATCCGAACCCAGCAGAGGCAAGAGCGCGGCGGGTCCAGCGACTTGTGATGTTGGCGAAGTGCCAGCCGACTGTTGCTGGGGAGGCGTAGCGGTCGAGTTGGTTGCGGACGTCGACGAGGTTCTGGACCGCGGAGACGTCGACGTTGTTTACGGCTGAGAAGTCGAGGATGACGGCGCGGAGGATGGGGAGGTGGGTGCGGACTTCGGCAGGCTGGCCGCGTCGTGGGCCCGGGTCGTTCCATGGTCGGTCCTGGATGATGGGTTAGTATCCTGTTCTTTCTCTATAAGTGGCTATGTACTTACACCAAGCTTGGCATAGTTGTCAAGAGTAGTCCGTCGTGTCTCCTTGAAGATGTGTTCGGTGAAGTGTTCCATGTAATGCTGAGAGTTGGGATAGTTGAACCCTTCGTTAAATCGGTATATGAAGACACCTGGATGTGGTTGCTTGACTTGAATATGAGGGTTCGATCCATCCTTACGATCTAGAGGCAGGAAGACATCGCGTGCATTGCCTAATGTGGGAGATTGCTCGCTATCGCTGCTGCTCCCATGTCGAGCCTCGAGCGTGGAAAAGCTGTCTTGTGAGAGCGACTGGATCTTGGTACGTCCGACGAAGCGACCCTTTGCCTTGGAGAGACGGAATAGTAGAAGAGCGCCAGATGCTGCAATCGTGGCGTAGATTCCGTTTTCGATATTTGTAAAGAGAGTCACGAAGACACCGAGGAAGAAAATCGGGACTTCAAGTGGTGACACCTCCCAGAATTGGTAGACAACGTTTGGCGGGGTAATCAAATCTCCAACAGCGTGGATAATAACAGCTGCAAGACTGGACATGGGAATGTAGAAGAACACTGCTGTCAAGGCGTAGAGAGCGAGCAGAACGACAATGGCTGTGAAGACTCCTGCAAGAGGTGTTCTGACACCTGCCTTGGACTTGATAGCTGTCCTGGAGAATGAGCCGGTAGCGGGGTACGCGCCAAGGAACGGGCCGAACACATTCGTGAAACCAATGGCGACTAGCTCTTGAGAAGGATTGATTGTGTAATTGTTGATCCGGCCGAAAGATTTGGAGATAGCAATATGTTCGATGAGTAGAACGATAATAGTCGCTGGAAGCTCGCTCGCAAAAGCTTTGATCGTCCTGGTCTTCATTGTTGGAGCACCAGCATGTTGAAACCCTGAAAAATGTAAGTACAAAAAAACCATAAACTGGGTAAGTGCAGTGAGTGACTTACCTCTGGGAACTTTTCCGAGAATCTTGAAATGGGCTTTCTTGGCATCCTTGATCCCGCGATTGACGAGCCAACTGATGAGGATATACAGGAGCAGCACAAAGGCGATTCGCAAAGTTGACAGGAAGAAAAAGGTCTTCTTCTTCGCTGGGTATCTTCTCGACAGAAACTCGAAGCCGAATCGAATGAAATAAAGAAGGAACAGGGCCGAAACTCCCATTGCTGCATCGAGTCTGGCTTTGGGCAATGCTTTCAGCGTGTCGATGAATACTTCATACGCAGGGCCACGATTGTTGATACCAGGTATCCCGAGGAGTGCTGGAATCTGACCCACGCCGATTGTGATAGCCGAGCCAGTCATGAATGCAGTGATCGCAGTGAGAGAAATCCATTCTACAATCCATCCGATCCTGGCAAGTCCGATAAATAATACAACACATCCTGAGACGACTGCGAGGGTTCTGGCTATTTCCACAGCTTCGATATCCGGGTGTGTCTTTTGAACCTTGATGACGATGTTGCCCACGAGCGTGGACATTACTGCCACTGTCTACGATACCATTAGCCGTCTTCGCGTCCAACGAGAAGCACAGCCACTTACTCCGATAGTGATATCTTTCGACGTGGCGAATGCCCAGTACAGAATAAATCCAACGAATGAGGTATAGAGTCCATACTCCGGAGGAAGCTTGGCCAGCAGGGCATATGCCATGCCCTGCGGCACCACGACGGCTCCAACCGTCAGACCTTGAGATGTCAGAACGTTTACCAAGAATGGTCGCAGAGCCCAGATTCTTGTCTTTCTTGTCATAAAGCTTGACAAGAACAGGAAAGTGAGACTTACCAGCGATAACATCACCCGTTAGCCATTGCACGTTGTATCTGGTGATCCAGTTCAAGAAGGGGAAGAGATCCCTAAAGTAAGTCTTGACAGATTGTCCATTTGGTGCAATTTCTCTGAAATAATCTGCTGCAGTCGGTTCTTTCTCAATATACGTTTCCGCATTCGAGGTTGAAAAGACAGACTCTCCACGGCTCAGAGTCTCAGTGGCATCTTTGCGGTAGTCGGTCTTAATCAGAAGGCCCTTGGCCAAGGCGTGGCCGACTTTGTCACTGGCTGAGGCCATTTCTTGGAAGTACAGAAAAGAGTTCCCAAGACTGAATGGCTGATTCTGCCAATGTGCCATGCAAAGTAGTAGACCAAGCTCTACTTATGTATCCTGCGAATACAAAGACACTAGTGCATGATCCTGCACCAGCGAGGACCCCCATGGACTCCAGGCCCATACATGGCGGGAGCTATTTCTTTTCTAACCATAGCGCCGTCTAATTCCCAGCAATGGGACGATATGAGGGTCCCATGGAACAGCACCCGCTGCATGTCAGTGGGGGAGGATCTCCCAGAAGAAAAAGCGCCACCATGGCCCACTGAGGAGTTGTCGGGTTGCAGTGTTGTGAAGAACAAAAGTATATAAGTACCAAGCATTTCCAAGGATGAGACAATCCGCGCCAATTCTGACGTCTTAATTCCAAGCATGATAACATGGACGCCTCACCTGTCTCCTCGTGGTGAGAGTGGTCAGTTAGAAGCCAAGAAGGCCTCTGGACTTGGCGCGTTTGCTCCGCCAGTGACAACGCCGGACTTGCCCCATGACTTGGGCACCACAACAACATCTGGTCCCCCAATATACTCTCGGCAGTGCTCAGCTGGAGACACAGAGTTTGGAGATGAGCGTGGAAATCAAGTCTCGCCCACCTTCACCCCGAGGAGGTGCTCGAGAGTGCTGTCAGATATATCAAATCCCTTGCCCAGCGCAACCCAAGCATTGGCGAGCTCAGCCCCCGGAAGGTTACGATCCACTTGGCACACCACATTGTGCCATCTCAAAGTGCATCCAGAACGTCTTGTTGGGAATGGAAAGCCATAATAGGGCAATCCTCGGCATGGATGTCGAAAACAATAATTTCGAGTAAGAAGGAATGAAGAAATGCTTTTGTAATGCCGACAACATCCACTTCACGGCATGGGAATAAGCAGTGAGCTCGCAATATGAAGGTTGCAATTCAACTAGATCGGCCGACAAGCGATCAGGACCCTCTCTTCACGAGTTTGGATTATGTTCGCGGCAATGTCATCCTCTCCTTGCAGCGTGCGGATGCAGTGTCCAGGGTCACTGTGGTCCTCTCAGGTATAAGGCCCCATTCCGTGATCCGCTGCCCTTGTCGCGATTGACTACTACAGCTTTTAGAGCACATGTCTAATTGCTTCTTGCAGGAACTCTCTTCAGCAGTGTTGTGGCTGCCGCGACTAATCCATTAGATGGCACCTTACACGCCATGAATACGCACAAGGTCAGTCTTCCTTTTCTCGGCCCAGCCTTTCCATTACCTAAACAAAATCAATCTGACTCTCTTCCATAGCTCTTTGAGGTTGACCAGCCAATCTTCCCTCCACCTGATTTTCCAGCCACATCAAAAGGCTTTTCTCTACCGAAAGGCTCAAATGTCTTCCCATTCGTCCTCCGCTTTCCAATCTTATCAACCTGCAGCGACACGAACCATGATTGGATCAAGCACCTCAATACCTCCTTACCTCCGTCCACCAAAGTCCAGGCGCCCAATAATGTCGCCACCGGAGAAGTAAAATACTCCATTAAAGTCAAAGTTGAGCGCCCCGGGCGCTTCAAGCCCGACCTGACTTCACAGCTGGAGCTGAGATTCATGCCTCTAGACCCTTCATTACCACCACCAATGCTGAATCCTGTTTCAGCCAGGACATCTAGATCGCTGTTGCGGACCTCTTCGAGAAGTAGCCCTCCTTCATCACCACCGGTTTCTGATCGGCTAGATAATAGCGTCATCACTTTCGAAGCGTCGCTGCCATCGCCGGCTGTACTTCATACGAAGCATCACTTACCTCTCACTATTTCCGCTATTATCAAATCTGGTTCAAGGATACCTGGGTCGTCGGTGTATCTCAGGTCACTTGCTCTATGTTTGCGAATAGAGACGATTATTACAGTCGGACCTAATTCAACCACATGGCCGTCTCTTGACGAGCTTCTCAACTTGTCTGGACTCCAGATTGAGCTAAGCGAGGCGTTTCCAGGACAAGGGGAAGTAGATCGTGAACTTTGGAAAGATGTCATTATTCCGGAGATAAATCCTAGTTTTACAAGCTGTACACTTGTGCAGCAACATTTTCTAGTCGTCGCAGGAGGATTTTCATACGGCACAGAGGGCTCGGTTCAGGTAAGCGAGCCAACTGTAAACTTGCCAAGCATGAGCTGATGATATGTGATAGATTATCAAAACATCAATCAATATTGATGTCCATACAGGAATCAAGCCAAATGTAAGACTAGATGAGCTTAACGGGGATGAAGTTGAAGAAGCACCGTTTATACCCTGGCGAGTTGGATCCGAGAGGCACTTAGGCATAATGAGGAGGACAGATTCGGTGTCCACGGATGTGCCACCACCAGCTTATTCATAATACGGAGCACAGAAAAGCGTCGTGCACAGTAGCTGTCTGTGAAGGATCTGATATCGACTGCGCAGTGGTCTACAACTGACCAGATTTTTGGTGAACAAATCAGACCGAGCTAACGGTTGGATGTGAAAACGGCAGCGTTGTCTGGCAGCTCTGCATCGCTGCTTTGACAACATCTAAGTGTAGTATATAAACCAACTCCCTCTCATATCCACGAATATTTACGAAAAGATTCTTGACGACGGTAACGATCTGGTAGTATGGTGAGACATGATAGTTCCAAATCAACCTGCCAAGGAAACACCCCCGAGCCACTTCCTCATGAAAGACAAGTGCGACGGTTTCCTCAAAATCTTCACCTTTATTTCTGTAACGTGCTGATTGAGGATCCACGTCGAACTTATAGGAGCTGTTATATCGAAAAGATGCTGACGGCTCTCCTGCGAGACATCGCTCGAAAGTGAAAAGACCAGACTGGGAAGTGAGCTTAGATCACTGCACTTCGTCATCCACTCTTCTTTGTTCATCCCCGACGGCTTCCATACAAGGAAACAGAGGCGTATGAGATCAGTATGACCAACAGGATCGGTTGCTGCTGTTTTGGGCATACGTGGGAAATGCCGCACCGAGAAACCCACCTCGGCGTCGAAGTTATAAAAGGCGACGGCGATGCCATTAACAGCTATCTGTTGCTCCAAGATAACCTGTAGAGAGTCACTCTCGATATGCCATATGCCTTCAACTGGTGCTGTCCCAACGATTTCGAAGCCAGTTTGAGCAAGCGGCGGTTGGAATTCGAACTTGTAGGACTTTGTCTTGTGGCTCAATACGGGACTCTTCGCTAAGTATATCGGGTCGGATTTCATTATTGCTTTGTACTCTTCTGTGAAGGTTGAGTCTATCGTCATGATGCCTGTTCTTGCGGTTCGTCTGTAGACTTTGTTGTAGCCGACGCTTTCGACGACAATTGCACAAGCGCAGGAGAAGTCACCGGCCCAATGACATCGCAATCCTGCGAGGTCTACTCCCGGTAGACCTTCTCTGATTTTCAAGATTAAGCGATGCATATCAAAGCGCAGGCCTCTACTAGTCATCGTGCATGGGGTATCGTCAGGACTATTCGGGAAAGGAACGATGTTTGCCGCCGTCTTGAAGTTGTTGGGTGATTCGGCTAGCACGCTGATAAACTTGTCCTCATTGGTGTCGAATGTCTTGTGATCGGGCAAGGGCACTAAGTCCCATGCGAACAGCGAGTGATCATCCGTCTCCTTCAAAATTTCTTCTTGGAGTCGCATGAATGCCCGCTTCCCCTCGCCGTACAATAAAGGCATATTGACATTAAAGATCCCAAAGAGCGAGTAAGCGATGTCTTCAACCCGCGTCGTCTCTCTACCTGCAGCCCAGGACATCTTTCTAGCGATACTCGCCGAATCCCGACAGGTAGAATTGGCAAGCACATCTTTCCCAATAGTCGTTATGCTGGAAATGGTAGCCGAAAGCTGATTCTTGTCGCCAAGGGCCTTCCAGTTTTGGTCGTAGAAGTGGACAATCCGGGGTGCAATGAGCTCCTGTAAGGTCCAGCCCCGAGTGAACCATTTGCTTTTCCGGAGAGTTTCCTCCAGATCCAATTCAGGCGAATTGATCGCGGAATCAGCAAGACTGATGTCCGAGAGGTATGCAAAGCAGATGACCGCATTCTCATACCAGGTAAACATGGAGTTGATAGCTTCAGACAATTCGGCACTACTCGTCTTATCGATACAGCATGTATCTATCCATACATAATCGAGCTTCTCTCTTCCAGCCTGCTGACTCGAAAGCGTGATTTTTTGCGCCCCCGCTTTCTCCTGCCATGAATTGCCGTTGATATCCTGAAACGTGACCTCCTCGGCCCCCCAGGTGTGCGAGAGAATTGCATAAGGAGGGATTTGAGATCCAAAGTACTCTTCCAGTTTCATCGAATGGACGTTGAGGAGACGCATTTTGACGATTTGTATCGGTCGAGTGATTGCAACCAGCCAACACCTTTTCTCGCACCCTACCCTGCCCTCGTGATATGGAGCGGTAATCGGGATTGTGAAGCTACCGAGCCAGATAATCCAAGTTGACAACTTGATTTCCAGGGGATTAAGTTTATTGATGAGGCTCGATGAACTTGAAGAGCCCAGGCTCCAGGTTTACGCCCGGTTTTGCAGCCTCGCGATGTACACCTTGTACTTAAAAATGCATGGAAATCATTGGGTACCCAAGCGAGTCCTTATGTGACCCAGCATATGCAGTATGAAGAATACTTATCAGTGAGAAGTGAAGTGTATTGTGGCAAATGACTACTGTTACAGCTACCTGCCCGGAATCAGTTTGATAGCAGCTTCATCCCTTACTGTTTTCAGTGTGTTATCAAATCATGCAGTTGAATATGACTGAAGTCTTGCTGCTTGCTAGACTTGGACGAAGGTCCACCCTTCCTTAGACCTCGACTCATAGTGCCAAATCCAGATTTCTCCCTGTCCTTCAACGTTCAAGTTTCAGAAAGTCAATATAACATTCGTGCTCCTAGAATCAATGGAGATTAGCTTTAGATTTTCTCCCCACGAAATGATCATCAAAGGGTACGAACCTTCATGAAAGGCTTCGTCTCGTCGTAGAATACCTCAAATCTGCTCGTAATTCCCGGTGAGGTATGTTCCGTCCCAGCCTTCACTTTCGTGCGATACGTTCTATAAATAGCAGCAGTCAAAGTGGTCATTTCCGCCATGGCAAGACTACAGTACCCTATCAGCATCGCGTCCAGTATTCTTAGAATCAAATAGCAAACTTACTGGATCCCAATGCACATCCTTCCGCCACTCGAGAACGCCCAAAACCACTTCTTCATCTCAGCAACATCCTTCGCAGCCCCCAGCCAGCGTTCAGGATTGAAGACTAGGGGATCTTTGAACACTTCAGGGTTACGATGAAGATTATACGGGGACATGCTGACGATAGTGTTCGCTGGAACATGGTAGCCATTAATCGTACAATCAACTGGAAAACTCCTTGGCTCAGACGCCGGCAGGGGAGCGTATAATCTCAGCGTCTCCTTGATGACCGCATCAAGGTACAGCAGTTTGTCCGTTGCAGTTGCAGTCGGGATTCCACGAGAATCCAGCATATCGTCTGACATAGCAGATACTTCCTCTGCGAGTTTCTGTTGGAACTTGGTGTTCTCTGGGAGAGAAAGTGCCCAGATCAGGAACATGAGACTGTCACTTGTGGTGTCTACGCCTGCGAGGAGGTGGTCTGCTACTTCGGATGCGATTTCAAGGTCTTGTAAACCGTCTTGCTTGACTGAAATGTGGTGTTCTGCTAAGCGGCCGATGATGGTGGATGTTTTGAGGGTTGTCTTCTCGTGTCTTGATATTGAGGAGAATGTCTTGGATGAGGCAAGAGCGTGATTGCGAATGCCTGTGTACACTGTTGGCTTGGCTTGAGGCAGCATTCCCATTGCAGCGACCAGCTTCTCCGAGAGTCCAGTTCGGGTCATGAGCCATTTGGTGTAGCGCGGTAAATGAGCTGCGAACCAAGCCAGTTTCCGCCTTGAAGGATCAAGCACATCATTCAACATCGTGCGGTCTGTTTTCGAACCAGTGAGGGACGATGTCCCGCCGTATTCGGGTCCGTAAAGAAAATGCGTGATATTATCAAGCGAGTAATAATGCAAACTAGAGAAAGTCTCACTCGCCGTCTCGGGATCCTTCTCAATCAGCTGCATAAATTCCCAGACTTTCTCTTCAATTGCAGGTGCGGAAGATTTCAGGATACTAGATTTCGAGTATGCGTGGTTGAGCAGCTTCTTTCTCTCGCCATGTTCTTTCACGCCGGCAAATGTGAAGAGGTTCTGGTGTCCGTAGACGTCGAACATGCGATAGAAGGAAGTCCTCTCAAAGCCACTGCCGGCTCCGTATATTGTCTTTAAGGCAGTGACACTATTGAATGATATCTCATTTGGGCCGACTCTGACGACGGGTCCGAATTTCTGGTGAAGTTGGTGGATCGAGCTCGTTCTGATACCGAGCCAGTCATCGTAAGCGAGTCGCCACTTGGTAGAGGCATATTGGTATGGCCCTCGGATACCTCTTAGGCGGAGAATATTGGAGATTATACGAAAGAGAATAAAGATGGCTGCGAGACCCAGAAATCTAACGAGAAGAGCACTGCTCAGGGAAAGTGTATCAGATGTATTCATCTTGAGTAATCAGACAACTTGGGATGTCAAAGACTTTTTAAACAAATGGTTGGATTTTACCCATCGATATGAGGACCAGCCAGTTGTAACTGACTGAGTGGGTTGGAGACTATATCGTAGTCTGGGTCGGATACGGAGTTCAAGAGTGGTGGCGTGGCGCAACCCCACTTACTCAAAGCGGAAACAACTTCCTCTTAGTTGAGACTAGTGACTAGGATAAGAACAATCGAGCTCTAATGCCATCAGATCAATACGATGATTTGAAGAAATGATCAGCAGGTGATGAGAAGAAATCCAGATCTGACAAAAACGAGAGACTGTTCTATTATTACTCGGGTTCTCACAAGGCCTTTGTTCGGATTTATGCTTTCCCCGCACCTCCACGGATCCTTGGCTCGAGTTGAAACACTTGCTCGTCCTCTGTAACATCTTTGTAAAGTTCATCCCATCGTGGCTTCAGTTGTTCAGGAGTCTCCCAAGCAAGTTCCGGATCTCGAAGCCACAGTCGTAACAAATGTCTCCTGTTCATGTAATCAGCCAATCTCCACACACATCCAATGCCAACTAGACTTACTCTTTCCCGGGCTCGTCCGTGAATCCATCTCTAGCGTGAAAAATGCTCAAATTGTTCACATATTGCACATCGCCTTTTTGGAAATCTAGCGTCAAGCTGAACTTCTCGGCCAGGAAGTGAAGTGCATCCAGGGCTTCGGCTTGAGCTTCGGTGATTGGAGGGATGCCTGGCGAACGTGGCAGATTTAAGAAACCTGTGAAACCTCGGCGGGCATATTGAATGATAACTCGTTCCGGAGAAGTGTCTGTTGCTGGAGTATGGTAAAGTAGTGGCTTGGTGGTGTATGGTTTGTCAGGATTACCATAACTGAAGCTGTTAGTACTCGTAGCCTCCTGTTTAATTTGTGCTTACCCATCAAACACCCAGTCTTCCGACAAAGTTTTGATGATATCAGGCCGAGTTTTAGCCAATTCGTTGTAGACTCTCCAACTGCTCGCTAGCTTACTTTCACCACCTTTAGCGGCGACATTCAGTGAGAACAGACTAACAATATCTCCTGCATCAGTATGGAAGACTTGTTTATCAGTCGTGTAAGCTGGTGCACCGATATTACCCGCCACTGATGTCTGGCTAAGATCTTTGATATGATTCAGCATCGAAGATTGCTTCACCCCGTCGATGAGTCTCGAGTCTTGGCGACCACGAACACTTCCAATGTATGACGACACGCCGGCGTAGATGATGATATTATCTTCGATTGCGTAGTTATCTGGTTTTAAACCACGCAAGACGAAGAATCCGCGGCCGGATTGAAGCTCCTTTGCGTGTTGACGGAGGATTGGTGAGAGAGTTGGCAATGGGAATGTTTGCTGGTTCACATAGCCAATTGCCTTATTCAGAGCTATACCATCATCAGTCAACATTTTTGAAAGGAGCTTGTACAATTTACTTTTGAACGCCTTCAAGGCAGCATCTATTTCTTCAAGATGTTGCGCCGTCAACAGTAAAGTCCACTGTTTCTCATCCGTGTAGTCCTTCCCTTCCCATACAAGTCCCCCTTTCAACTGTTCGGGAAAATTTCCAGGCAACTTTGAAATCGACCCATTGTGCGACTTGATCTTCTCACTACGCAATTGATACTTCTGAAAGTCTGGATGGTACGAGATATCAGGCTGGGTCTGAGTTTGGGTGAGCGACATAATGACTTTGCAAAATTTGGAGTAATCTGGAAGTTGGAAAATGTGAAGGTGGGATGAAAAATAGTCGACAATCTAACATTATAGATGTTACATATGAGTAAGCATCTCTCTGTAATGTTTCATGATGCTCGCGACCAGTGGAATTGCGTGATTGAAGATCTACCCCGCATGTCACGTGCTACTATTTGCCGCGTCCAGGTTAGGTAGTCATATTGACTTCAGGTTTTGTTTACTTTCGCTTGGCTACTGTGGAAGAACACTAAATAATGCTTATGTATTGCTACCGGATCGTCGGGTTGATTGTACTGTAACCCGATATATTAGGGGCATGAAATTGACGAGACAGGGTGTAGCTGTTCAACGCTCTTCTTCTGGATTCCGTGGCATGGTACACTCCAACTTGATAAATTTAAAGTTCGTCGATTATTGTGAGGAAGAAATATTCCGTCCCTCCAGTGGTAATTGCCGAACAGTTGCTCTTTCAGTCATATTAAATTCCAATTTCAATATCCCTCACAACGAGGTCACATGTTCAGCCAACAGTCCGAAGTTTTAGCGACATGTCCGGAGCTTGATGATCAATCAACATCTGCAACAACCTTTGAGAAGTACAATGCAATTGGATCAGAGCGACGCGTGCAATTAGATACGGCCACATATTCACGCCCAAGGTCTTTCGGAATCATTTCGATCGACTTCAGTCTTCCAGGTGGTAGAAATCAAGTGGACGATTTCCACCCCTTGATGCATGACAAATCGGACATATATCAACGTCATGAGAGCATATAATTTCACTTCCACTGTGCAAAAGGTACGAAGACAATGAGATTTGTACAAGAATTTTATTGACGAAACACTTCACAGATACTTGGCTTCCAATCAGCTTTCAAATCAAGCTTCAACTTCCCAACATTCCATCCGATGTCTTCATCAGCATCAACCTCCAGCGACCCAGATATCAATCGCACGATATCATACTGGTTCGACGGCCCCAATCCAATGCAAAAATGGTTCCAAGGCGGAGCCTCAATCGACCAAGAAATCCGCGAACAATTCCTCCCTCTCGTTGAACGGGCACGAGCGCATGAACTTACGTCCTGGACCCAGGAACCCCGAGGCTCACTCGCTCTTATCGTCCTTCTCGACCAATTCCCTCGGAACTTGTATCGTGGCTCGCCCTTGTCTTACAGTTCGGACTCGATGGCGCTGGACGTGGCAGCGAAAGGCATCGCAAAGGGGCATCACAAGGAAGTCACAAACCTCCAGATGCAACCTTTCTATCTGCCTTTGATGCATCATGAGAACCTCGTCAGTCAGATTGCCGCGACATCGTTCTACGAGTCTCTGATTACGAGATGTGAATCGGATCCCGAGTTGCAGGAGTGGATTAAGATGTCGTTGGGCTATGCAGAGCGACATAGAGATTGCATTCTCAAGTTCGGCCGATTCCCTTCGAGGAATGAGATATTGGGAAGGATCTCAACGCCGGAGGAAATAGCGTACTTGAAAGAGTATCCTTCTGGATTTTGAGTCACGTGGGTGTCGCTGGTTGTCCTTTTTGACAAGGGATTGTATTTTGACTGTTGGTCACAAACAACATTACTTGGAACTTGATCGGAGAAATGCTGTGTCGTGGGGTAAAGTCATATTCATCCCAAATCCCCAGCATTCTTGCAGGTGGCTAAACCCGTTCTTCAAACACTATCGACGCCATATCACAAAACAACAGACAAATTTTTTTTTCACATGCCAATATGGTAGCTTGTATCATTAGTAATCCCATCTCCATTTGCTATTTTTGAATCTCATTTCATTCTTTATTACAATCCTAAAGTCATATCAGATGTGCTTGCGTGACATTAGCAAGAAACCTTCTTGTGCTAGTACACTGTACCTCAGTAACTTGAAGTCTGGGAAAACATTGAACCACGACAGCAGATGATTACAGAAGACATCAAGATATCAGGATATCGGAACATGATGAGAAGCTACTCTCACCATAATCCGATCTAGAGACCAGCCGATGTTGTCATTATAACATGGAAAATCTCTTCAGTCGTTGAAAGGTTTATGTTTCTATCGAGCATAGTGGACCACGGACATTGTAACACAGCAAGTTGTGACCAGTGTACTCCAGCTTCGCCATCGCCCGGCCTGAAACAATGAAAACCCAACATCGTGCCCAAGCTCGAAAGCCTATTCATCCAACGATTTGGACAATATTAAAGAGAACAATATGAAACCGCCATGCCATCATCAAGGGTATATTCGCGCTCGTAAAACCAACAATGTAATCCAACAGTCCAATAAGACTCCAACAACAACAGACGACAAAAGAAATCTTGTTTCCGTCGAATCAATCATCCTCTTCCTCAGAGTCCACCAAATAATCATCGTCCGCCTCCTGTTCCGTAAACTCTACGCTTTGCATTTGGCGGGAGATGGTTTTATCTGGCTTCAACCCCGTCCACATCCTGGTTGTAAGTAGATATAGTCTCTGTCCTTGCTGGCTCTGCGCTTTGATGTAGCATAGTTGAGGGAAAGCCATCCACCACACACAATTGCTCACTCGGTATCTTGGGTAGCTCGCGAAAAGCGTTGACGCCTTCAGGAGTTCCCACTTGGAGATTGCCGGATTCTCATATGGTTCGTCCGCTAGTAACGCTTGTGTAAAGGGAGTGTCTGCTCGAGGCCGAATCTTTACGTAGACTGCGAATACCTCGGTGGCGATAGTTACAAAATCCGGCTTACTTTCATCCTCTAGGGCCGACCCTTTTGTGGGACTGTCTTGACGGAAAGCTCCGGCCCACATCATGTTGATTGTCTTGAGTTCAGATACCAGACCATTCATGAGACTCTTCCATTCCGGGTTAGAAGCGGCACGATCGCGGGCAGTACAATACCGCCTAACCAAGTCCTCGTCCCACCCAGGATTTAGCAGATCTGGAAATTTCTTATGAAATTTCGTCAAGGCGACGTCAACCTTTTCTCCAACAGTCAGTCTCAAGTGGTCGATAATATCGTTGTTTGGATTATGCACCAGATCTTTTATCTTTGCCCTTGTTCTGTGCGCTGTGGTTGTGACACAGAAATCCACATATCTTGTCCAGTCTTCGTAGTCGAATATGATTCCCTGTTTAGGTCGATCAACAAGATTGCTCAAGAGGGTGCTGATAGAAATCATCTCTTTGCTCGAGACGCTTTTCAATGTGAATGCCATACTCTCTTTGTACGACGTACAGAATGGTAGAAGATTTGGTCTCATATTGAATATGATCGCCTTAGAAAGGAATTCCCGTACTCGGTCTTCCGCACTTAGCGCCAGTCCATTGTATGTCGTGGTATCACGCTTCAAAATGCCTTGCTCGAAGAAATCGGGGAACTCAGGCACTGAAACCGAGTTGACGTTGTCGACTATCACAGGGTCCCAGCACAACCAAGCTCGATCTCCATCATAGTCACCCCCGCTTAACATAGAAGCAAGCGAGGGGTTTCCTTTTGTAGAGAATATGATAACGTCCTTTAATGGTAAGAAGATGTCCCTCTTAACAACCTTGACCTTTTGAATGTCGCTAGGAAGGTGGGCAGGGTTCCTGGCAACTAAGACATAGTCGCCGTTACGGATAGAGTCCGTCAAGTCCGTCACACCATCTATATCTGTGAAGGATGAGAATCCGACATAAGCCTCGCCAGGATTCAAGATACCCCAAAAGTCGGGAACCATGAGAGGATATGCTGATCGAGCAATTGGGATGCTTAGCTTCTCTTCTTTGAGACCTTCACACTTCCTCACCAACAGTTGAGTGAGCCACTTTGTCATCAAGAGCGATTCTTTTTGGTGGAAACCCGCTTCTAGCATAATAATCAGTCGCTCTTCTATGACAGTCGGCATGGCGACTTCATAAGAGATGCCACCAGCGTTCAACCGTTCTTTCGTATTGGGATTGCTGCGTCGTATCCATTCTCGTAAAAGCTGCGGATTGTCAAGGGCCAGATCTATTTCCGCCAGCTTGAGATCAAGGCTGGTTTCCATTGCCGCCGACATGGACTTTTTCATCTTGTTCTTATCTTTTGCTCCTTCCATGAGCAATGTCACAAGCTGTTCATTCAGAGCGTGGGTCTTGAGTCTCGATGAATATGCGAGCACTTCAAAGGTTCGGTGGACGTCGTCATTTCGGGTATCTCGATTCCATTTCTGTTGCGACGGGTAAACCTCGATCCAGTCTTCTTTAGTCTCGTCCACATGGTCAACAACCCATAGTCCCTTTGCCCCGCCGAACCTTCCTTGGAAAGCCGCGGGGTGATACGAGAGCCCAAGTATTCGACTAATTTTCTCTCCAAGAGATCTAGACAAACGAGCAGCACCGTCATTCATGACTTCGGTTCCTGAGAGTATATCTTTGGTGTGAAATCGAATTTGTGATTCGGGAACGACGACGGTTGGTCGATTTCTTGAAAGAGCTAAGCCGTCAGCCGAAAAGGAACGTTACCATCGTGTAAGGGGAATTACCTAGCGAACTTCGTGCGAAGAGTTTGAGGTAGCTCTGCTCTCCATTGAGCCCGGTTGGTCTAATAGCATCGAGAAGCTTTCCAACGGTCATGTTGGGATGGCCTTTGTAATTACCTCCAGTACATCCAGACACAGAAAACAGATAAAGGACATGACCCACACCAGAACTCTTGTCAACCTTGGTTTTCGCATTCTTGCTCCGCTCAACCGGCTTGACGGAAAAGGGCACCCACTTTCTTCCAAGGAAGTGGTGTGATGAGTTGACGAGCCAGTCGTATATTGCAGATGGTCCAGCTTTCAACAGTAGATCAGGAATGACATCTTTCTTGTAACAAGGGGCGGACTCCAGATTAGGAACGCGAAGTTCAAGGAATCGATCATGACCAAATTGTCGTCCGGACCGATGGGGCAGAGCAATTCGTAAGGGCATCAATCTTAGCTTGAAGAGCTCCTCGCTCGTATTCGAGTTGAAAGATAGTGATGCCGAAAAGACAACGGACTCGAACTGTTGCGAATCGCGAGCTGAAGGGTCAATAGCACATGCCCATGCATCTCTGCTGCTTCGCTCCGGTAACTGTTTGCCCTGTAGAGCAGGTAGCGATTTCAAGTATTGCCAAAATTTGTCATAGTCGTTGAAAGAGATAGTGGGCTTCTTCAGGCCAGACATTGATACTTGTGCATGAGAAAAGACTCTGGTGATCTCGAACGACACACAGAATGGTGCAGAATACAGTGATTTGGGAAGTTCAGCTGATCTAGTTAGCCCAGATATAGAAAGTACAGATCGATCGACCTACGGAAGAGTGTTTGCAGCTGATCTCGGAGTACTTGCTCGTCCGAGACCAGTTCACGTATGCTCGAAGATGCGCTTGCAGCAGAATCAAAGCTTTGAAGCTGTTTGTCTAACACATTGAAACTCTCTTCAAGACTACTTGACCAGTATTGCGGTTGGCTGTCCGGAATAGTACTCGAGGTGCTCTTATTGATCTCATTCTGGTCTGGGATTGTAATCTGGGTTGAGGCTTTGGAAATGTTGAAGCTACTAGCGGAGACAGTGCTAGCAGACACGAATGACTCAACCGTTGTCTGCTTTAGACCTTGGGCTTTCGCAATTGTTTGAGGCGAGGCTTTGACGGATGGCTTCAACGTGCTTTGCGAGACTGCTGGAGCTTTTATCTTCTTCGTAGGCGTGAAATTAAGGCCTTCAAATGACCGCTTAGCGGCGGCACCCGAACCCTGAGCCATTGTTTCTATTTTCGAGGATTTCGATCCAGGACCTCTACTTGATGGAATTAGGACAGCTTGTATAGCCTTTGAAGCCTCCTTTGGTGGCTTCCGTGGCGTCTTTGGACAAGCTTCAATATATCGGTCCAGTATACTTCTTAGAAGCCGAAGCAGTTCGTCTCTCTCGCTACTAGAGATGGGCTTTGGTCTATCGCGAGTTTTCTGCGTTATAGGTCCGCGAACAGAAACGGGGCTTTTGAGCCACTTTGTGTAAAGCTTTGAGGCTTCGAAATTGAACTCCTCGATAGCAGCATTGTAAACGTGCTTGTAATAGCAGTAAGAAAGCTTTCTTACGATAGCCTCTTTCTCTGTTGCCTTGATTGGCAAATATTGCTTTGACGCCTTGAGCCCCAAGTCCCATTGCCTCGACAGGAATTCCAGTTGTGTATCAAACACATTGGGTTCTGGCTTCCCAGCGGAGTCCAGGGACGTATTCATGACCTTTGATTTCTCCCAAATCTCTCCTCATGCCTCGTATGTATGTTTCTTATCGATTTCTGAGCCTTACGATTTCGTGGTCAAGGGCTTTCGGTGGGAGTGGTCTAGCTCAACGGGCAGGGTCGAGATGGGAGAGCTAGCTGTACGCAGATATCGAATTGCAATTGCATCGTCCTTCGTAAATTACCTTGTTGGCAGTAGACGGGTTCAAGATAGGGGCCGTGGAAGCTGGAGCTATGTTTGTTTACATGTCAGCGTTGGGCGCAGAAGCTGTTACTCCCTAATGGATGGTCCAATTCATTCTTACCAGAGCAGCAAAGACAGCAATTGGCAGCAAACAAGCGATGGCCGCACGAGATTGGATTGTTGGTGCCTGGCGTAGGGAATTGAGACAAGTGAGGGGAAGATTGGAAAACTGGAGAGTTGAGATTAGATTGCGGGCGATGCGGGACTGGAGCGGCCCGACTTTAGTGTGGCACTAAATTTAGAGTTTGGGTACCTGAAGCTAAAGATCAACCAGCTCCCTCCTTCCGTCTAGAAAGACTCCGAATAGCTTCATCTTGACCACTAGTCATCATGAAGATCGAGCGTTATGTGAGAAATTGGGGTGAGAACACTTGCCCTTGCGCCGAGTCGAGTCCTTAAAATCTTCGGTGAGGCCACATCCAAGATTCTTCACCTTCGGCTTCAACAAGATCACATCAAACAGAGCAGAGACATTTGATGCTTGAGAATTGTCGTGTGAAGAATATGGCGAGCATGGAAAATATCAATTCGCTGTCTATTCGCTCGATCAATGCTTCAAGTCTTCCAGACCAGGCTGCAGGCTAACACGACTCCTCCGATTCACCACGAAATTGGCACACTGAATGTCAGACTCACCGCGCTTCCCGTCAACGGAACCCATATCGTCAAAGGATCCTGAGTATTCAGCTGTTCTGTAACGAAGCCCTTAGTATCTCGTACCTTACCAGGGACAGTTACTGGGATTGGAGCTGTACAGCTGTTCGTCGAGGAGGAGATCGTCAGTCCTGTGATGATCTTCTGCGAGGTATCGATGTTTAGTGTCATGATGTATTTGCACTTGTCGCGAGTCATTCTTTGAGAAAAAGATGCTGCGATGTCGTCGTGCTTGCTGGAGATGATGGGCCAGTTCACACTGCAACTTTCAGCAAACTGTCCAATATCTGATAATTCTGATTGACCAGACGGAATCTTACACTCGGACGAACTCTCCAAGTACAGTCTCTACCCACATTTGCAGGAGACTCCATTTTCCACTCTTGGCCGTCAATCCTCCGCCTGGTATAGTGGTTGTTTGAACATCTGCTTGCCTCATGTTTGCTTGATGGAACATATATGGATCGTGATGGAGAGAAAAGAGATGACGAGTGTTTGTGGCCTTCTCTAGAGTGAGAAGATCGGTAATAGTACCGCTTCCCTGAGCAATGGCTTTCCATTCGGCCACGTCACAAGCAGTTGTGTCGCACTAATATGTCTGTCAGCCGATAAGTTCAAAGCGCGTCTGCTGGACTTACATTGTAATATATGTTCGAAGCCCACCGAGGAGTTATATTAATTCCAGCAAAATTATCACCAGAAGCTGTGGTGATAAGCGGCCAATGCTCATTATTCTACTCAAGAGTTAGTTTTTAGCGGAATAACCAGATTGTGATACCGACAGGGTTCAACAGTGCTTGCCTGGTATTGTCACCAACCGCATTCACAAGGCCACTGTCAGACCAAGCTCTCAACGCATCACCATTGTGTAAACCGGTGATCGCAGGTGGTATTAAACCCTTCTCACTAAAGTGAGGCACCGAACTTATTCCCAGCTGTGCAAGCCACGCTTGATTCCACGTAATTTCTTTACTGACATCGAAATAGGTCGCCTCATCCTCACTCTCATGAGTAAAAGTATGAGACACGTGCATGAAGGCATCCCGATTCTTATCAGTCACCCACCAATTCTGCAGCGGATCTAGCACTGCACACGCCTTGCTATATGAATAATTTCCAGCATTCAAGGGCCAAAGTGAGGTTCCAGTCCCAAGAGGCTTCACATACTCTGCCGCTGCAGACGCTTGAGAATCATATTGAATAGGTCCAGTTCCGCAGACTAGTCCATCCTCCTGGCCATCCAGGTCATACGAACTCTACGAATGGTTAGCTCCGCTCTCGAGCTCCATGCATGTAAATAACACCGATTCTCCGGTCTCAAGGCGACGTGTAAGTTCAACATACCCCGATATTTCCATTCCCGTTATGTCCAACCTCGATGGTGTAGTTGCTCCCCACGGGCAGTTTTGCGTTCACGGATGCCATCCACGAGATATGAGCAGCGAGATCTGCTGGTTCGATACGGAACAGTCCTCCGCTGTAGATGGCTGTGGTGAGAAACATATCGTCGACTGTTATGATCAGCGAATTCTGGCCTGAATAGAAAATCCAATCATACCTTGAGTGGAGAGCATGGCTCTTCGATACCCCGCATCTGGTCTTGATCAGCTCATTTCACCTCTTGAATTCATTGTTCTCACACAACCCCCTCGTCGCCCAATGGATCCAAGCATGGGTCAACAAAATGGAAGTGGTACTCCAATCTGTTGCGAAGCCCAGGAAAAACACCATCTGCCAAATCAGCTCTGCTCGCCCATCAACAAGAACCACCAACCTGCTGCCTCCCGTCCTTGAATTTATTGATGACGCCAGCAACCGAATTCGTCAAGAAGCCAGTTGTCGTCTTGAACGTCGCAAAAGCAGTCGCCAAACTGGCATTGGTAATCGCGGCTGGATAATGATATAGTCCTCGAGTACTCAACGTGGCGCCTCTGCACATCGTTCTCAAGTCAGCACGGCTTCAAAACCTATAAGTTCCCATCTTTGAACTTACACGACCAACCCGGCTCCTGGAAATGCAGACGTGTCGTTCACAGCCAGAAGCTGTTCCACCGTGCCGTCACAACAACTCCCCAAAACCCTCGTCCCCGTCGCCGCACCAGGCACAACATCCAATCTCACCATCCTGATTCCAAAGGTCCTCTGATACTCATACAGCGAATTCCACTGCGCATCCGTCAACGCAGAAACATACTCCCCCGCCGAATTCGCATAGCTGACTTCCGACAAAATAACAATTCCGCCATAATTTCCCACTCTCGTTGGAGATGTCAGGACGGGCAGTGTCGCGCCACCTGCTGGAACGATGAACACTTCGAATGCGATGCCATAGTCGTTGAGACCTGATTTCGCCGAGTACGCAACTGTAGCATCGCGTGCTATCACTAGGAATGTGCTTTTCGCTGTGAGTGTTACAGCTGATTGCCGTTTCGTAAGTTGTGGGGTCTGGCCAAGATCATTTTCCTGGATCGTTGACGTGTTTGCGATGATCACGACTTGTTTGTCCTGATCGACTACGACTTTCTTCGGCTCCCAGGATTTTGGGCGATGGATGCGAGTCTGGTTGTTTATCGCTATGCCTTCTGGCTGGCCTGGATGTCGATGGCTGTGTGTTCCATTTCCATGAAACAGATGCGTCGCATTCTCTTTTCTTGTCGGGCTTGGAAAGGCTCGACGGTCTGCGAAAGCAAAAGATGCAAAGTAAAGAAGTGCAAGTACATAAAGGGACCTGAGAGACACCATCTTGTCCTCGACCAGGACGTTCGAGCAAAGAAAATTCCCCACAGAGATTTTACACGAGCAAGCGCAAGAACGAAGACGAGCTGTCGATACACGTAAAGAGAAAACATTCTTCAGCACAAAGGAATGTCTAGTCCCTCGGGTACTGTTATCCATATTGCCATATATTCATCCTAGATCCAGAGTGCTTGCGCCGAGTTTCGCGAGCCATTGATGAATAGGCTGAAACGAACCATCTCATCTACCTCATCCGTCAGCTTTCTCCGTGTCATTCTTCCCCGCTGCCCTAGCTTTGGAGAATGCTCCCGGGCAAGGAAATAAATGGCGACACGTAAGCGTTGCTATAAATACGAGTCACTTTCCGTGAGCATTTATCTTGTTTGAGGATGGGACAGACCAATGTCGTGCTGTTGATGATCCGACAACTCGGGTAATTTCGTGGATGAATTGCAGTACGCGATGACATAGCAACCCCGACTCGGTCGGCTGAGGGATAAGGATTATCTATTCAGTCTAGCTAAATTTTTAACTGCATCACGGAACCAGTGCCATGAGTTGGGATGAGATCGGTTTATCCACCCACTGCACCTGCATCCCGAAATTTGGAAAAGCTTGATTCAGCCAAGAGGGTGCAACGACATTGCGGAATGAAAAGTAAGTCATCATTTTCGGAGAAAATGTATTATCTTTAGTCATGCCCGGTTGTACAGGGGGATGGTATTGATGGTGTTCGCAGACTTCTTCGCCTGTCTATATTTCAAACTTCAAGGAACTCACTACGAGCTCCGAAGATTCAACAAGTATCTTCCACATACTCAATCCCACCAATAGACTTTCCATATGGAAGAGGAATTCCGTCTCGAGAACAATATTGGTGTCTTCGTTGGTAATTATTCATTGCTTATGATTGTTGACTCATTAAATAGGTTGCGACTCCGAACCAAAATGCCAATTTCCTCGACCAAAACCGACAACAACCAACGCGTCGTGCTCAAAAGAGGCATTTGAAACATCCATCTCGAGCTTTTCTCCAGAATCTCACATTAACAATCTCACAAATCTCAAAACATCGTCCCAACCAACCGCTATCGTCCTCCTTCCTCATCCTTCACATAGCAGCCCAAACACCCCCCACAACACCCATAGCACCCACCACCATCGGCACCCCTGTCTTCATACACCCCGACGAACTCGTACTCGGGGTTCCCACGATCTTCGCCGCCGCACTATTAATCGCCTTCCTATAATCCGCAACATCCGTCTGGATCGCCTTCGGCACATCCTTCGTGTACCAGCTCTCCGTCGTCAAAGCGTCATACTCGTATCCTGATTTCGAGATCGAGGCTTGCGCAGCGGTGGGTGCGGCGCTGTAGATAGCGGCGATGGCAGAGGTGTACTTGTTGCTGTTTTCCCAGGTGGATTCCACGGAGTGGAGGGCGCTGGCGAGGGAGGTGGAGGCTTTGGCGTCGATTTTGGGGGTCTCGTCGGGGTAGAAGGCAGAGATCACGGATGGGCTGGGGAGGGGATGTCAGTGTGTGTATTTTGAGATGGAAGATGATTTTGAGAGTCTGATGATGTGAGGGTGAAGTTTGTGATAGAAGTCACTTACACGTTGAGATCATCAGCAGATGCGACTGCAGTGCAAAATGCGAATGCGGCGACCATTGAGAACTTCATGATGAAGGTGTTCGGACTGTGTTAGTGTTCGGAGAGGAGGAGTATTTGCTTCAGTGGAACGGATCAAGGTAAGTTCAGGTGATGTCCGAGTTGTCTTTGCTCTTTATTGTTCTTTCGCTTCAATTAGTATGTTCAAAAATCCGAAATCCTTTTCAAAGTTCAGGGCACACCTCACCCTCATATACCCAGACAACATAACATCATAGCCTTTTAGGTCAATAAGCTCCCTGTAGCCTGCTATGCTGCCTACTCGGTGAGCGCTTGCGAAGTCTTCATTCCCTATTTGGGATGAACCAAGCTTGCTACGCCGCACTATCCTCCTCGCCACCAACAATGCCCCTGGCATCAACGCTTGGAATTGGCGGCTAGCAATTCGTCCGATCTTACTTAAGGGAATTTGAGGATTTTTCTTGGATTGAGTGCCTGTCACTCTCCCTCATCTGGACCAGTCATCTCTGTGTAGTGGTACGGCAAAGCGCCTGGAGAAAGGCACATTTTACCAACTTCTCGCTTGCCCAGGCACAACACCAACCAAGAGTAAGTATTCTGGATGCAGGTACAATACATTACAGTCAGATGCATAAGTATTCTCAAGTTCGGCGAATATCCTGGGGATGGAAATTCTGCATTCGTCACACGACACGATCAACTTACATCCAGGGGAGGCAGCCACTAATGTGGGGTGCATCTAGGTTGGGGGCTATGCTGCACAGTGCGTGCGGCGCCGCATCCTATTTTCGTCGACGCTCTCTGCGCCGTCTCTTCCACTAGAAAGCTTGTCTATTGGCTTAGCTTCGGTATCGATAACTTTTTCTTCGAGCGTACGAGTGTTTATTTTTTTATTTTTACGAATATTGCTCCTCTTGAGACATGTTTCGGCCTTCCCTCCTCAATTTGAAAGGCTTGCATCAAAATACTCTGTTGACAAGTCGCAAGCGGAATTTCGAGATTTCCCTTCGTTTCTGCAAAATAGGTCGTGGACCAATTTATTTATTTTTGGATTGCTATCCGATCAGCCGTTAGGCTGGATAGCAAGTGGAATAGATAGCGTTCAAGCTTTGGTTCCGGAATGCACTAGGTTCGGAATTTTGGGGGGCTAGTGTCTCTTGGGAATTGGTAGCGCAAGATGAGGGGATGAAAGAGTATGGTTTATGTCAAGTGGATATAGGTGGCGATCTAGAGACGTTCCGAGTTCTTGGTATTTGGGCTAGAAGTTTTCTAGTTTTGAGACAAATTTTCATGTTGAAAGCTGTGAATGTCGTTTGTGAAATGTTTAGTGTACACTGCTCCATCTAACGTAGCTGTTGGGAATTATACCGTGTATCAATATATCTAGATCTCCTGTTCTCCCAATGATAAACACCAACAGCTTGCATTCTGGTCACTATTCTCTCCTTTCCCAGACTTCACAATAAGTCAAGTCTCCCTATCCTCTCAAAACCACTCCGCATTCACCAGCCCCTTCCCCTCCCTCCACAACTCCTCACACGCCTCCACCACCTCATCATCCAGTCTCCCTTTCCTACAAGACTCCACATTCCCCCTCAATTGATCCTCCTTCGTGGCCCCAAGAATAACACCATCCCCCTCCCCAAGCACCCCATGCCACATAACCCACCTCAGACTAACCTCCGTGGCACTCACCCCCTTCTCTTCACACCTCTTCACAAACTTCCTCATCAACTCATGCAGTGCCTCTTTATCAAATGTATCTTTATAAATCTGGAGATTACCCTGTTCAAATCTCCCTCCTTTCAAGATCTCTTCTTTGGTTTTCTCTGCATTGGGGGGAGGAGGAAGTGAGACTTTTCCGGTGAGAAATCCGCCAGCTAGGGGACCGTACGCGTAGATTTTGATGTTGTGTGCGCGGAGGAGGGGGAAGAGCGATTCTTCACTGTGGCGAGTGAGGATGTTGTAGTGGCCTTGGTAGTAGCTGGGTTTGATGTAGCCTTTTGCGTCGCAGATGGAGAGGTATTCTGCCATTTGGGCGGTGCTGTAGTTTGAGAGGCCGAGCTGGGTTAAGTGTCAGCTTGTTCAAATACCATGTTGGGTGTTTATTTAGAGGCCTAGGAAGAGAGGCGATGGTGGACTGAGGAGGGAATACGGAGCTTAGTCACGTACCTTCTCGAATTTCCCTGCACGGAATTGTTTGTCGAATCCTTTGGCCGTCTCTTCGATAGGTGTAGCTGTATCCGGTGCATGCGCATACAAAATATTGACCTATTTGCATGTCAGGAAATCGTCAAATTTCATCTATAACCTGATCCCCAATCCCACCTGCTCAGAAAGTCTACTAACCTTCTCAACACCCAACAACCTCAAACTCTCTCCTAAACTCCACTTAATCCCCTCCACAGTCAGACTCCCATCCCTCGTCGAGCCCTTCCCCTTCTCGCCCCTCGGCAAAATCTTTGTGTCAATCACAAACCCCCTCTCGGCAGCTTTCGTCTCGCCAAGTAGTCTTTCTGTAACCCAAGGTGCACCAGGTGGGTATCCACCTGCTGAATCGAGCTCTGTGAGCTGTAGCTCGTTGAGAGTAGTTAGGAGGGAGGAGGTTTGTTCAGCATTGGTCCAGGTGTGTGATATTTTGCCGGAGCCGATGCCCCCAGCGCCGAAGACGAGGCGTGGTGGCATTGTCTGGTTTGGTGCGAGGTTCGTGGTGGTGTGAGATGGAAATAAGCTTAAGATTTGGGAATCTCAATTCTGAATATGACAAGGGAGGATGAGGATATAAAAGTCTTGAGGTAAGATGGGTGGTGGGCTGTGCGTAGAGGAAGCTTCTTGATCTACCCCGCTATTTCGAGGCGGAGCAGTGCCCACATCCCAACTAACCCACTTCTTATAGATGCATTGGTACGGTGGGAAATTACCATACTTATAAGCCTCAATGAGCCATCACTTATTAATGATTCATGCCAATGGCCGTTGTGATTGGATCCAGGTGCGATATACGCTGTAGAAGTCTGGAAAGTTGTCAGCATAAGAAGCGGCCGCATCAGGAAGGAGGGGTAATATGGATGTTCTCGGACAGATGTCTCGACCGACATCCGAAGCATGTTTACTTGTCAAAAGTCATGAGCTAGACATAAGACATACGCTGCTCCAGGATTTGTGGGTGAATTTCCTAACCTACATATGTCCGCACCCAGGTAAATAAAATCGAATGCTCTTTCATCCTTGTGTATTCCAAAACACCATTCGCTTATTTCAACACCCGCTAATCATACTCCATAACAAATCGTACACTATCCTACACAACTGTGTCTTGAAATCAAGAAACGCTATGCTCTACTCCCTTCAAACATACCTGTGTTTCCATTCCCAACATTCTCAACTTCATTCTTCTCTCCCCCATTAGCGAGATTATGTTTCCGCTCTCTCAAACCACGATCGCGTTGTCCTTGCTCTCGGGCAAGAGCATTAGCAGCAACAACGTCTTCTGGAAGAGTCCAGTGTGTGGATTTGCGCCTAGGAGGTGTAAGCTTCGATTTAATTTTCCAGAGGGAGGAGTGTTGGAAATGGGTTGGGACTTACGGTGGGACGTGCATGCAGTACATCGTGTCTATTTCCTCGAGGGATTTGCCGTTGGATTCTAGTAAATGTGAGTAAGATGGAAAGTAGCGATTGGGGAGTCGAGTAACTAACCAATTAAGAAGAAGTAGATGAGAAGAGCGGCGCAGATGTTACAGCCGGCGAAGACATATCCGTATGCGAAATCGATCTGGTCCGTGATGAGGGGTGTGAAGAAGGCGAGATAGAAGTTAAAGAACTACAGCCAATATGTCAGCTTAGGCACATTGACAATGAACTGAAGAGAGGGGAAAGCATACCCAGTTACTCGCACTGCAAAACGCAATACCTTGACTCCTGTATTTGCCAGGATACATCTCTGCAACCACAGCCCAAGCCATTGGACCCCACGTACTAGCAAACGCCGCAATGAAAAGCGAAGCAAACACAATCATAACATATCCAATGGTCTGGTTGCTACTTCCGTCCGCATTGTAAAGTTTGAAGTTACCCAGCGACGCGAACACCAGGAAACACATCGCCATCCATAGCGCACCAATAGTAAGACATCTCCTGCGGCCGAATTTCTCGACCATGTAGAGGCCTGGGAAGGTGCAGATGACGTTGACGGAGCCGAGAATGATTTGTGTGATGAAGGAGTTGTCGATACCGATTGAGGAGAAGATGGTTGTTCCGTAGCTGGTGGGAACAAGATTAGTATGCGGATGTAAAGGGTGCAAAGGTTGGTAGCACTTACTAGAAAAAGTAATTGGCACCGGTCAACTGCTGGAATGCCTGGATTCCAACACCGAGGAGGATACGATACATCATCCTCTCTCCCTTGAACACCTCCAAAATTCCAGTCTTCGTGTCCTCTGCAGCGAGCTTTTCCTCAAGATCAAGCATAGTATCTCTTACGACACGATGGTTCTCACTGACACCATGGAGCTTCGCGATAGTCTTGCGCGCTTTATCGATTTTCCCGTTACGGAAGTCGAATCGTGGAGTTTCTGGGAAGAAGAGGATGCCGATGGCTAGGATTAGAGCCCATGCGAAACTGATACCGATGGGGATTCGCCATGATCCGGTGTTGGAAATTGATTCGGTGCCGAAGTTGATGAGGTTGGCGAGGAGGATCCCGATGGTGATGAAGAGTTGGTAGCAACTATGACTGTTAGCTTTGCTCTTGACAGGAAGGCAGAAGTACTTACCAGACGATGGCACCACGGATATGAGCGGGGGAGCTTTCTCCTTGATACATAGGTACGAGAACAGAAAGACCTCCGATGGCGAGACCAGCAACAATACGTCTGTAACGAGTCAGCTTGGAGATAGAAGAGACTGGGGATATCCTAACCCAACCATCATCTCGTACCACTTGGGATATGATGCAGCGATCTGGATGATGTTTCCGACGATGAAGACCATACACCATCCGAATATACTAAGTCTTCTTCCAACCTTTGGATGGTTGGCAATAGGTGCAGAGATTAAAGCACCGAAGAGAGTTCCGATGGAGAGCTATCACTGTTAGCGACATCAAATATTCCACCACGAAGAAGAAACATACCATTCCAACAATCAGTCCCGATCGTCGCCAAGTAAAGGCAAGAGTAGGTTCTCTCTGGTCGGCAAAGTTATACAGGAAGTTCTCCATCTCCAGAAATCCACTGATCTTTTGTGTCTGTGTCAGCCAAATCCAAGGATACCAAAAGTCAGAAGCTGATCAGGTTACATACCTGTCCGGTATCATACCCAAAACAGATACCACCCATGGAAACCAGTATACACATAAAGAACGTCCTCGCCGTCATGAACGGGACTTTCCCATCCTCATACGATCCCTTTTCAATCGATGCACCTGCACCTACACCACGGGTCTGATTATCCATCGGGACATTTTCGAATGCTGTTCCTGAGTCGGAGAGCGAAGATGCTCGGTTATTATCCATCTTGAGTTGGATCCACAGAAATGATCCTTTCTCGGCGTTTAGCTGCAAAGAACGGTTTGGAGTGTATTGTCCATAGGGAGAGGGACACCAGAGGGATATATCATGTCCTCTCTCGCCCTCACCCTCAAACCAACGATGTCATCCAGCACTCATCCCACCCCCGCTCATTGCGGCTCAACAACCGCCATGCCACCGATACCCACCACTCATCTCCTCTCCTCCCCACACTCAAACCTCAATCATTCCCATTCAAAAGTCTTCGCCGTCGTCATTCCTCCATCCCAGTCTTCCCAGCCAAGTCCCTCTGTCCACTCCCAAGACTCAAAAACGCATCACAGCCAAGCTCGCTCATGGATCCTGACACCACCACGCCATGCCCTTGCAGCAGAACCCCATCTCCTCCCAAGCTTCACATAAACCACATTAGCGTTTCCCGATTTCAAGAGCGACGTCATGGTTAAGTCCAGCTCGATGGCTGGAAAGTCGTGGAGGAATCTTCGCGTCTTCTAGGGACTTGGTTGATGGGAGAGTCGACGTGGTGATTTGCTTGCCGAGACGGGTTGCTGATCCGGCGGGTAGGCTTGGCCTTGGCTGGAGTGGCGGCGTCGGTGGCTTTTTCGGGCTTGGGAGGTGGATGCGGATCGATCGTAGGTAAAATATCTTGGAATTGTAGTCATGAAGTGGCACTTTTTCTTTGCAAAGTTAAAGTCAATTGCGTGGTATTCTGGTTGAGATGTTGTGTTTATTTGGTAGGCTGGGAAGTATTATTAGTGGTTGCATAATTGCCTCAATTGACTTCACAAAGTATCCTGATCGGTCTTGGCAATGTGATCGAAGAAAGAGGACTCGGGCCTCTACTCTTGCTGTCCGCGACCCTCTAGATGGACCTCTCTCTGCAACTTGGTAGCGTGGATGAATTCCAAATTTCTAGCTAGATGTTTACATTCGAATATTCTCCGCTGTCATTTGCTTGATATGAAGCTTCCGATGTGAAGCTCGTGGTCAAGAGATACTTGCATCCTCTCCTGCGTCTCTACGTTAAGCACATCACAATTTGAACCCCTGAATAAACTTACCAAGCGACAAAATACAGCAGGAGAAATGCCCCTTCGTAAAGCCATCAACAAACCCCTCGCTAAACAACCATTCGCAACTCGCTCCCCGTGGCACCACACCATCAAGCACACGTGCACGTGCACGTCCTCCCGCCCCCTCAAACTCGCTTCTGCCTCTCCCCTCCTACGCGCCGTGCTCAGACACGAAATTCGAGGGGTCTCATCCCCGTCTCAAGAAAACATCCGGACTCCGAAACGATACTGCAACGCGCCCCATTCAATGCGCTCCCTACTTTATCGTCGATTCCCACTCGCAAGCTTGTTAAGCTTTTGACAGGGCTACACTAAAGGAGAAGGCTAAATAGATAACTAACATGAGACTCGAGACTTGAGACGACAGGCGATCGAGATTGGAATTGGAACTTCAGATAAAGGCGATTTTGTCTGTCATGCTTCCTTTTCGTTCGACGCTACTCGCTACTCTTTCCGCTGTCAGAATGCCTTGTCTTTGATTCTTGGATCTGGACCTTGAACTTGGTTCTGTGTTAAATACCAGGTCTTCCTCCGCTTCTTCGCACGATCTTTTGGACTTATTTGGTGTTGTCATTCGTTTGAACAGGTCATATGTTCATCTGCATTGTTTCCGTTTAGTAGGAAACTCAGTTCATCGAAAGCATTTTACCTCGGTAGTTGGATGAGCAGAACGACACGAGGAAGCCAGAAGTCACGATGCATATCTCAGCCATATCCCTCGCAATAGCGAGTCTAGCAACTCAAGTCCTCGCCGGACCAGACCTCGCAATCAACTTCCCAGGATTTCTACGCACTCGCGCCGAATCCGGGAATCTGCAGGTACGTCTCCATCTTCCTCACTCTGTATCATCCTGCGGCATCACCTACCTCTGCCTCCACCGTATCTGCCTACCCCATTTCACGTTCTAACACTGCCCATCTAGACATTCAGCAGCGCCCTTGGCGGCATACCCGCAGAACCCATAACGTCGACAACGGACGCAAAGCGACCTTTCCAAGTAGACGGCACAACATTCACTGATTTCCGGAGCGCCGCTTCGCGATCGTGTAGTCTGCAGCATAACAAGTGTGCTACGCTAGCGAACTCGAAAGACGGGAGTAATTCGGGTGGGATCAAGGTTGGGGATTGTGATGATCAACAATGTGAGTTGTTCCTCGCACGTCACAGTTTGTGGAAAGCTTCCTGTTCCTGGAATCAGTTGAGAAAGGTTGGTTGAGGAGAGGAGATGTGCGGTAGGCTTGAGTGTTAGGAAGAAACATGCTGACGTGATTCCCACTGTACAGCGGAATGTCAAGCGGTTGCGAAAGCTGGTTCATCCGCAGCGTCGGCGGTAGTGCAAGAGGCTGAAGCTGCAACCGCTTCAGTGTCAGCATCGGAACCTACATTGCATAGTTCGGATGCGAATTTCTTCTACTTCTGCGATCCATGAGTCGGCGTGAACACAAGGATGGATGGAGCATTGTTTGGTTGGGTGTTCGTAGGATATGGACTGATGGAGTACTGGTACTGGATACCCTTTTCTTGGATTCGCTTTGGATAGGATGGATTGGGTCGGCAGCGGCGTCTGGATGGTTGTTCCTTTCATTTTCTTTGCTGCCGCGTGGTTAGGCACAATTGAGCTACTTCAATGGCCTCTGCAGCAACATGTCCAATTGATGATATATTTGTGCTGGGTGTGCTCTTGCTCCTCGCTCCAATTGTCTCTGAAGAATGTTCCCATTGCCAAATCTTTGGCTACACAGGCCTACTGATGGCCCTGACCGGACGAAAATGGTTGTATTTGCTTAGGTCGATCATCATGTAGTTGTGCCTCTGGCGCGGCTGTTGACGGCATCTTCCACCGATGCACTCATGTCGTTCTCATCACTCTGGGCAGTATAGAATTCCGATAGAAAAGCTCTCTGTCTATAGCAGCGTCGCATATGCGAAGATCTGATCAAGTACGCAGCAGATAACCCATACACCTGGTTATTGGCAGGTTCAACCTCGTATTCCAACCAACTTCGTCCACTCTGTAGTAGCTTTCGCATCGGGTAGTTCGAATCTCCGCTCGCATTGTTTTGACGAGTCGCTATGAGGAATTGCCGAAAGACGTCCTGCTATTCCGAGTTGCCTTTGTAAGAGCGAGTACAGAGCGCATACGTACCTAGTAGCAACACGATTACTAGGCCATTGACGGGGCAGAAATCTGCAGATATAGAAGACATGAGGAGTGGGAATAGAAACAGGATTCGTAATGAATCTTGGAAACCGAGTGCGTGAAACACGATCTTGAACAGAGGACTGATAACTGAAGTTGAATTGAAGGACATCCCACCTACCCCTCCCTACCTACATTTGCCTTCTCGCAACTCCTGACAAGAAGCGCATGGTTCGTGAATTAAAATCACCCCGTACTTCGCACTGTACGGCACGAATGATATGGCTCGTGAGCTGCAGACAATGCACTGCATGGAGTGCCGTGGGCGTTGGTATTCACGCAACGCTCTCGTATTCTGAGGTTCGAGCTCCAGTCCAATTTGGTCCTTGTTCGTCGACTGCGGAATAGAAACTGTATTGGGAGGAAGGGTTCTGGCTCTATCGTATATAAATGTATCAAGGCAGTTCGAGATCGTGGGGAAGTCAATGTTGGGTCTGTGGCGATCACTCGTTGTTTTGCTTTTGTTGTTGCATTGCGGAAGAAGCAGCAGCGGGATGAGGAGAGCGAGCTTTTGTGAGGTCAGGCAATGATTAGTCATCAGGGCTTTCATCTTCGTCGAAATCTCGACTCTTCCTTCTTTTTAGCATCTCAATGTTTTTGGCCTGTCAATTCTCGCAGCAGTATATCCTTCGCAATGTTGGTTTCTCCCGTCTATATCCCACAAGAGTAAGGCTCGTTCTTAAAACTTTTGTAGGCAACTCCAGTCTCCCTCACACTCCTGCATTGTTGGTTTCTGGAACGTCGATCATATTTCATTGTCTTCGTATATAAACATTATCAAATACAGATATCTGTCCATCTTTTACTTTTCATCCAAATCTCTCTAATACACCCACTTTCCACCCTTTCTCTGGAAAGTAACATCCCGCTTCTCCACACTTCGCTTAGCACCCTTTGGTGGGAGCGACGCAAAGCTGCGAGCATAAGTAGCAACAGCATGCGCAATACCCTTAGTCATCTGGATCCAAACACCAACATTGAGGTTCTCCAAGGTGTCCTTGGCAGTGTGGTAGTTAGGATCCAAGATCGCACCAGCAGTTCCGCCCCAGATGGCAACGTCCGCAGCAGTCTTGACTTCATCAGCTCCGGAGGTGAGACCACCAGCAGCAATACCAGCATCCAAGAATGGACCGTAATCAGAGCGGCCGTCGAAAGCAGTAGGGGCAGTGGCGATATCGACATCGTTCTTGAAGTAATCTTCCCAGAGCTTCTCAACCTCGGCGGATCCTGGAGCACCGGAGATGCCGAAGGCTGATCCGTCACCGTCGTAGATCTGGTAGATGAAGTTGGGTGAGGCGATCATGTCGAAGTTGAGATAGAGACGGATCTTAGCAGCTTCTTCTTCAGTGAGGCCAGCGACGTAGTGTTCGGCTCCAAGGAGACCCTCCTCCTCTCCAGACCACCATCCGAAGCGGACAGCGTTGTTGACGGAGAATGCGGTAAGCTTGAGGGCCACTTCGAAGATACCGATTGTGCCAGATCCGTTGTCGTTGATTCCTGGTCCAGCCTGGACCGAGTCGGTGTGGGCACCAACCATGATGACATTGTTGTGGTCTCCTCCCTTGGTCTCGGCAATAACATTGTAACTGTTACGAGTCAGGCTGGGAACTCCTTTGACAGCAATTTCGGTTACTTACGTGTTCTCGACTGTGACAATAACATTCAAGAAAGCGGTTCCACCAGAGGAAACCAGTGCAAGTCCGGCCTCTTGTGTAATGCCAACAGTGGGGACGAAGTTACCTGGGCCACCGAGTGTACCATCCAGGTTTCCAGCTACGTTGTTGTAGATGATCGTTCCAATGGCACCAGCTACCTTCGCGAGTTCGGCCTGCAACAGTTAGCAGATATCCTCAATCAAGTCATGCTGGAAGAATACATACCTTCTGAGCGAATGGGCAAGTTCCACGGCTGATCAAAGCGATCTTTCCAGCGAGAGTTGCTGGGTAGTCCGCAGCGTCACAGCCAACGTTTGCGACGTTAACGAGCGCTCCAGATGGATTTCCAGCTGGAGTGCCAGTCATTGGAATGACGGCCAATGGAGCACCATTGGCAGTGCCTGTCGCTTCAGAGGACTCAACATTGAATGGCTGGAAATACACATCGTAGTATCCAGTTGCTACCAGGGTGTCATACAGCCAGTTGACAGTCGAATTGTGTCCTGGTGTTCCAATGTAGCGATTGCGTTCCGCGGTGGCATATGCGAAGTTCTGAAGAGTTCTTCCCTTAGCAAGGAGCTCCGAGCGAAGCAAGACTCTGCGGAGTTTGTTCTATGGCCAATCGATCAGCTTCATTATAACGGTTCAATCATGGAGAAAACCTACCGACTCGACCAAAGGGAGAGCACGAGCTACTGGACCGGCTTCGACAAGAGAAGCTATGGTCGCGAGAACGCTGGCATAAATGGAGAGCTTCATGATTGCGAATTGACTTGACTGAAAGCAGGTACAAAGGAATGAAGTGCAGAAGCAAAAAAGACATCCAAGGGGAGCTTCATACTTATATGAAGCTACTCCCCAGTCTTCCCCTCCAGCCTGCTTTGTCGATCTCAATCCACGATTGCAACCCTGCTGCCATGTCCTATACCTGTCAATTGCCACTTTACGAGCATTCTTTGCTTGGCAGCCGGCTCAACATCCAAATACCTGCCTACTTGGTGTCTAATCCAAAGCCATCAGCGGGACGCGGCATAAGATATGCATACGGAAAGGTCAAAGGTACCATCACGAGCTCGCAGCCTCCTCTTGGCTCATATAGAGCTTACAAGATTGCGAGCTGTCAGTGGTTGAACAGAAGATCCTGTCGCGGAGCCGTAGCTACATACGGAAGTACAGGGCCCAGGGAAAAGAAGCTCCAACCAAGCGAGGATAGGAGTTCAGTGTACCCATACACCCCGCACTCGTACCTGGATCGCCGAGCTCAGGCGAACAGGTACAAGCACTGACAAGATTCGGACACTTCCGCACACTCCTGGGCGGTACCTCTATCCACAAATCAAAACATTGCGCCTCTGCCTGGAGGATAAGCATACACCAAGCAAGACCGACATGACGCGATGTGGTAATTACTTCTCAGAAGCTCGCATCTCTCACTCAACACAGCAGGAGCCAAGGCGATAACGACTTCGCCAAGCCTTATGGCGTCCGGAAGCTTGCATGAAAGTGTGGAGCAAAGTCTTAATGCTGATAAACATTGGTGATACTGTGGGGTTTGCCCAGGTTTGCCCCTCTCGCCAAGGGGCAGAGGACCTGCCAATCCCGGTTTGGTGGCTAGATTAGGGCGGGCCAGCCGAATATCAACATGGGGCCAGCTGCTTAATTGATTTATGATTGAGGCTGGAGGACTGGGATCCTTGATATGGTTGTGCATTGCAGATTGCATATCGAATTATTGGCCCTCCTGATCCATAACTTTGGGGCCTGTTCGCGATGTGACGTGTGATAGGTTGGAGATGCCGCTTGCCCTGTGCAGGTGAGAGCTGGTAAAAAGCATCCACATCCACATCCGAAAATGAACAGGAACCTACTAAACTGGCAGAATCCCATCTTTCATTCCTAGAGCTCAGTATTCAAAGCTCTGGGACACTACGAGCTAAATCAACAAAGAATCTGACAGTTGTTTCGCTGTTTGAATTTTTTACATTGAAGCGGATGCAATCCCTTTGTATCTGCAGCTTTTCTCAAGAATCTATTGGCGTCGCACCCAGCTCGAGCTCCAAGAACAAGTTCATGCTATGAGCCCCATCTTGATCCTGCTATTTTTATTCATTGATCTAGTGAGATTTTTCTTCATCCAACTGAATCTATATGTTTATTTTTTGTTTCTAAATTGTTGTTTGGTAACTCATTCGCTCTCGTCAATGTTCATGTATTCGAAGGTTCCAGGCAACTGGGTGCCTCATGCACGCGCAATGTGCATGGTAAGTCTGTATCAATCATACGCATGAAAGATATCTCGAAACCAAGTTGTCTTGAGATGCATCTCCCCCATAAATGGAAGTTTCAGCCGCAACGATACACAAATATGCGCGCTATATTCACCATGAAGTGCAATTCTTTCAAAATGATATAATCATTTGAAGTCTTTAGGAAGGTTTTCACAATGCAAGATGCCTGATGGACTAGATTGGAGGGCCAAGTGTTACATTTCTTTGTCCTCAACGGACGCATCCGTCGCGGCTTGAGTTAAACTTGCAACATTTTCCCAAGCATTACCTTTTCACACAAATGCGATGCATCCGGCATCAAGTTTCGGTAAAATGCAAAACGGCTTTGTTTGTGAAGTGCTATGTAAAACGATTTTTGGTTGAGACCATATCTGAGTTCCGCCTCCCTTTCTCGACAATCGAACAATAGACAACAATCATCACGATGCCGCCTAGAAAGCCGAACATGTAGGTACATCCACTAAAAGTCTCAAAAGATTACACTAACATCTCCATGACTTCCCAAAAAGCGCTCTCTCCTCACTCATGAAGAAGAATCCCCCGTAGCTGGACCATCGCGGACCGTCTACACTCCAGATCCACCTTCGCCCACAACAGTTCCCTACAAGAAAGCCAAATTGGCTTATAAACCACCCGAACTCGAGCCGATTTCCCAACCTCGCATCAGAAAGGGACCCTACGATTGGACGCCCGATCCTCCCAGCCCGACTGATTTCAAAGCCCCGACGTCAAAAAGCAAGGCGTCCCAATCGCGTACAGACACTGATTCCGAAGTATCCAGTGACAGGAACGTGGAAAATGTCGACGAAAATGATGAAGACCCGGAAGGACAGGAAGAGGGCGAAGGTGCAGAATCCGACGCTCACTCCAACAATTCCGACGACAGCCCACAACTCCCAAATCCAAACACCGCCTCACCTCTAGAATCAGAACCAAACTCCAACACAGACAGCCCTAATTCCTCCGTAAGCTACGACTCATCCGACTTCAGCGACTCCACCACCATCTACCCCAGCCTAACGAAAACACGCTCTGCGGCGCTCCGAGGAAGAACAATTCGACGGTGAAATGTAAACAGAGATTAGCGAATCATAACGGGAAAGCACCGTTCGGGTGCGCGCATCATCCGGATTTCGTGCCGCCTGAAGTTGTGGCTGCGAGGGCGGCAGCAAAGGAGGCGAGTGATGCGAGGAGGGCGGAAAGGGCGAGGAGGAGAGTAGCTAGAAAAGGGAAGGAAAGGGAAGGAAAGGGAGGTGGTGAGGGATGAGGATGAGGATGAGGATGAGGATGAGGATGAGGATGAGGATGAGGATGAGGATGAGGATGAGGATGAGGATGAGGATGAGGATGAGGATGAGGATGAGGATGAGGATGAGGATGAGGATGAGGATGAGGATGAGGATGAGGATGAGGATGAGGATGAGGATGAGGATGAGGATGAGGATGAGGATGAGGATGAGGATGAGGATGAAGAGGTTAGGGGTGATGAGGAGGGTGAGGAGGGTGAGGAGGGTGAGGAGGGTGAGGAGGGCGATGAGGGTGATGAGGGCGATGAGGGTGAAAAGGGGGAGGGATATGAGTATAAAAATCCGTACGAGGAGGGTGATGAGGGTGGTGAGGGTGAGGGAGACGAGTATAGGAATCTATACGAGAGAATATTTGGACAGAGTGTGACGGGGGATGCGCAGGCAGCGGAAGAAGGATACGAAGCAGGAATGGAAGGGGAAGATCAACGACAGGAACAAAGGGCTGGAGGCGAGGCGTATGACGTGGAAGATGAACATGAGGAAGAGAAAGAGGATGTCGATGAATAGATTACGCAGCCGTCTGATGGCCGTAGACGGTTTGCGAGGATTCGATGATTGGTAAGCGAGGGGTTTGTTTTGCTCGATTTCGATGTCACAGGCTTAGCGGGGACAAGAACGGGAACAGACGATTGGCGGACAAGACGAGAACCAAGAACGATAACTCAGAGTTGTATTTCCCTCGAGACAAATTTCTCACACGAATCCATCACAGCTTTCCATATCCCCCATTGCTCAGCCCCGTATTCGCCTGATTTTTATAAATAACCCCCGACTTCCCCAGAGACTGCACGGTCTTGACCGCAAAAGCATCAACCTCGTCCCTTGGCGACGCTCCCGCATTAGCAAGAACATACTTATACGCATCTGCCGCCGATCTCGACGCCATAGCAGCAGAATCGCGCGCCCAGGGTGCAGTCAGGACTTTCGCGCTTCCCACTTTATTCTCCAGCGCTCCATTGAACACACCATCTTTATTCGTATCCGCATAGTTTCCTTTGGCATACACACTCTGCCCGGCATTGACTTGGTAGTAGTAATTACTGGCTGAAGTCGTGCTCGGTCCTGCGATGAAATAGTTGTTGATGATGTCGTGGTTGAAGACTTCGCCTGTGTTGGCGACAGTGTAGGCTGCTTGGTAGTTGTAGACTACGTTGTTGATGTACTGGGAGTTGGCCTTCGACAGGGGTTGGCGGCTGTGGCCGCTTACCCAGAGATTGCCGTAGTACGTGGCTTGGTTGCCTTCGATGTGGGCGCCGAATTGTTGACCGATGGGGAAGGCGATGATAGAGTTGGAGATGGTGATGTTGGTTATGCCGACGCCGTCGATGGAATCCCATTGTCCGTATGCGACTGAACAGTGGTCGAGGATGACGCTGGGGAATTGTCAATAATGAGACTCTCAAGTTATGATTTCACTTACTTCTTAGCTCCTCCCATATTGAATGCACTCTTGCCGTTGTCTTTATCCAAGGTCCCTTGCCTCATTCGAAGATCTGTTCATTTCTGTTAGACAATTTTTCTGTGCTTTGGTTGGCCGAGATGGAGCTCGCTTACTTCGGATTATGATATTGCTCTTGCCACTTGCCGATACCTCTCCAGCCATAATACCAATGCCGGGTGCAGGAGCAGTCTGTCCATTAATAGTGATGGATGAGGATAGCGACACAGCAGACTTGAGAACAATGTATCCGCTAACATCGAAAACGATGTTGCGATTTGACTTGCTCACGGCATCTCGCTACTCAGGATGTCAGCTTCATGCCCACCACAATTCAATACGTTCGTTCAAATGTACTAAAAGGGGATGAAACAAATTATAGTCTCCAGAATGGTCTGCCTTTTTAGATTCAAAAACGATCTGTACTTACGAACGATCCAGCTCCGGAATCCGCAAGCGTCGTGACACGATATCTCGTCCCACTATTTCCACCCGTCGCAATAGCACCAAATCCCACAGCGCCAGGAAACGCATTCTGTGCATCCACAGCAATACCAATGAGGGAGCCTCCCAAGGCTAAAGCGGAAAATATATTGAGCATCATAATGACCAGAATATATGTGCAGATGAACGACACCGACGATCAAGCAATGAGGCCAAGGTGCCAATAAATGGAGGATTGCCACATATCTTATACGAGATACAAATTTAGTTTCTTCCGTCAAGAATACCCATTACAAACTTTCGCTATAGGTTTGTCCGTTGTTTATACGCAGATTAATAAACCCATGTCAATTTCCCTCCAATAGGCTTGGCGTGCTGCAGTCCAACCTTGCCGATTGTGGGGTTCCCTTGAAATCAAGGGATCGGGAGGAGGGGCAATGATCTATCCCCGGGTTTTCCTTCTGGAGATGAGAATCGCCTTTTGTTAAGTATTATCATAATAGCCTACAGACTTTGAAGTCATCGAGATCTCTTCACTGATCTATCCTGAGATTTTACTGACCAGGCAGGAACTGTATGGTCCGGGAAATCCCAGCCGTCGAAAGTGCTGGTCCCGAACTCGGACTTTGTCGCTGGGCGAGGACCCGAAACCTTGTTGCACCACAATGGATGCACACGATTACAAACTTTACCATTTGTAAAGTAACTATTATCAGAGACTACTACTATTATTAGGCAGAGCTCAACCCTCAGCCTCGGTATCATCTACAACTCTACCGGAAATAGATTCGCTTTCGCTGTACGGAGGTATGTCGTCGTTGCATTCCCCCATCCCACCCCATCCCTGTCAAGTGGCTATGGCTCTCAAACACTTCCTCGCTTACGATGCCCTATAGGGTCTTATTTTCAGACAACGACTATATTCTATGCGTATTTTATCTGATTTTTCAGTAGTATTAAAACATAGATAAAATTCAGACAATGCATGCAGTAATTTTATCAAAGCAATGCAGACAGATTAGCGTATTGGGGGTAGGCAGGGGAGCTTGGGTAGCTTAGACTTTCTGTGTTTCATGTAGAACACGAACTTAAATAGAGACCCTTTACTACTTATAATACTTTGTACTCCTTCGGAACGCTTAGAAATGAGAAGAGGAGAGAGACCTCACCTTAGAGACCTTAGAGGGAGATAAAAATAGAGAAAAGGAACGATTTCTAAGGGAAAACGCTTAGAATTACAGCTAAAGTCTGGATATTAGCTCAAGTCAGGGAATACTTCAAAGATCAGAGAAATCCAATGAAAATCAGAGAATCTAGAATGGGAAAATGTAGATAATAAATTAAAATACAGACAGAAAATACATTAAAAACGCCTGATTACAGACAGTACCTGCAAAAAGTGCGTGTCTGCACTGAAACCCCCATAGGGATGATGACTAGTCTCTCTGGGAGGAAAACGTGAAAGAGTGCCGTTCCTGTCGTCTAGGATAATAACACCCCGGCCGTGCCAGTGTCGTCACTTTTGAATGTAGAGAGAAAGTTTCAGACAATAAAACAATGACGATATCCGAGTATTCCAGCCCCTCGACAAACACACGGCCAATGTACCACGCAACTCCTACTCTCCTGTACGTCCCATCATCCATCTTTCTTAACGCCAGACCAGCACCGTTTTGTCGTCCATGCTCTCTGAATACAAGAACAGCGACGAAAATATCATTCTCGTCTTCGATCTTGATCAAAAGTCCGGTCCCAAAAATTCCAGATATCCTCTTTGGCTCCATCGACCTTTGCGATATCGGAAGTCCTACAGAGCTTGTCCTCCCCCACACCTAGCGGCTCTCTTATAGATCTCGCTTGTAAAATTTTGAGTTTGGCTCGAATCGTGATGTACCCCGAAGCAAGCTTGCCTTTAGTAATGTTGCTGCCCGAAGGAACGACATTAATCTCAAGGATCTCGACGACGCTATTTCCAAATATGCCTAACTCGTGGTGATTAGAAAACGGGAAAGGTGGCTGAAGCCCACGACCACGATGGCGGCGCCACGTACCGAGCACCAAAGTCGTCAGAAGTGTTGATGATACTTTTAATTGACGAGCTCCGCTGCCACAACAGCTCCCCCAACATGTTTTCAGCCCATAAGCCAGCAGAATACGTCTCTTTGAACCAGCCTTGCATCCTATCTGCCATTCCGGCTATCACTGGCAGCTTGTCTGTTTGGTCTGTCAATTTCCGAACCGAGTGTTCGGCTACTAGACGATGCCATAATTTATACCAATTCTGGCTATTGTCTAGGCTTTTGACAGAGACCATGCATGTACGCTCTTGATCGTTATCGAAAAGTCGGAACTGCCGTACATCGGTCGTGAGGAGGTGTCTATTGGAAATTTCTGGAGGCATGGTGAGTAAGTAGTGATGTGCTGTTCCGGTCTCGTAGCGTCTGGTGTGGTATCTGCATTCGAAGATGACGAGCTCGGCTGTAAAATGATGGCACGATGGGATAGTTCGCGCTCTTGGAGTGTCCAGCCGCGCGTGAAGAACGGTGTCTTGAAGAATTTGGGAATCCAAGATTCGTCGGTGGAGACTTTCTTCGGATCCGGCAGTATGGATCGCGTTCTAAGATGCCGTGATACACGAGAAGTCTAGAAGAAACCCTCTTGACATGTATGCGTCACTCCTGCAGCGATAGTGAGGTAGGCACAAGAGTATATCTTGGCCATGTTTTCCAGCTCGTACTGCCAATCTGGTCTGCTATCTTGTATGATGCACAACGCATCGATCCAGATGAATGGAAACGAAAGAGATCTCGTGACTTCGACTACATCTCTTAGTGTTATGGGAGTTTCTCGAGCACAATTGCATTCTGGTGGGCCTCAAGGGTTGCGAGGACGGTTTTGCCCTCATCTTGCATTGGCAGGCCCCAGCAGTAATTCAGTGCAACGTATCTCCGATCTCTCGTTTCCAAATCTTTGGTTTTGATAAGTCGTATAAATGGAAAGGAACTTACGTCCACCAGACGAGTTGGGAAAAACTCATCTTCCCAGGGCTCATTGCAGGACTTGTGGTTCTTGGCGCAGTAGTTAAGCCATGAGAGTTGTCGGCGGGCTTCGTGGGAAGGGTTTCGTGAAAGGTCTGCCTCAGAAGAGGATCTTGAGATGGCCTTGATGATGGAAGACATTGTTTTTGCTACAAGGCATGTGTAAATGCTCAGTTTGATCGTTTTGTGGAGTGTTTGATGGCGATGACATGACTGTGAAGCCCTGCCAAATGAAGCTATCGTGGCCGAGTCCATGAATACTCATGAGCAGATAAGATTAAATGACGGAGGAATATCATTTGTATGAGGCAAATAGATGGATCCCTAAATCCACCTTCGTGTACAGAGAATTAGGCATGTAGGTAGCACCAAAAGCCGCACGATTCAGCCTCACCTTGGCAGCATTTGAGCCAGAGATGGAGAGGATTATCGAGTCGAGGAAACGCAATTGAATTTTGTTAACGCAACATTGTTTGTGCTCTAATTGCTTGCGAAGACTGAAGCGAGGAACAAGGAAACATTTCGTCAAGAAGCTAATCAGCTGACCGACAAACAAGTCACGTGTGTAACTTCAACCGGATCTTTGATACGTAATAAAGTCCATTGAGAGGGAATCATCTAAGAAGAAACTCAAAAGCAATGCTCAGCAAAATAATCTGATATCAAGAAATAGTCAACGCTCCAACATATCCCGTCTTCCCTCTAAATTCTACCGTCTCCCATCCCCACTGACGCCATCAAACTAAGCATACCTCGGCGGCCCATCCGGATCCTGCTTCGAACCCTCCCCTCCCATATTCACATCACCATCTCTCTTGGGTGATCTTGGTGGCGGCCCAGGGAATCCCGAATCCGTCCTCTGCACACTATGTCCAGGTGGCGGACCGGGCGGAGCAGCGAATCCTGAATCTGTTCTTGTTGGAGGATGCTGGCCGAGAGGTTCTGGAAATGTGCTTGTATTTGGGTGTGTATTGGTGTTTGCGAATGAGTTTGGGTTTTGGTTACCTGTTGTGTGGGGTGTGGCGTCGTAGAGGGTTGGGTCGTAGGTTGGGAAACCGTCTTTGTCGACGCCAGGGGTGTGTGATGTGGATGTGGATGGTTGGTTGGGGGCGGCGGCGAAGGTGGATTGTCCGGTTGGGGTTTGGGGGTTTTGAGCGTTTGGTTGGTAGGAGGCTTGGTGTTGTGTGTTGTAGTTGGAGGGGTCGTTGTAGATTTGAGACTGGTTGGGGTATTGAGATGCGAAGGCTGCATTATCACTGTGGCTTTGTCCTGGGTAGGTTTGATTTCCGTAGGTTTGATTTCCATACCCGGTCTTCTCGTCGTGTGATACCACTCCAGCTGCACCAACGTGAGCGGGGTCGTAATTAGGTGGAGGCGCGAAATTGTTCTTCTGATCTTGTGTCGGCTCGCTCATTTTCTCGACTTCCAGGTCGGACGGAGGAGGAACGTGAGAAGCTTGATCCAAAACCACTGGATCAACATCGGTTCTGCCTTCCGCTTGCTTGACGACCTCGGCCAACATTCTCGTCTCCCTGGGAACATTTTTGACCTGTCCGGCCAGGATATTCGAAATTGGTAATCTCTCCCCATAGAACTTGGCATTTTCATCGTTTCGCTCCACGATGATCGTTCCATCGATTTGAAGACCACCGTACAGACCACGACTCTTCACGTAGCTGAAGATTGGCTTCTTGCTGTTCTTCACCAGCTCCGCTTCAAGGACTCCTCCGGCTCCGAGTGGGCCCGCAACGACAGAAAGTTCTCCTCCGAGAGAAACACGCATTGTCTTGAAAGCTTCCAGTGCCTTACGGTTGTTGATGACGATGACACAATCGTAGATATCGATACCGGCCATGAATCCAACACCAAGGGTATGGATCAGGATTCCTGATGGAGGACCCCAGTTCCCGTCTTCCTTGCGCGCAATCAGAACACCGGAACCGCCGGCTCCACTGACCCAAAGGCCGGTTCGCATGACTGTGAAGATGGCGAGACCGACGCAGTTCTGGATGACTTTCTGTGGGATCTTGACAAGTACCTTGGGCTTGTTCTTCGGTCCTGGAGACGTGGGCTTTTTGTCGGAGCTAGTGTTTGTGTAGCCCGGAGTTGGAGGCCCTGTTGGTGTACCGCTTGCTGGGACAGCACCTGTCCTTGCAGGGCCAGGTGCTGCTGGGCCTGCCACTGCTGGATTATCTGTGACGGGCTCATCTTTGTAGAATCCATCCTCTGTTCTTGTTAGAGACTTCCTGATCGGAAGTGGGGAGTACTCACTACAGAAGGATTTCAGGATACGTGCTGCCTTGTCGGATTCTGGACCCAGTCCTTGTGGCCAGAATGCTTCGGATCCGATCTTGTTTGTGAGTTTGTTCACTGGAGCGCCCAATTTCTCGAAAGCTGCCCATCCTTTGTCAAAGGCAGCTTTGCTGCTATGCTTGGTCTTCTCCCAGACTGGCATGTTGATGGATGTGGTGGGTGATAGTGAGGGGAGAGGAGAAGACTTGGTGGGGTAGGGTTGAAGATGAGTTTGTGGAAAATAGAACTTCGAGCTATCGATGAAGGATAGTTGGATATATATTCATTCGAGATGTTCGTCCCTCGCATGGACTCGTTCACCTGTGGCTCAGCTCGGCTGTCAGGATGACGAGGCAAACACGTTGATACCAAGCGAGGGGGCCAATGATGTCACTGCGGGATGCTGACTAACGAGCAGCAGAACCGAACCAAGCAGGGAAGTTGACAGGAACAACTGTAAACTTTCTTGCTGCGAATAACCCCGCCACATTTGGACCAATTTAACCTTGTTTTTGCCGCGCTGGCAGTTTTCACATGAAAGAGACTTGAGTTTAGGTGTGGATATAGTTGTTGGTAGATCGCTTGCTTCGCCACGTATTGCTTCGCAGGGTCGTCGCTAAGCCCCCTTTAATTAGCCGAGGTGGTCCCATTGGAGGTGACTTAGAGTGGCATGGATACGCTGATTGACATTGAGGTCTGAGAACGAGCGTTGTTTGTTCATTCTAATGGTTCTCTAAGTGCCATTACTCTGAAGTATATCTTCAAATCCCGCCTGTTCGGATCATCATTAGAGTTCAAATGCTGCGGTCTCGCGAAAGTTAATTACCTGGCTGATGATTTGAGTCTGGGTGCTTTCAGGCAACAATTGGGCTGAAGAGTCAAGGAGTAAAATAAACGCGGCAATGATTCTGAAGGGAACAGAAGTTTCGTATAGATTGCTCATCGGGCAGGCTTGTTACGACCGTACAGGAAGAGTAGAGGAATGTGGGAAGAGGGCTACTTATCAAAGAGCAGGCGAGAAGCTGCGTTGAACCACTGAACACGACTACTTTATGCTTGAGTACAACATTTGAAAGTCCAAGAAAGGGCTTGTATGAACCGCACAGATTCATGTCACTACTGTTCCATATATCGTCAGGAGCTTACGGCTCAAATTTAGAGGATTGATACACAGACGGCCCCCCCCCCCACACGCCCCCCCCCTTGTCAAACGAATCAAAAGCTTCAGAATCTCTAGCAATTGCGAAGGTACAATAACTCGAACAGCAAAAAAATCACATATCTCCCACGCTCCGGTTAGCAAACCCCCAGAGGGGACCCCGTGCTATACCTACGCTCTAACCCTAACTAACCTACTAACCCTAACTAACCCTAACTAACCCTAACCTGTGGAAATATACTTATAAGTAGTATAAGTGTGAATGTGCTAAGTAGTATGATAGTAGTCCTCTATTGGTTGCAAGGGGGGGGCGTGTGGGGGGGGGCCGTCTGTGTATCATTACTCCAAATTTAAAATCACATCCGTGAAAATTCAGCATTGAACAGGGGGCAGTGTTTTCAGGCAAATTACCCCACATCTACAAAACGCGGGGTACTTAACCGAAGCCGCAAGGGGACAGCCTCAAAACCCACCCGTACCACATGGCTATTCGGCTAAAAGAAACGTTATGTGAGGATTCTGATACTTTTCCCTTTGTCAAGATCACGGTGAATGGGACAACGATTTATTGCTCAAATTGAGGTCCTGTTTTTTTTTTTTTGGATCTGAAGGTACCGGGATATGTACAAATTGTCGATGCAGCAACTCCTAGAATTTTGACCCTCCTCATGTAGTCAACTTGCTCTTGATAAAAGTAAGAGCAGCTTGTCCATACTTATTTCCATACTGCTGGTGCGCATTGGCGTCGTTTCCATTGCAGCAATACGGATCTGCAGCATCACAGTACGACTTCACTGAGGCTGCGACTGGGCAGGTGAAGCCAGCTGGGCGAGGAGCGAACTATTGACATTTAGTAAGGGGACCTTGATCACTGAGAGGAATTGCATACTCCTTTTGCTGTGCAAGTACCAACGTTGTAGGGGAGGCCAGATATGTAGCGTGGATCGCCCATGAAGATTGCTGCCTTGATCATCTGGATAGCTGATTCTTGGATGGGTGTCTTGGTGTCTGAAAGCCCGATGTTGGTATCTCCACCGCCGCAGAAAGCATTGTCCATGATTTGACCGCCCTTGAAGATATTAATACTGATACATATGGCCCATTGTTTCCTGACTGTGGGTACCTACCTGCGAATATCCAACTAGCACCAGTTGAGTGGTAGGGCACTTGGTGTTATATGCATTTACTGTCTTCGCGACGTTCCCAGTCCCTTCGAAAGCCGATGCAGCATAGCTCTTTCCACCGCAGTTTGACTGTCCACCACATGCAGGGTAGACGATGGCTTCAGCTGTTGAGCCGGGGAAGGCGCTGAGAACCAAGTTGACGACTGTGCCAGCTGTACCGTATCCAGCTGGAGCGGTGGTTTCTCTGGCACCAAAGATGTGGATCTTAGGACAGCTTTGTCTCTCCTCGACTTGCATTGGAGAAGCAAAAGCGTGTGCGGCAAAGAGAAGGGTAACGGTTGTGAGTAACATTGTGACGAAAAAGGCTGTGGTCTTTGGGACTTTAGAGAACAAGCGGAGGTGATGGTAAAGTAAAATCGAATATCCTCGAAACGAGAGAGAGGATTAAGCTTCTTATAGTTGTTTACCCTCTAGGTATGCGAAGAGCATAGGATTCATACCATAAAGCGTCACTTGACTGATGCTCCACAATAAAGGAGGGAAAGTAAAGTCTGTTCACCATCACCCCAGAAGGTGATTTGACTGAAACCGCGAAGACATTAGCCAAGTGCCGTAAATTTAAAGAACATTAACCGGGCAACACTTATCAGTTCCAGCCGAATGTAGTGGAGATCCGTCATGCTCAATGTTCTTGTCGCTTAGCTGAATTGGTGAGACTTGGCTGAGGGGTTTTTGCCACTTGTTTGAACCGGGCGACAGTATTCACTATATCCGCGACCACGAGATCATTATGTCTGAGGCCCGTGTGATGTTGTATCGAACAAGATGAGTATTTTGCATCAAAGCCTTGCTGTCGAGCAGAGGGAGTATCCTAAGTGAACCAGGGGTACACACAACAATGGACAGATGCCAACAGGAAGCTCTCAAGAGATCACCTGCGAAAAATAGCATTCATTAGAATTCGAGGTAATATATGAAAACTAGATATCGGCTGGTCGCTTAGCAGGTGTTGAAGAATGTACTATGGAAAGAAAAGCTGGGCTGAGCAAGGGAGTAAGCAGCAAGACGCTTGAAGTAATAGTAGAAATGGAGCAGATGCACCTCGTAAGAATTATTGTTTTTTAATGCACAGATTTCACAAGGAATAGAGCACCTGTGCATATGTAGCATTCACGTGATCACGTTCCGGACTTCATCAGCGAGAAGAATTTTCGGGAAGGATAAGGAAAATCGATTAACCGATTCATGGGGTTGACTGCCGTTCCTTGATAACTTTGACACCAACTGAAATTCCGAAATGGTCGCTAACCCAACCATTTATCTTCGTGTGGACTAATCCCCTCCCGCCATGCCAGCCCTTTGCTCGCATTCTCGCAATCATATGTTCTGACTATTGTTCCTTTAGTGGCTTCTTTACACCCTTTCGCTGTACGAAAAGCGTTTCCTTGAACTCTCTCTCCCACACACCTATCTCTGTTTTCAACCCAATGCCAAGTCGCCCTAGCCTTCCAGTTACATCTTGGGGTTCATCAAGTGCGACGATTTCGAGGGACCCGGTATATAGGAACTTGTCCATCCGTTTTCGATTCTTAGACCTTTTCGATTGGTATCCCCACGTATTTCCTCTTGCACGGCCATAGGTCAAGTCTTTTTTGAATGGCTTCAGAACCGGTATTACAGGTGCAGGGACATCTTCCCAGACATCTTGCAGGTTAACATCAATCGCTCTGTGGAAATCATGTTCCGGCCGGTCGATTGCGTTCATATCCCCACCTACAAGTCCCGCCACGACCTTGGATTTCATGGTGGGTTCCCCTTTCAGCAAAGTTGAAATCAAGCCTAGCTGACCGGGGCGGTAGGCCTTTCCCTCCCAGAGTGATTCTAGATGTGTCGTACAAAGGCGAAGACATTCTTTCGACTTGGTCCGTTTTCCAGCACTGGATACAGAGATGTCAACCAAGAGTGCATCCCTTCCCATCTCAGTCACAAAGGGGACACGGAAGCAATTCTCTACTTTCAGGTTTCTCGAGATCATGAAGAGAGTAAAATACGGGGCAGCTCTCCAGTCGAGGCGCTTAACGATGAAAGAATCTCCCGGAATATCCGTGTAAAGAGACTCAGGAGCCTCAGTGTTTGAGAGGACGAAATTTTGCTGCACCCAGGAGTTCTCCAGGATAATTTGAAGCGATTCTCGGCGCACTTCTTGAAGCATCACAACGAATGGATGTTTGACTTCTCCAAACAGCTCTTGAAGATGTTCCAGTGCTGAAGTTGCCCGAGCCTCAATCCCCGCACTAGAGAAATCGATGTTCCACGACACGACTTTCAGCACACTACCCCTCATTAAGTTTTGTCCGTTGTTGCTCTCGATTGTAGTCCATGTCGATGATCCTGGGTTATAGAATTGTGGTCGAAGGAACTGTGGCGCAAGCGGTTTTTGTAAAGCCAAGCTGGGCTGTGGACGAGCTTTTGTTTCCAGATGTCCAAACTACATGTCCAGTTCCGCTGATGTTAAGTGACAGACTGAACTAATGCAGCAAGATTGAGTTTTGAGTGAGAAATAACTTCGTTTTGGCCATTGCCGGCATCGAATGCGCAACATCGTAAGTCCAGAGTCGTGGTGGTGTATGTCGTGGGACTTTTGCAAGGCTTTGGATTGAACAGAAGTGCCTGAATGTTGAGATCACCGGGGTCACTTTGCATGCAAAGGTTGGGGGTACAATTTTTGGTGTTAAATCGAGATATTTTCTATCTTCTACATAAAGCCTCTGCTTATATGAATGCGTTCTGAAATGAGCTAATGTCGTTTAGGGCTGGCCGACCATGTTATGTGTCGCATGCTCACGTGATTGGTGAATGTCAGGTGGATTCATCACGACACCAACGCTCTTTCTGACATGAAAGTTATTGAATGAGGGGAATATAATTGTTTTAAAACAGCTTCTCACGTGAATGACCTTCTTGGTGGCAGGAAGGTTTTCCTCAACACGCAGCCAGGTGAAGTGTCCCTAGTCACTGTTTGATTTCAACGGTACGCCTTCATAGGCTACAACTAAGCGAAACAGTGAATTAGACTTCGAGATCTAGGATGCGTCAAGGTAAGTACAGAGGCAACACTCGCTGGCTGCCATAGAGTTCGACTAGCAACTTTAACGTCTTCATATCCTCTGAGTGGCGAGCCCAAATTGGGCTTAAGCTTCGAAATGATTGGTCCTCTGCGGTGCATTAAGTTTCAGCCCTTGAACCATAACACTCACCACCAACTGGTTCATCCAATTTTTGAGCGTAGCAGACGCACTACACTGATTACTACGCTGAATCTTTCAAGAGTCATTATCTAACGATTTGCTAGCCGCTAACAAGTGACAACATTACAATACAAGCCCTTGCCCTGTAGAACAAAGATGAGGACTGTAAAATACGGCAGGGCGGTTATTGGCAAGTTCACAGGCAGGATCAAACCTAAATACGAACAAGCGGGGAAGTGGTCCAGCCAAGAGGTGATGAAGTTTCCTCCCGCAGGTGGCCGGGGGAACAGTTCAAGCTCTCCACACCTCCTTGTTCCTCAGTATCTGTCATGTACAGAGTAGTCTTATCCTTCTGTCGGCCGGCCTGTGTGTCTTTTCCTACGTCGTACTTCTGGGGCTACGGGACTATTATAACTGAAGCCCGTGTGATGTTGTATCACATAAGATAAATGTTTGTGCATCAATCACTTGCTTTAGTGCAGATATGATCACTTGGATTATCAAAATAGTACTGCCAAGGGGCAAAAAAATAGAAGGAATATTTTGTACTATTAGCTGTGCAATTTAACTTGCAGACTTATGTAAGATAAAATAAGCTACTGATTGATCGCCTCAAATAATTGATTTTGAACCTAAAAGTATTACTGCTACGTACCAGCGGACATCACTTCTATCGCGGACAACGAGACTAGCAACAACGGCGACCACGATAATAATTTAGTATGAGGGCTTATTCAATTGCAGTTGAAAGCGCTGGCTCGGTTGACTTCAAAAAAGACGTGGGTAGATGGGATTCATATCTCACAGTAGCACTTGTGATACGTCAATCTCTTATCACCTTTTACCGTGATCTGCTGCAAGAAATGGGGCAGTGGAGCGTCGTCAAGATCTTATCGCGAGGTCGCTGACATGCCAACCACTTCCTTTGCACGTTACTCGTTCTGCCCGCAACATATATTTGTATTAATTTCCTTGCTCATGAGGAGAATAAACTAGACTGTAGCTACAGCTACGACTCCCATTAGATTCTCCCTTCATTTCACGATACAAACCACGAACCATATTTGAGCTTTGGATCCGTTGCCACTGTTTTCATTCGCTAGGGCGGCCTTGGCAGCGCCATAGGTCCACCTTAGAGATGTATGCGCTTTAGTTCCAAACCAATTCATAAATACATGCGCCTTGACGTCATGAATTTCGTAATTTAAAGCCTTCATTCATCTTTATGTAAAACCTCAAATACAGCCTTTTCCCAATCACTACACTAATATTTTGGGTGGCGAAAACGGCATTTACGACATTTAGCCCCGGATTCTGGAGATAGATGATGTCCGCAAGCGAATTTTGGTGTTCCGAAGCAACAGGTAAAATGCGGACTTGGGAAGCACCAGAATGTCCGTAAAGAGATACAAGAAACATATAAGTGCTTGATTTTCTGTAAGATACCTGTATCGTTAACTCACTTTGATCACTTCGATTATTCTTTCTCGTCACTGAATATCAATTGCATTGTGCACGAATATGGTTGTGGACATAGCTATTGTCGGATGTGGACCCTCAGGTCTCGCTCTTGCGGGTATATTCGAGCGCAGCGGCTTCTCCTATGTCGTCTACGAGCGCAGTGCGCATGATGTTCCCCCTCGTGGCGGCTGTCTCGATCTCCACCCCGGAACGGGCCAACTTGCCATGGAAGAAGCTGGCTGCTATGAGAAATTCAAGGAGTTTGGAAGGGTAGGTGATTATACTGTGCATCAGGTGTGGAGTCCTCAGGGAGAGAAAGTGTTTAAGTGGGGAGTTGGGGAGGATCAGCCTGAGTTGGATAGGGAGCAGATTAAGCAGGCATTATTGACGACCATTGAGAAGGGGAGGATTGAGTGGCGGAAGAAGGTGACTTCGAGTGAAAGAAATGAAAAAGGCCAGATACTGTTAAAGTTTGAGGATGGGACAACAGCGAAGGGATTTAAGCTGGTCATTGGTGCGGATGGACTACGTAGCAAGATTCGTCACTTGGTCAGCATATTTATTTGTCACGAATCTGGCGCAGTGTGCTGAGTTCCTTCTAGGTCACACCGGCAAAACCAAAATACTCTGGATTTACATTCTGGACTGGCGAGATGCATACCACAAATCCATTCTACCCCACTCTGGAAGAGATGGCAAAGTTTGGACCCATGGCAGTCTTCGGCCGCTCAGTCATGATTTGGATTCAACGCCAAGGAGATGGCCACTACCGCCTCGATCTCGGAATTCCTTGCCCCGAAGAGTTTGACAAGATCAAAGGAATCGATCTTGCTGATGCTGAAGCGGTCAAGCGATTCGCTCTAGCCGAATTTAATAATGGTCATTCCGAGAACCTCAAAGCGATTATCAGGGCAATCGAAGGCCCGTTCCATGCTTGGCCATTATATTATATGCCACCCGATGCAATCAATTGGGAAGCATCGTCAGATGTTACGTTGATAGGTGACGCTGCGCATGTTACTACCCCGTTCGTTGGAGAGGGTGTCAACATGGCCATGAAAGACTCCGTCGTTCTAGCACGCAAGCTAAAGGAGTTCGGAGCAACCCTGAGGGCAGTGGAAGAGTATGAGAAAGAAATGTTCCCAAGGTCGAGAGAAGTCATTGAGATGAGTCTTGCTAGCGGAAAACTTTGTTTTGAGTGGGATGCTCCGAGAGATGGGTTGGACAGAGGACGAAGAGTAGAATGGGATTGACGCGTTGCATGGCTGGTCATAAAGAATAGTCACCAATTAGTCCGTTGAAGGGGATGTATACTACTGGTCATCACCCTAGTGTTTCCGCAAAGCTGAATACAATTTTCACAGTGTCATGTTAAATCTTCTCATGTGTCGCTCATTGTAATTTAACAATTAATTGCTAAGGAGAGAAGAGCCTGTGGCTATTGGGCTACTCTTTTATAAGTCTGATTACGTATGCTACGTAAATACAGTTTATGCCATGGGAAGTTGAGCCGTGGTGGCTCTGCTGGAGAGGTTGATCAAAAGTGTTAATATATATTAGCGCCTTATCTTTCTCAGTTGCTTCGCTAGGCATCAGTTGAGATAATGTATGAATCTTACGCTCCATACAACCATATATTGATATGGGGAGTAAATCTGAAGCGCGAAGTCTTCACGAGAGTCAATTGAGTGTATTCTATATTTTCAGTTATGATTCTATCCTTGACTTTTTCCCCCAGACGGTTTGTCGCTGTGCTGGATGCATTCGTCATCCCATCTGTGACAAGACAAGTAGGCCTTTTAGGCGTTCATCAGTCTCGTACTCCTTCAGCGCGCTCTCTTTCCACTCCGACCAGCCTTCTACCACCCCAAACGCTTGTAATATTGCATTTGCTGACGGCAAGGCATATTTCCATTCTGGCTCAAAGGCCAAGCCCCAAAAATATCTCCTCACTTTCTCATCAGTCATATTACTGGCCAGATCAGATGAGCCTCTTCCTTGTAGAATCTCCGCCAGTACAAGGTCGTTGGGACTTAGTGAGACTGTTCCATTGCACAAGGAGTTCATATCTGCTGTAACAAGCGAAGGTCCAAAAGCTTCCTTTCGTGGTACAACACGTGCCATTTGCCAGTCAATAATACCAGTGATGTTCAGTTGCTCGTCAACAAGTATGTGGTCGCCTTTGTCGTCGACATGCTTCAAGTAGAATCTCTCTGGCATTTGGGTTTCCTCTTGCGACGTCAACTGGGTTGCACTATCTTTCAAAAATCGGTACACCAGATAAGCATCAATAGGATATTCGGTATATAGTTGACCATCCACGATGAGCTCCAGGTACTGCTCAGCAAAAGCTGTATAATAGGCGGTAGATGTAGCAAACGGACCGGTGGGGGTGAGGACGAGAAACCTGTCGCTTGCAACGGCCGATACCTGAATTGCAGAGGATTGCAAGCACAGTGAACCAGCCTTAGGAAAAGGGTGTTTTTCTAACTCGATCAGAATATCCGCAAGACCACTCCAGACCTTTGCCTTTTCGCTCTCAGTGGCTTTGCCGCCGGAAATGCCTTGACCTGTCCACGGTGTCCCTGGTAGTTCTTCCATGAGGATGAAACTGACTCCAGTACCATGGTCTGTTCCAGTGCCATGTATACCGTAGCTGAATGCTCGAGGTGTCGGTACTGCGGTAGTTTCAAGAAACTTCAAGGTTGCGTATTCGCTGAGTACAAGGTACTCAACTAGTGAAGCTGGAAGACCAACAGCGAAGCTGGCAACACGTGGAACCCGAAGTAACCATGAGGGAGATCCGTCGTAGAAACGAATCTGAGCGTGGTAATTGGCGCTTCCCATAATAGCACCGGGGCCAATCGTGGAAGAATGTTCGATAGTGCAACTACGGCCACCATTTAGACTTGAAGCATGTTTGCAGACTGCTGCGTCGTTGATCCGAGAGCGAAGACGTTCAATTTCAGCGGCAGTCTGCAATACGTAGGTTGCATCATCCAAGACCTGTGTTTTCAAGAACAATTAGTATCGGATTTAGATAAGATATGACATGAAAATGAGGTGAGGACAAAGAACATACAACTCACCTTGCTGCACTTGTGATAAGCTGGTGACATGTGAACTAGACACAGGTAATTGTTGCATACGTCGCATCCACCAATCGCTCTGACACTGGGCCGTTCACATTCCGGCACTGAGCAGGAAAAGAACCTCGAAGTCATACTGCGGTGATGTATAGACGAGACGAGCTGTGATTGCTACGTGAAAACTATCGTAAATGATGGAAAAGTTTGCAGGAATCGCATGTGGCTAGACAAGATGGTGGTGGGTGTTGAAGTAATCCTTGTGTTGACGCAGGTTTTGTCACTAACTTGGATCCTTGGCCCGCCTAAGCGCTGTTGGTTGCCGCCGTTTTCGTACCAAGGAGGCATTTATATTGCGACAGCTCCATTCTCTTATAGTCCCATCCCATTTTCGATATCCCGCTGATGCTGCCTTGGCCCCTGAAATATGAGTCGCTCGTCTCTCCCACAAGCTTCAAGTATTAGAACGGCTTCGGATCCCGTGAAGTCTCCATGCTTACAAGCAAAAACCATAATAATGGAGCCTACCTAATTGCTAACATAGCTACAGCTGTGTAGTGCTGGATGTGTGCATCGTATGAAGCATAAAGATACATTCAAATCAAAAGAAGGCCGACAGCACAGTGCCGAGAGATACTTGCCTGAAGAAGCAATTATTGCGCAAAATTCGTGGACAAAGACACACAATGCTCCAGAATCGACGAACGACGTACAGGGTGCCAAATATCAACTAATCCTTGCTAGCTACCGTATATCCGCTACCACTCCATCTGGTTTGAAGTCCTCCTCTCGTTACTGAAAGAAAATGCTCACTCGGGAACATCAACCACTTTCCTCCTCGCCTGTCCCAATAAACTCCCAATTCTCATACTCCCACCTCGTCTCAAATCCTATCTTCTCATAAAAACCCTTGATCACCGCGCTATCGATAAATATCCCATCCACACCTCTCTCCTTCAAATTCTGTATACAATGTCAGCCACGGTTCTCGTTTTTCACGCATCCAAACAGCTTCTCCGCTTCCACCCGGTGTTCGAGCCAGAACCAACCTAGGATCCAGGAGGGAGAGCGGCTTGTGTCCTTAGAGAGAAACTCCATCCAAGCCAAATCAAGTCAAAAAGAACTAACCTCCATAGCCCTAACAACCATCGCCAACCCCACACCCCTCCCTCTAGCCTTCGCATCTATCCCCACCGCAGAAATCAACCCAATTCCCCTTTTCACTTTGCTGCCTTCATCTTTTTCAGCGGCTTCTGCTTCAAAAGCAACATCCCCCGCAAGTGGCAGGAAAGCAAACATATCCTTGACACTCGCATCTGGTCCACACATCAGAGTCCATCCAAGCTGTTGGTTGGTCTCGGCATCGAAAGCAACGAGGACTTCATGGTAAAGGTTTAGGGAGGCGAGGACGGCGTAGGCGTTTGCCCAGGACTAGATAGAGGGGAGATGGGTTCAGTTGGAGAAATTGAAGATCGAAAATCGGATAAAGAGGGAGGAGAAAAAATTAGGATATTGCTTGAAACTGGTAAAGGGAAGTAATAGAGACAGGGAGACAAGGAGAAAAGATTCAAAACTCACGAAATTAGCATTCTGCTTCTCCATGCACTCCTCATATCCACTCTCATCCCACGGTGCAAAACGGAGTCCTTCCTCCTTCACTATCTTTTCCACTCTTTCTTTGACATTGGGTGATACAACTTCCGTTCTGACACCCTTGAAGAAGTCTTTGATATTCGGACCATTGGATTTATTGAAGCCTGGATATGTGGGTATCAGCAAAAGTCACAAAATGAAAGACACCAGGTTTTATAGAGGAGAGGAGCTGGCTGGGAGATGAGAAACGATCTTCGCCACCATTTGCAGCAAGTACGGGAGTCGATGTAAACAAGAAACAGAGAGTCTGAGAGGTAGAAACATACCTCTCCTCCCCAACCACACCCCGACCGATTCCCCCTCTCCCAATGTAAACTCAACTGGCAACCCCGGCCAAAACCTCGGCGTCTCACTCCCAATAACAATCTTAATCTTCTCCATCTCTCCTTCCCCATCCCCATCTCCATGACCATCTCCATCCCCATCTCTCTCACCCACCCCACCCCTCAAAGCCCCAACTCCCCTCTTCAACAATGCACCCCCCACCCCTCTTTCACGATGGGTAGGCAGCACCCCAATAGCGGAGATATATCTTTTCTTCGTCTTGGTCTTCCCATCTTCGTTGCCGAGAGATAAGTACGTGAGTATGAACCCCACTGGCTTTTCCTCAGGTGAGTTTGAAGGCTGGAATTGGGATTGGGATTGAAATTGATTTTCAAAGGCGAGGAAATGCCTCCCCTGCCCCTCGAATAATGGATGCCGTATGATTGTACCCAGTAAATCGTCTTCGATTGGCCATTGAGGAAAGATCTGGCTCCAGAGTGTGGATAGAGTGTTTAGGTCTTCGGCTGAGGAGGTGAGAGGTTTGATGGATATTGGAGTGGGAGGAGAAGCGGGTGTTGGTGGTGAGATTTGGGATTGGGAATGGGATGCCATTGTGGATGTTTGAGTGGTTGGATAGATGGGTGGGTAGGCAGGCAAGTGTGAGAATTCCAGACAACGGTTAAAAAGGACAATGGATCAACTAAAGATATGACGAAGTTGAGACTGGAATTGAAAACAAAATGGATGTGGAGGAAAGAGAAGTTCAACTGAACCTCCAACTCAAGTACCCCATCCCATAAGCTCGCTTAAATACCTACCTCCCCATCAACATCCAGGAAAAAGTGGCACAGCACCCTCCCACAAGAGAAACCAAGCTAAGCCCAAAGCAGAAGTAAACATCCGACTTTGCCTGATTCTGTATCCTATCCTTAACTTGACATTGACGCGTCTTTGATTGCGAAAGATAGAGATACCACCTTGGATGTACATGAGAGCTGGAGTGAATGAGAGGTAGGCTAATAGATAAGTTATGGTATGGTATGATATGGTATGGGATGTGAGATTGCCAGGGGCATGTGTGTTCAGCTACCTTATTGATGTGTACCCACTCCACTCCCACGACGTCCCCACGATACAGCACAACACCACCACACAGCACATCACAAATGTCGAAGTCAATCGCAGCACATCACAGATCCCAAATTCCATCTAAGCACACACAGAATTCAAAACCCAAAAAGAAGATATTCAATTACTTCAGCTATTTCTGAAAGACCGACTAACTGGACGTGACGTGACGTGACGGAAAGGGGGTATTCGCAATCTGTCTACTCTTACTCTGCTCTTGGTCTTGCTCTGACTTGTGTGCTTCGTGTGTATGTGCGGGGTATCATCAATCAATCTAAATTTCCCTCTTTCTCTTCACCCATCTTCCCCTTACTCTCGTCTCCGTCTTCTTCAGGTCGCCCTCCCTCCCAGGCATATCCCTCGGCCAACTCAACTTGGCATGCCTCTCTCCCCAACTCTCTCCCCATCCTCGATATTTGACAAAAGAAATCCTCCTCAATATAAGTTTGTATGTCCGTACAGGACTGTGTTTTCAGCGTGTACATCCGATCAATCGCAATCAATCAATCAAGCGTACAACGCAGCCTCACCCCTCCCCATAGCCCCTCTGCTCCCATCTCCATCTCCATCCTCACCCTCACCCTCCTCCTCATCCAAAACATCATCCCCCTCCCCCGCAAAACTCTCATCATCATAAAATCCCGCATCACTGAAATCCTCCGCCTGCGCATCAGCATCATAGCTACTCTTGCGCATCATCGGCGGCGTGGTAGGTACACCACCCATACCCATGCCACCCATCCCTCTATTCACACTGCTCACACTTCCTCGCATACCTCTGTTACTTCCGCCAGCGACAGAGCCTTTGGCGGACTTAGCGGGACTACCTCGCAATCCTGCGCCTGTAGGTTGGCGACTCGGGCCGGCAGCACCACGCTGCTGTCCGGACATATTGCGCGGACGATTAGCGAGTTGTGCGCTGGTGAAGCGTTGTCCTGTACTGCCAAAGGCAGTAGGCTGTTTCCCACTTGCACTTCCACTCTTCTCCCCAGCAGCACCCCTCGCCGAAGTACTAGCAGGCGGCGTCAGCAACCCACTCAAGAAACTTTGATTTCCCGGCGAGTTGGTGCGAGATGGCGTGCTGGAATTAGATCCACCATCGACATCAACGGCTCTCCCCTTCCGCCAGTTGCCCCACGCAGCGGCAAGAGGGCCAACTGCTTGGGCGACACGCGGACTAGCTACGTCCCGCAGACTAGCCGCAATATTTGGGAGATTAGAGAGGGCCGAGCCACCGTTCATGGCGCGCTCCCGCTCTTGCTCTTCCATCTGCAGGTTGGCGCGAAGACGAATGGCGGCGTCGCGGACGCGTTCGGCGTCAAATCTATCACTCTGTAAAGCATTGACGATATCCTGGAGATCGCCTTTGCGGACTGACAGGAGTTCGCGGAGCCACATGATTTCGTCGTCGCGCTTGGAGATCTTGGTTGGGGCGTCGAGGTCGACGGTTGAGAGTTGCGTGGTGAGAGATTCAATGGTTTGCTCGCGGGCTTGGAGCTGCTCTTGTAGAACCATGATGCTTTCGCGGAGGGCTTGGGGTGAGATCTTCTCTGGGAGTTCGAGGCCTTTGGCCAATGGTCGATGAGTTGTGGTTGTTGGAGAGGCGATGCTTGCTGAGCGGGCAGTCTTAGCCGCGGTCGCAGCTGCAGCTGCGGCTTGGTTGGCGATCTCCAATTTTTCTTCTAGGTGAGAGACACGGTCTTGGAGGTGCTCAGTCTTAGCTGCTGAAAGAGATAATCGTTCAAGAAGGTGCTGCTCGTGGCGTTGAGCATCTTCAACGGTGTTGTTGAGTTGGCGTTCATGCTGAGTCTGCATGTCTTCTATGATATCGGCATGCTTGTTCTTCAAGTCATTAAGGAGTGTTTGCTTAGAAGACTCTGCTTCCTCGAGCAACATCTCGCTCTTGACCTTTGCCGTATCAGCATCCAGCTTGATCTGATCGATCTCTGCACGAGCTCTGAGGACTTGATTTTCGAGATCCTCGCGCACAACATTGACTTGGTTGTTTGCAGTATCGATCTCAACCTGCATGTAATGTCTGGTTCGCTGGACTTCACTCAAACCAGACTCTCTAGCCTCCTCGAATTCTCTCTTGTAGCGCATACTGTCCTTGAGAGCAGCATGATTCTCCGCTCTTAAATCATCCACAACAGCTTCCAACTTCTTCAGGTCGCTCACAGCACGCATACCCTCGCGCTCACCACCCTCAAGACGTTCAATCTCCAGCTCCAGTCGCTCTCTCGTCCTAGCTTCGGCCTGGAGTCGTGCATCGAGGACCTCCTGTCGGGCAATGAGCTCCTGCTCCTTCTTGGCGCGGCGGGCGTTCTCTTCGGAAATTTCACAGGCTGCGCGCGCCATGTCCTCCTGCAAATCCATTAATTTCCCTCTCATACCCTCGCGGACTCGGATACTTTCCTCCATCTGGGTTCGCAGGCTCTCCATGGTATGCCTCAGCTCCTTGTTCGTCTCATTGGCCTGCTCGGCATCCTCGCTGTGTCGTCTGGCGGCGTCGAGCGCACGCTCAGCTTCCATTTGCCAGCGTTGGGCTTCAAGTCGAGCTTCTCTGAGATCGTTGTCGGAGATGGTCAGACGGTTCTGCATATCATTCTGTGTCTTCTGTGCATTGTCTTGGGCGGCTTCTAGGAGCGCGATTCTCATGGTCGTCTTGGCTCGTTGTTCCTCGACATTTCTTACCTTGAGGTCGCTAGCATCTACAATCTCACGGATCTTCAGCTCTCTCTCATCCATGGCTTCCCGGAGACGAACTTCCTCCTCGGAAGAGATGCGGAGCAATCTCTGGACTTCCGCGAGACGGTCTTCGGCAGCACGACGGGACTTGGTTTCCTCTTCGGTACGGATGTCTGCTCGGAGAAGCTTCTCTTCGACATCAGCAACACGACTTGTGTTTTCAGTATCGAACCGCATGAGTCTTTCTTCGAGTTCTGCAATCTTGGCTTTGTACTCTGCCTCTCTGGAAATTGCAGCTTCATCGAGAACAGGTTTTGGTGAGGTAGGCATACGTCTCTCGACAGCCTCCTCGACAATATTTCTGAGATCTTCACCACGGAGATCGAGGCGCATCGATTGACCAAATTGCTCCTTCATCTCATTAAGTGCTTGAAGGACATTGCGAGAATCAGGTAGGACACCAGGGGAGGTCGTAGCGGTAGCGGGGCGTGAGTTTTGTTGAGCAGCAAGTGCTTCCGTAATGACGGCTCTGATCTTGTCGAGCTTCTTGTCTCGCCTGGGGCTAAGCGATCGGCGAGCATTATCATCATCTTCATCGTCCGCATCACTGAGCGCACCCGAGATACTTCGGCGCTCCCGTTGAGTGGACTGACCACGAGCTGCCATCATATCAAGCGACATCTGGACATTCTCCAGTGTGCGCTCAAGTGGTTCGAGTCTTTGAGACAGTAATCCACCAACGAGATCGTTGACGTGGTTGTCAAAGAATTGGGCCCGAGGCAGAAGTTTCGCCTCTTCAGTCTCGCTAAGGACATCATCCCACTCACTAGGTGGCAGACTGTCCATGTTATTCAGGTGATGAACAGGTGATTCGTCAGCAACAAATGGATCCTCGTTGACACGTGAAAAGATTCTCGACTCTCCAGGCAATGCTTGGAATCGTCTTGGACTTGGGCTAGGAGCATCACTGCGCATGACATGCTGTGGTAGAAGCCTGATAGGCGACGAGTTGTCTGGGTCTGGAAGATTGATGTGTCGTTGTGGACTTGGCTGGTGGTAGACGGTGGAATCCTGTCTTGGTGCAGATTCTGCCTCGTTCATCAAGCGCATGACCTCATCAATCTCTTCCAATGACTGCTCTTGGAAGGTCTCGTTGCGTTCTTCCTCTCCAGTGTATGGTGGTGGACTCTCAACCTGTGGCAATGCACCTTGGAACTGTGTTCGCTCCTCAGGCTGCATATGGGTCTCTGGTGATTTAGGCGGACTTGAGGCCTCTACTGCAGGTGGAGTTGGGCTTCTAGCGAATCGTGAAGCAGACAAGCCAGCACTGACAGGAAGCGAAGGTGGCAGAGAAGGTACAGAAGATGGTGCAGGGACCGATGCAGAAGGCTGGCCAAACGTGAAGTTGAAAGCTCCAGGCTTGAACTCGAATGGCTTGGCGGTAGCCGACAAGGACGAGATATTCTTCTTGTGACCCTTTGGCTTCTGAGGGTCGTGAACGGGTGTGGTAAACTCGTCCTCGGAGGGGTTATAGTTTCCATAGGCAGGCAAGCCAGAGCCATATCTACGGGATGTGAATGGTCTTGCGGCATTGAAGTCCTCTGCTTGCTTCTTCTCCTGGAACTCCCAAGGCGAGAAGTCCTTTCCAGATGCTTCAGTACGGGCGCTCGACTCGGCAGGATTTTCCTCGAGTGGAGCAGAGTTCTCCTTGTCAGCTGGCGCAGTAGACACGGTGAGAGACTCCTTTGGTGGTGATTGCTCTCTGGTCGTCTCACCAAGTGGCATGCTTGGTTCAGCAAACAGTGACACAGAATCACCGTCGTCCTTTGCACCACGAGCTCTCTTGATTCGCCCTTCACCCTGGGTGATTCGACCGTCCTTATCTTCCACATCCTCATTCTCTGCAGCCTTGGAATGACTGCTATCAGGCCGAATGATCGGAATAGCCTTATTCTTCTTGCTCGGTTTGGAGATACCCAAGGCACTCAGATCGATGTTGCCGAAGATTGAGCTTCTAGGTCCGTCACTACCAGATCCAATGGAGTCAGAAAATGTTGAGTTCAAAGGAGTGAAAGCTGGTGCATCAGGTCTGAAACTTGGTCCCGAAGCAGAGAAACTGAATTCCTTGTGACTTGGAGTAAAGGCAGGCGCAGCGACATTGATCTTGCTCGAGCTGGCAATTGAACCATGGCTGAAATGGCTTGTGGTAGCAGAGACAGGAGGTGCAAAGGCTGTGAATGCGTTGATCGGCGACTGGAAGCTATTGCTGTTGAAAGCGAATTGGCCAGGAACGAATGCAGTCGTTGCCGTTGGATTGAACTTGAACTCCTTGGCTCCAACGTTGAGAGTTGACGAGGTCGCTTTGTGACCTTTGCGTCGTGGAGGGGCAGTACTGTTCTCGGTTTGATTTGCATCTGAATCTGCCCAGGGGTTGCTGACCGCTGAAAGTGACCTATCATGACCACTACCAGACAGAGAAGTGCTTTGAACAGGCGTTCCCAGATTACTTGGGTTTGTCTCGATATCAGAAAGATCAGGCTTGCCGAGATGATTTTTCGACTCGGGAGCACTCTCCTCGCTGTCTTGGAAAGGACGTTGAGAGAGTGAGTGTCCTCGGCTATGTGGCTGAGGATGATGCAGTACAGGGCCATCTGAATCCTCAGCAGCATATCTCGATGCACCAAGCCCCATAGATGAGGTATTTCTCGCATGACCCATCACAGGCTTCTGAGGGAACTTGTCTTCGTCCTTGTCAGAGTGTGGACTGTAATCATCGTGCTCGAGCTCGCGCTGCATCTGCTCCTCCAAGTGGTACTCCGCATCATCGATTTCTTTCTGGAGGTCATTGGGATTGTTGCGCAATCTTGCTTCGGGAGTCTTCGAGGGGCTCTTGGACAAAGGTTCATCTTCGCCTTCGATCTCTCGAACCTCTTGGAGGCGAGGGGAGGCTCTAGCACCACCCTGCAATTGCAATTGTTGCTGATGCGCCAGTTGGGTCTGCAGTAGCTGCTGTCTTTGTTGCATCTGCGACATGACGTCTCCACCTTGTGGGAAATAACCATCTTGCGAAAACGGAGAAGCTGGAGATACCAGTGACCCAAGATTTTGCAACGAGGGCGAGCCACCTCTAGCCGCACCTTGCGGGTAAAGCATCTGTTGAGGTGACCACACTCCTGGAGAGTTCTGTTGAGGATACTGGAATGGCGATCCAAACGGATGCTCGTTACCAGTAAATGAGACAGATTGTCTTGGATTGAATTTACCCTGCATGTGTGCATGCATCGAGGCTGGTGATGCTACTGAGCCTGGATTGGAGCTCTGACTCGTTGACATTCCAGCACCTGGCATCAACAGAGGCGAGAATGGGTTTTGATGCTGAGTCAAATGACTGCTGGCCGCTGAAGATGTCGGCAATGGTGGTGAGAATGGCAGTGGTGGATATTGCATAGATGTTCTCCTGCTTTTCATATTTGACACAGCTGGTGAGATCGTTGGAGCAGGTTCTTCGTCTCCAAATGACACCCCCAAAGCACGGAGCTTTGCTTCCTTGAGCTCCTGGACATAGTCGTCCCATTCTAGACTGGTATTAGCATGGTAGAATAGATTGCGATAATTCGAGCATCGTGTAAATGGCAGAAAATAGATACCAAAGGTATGCTTGGGCAATTTTCATTACCAAGTAAGGTGATCTGGAATGTAAAGCAGTAAAGATTTAATGAGCCATTCTTACCTTTTCGGTTAGGGATGCTGACCCTAAAGTTTCGCTGCGTCCTATCCTGGATGACGTCCCTGACAAGAGGCCAGGGACTGCGACTCTGACCCTGACTACCCTCATCTCCCTCAGAAACATCGGGACCAAGGTTGAAGCCGGTGGTATCATAACCCAGCTGCTCCCACTCCTTCAACATAGCAGCCATGTCCTTCTCGGTCAGAGGCGTAGGGGCTTTGCCTTTCTGACCGCGCTCATCGTCCCATGGCAGTAAGACGAGGATATTTTTCCCTCTCCATGGGACCTTTTTCTTCAGACGTGGCGGTCCTGGAGCTGGTGTTGGGACTTGGACTGGTGCTTCCACTGGAGCGGGGAGAGCAGCAGCGCGCCATTCTTTCGGTGGTGGAGGAGGGGGTGTCTCGTCTTCCGGCGATTGAGCATTCATTTCCATCGCCACACCCATATCATTCTCATCTGTAAGCGACATCTTCGGAATCGAATGGTCGAGAAAATCTTCAGCGAAATCCTCCTGTGTCAATGTATCCGTTGTCAATTGTCTCCTGTGTCCTCTTGGTCTTACAGGTCTGCTGTGTGCCTTCTTTCTAGATTCAAGAAAGGTTTTTAGAGTTGGTGTCCGTGGATCCGTTTCGGTTCCAGGCCAATCTCTGTTTTCGCCGGAGATTGATCCGCTCAGTGAAGAGTGCTCACTATCTCCTGCGTCGTCACTAAGCCAGTGATTTCTTTCCACAGATTCTCCTCCAGTATGTTGTCGAATCCAATCCTCTGTCAATCCCGTCGCTGGACGTCTAGCTCGATTCGCAAGGACTGCCGCACTGATTAGACCGTCGTGGGAGACGAATTCGGGATCAGTGTGCAGACGTGTAAAGGTCGGTGCTGGACGGAGGAACGGGGTATGGAACTCGAGATGTCGGATGGGCGAATCTTCGGACGGCTCACTACTCAACGTATGGCTATGGGCGTGTGATCGAGTTCTGAATGAACCTGCAGGCTGCTGGTATGGAGATCCCCAGCTGGCAGTATAGTAGTGACTGCTCCCTGGTGAACCGGAAGGCGGCGTTCTCGATCGAGGCTCGAATGTGCGACCACGAAATGTGGGTTGCGGAAGCGGTGGAAGGACAGGAGATGAGCCTCCGTCGTCTTCTGCTGTTGAGCTCGTCGAGAAAGCAGGCGATTCGGCGCGTGCAGGTAGATCCGCTGTAGATGGATTATTGCCGGGTCCGTCCTCTGCCGCTGCAGCAGGAGGAGGCGATGATTGCAAAGAAGAAATTGTTTGGATATCTGCTGGAGGAGAGCGCGTTAGTATTAGTCTTGAAATGGGATGTTTACTTCGAGGCTTGAGAAGTGGCATCCTGCATCTCGCAACAAGTATAATGCCGCTATTTGCGAGCCAATTGCTCTCGACAGAATCCGAGTCTGCTGTTGACACTTCTGCAATTGAGTCTCGGTTGGGAATAGCCTCATGGCTTTCCGGATCCATCTCCAAGACCCGTCCAACTCAATCGCAGCAACAGCAACCATTAAATCGCGTCCTGCCGCGTCTCCAAAGACATGATCGAGTCCGCGCCGGTATCTGCGAGCATTTTTTTGGCCGGAAAAAGCCTTCGTCGTGCCATAATTCAAAGGGGCATTTTCCCCTGACATCAACAGACCAGATCGCGTCCCCTATCACATCATCTTCAACGGACCTACTGGGCCTCCACGGCAGTGATCCCCAGAGGACCAGCGAAGCGTCTTGTACTCAAGAGTTGAGAAGCCCGCGATAAAGTAACGCTCCGCTGGTTTTCTAGAAGCCACTGCCGAAAAGGCTGATCATTGTCTCTCCTTGCCCTTCGTAGATCCATTCCTCAAAACCCAATGAAACAGCATCTCACTCACCACACCGAGACCAGCGCAGACGAAACTCCGTCGTCTACTCTGCTCTCTAAAACAATCCTCTGGCCACGCTACAACACGGAGCCTTTCCTTTCCTCAGTAACCTTTCCTACACCGTGCAAATGTCTCTCCTTGTCTGTATGTATGTCTCCCTTATCGTGTTATCCGAAATCGAGTGTACGGCGACGCGTCTCGCACCAAAAAAATAAATTATTAAATAAAGAAGTGTATCGTGTTGATTAAAGGAGTGTCATAGCGCGAAGAGAAGGAAGTCAAGCAAGTAATGGACAAGAATGAAGACAGACGGGCGACAGATCAGGTTAGGCTATGAGAGAGGCGCCATAGACTATGATGTACTGTCTGCGAGGAGGAGGCAGATGGTGATGGTGGTGAGGTTGGTGGTGGTGTTGTTGTCGTCGGGTTGAAAGGGGATGGGAGTTTATTCGAGGGTTTAGTTAGTCGTGGCCGTGTTGAGAGGGTGGATGCAGGGTTGGGCGTGTTCTTCCGTTCTGCCACGCTTCCTTCCCTTTGCTGTGCTTCCGCTTCCGCTTCCACGCAGCAAAGCCAAAAAAAAAAAACGTTGCGCGACCCCTGGCGGGATTGGCCGAGGAGATTGGCCCGTGATTGGGTGTGGGGATAAAGTCTTGCACTACTACCCTAAGTGGTTAGAGGGCCTTCTTCTCCTGAATAATTAATTTTAATAGTTGGGATGAAGCGAATAATGATTGAGTGGAGTTGGGATTGGACGAAGTCGAGTTTCTAGAAAGGGGGATTTGGAAAGGGATATCTAAAAATATGTTGAGCCTTACATCACATGGAAGTACGACGAGAGGCTGTAAGACAGTGGCTTCAGTTTGTAGAACGTGTCAAAATGGACGACTACCTAGTTATGGAATGTTGAAGCGTTGTACCAAAATAGTTAGGGGTTCTACGCGAGGCTGTAGCTTGGCTGGGCGGTCTTAAATGGAAAAACTTTCAGAGGAACGCCATGATCTCAGAATTGACGTCAAAATAGCAGACGTCTCATAGCTCAACTCCGCAAGAAGCACAGATTGAAATAGTCTCCTCGCTGCGATCGTGTCTGGATTGATAGACTGACATATTGTCAAAAGTCGCTTATTGACTCCACCACTCAGAAAGCGGTTAAATCTCGTTATGTATGCGATTCAAGTGTAGCGAAGCCAATTAAGCAAGGGAGGTAGTTTTGTCGCTAATAACAGTCAAAAACGGTTTGATATGTGAGCTGAACTCTTGAGAAGGAAGGGCGACGAGGCTGAACTATGGCAGATTGGCTAATAACGGAGGTATGGGGAATATTGAGTTGTGAACTTGTGATTCAAAATAACTAAGCTTAGAGCATGCTCATCCAGATAATGCGGGAGAACTCGTACAAACGCCAAATATACATACAAATACATGGTTCTCCATGATTAGCAGTACCCACCATCCATGCATGCACGTCTTATCATCTCCTATTCCTTGAATTCGGCTCCTGGCCCCTCCTCATCCCCCTACGTCCACTTCTTCAACACCACTTTCACTTTGAACCATCTACTCCACAGCCTCGGCACGCATCTTCGGCGCATACATCCTAAACTGCACGAAAATAATTGCGTCCTCCGCCATCGTGCCCAAACTCCCAATCAACCAGGGGAGGTTGGTCCAGAGATACTCCTTCTCGAGAGAGTGGGCGAGGATGCCGGCGCCGTAGGTGAGGTTGCCCATTAGCGAGAGCATGAAGAAGAGGAGGGCGAGGCCTTCGCAGGACTTTTCTTGGTGGTTCTTGATGATTTGCGGGATGCGCGCTCTGGTTAGGAGTGTTAATTCATGGATAACAATCGATGTTGGACTTGGTAAGACGGAAAATTGGGGGGTTTCGAGAGAGGGAAAGAGAACGGACTAACCCAAGATAGCAAACCGCGCTGATGTATCCCAAGATCTTCGCACCCATAGCAGTAGCTTGCGGACCAACCATGTCTCCATCCTCAGGCTGAGGAATCCAGACACCAGATTGCCACGCGATAGCCCAGCCCGCTGTCCCAACCACAACGACACCAAGAATACTCAAGGTATTCTTCAACCACGGCTTTCCATCGATATCGTCCTCCTCCAGGATCTTAGCAAGTGAGTTTCCACCAGCACTGATAGCTGAAGAGCGGCGTCTGTGCGACCCTGGGAGGCCGATCGTGTCACTGCTTCGGCGATGGGAGAGAAGCGGCTCGTTCTCTGTTGCGGCTGAGGCGACTGATTGCTGGCGCGTGGTTTTGGCATTCACGTGGTTGTAATAAAGACATTGCGTGATGAGAACGACGTCGGCGATGCAGAAGTATATGGCGAGAGCGATGACAGTTGGGACTAGATCGGCCCATAGAGCACCTGTTGGGATGATCAGCAAGGGCACGTGACCGGTCGAAGGTGAGGGGAAGAAGACGAAATGAGAAGGCCAACGAGGAATGTACGACGTCCAAGTTGCTACGAACTCGATGCAAGTGTAGACAAACATACCGGACAGGTTGGTGATGTCACCAATGAGCCAGACACCGAGGAAAGCCAGTGAGATGCCCTCTGCACTTCCAGTCTTATAGTTCAGATATAACTGAGGGACCTGGACAACAGTCAACACAATTCCATCCAGACAGAAGTATATCCTCAAAGCCACATCCTCCACATGCCTCAGCGAAACTCACCAGGAGAAAGATCCATGTCGCCAAACTGATGCTTCCAAAGATACCAGATAAGGCTTCATGTACCGTCAATGGATCCGATAAGGTCTTGTGACCCAACAACCACAAAGCGGACATCGTGAAGCTTCTCAATGTCGAGTATATAGGAGGAGGGAAGAGATGAGGTTGAGGTGTGAAGTGGTGAGAAGTGGTGAGAAGTGGTCCTGTGAGGCGGTGTCTTATATTCACGGTGGATGTGATAGGTTGAAGGGTGGTGGGTGGATGAAGACCCTGTCAGTGCAGTGCAGCTTTTTGCTCGCGTGCAGAATTTTGAACGAGAAGGGTGGAAGCGAAGTATGCCATCTGATGCAGGGGCGACAAGCGGCAAAGATAAGAGATTAGGTTCTAGGCTAGACCAAATGAGGGATGAGCAAGCGGCTGGCGCAAGAGCCGCTTTGATAAGGTTCCATGACGCATTAAGTTTGACAACAGTCTGGAGGTAGTGAGGGGATGGGTTCATGACTACAGATGATAGAAGGAATACCGGATGAAGATATACTTCGCATCATGAACTGAACGACTTTTCCATTTCTCTATCGGCAGGACCTTTCCATTCTCTGAAGCTCTCCACTCGCGCCCTGCCTCCGTCGACTTTTCCGTTCTCTTAGTCAACCATGTTATCAGCAAAATACCACATTCTGCTCCTAGGAGGTACCGGAATATGCGGCACGATCTTCCTGCGCGCAGCTCTAGAGGCTGGCCACACATTGACCCTCTACGTCCGGACACCATCCAAGATCTCCGAAGACATAGCCTCGAATCCGAACATCCACATCATACAAGGCGAGTTTGGAGATGAGGAGTCATTGAAGAAGGCTGCTGCATGCGGAGCTACAGTATTTGTCTCGTTGGCTGGTCCAACACTTGGTGAGAAAAAGGGGATGGTACGTTCTCTATCTACTGTGTTCATATAAAGACAAAGGACACTGACAACCTTCAGCCAATAACCCACGCCCTCCAAACCCTCTACCCCCACCTCCTCGCCAACTCCTACACACGAATCCTCACCCTCTCCACCGCCTCCTACTCCGCACCCGAAGATACAAGATCCGTCAAATGGTGGGTAGCCATCAACATGTACGTGCGAGTAATCGGAGGTGACGCCTACAATGAAGTACGGGGCATGGCACAAGCTACAGTTGATCTGGGCGAGAAAATAAAATGGACAGTTTTCAGAGTGCCGTTGTTGTCGGGAAAGGCACTAGGAGACAGTGAGGGTGAGGTGGAAGCTTGTTATGTGGGTGACAAGAAGGGAAGAGATGGGTTGTGGTTGGATAGGGGGAGGTTGGCGAGATGGATATTGGGGGAGTTGGATGAGGGGAAGTGGATTGGTACGTGTCCGTTGGTGTCGAACGCTTGAGATTGTGGATGGAGGTGAATTGATGCCCATGAAATGGAGAGCTTGTGCGCCATTATGAATGTGCTGTGGCAACGACACGTCATCCACAAGTGTGTGCTGAAAGTTTTTCCTGATCTTCTTGTCGAGTGGCGGAAGGACACATACAATGGCTCAATCGACCCAATCTCGTCAGGCACAGCGAAAGTTCTCGTATCTATGGTCTTCAGAATCCGGTGGACGGGATTGCGATAGCGCAAGGTGCGCAACTATGCTTGCGATATATGCAAGAAGTCCGCACCGCTCTTCCCAGATTCAAGAATTTTCGACACGGAATACATGCAAAATCAAACGGTGGGAAACAAGTTCAGCTTTTTCAATTTGCTGTCTGATTACCAAGACAGCGGACTAGACACGAGTTTGTCGCTGTCCCAACCTCGGAACCAGCAAGGAAGGTTCGAGTCATACTGGGCATTTTCATCTCGACCGTGGAAGCCGCAAATTAATTATGCTTGTTTTAAAGTCGATGTTTCGAGTTGGGAGATTCGCCGGTCAAGTCTCCGGCTTGGTACACTTGGCGATCCCGGTGCCGAAGAGTTGGGAACTCCACGGATCATGAAACATTTTCCTGAATAGCTTCAGAATGACAGAAACAAATGGAGTACAAAATTTTTGCTTTATTAATTGATAGCTCATTGTTCAGTATTGAAAGGCGGGACGTATGAGGGCAGCTCTAAGTCGTTTGGTTCGTGGAATCCCTTCAATTCTGCAGGGTTCTGCCTCAGGGGTACAAGATGCCAAGCGACCACGTCTTCCCCTCTCCCCCGGTGAAATATTAAGCCATCCACATTCGATCTCTGAAGCTTCACTCGAATATAGTACATGTGGATTGATGGATAAATTACTACCTCCTGGGTATTTCCCTAGCAGAGTCAAGTCTGCGCACTATATTGAGAAGTACTTCCAGTTGACATTCAAAATGGTTTCTCCAACACTCTTCTCAATCTATCGTTCATTTCTCTTCTTTAGTTCTCACAGTCGTGTGCATTTTCAGCATGTTATCCAATCTTTTCCTCGTGCTGATCTCCGCCAATGCGGCTTTCAGCGCCACTCTTTACGTTTCGCCATCCGGCTCAGATACCGCAGCCGGAACACTCGCTGCTCCTTACAAGTCTATTCAAGTCGCAGTGAACAAAGCTGTCGCTGGTGACACTATTTACTTGCGCGCTGGAACATACTCGCTTACAACCAACATCCAGATCAAATCCAAGAGTGGAACTGCCTCAGCTCCGATTACACTCTCGTCGTACTCGGGCGAAAAGGTAGTCATTGATGGAGAAGGTCTTCCTTATACACCTGCTGCTCTGGACGCGAGTCTTCCGGCCGCCAGCCGAGGTATCTTGCACATTGAGAAAGCGAACTACTGGAAGTTCTATGGATTGGAGTAAGTCACTTGCATTGGATGCATATCCAGTTGTTGACATCTACGCAGGCTGAAAAATGGCCCATACGGGGTGTACGCCGTGGACAGCTCTAACAACTACTACGAGCGTCTCATCACCCGGGACAACTACGAGACTGGCTTCCAGATGCAAGGAGCTTCTGCCAAGAACACCATCCTTTACCTTGATTCTTACGGAAACCGTGATCCGCGCAAAAACGGCGAGAGTGCGGACGGATTTGCTTGCAAGGAGGGAAGTGGAGAGGGCAACCTCTTGAAAGGAGCAAGACTTTGGAATAATGTCGATGATGGTCTTGACTTGTGGGAGTTCAAGTCTGCTGTTACTATTGAGGACACCATCTCATGGGGTAACGGCGTCAACCGGTAAGCTCCTCTACTCTTACTTGAATCCTTTGAATATGAAATCTGACATCCACCAGCTGGGGATTCTCCGACTTCCAGGGCGACGGAAACGGCTTCAAGCTCGGCGGCGGAGACGCCGCAGACAAAGGCCCAGCCAACCACGTCATCACCAACTGCATCGCCTTCCAAAACGCCGCCAAAGGCTTCACCGACAACAGCCAAACCGGCAACTTCGTCTTCACGCGCAACACAGCCTGGAAGAATGGCGACACTGGCTTTAAGTCTTCCACTGCGGCGTCGACTTTCAAGTCCAACATCGCTGTCAATAACGGAAATAGCCAGGTTAGTCTTAGCGGGAAGTATACTCAGACTGGGAATAGCTGGCAGAGTGGAACGTGGAATGATGCTAGTTTCAAGAGCACTAGTTCTGCGGCTGTTACGGGTGCGAGGGCGAGTAATGGGAAGGTTGTGGGGAGTGACTTTTTGATCCCCACCAGTGGGGCTGCGATTGGAGCGACGACTTACTGGTAATTGGGAAAGCTGATGGCTGGGGAAGGAGTTGTTGAGAGATTCTTGTACATGATTTTGTTTCGTATATACATTTGTATTTGAACAGCGAGCAGAGTTGTCGTCACCTTCTTCTGTTTCTCAAGTGCAGTGCAAAGGCCTTAGCCGAAGTTGGGATCAAAAGGGCTTGACCAAGATTTTGCCCAGGTCATCATACTGCAGTTCTTGCGTTTTACTCTTCTGTTATTGTAGGTAGAGGGGGGATTACAAGGCTATATTTAAGAACGACTTATTACCTTCCTTTGAGGACCTAAATGTGATTGATGATCAAAAGTCGCCATTCACTAAGCACCATTCACACAGCGGGACAAAGTAATAGCAAGTCACACATATTCATTAATCTCATCAAGAAACAACCGGGTATCCAGCACCACCACAAACCATTCTGACCTTCTCTGACTCACTAACCTCATCCTCGCAGTGCTAATCATCACAAAAGACAGCAGACATGAATCTATCCCAAGAAAACCGTGACAACAACAAATGACCCCAATGTAAAAGCTCCAACAAGCAGAAGCGACGCAACAAGCGAGAGTATGATCGCGTTGAATGCTCCTCGACGTCCTTCACGCATCTTCTCGCTCTCTACCTCGGGTGCGTCCTTGATCATGAAGGTGCCGTAGGCCCATGTCTTTGGAGAGGTGGTGGTGGTAGCGGCTTTCTCAACATCGTGGTGGGATTCAGTCTGTAGATTTTGTTAGTTGTGAAGCGTAAGGGTATAAATTGAGAAGGGAGGAACTAGTAGAAGCTCTGGGGGGGCGCTTACTGATGAAGGAGCAGCGATACTAGTATAGCCTTCTTTAGAGTCCGAGAATGCCATAGTTTTGCGTTGCGTATTGGTTTATTTCTCTCTCAGGGAATTTGAAGACCAACTTTGGATATTTCAACGATGGAGTTGACTGGATAACTGAAAATTGTTTTGCTATCAAATCTTGGAATGGTTCTGATATGTATCTCATGTCCTGTCATATCGAAAGATAAAGACTGAGGTCGTGTGAGCCTTCATAGATAAGGAAGTTTCGCATGTGAGCATGTCGCGATAGGAGTGGTGTGGAGGCATGTGGGTTGTTTGAGTGAGATGGCTTGCATATGCATGAACAGGGGTAGGTGATGGGCCTGGTGATATCAACACAAGAGATGTCACATGATTCCTGGGAACTCTTTGCGTTTGCAGCAAACAGGCTGGCATGGATGACGAAACTTTGGGAGAGAAAAACTGGGTCTGAGATGAAGTGCAGACAACTTATTATGGTCACTTTAATTGAGCTGCAGGCCGGTCGCGAAAAATGAGGTTGGTAATTGTAAACGCATCCAAATCTGTGGCACGACCTAGACGACGATTATTGCTAGAAAACAAAGATTAAGGAGCGACAGACAGTAAGAAGAAGTTATAATACCACCTACTGCTTACTTACTGACAAATAAATAGGGCAGCGGTCTTCTGAACTGACTCTAGTACTAATCTTTAGATACTGGTTGGGTCAGGAATGTGCTGTTAGGATAGCGTTTGGAAAGTACTGGTTACCCTGTGGTCGCAGTAATGTTATACCCTATCTTGGAAACAACTGACAGCTCCTTCTTTCAATGACCTGATCCTTGTTGCCGGCCGATGTTTTGATGGCATCTTTAGGGTAGATGCAGCAAGGACTTCACTATAGATCGCCGCTTCACGTAATTCAATACTGTGTTCAGTCCACAGTATTACATTGCCCAAGAACATAGCTCTTCTAAACACTTTTCAAAGCACATAGCAATAGCAAACCAGCGCAGCAAACCAGCGCAGACTTCTACCATCAAGTATCTCTTCGCAGGTCCTGCTAGTCGTAGATTTGTCCATGTCAAACAAGTACGAGTTCTAGCCAATTCATGCACTTAGACGCTCGCCAGTAGCAGGAGTATTATTTTTTACAAGTATTCAGGCTGTTATAGAGAGATTGCGACGTTGGGGTAGACATTTTACTAGCACGGGCTAGGGGGAGTGGGAGTGGAAGCGGGAGTCTGAATAACCTTAAATAGCTAGCGCCAAATTTAGCTACCGATGTCGTTCCTTGCAAGGTTTGTCGTCTTCTCCTTTGTCATCTTTTCCTTTGTCATCTTCTCCTTTGTCTTCTTCTCCTTTGTCATCTTCTCCTTTGTCTTCGTCTTTTACTCTGTTTATCAATATCTATATCACCACTATAAGAAGCAGGACCTTCAACATGCTCATAAAGTCGTCTTACCGGAATATCTGATGCTGGACTGCCCTACAATCCTTCATCAGCCATCTACACAAGGCTATTGTTTAACCAGGCCATGGTAGAAGCTTTAGCCAAGGAACAAGGTTTGTATAAAGATAATTTATGTCCGTTCCTTTTCTATTCGTTTACTATTCTATGGTGTTTCTATTCCAAAATGGAGCGCCGTCCATTGTTTCTATCATTGGATATCTCAATTCATTTCACAAACATAAAACGCCACATCACCACCACCTATTAACACTAAACCCCACCACGACTACGATTACAACTTCTCCATGTGAGAAGTACCCGTCTTCTCACTGATGGATCCAGACTCAATATCCTTGGTTGGCTCCTCAATTCCGACCTTAACCTTCTCAGTCCACCCATCAAGAGTCTTCCTCTTGAAGATGTTGAGGTAGATAGGGAAGGTGATAGCGATAGCAAAGCCAATCAACGGGATGAAGAACGCCTTCTGGGTATTTCCACCGAGAGCATCGGCAACAGCACCGAGAACTGGTGGAAACAACGCGCCGCCGGAAACCGAAGCTACGATAAACGAAGCACCACGTTTGCTGTGTCGTCCGAGACCACGGAGGGAGAGGGTGAATATCAGAGGGAAGACGCATGACTCAAAGAACAGCACTAGGAAGATAGCTGCGACACCGCCGTTGCCCTTTAAGCCGATAACAAGACAAGCGAAGACGACGACACCAGTTAAGAAACCCATGAGCACGAGGCGGGGCTTGACGAATTTGAGCATACCACTTGCGATGAAACGCCCAACAGCGAAACAACCCTGCGCACCAGCGAGGAGGTTTGCGCCAGTTGCGTGCGTGGTGCCAGGACGAACCCAAGATACGTAATTGATAAAGTATCCAGCATACGCAACTTGAGCGCCCACATAACACCACTGTGCCAGACATCCGAAGAAAAGGGTATACTGCTGTCTGAGCGGCTTATCCTCAAAATCGGTATCTTGGGCAGAGAGTGCGGCTTGTTCAGCCATGTCGGCATCGGTGACTTCAGGGAGGTGGACGAAGAAGAAGACGATTGCGAGAAGGAAGACGAAGATGGCGATGCCGAGGTACACCCATTGGACGGAGGTCAGGGAAGTGTCGTCAACTTTCTTGAAGATGACTTGCGAGGCGAGGACGGGAGCGACGACGGTTCCGACTGCTTGGAAGGATTGTGCCAAAGTGAGACGAAGCTCGGAGTACTTTGGAGGACCGCAGGTGGCGATGAAAGGATTGGCTGCTGTTTCGAGTGTGGAAAGTCCGCTGCCGACGATGAACATGCTCAGGCAGAATCCAACGAAGCTACAAATCTGGTCAGCAAAGTGTCTTTGGTGCCGAAGGATATTAGAGCTTACGATCGCTTGACACCGGAAGGCCAGAACATGAGCGCACCCACGCCATAAATGCAGAGACCGGTGATAAAAGCCCATCTGTAACCAAACTTACGAACGACCCAGCCGGAGTATGTGAGAGGGCCGATAAAGTATGCACTAGAAGCAGTGTTAGTACAAATATATATGGGCTAGCTTTTGCGAGCTGGGGAACGACGAACCCAAAGTATGCAGCCTGCAGACCACCAGATTGACCTTGAGAGATGTTCAAAGCAGTCTGGAAGTGGGCATTGAGAACATCCAGAAGACCATATGCGAAACCCCACATGAAGAAGAGGATTGTGACAAGGGCAACAGGAACGATGGATTCGCGAGTGGTAATGTGTCCAGCACCAGTAACAGCATGGTCATCGATGGCGACCTTGCTCTTCTTGCGGCCATCAACGCCCGCCGAAACAGTTGAGGTTGTCCTTACAACTTCCTCCATTGTGGAGTAGTTTGACGGAGATGTATGTTGGTTGAGGTCGGAGCTGTTGTTGACGGAAGAGGGCCGAAAGAACGAGGAGTGAGCTGCTGATGAAAACAATAATTCTCATGAGCAGGAGGAGAGATATATACCCCATCATAGACGTTGTTTCATTCCCCCATGCCCCGCCCTCCGCATGAAGATTTCTGGATAAATCACGGTAAGTATCGGGCTCCATATCATGGCCTCATCTGCAGCTCGAAAGCGAGACCTGGTTGGCTCATCCAGACTTCATATCCACAATTCAGTCCTCACTGAGAAGACAAACCGCCTGGATGGGAAAGGTCGGCCTTTGCCCATGCCTGTACTTTTCTCCTCTGGAGATGCCAAGGCGAATCGTCTACCCCGGCACTCCCTCGATGTGGAGAAGCCTTCACACGCCGGCGACTTTGCCATCCAGCCTCTCCGTCTCAATAGGATCTAGTGCCACGGCATCGAAGGCACGAAGAACGCCCCAAGAAATCGACGTCAAGGGCTGCGTGTCCTGGGCATTGCGTCAATTGGCACGGTTCGGCCTTATTATTCGCATGGAGCCAATGATGCAGCACTCGCCCTGCTGGACAGCCAACGATGAGGCGACTCCAAGACAAGCAGCCAAGTCACGCAGCAGCACTTCCAAGGAAAAGATTCAGCGAGCGAAGTGCCAGGCCCGCTCTCGTGCGTCTCTTTGTCCCTGTGAGACCAACACAAGCAATCTGGATGCTTCCCGCTGAGAGGAGAGACGTGAAAAGTGGATGAGGTGCAGCTGCTGAGTGGGTTTCTGGTGATGGGAAATTCTACGCTTGCAGGCTTGTCTCCAGCCGGGGACTCCATGAGGATCCGCTATTCAGCGAGTCAGCCCCCGCGGGAACCCCCTTGATTCCAGGGCTCCACCATTTCCCCGATCACGGTTCACTTCTCCATCTCTCATCCCAGCAGAAACACAAGCAATCATAGAATCCGTTGATCACGCCGCGGTCTCGCTGTTCTCTCCGAGAAAATCGTTGGGCGCTTGGATTCGAAAGTTGGATGATCAACGGACGCCACGAAATCTGACATGCCACCACTAAATCCAACACTAACATCGCATTTGCTGAAGCCTGAAGCCAGCCTCAAGCCAACCGCCGAGCCTCTTTTTAGTGCCCAGACTGACTGATTAGTTGCATCAGCTCCAGCATCTCTCATCGTAACCGCCCTGAACAAGAATCCCCCAACCCATTTTTTGTTGTATTGTTCGTGACAGCAGTTCTGCGCGTTTCCCCACAGGTTTCGCGTCTGTGGAGAAGCTTTCTCTTGTCTGGGCAAGTGTTTCGGCCCTACTCTGAACCTAGCAATGTACCACAGTGTACCAACAACATTGTCTACCTCAGCTTAGTATCCCAGTCATTATCAATGCCTGCATTCAGAACTATTCACGTCCAGTTACAGCGACCTTGAGTCGAAACCACTCCGCCGTACCTTTCATCATAATACCTGAAAATCTCATCCAATCAAATGATCTCCTGACCTCTTGAGGGCATAGGTATTTTTATTCAACGCATCTCGATTTCATTTTTCGACGGTTGCAACCTGCGAATATATCTTCATTACCGAAGCATCAGTATAATCAATCGATAAAATCTCATCTGCAACAACCGATTTGGAAGTTTACAAAGGCAGTAGCTTAGCAGGCCATCTGAAGTTCTTCGGCATGATGACTGTTTTCACCGAGCCGATGCATCGTCTAGAGTATCTGTTCTTTGCAGCAGCTGGCGGCCTTTTCATAGAAGAGGATTGGACCACCGGATAAGATGGTTCTAAAGGAGCAGGCACGAGGGATGGCTCCTGGAGTCTTGGCTGAGAGTTCAACGGCAGAGCTGTATAACAGGTCGTCTGATGGTGGGTGTTGAATATAACAAAGGTCATGTGCAAGCTGAGACTAGCCTCTGCACTTATGTATATATAAAGGGCTACCCCCCGACTTCATTCTGCAAGGCATGAATCATTCTTTACCACTATTCAAGGTTCACTCCCATATACCGTTCAACAGTGGGAACGGGGGTGCACATCCGTGATGGCCGCGTGGAACGAAACGGCGATGACGAAACTTACGGTAGGCAAAGAGAGGTGGTGCAGCTGGGTCCCCAAAAAGAGAATCGCACCTGGAACACTGAGTTGGTGGCAGCCCATTGGAGAGTGAATGTTGCTCATGAGACCTGCGGCACAGCTTGGGCAAAAATAGACCACTCCTGAATGTACTGTCAGCTAGCCTTGACATCTGCAATCCATGCAAAAACCCCCTCAACTTCCGGCCATTGCCGCCGCATTACCAGGAATTTCTTTTCTCCTCATATAGGGAATGTAATATCGGTCGCAACTCTTCCTCTGCTCAGCTACCCTCAGTATCCAAGAGTTCGAGGATAGAAGGCCCAAGCATCATAACATGTAGGCACCTCCACAAATCGCGGTATATACTCTGTCTCCCATTCTCCGCCTGGGTCAGCAGTATATACTGCTTTACAATATTCCCAGTAGTCTGGATACCACCCAGATTGGTGCCAATCCACTAAAGCAAGAATGCGACAGGGACCATCGGCGGAAACCATGATATTTCTCGGATGAAGGTCACTATGAGTAAAGGTGATCAAAGAGTCGTCAGGGAGTAAAACACGGCATGGATCTGGTATGAGTGAAGGATCCGGCCAATGGGTTGCTTTCCCTCGCTTGGTCAAGTAGGAGAGCCAGTCATGGAATTCTTTGACTGAGGAGAAAGGCCCGGCTGGCGGCTTCGTGCTGTTTGTAAAAACGATATCAAGCAGAGGTTGACGATTGATATGTCCTACGACGAATTCAGTAGCGTGTTCCGTCGATATTCTGAAGGGAAAAGAATACTCACCGAGAAAGTAATAATTTGGATCCTGTCGCAAAGTACGTAGCTCCACCAACATAGCTCGAAGCTGCTCACAAACATTCAATCTCTCCTGCCTCGGAAGGGATTCCCATCTGTCTTCTAGCGTAATGCCTTGAATGAGCTCCATGTAAATAAAGACTTCGCCCGACTCTTCACACCAACCGTATACTTCAGGAACAGACACTTGATGATGATGGAAGTGCTGCCGAATGGCCCAGAGACATTGCCCTTCCGCGATAGTGATCTCTCGTCCGAATTTCACGATGAGGCCCAATGCTTCGAATTTCGCGGTTTCTGACGCACCTGAAGACAAAGGGTCCCGAAGCCTGCGAACCTCGGCAGGCGAAGGCAGGGAACAGCCAGGTCCATTCCGAGAGAAGTATGCTGATTCCTCAAACACATACGATGAGCTGCTGGGGAGCGTGTTGAGATAGATTTCACGTTCGATAGTATCGTCTGTGTCCATTGTGTTTTTATGGTTTTGGGATGATATTATCAGCTGAAAATTGGGCAGGTGGGGTTTGTTGGATCTGTGAGGTGGGACTTGCGGCGACGTAAAGGGATGCCTAGGATCCACGTGATACTCTATATTGAGAACATTTCTCGTTTCACCAAGACGAAAAACAGCAGCAGCAGGCTGGACATCGAGTGAGTATGGAAGACTTGGCGCCTGTCATCAAATTTTGTATTGTAAAGCAGAATGCTTTGATAAGACGACTCCACCACTATCTGGTAAAGAAGTCTTTGTCTTCCCAGAATAGTATGCCAGTATTGCCAAGAATATATCACCAACCCACGGGGACTTCATCAACCTCTCCTTTCAAGATCGAAGATTTGTTAGAGGTCTTGAAATTGATAAATTTGGTTACAGGCCGGGATACTTTATGCCGGGCGTGGGAAGCTCTAGACGTCATAAAAATAGGCTGGAATGCTATCTCCCAGAAGAAAAGGGACAAAGAAATATAAAAATCTGCTAAGCAAAACTTCATGCCCAAAACCCCTTTCTATTGTTAGCTATGCGAAACGATTTATGGTCTTGATTGGGCAAAAAAATGCAGAGAAGTACGATCAAGGCTCCGGTTTATTCAGTACCCAGGCGTTGATGAAAATAATCGTTTATCTTGCGAGTATTGACAAAGAGGGTCGAAGAAACAATGGCAGGTTTATTTGAGTTGCAAGGCCATCCCATTTGGCTTTGTGCTATGTCACGACAGGCATACTGAAATAATTGCTTATCAAACTTATCAAAGTAAGAAATGTCGCTACCGTCGATTTTTATGGATGCAGTGAACATGAAGCCTAAGTCATGTTATTTCGCAAATACACTTACCCATTCGTTCCCAGAATAGCGTGAAAGGTGCAGGCTGTAATAAAAGTGAAAGGTGTCTTAATTTCACTTTTATCACATCGCGGTACTTGTACTGATCTTCAGCTCTGAACAGAAAAGCAGACTTTTATCTCAAGACGCCGCCAGCCTACGAACACCTCTAGAATGCCGGCAAACATCATGCTCTCGTCCAACAGCATGGATCGTAAGATTGCGCCGTCTAAATCTCAAAACTTTCATCCTCCACAAAACCTCACACAACCCTCACAGCTCTTTACCTCAGCTGAACCCGTTCATGATGTAGTCAGTTCATCTTCAACAGCAATCATGGAATGCCTCGATACAACCGCGGAATTTACAACTGATATCAAGTCAAATACGGTGATTCCTATGCCATTCACTGAGGGTCAGCGCGTCAAGGAGCTCTTTCAACTTCTTCCGCCTCTCCATATTCCGGAGAAGAATCCTACAAAGTCATTTACACTCTTTCTTAAGCTACCGCCCGAACTGAGAACATTTATATGGAAGATTTGTGCTTCTCAACCACGAAATTTCTTCCTCCTCAGTTGGCGGGACGAAGGCCACGCCACTGCAAGAGTCCAGAACAGAGATGATCAACCGGTCATATTGCAAGTATGTCGCGAATCAAGAGCTGAGGGCTTCCGGCTCTACCATAAATGTCAAGAGCACGAAGCTATTCCACCAGATCCTCCAGAAACGAAAAAGATGGAGTCCCGTATCATGGTCCGACAGACGCTATATGTTAACTTCAAAGTGGACACTTTTCATATAATACCAACATACCATTACCCGTTCGGTGTGAAGCATTTCAAACTTCCACCGGGTGGAGAGACATTGATTGACCATGTTGAGATGAAGTTCATCAAAAAACTTTTCATGTCGCCACCCGACACTTGGAACATTGAGCCGATCAAATATATCCAAGGATTGAAGAGCCTTAAATCGGTCACGGCAACGCTCATCCACTCAGTCCTTCCGGGGACGGCTTCATTTATGGACAAAAATGTTGAAGCCTGGGAGTGGGAGAAGGAAATTTTTGAGGAAGTTCACAAAAAGGAACTGAGCAAGTTTCCAAGGGGTTTGATAAGATATGAACGAGTTGAGGGTATTTCACGGAGGAGGATCCAGGTTCTCGGGGATGAGATCGCTGAATGGGAACTGTCGAAGAAGGGTATCAGTGAGGTTAAAGTACTTGGCACGATTTGAAGAATAATATCATAGAAGGATCTCTATTTGTTAGGGGTGTGGGGCGCTATGAGGAGAGATGCTGCTTATTCCAGGAGACATCACTGCGTTTGGTACCAAAGCGCCGAGCTTTAAGGCATATCAATGCCGAGCACGTTCTTCAACATAGTGGAAATCCCCACCAATCTTGTCAGAATACGACATTCCAATGTCGTCAAATGCTTTCTCCACGTTTGCTTGTTTAACTAGATGTGCGACGAATTAATACTAGCTCTGTTGCCCTGAATGCCAGATGCTGACTTGATGGTTGAACATTGCTTGCTGAATGACCCCTTCGCCTCCAGTTAATTCAACCAAGTATCCCAAGTTGATTTTCAAAACCGCTGAGAGTGATATTTGGCATCCCAGAATACATTCTGTCCCACGCCAACGCTTTTCACCAATGTCCACTGCCTAAATTCCATGTGTTTTCAGATCAACACCAAACATCTCGAGGTCGCGAATATCGAAGGGGTAGGCAACTTGTCCTGGCTCCAGTATTCTTGGATGATCGAAGACCAAGGATCGAGATCAATATCTTCCAACAGTCTCCAATTGTAGACCTGTTCAATATTGGTCGCCTTCCATTGGTGGAATTTCTGGTCCACTGAAAACTTGAACACCTTCTGCCGAGTAGCAGCCCGGAGTGCCCCTTCAACCGATTCTTGACTTTCCAAATAGTTCCAATTCGTAACCACAAACTCCAATGTCTTAATGTTTCCTAGCTTGACGAAGTGGTGTACTGTATCCATTAGGTCTGATCGCACCGGTATTGCGATGTCGATTGTCAGCTTGGTAAGACGCTGTAGAATTTCGTTCCGAAAATTGAAGGATGTTTGCGTTGGAATCCTAGATGGCAGACCTGGCGGATGCTGACCAGGAAGAGCTAAGTGGAACTCATCGACCTCAAAGTTGACGTAGACAGCGTTCGGCGGGTACCGTTTAGTCATCAACCCGATGCCAGACATCCCAAATGTGGACTTCCAGGGACGTCGCCTTTCGTATACCCGCTCATAATATCTTTTTCCTTCTTCGCGTGCCTCTTTCGACGTATGTACTATCGCGGGATGACGACTTTGCTTTTCGATGGTGAGGGTACTGAGGGAGGGATCCAGCTTGGCGTGCGAGCGGTAAATTACTCTGACTATCCTTTTCTCGAAAGCAGCATATCTCCACTTTGTAGTCAAACATCAGTATATACGGGAAACATGCTGTTCGAGAGAAGATCGAGACTCACAATACGATTTCGCAGCTCGCGGGGAAGATTTGGAAACTGCGGGAAACTCAACGCTCCGACTGTTGTGGTTTCAAGGGGAGGTAGGATAGAGAGCCGATCTCTCATTCGAGACATCTTGACTCAATGAGAGGTCGTTTCTTGTAGTGGTAAAGAGACGAAGAGGACGTGGCTGAGGGTGCGAAATTTCAAGCCAAGGTGAAGACGATGTAGGCCCGCGATTAAGCGAGGCTTTGCTTGGCATAAACATCACTATGCTGGTGAATATATGATTAGGAAATTACACTTACCAGGACTACTGGACTCGTAAATTCTTTATTAAGTTAAAACTGGACATCGAGAGTTGTGAATGACACTATTATTGCTCATACGAGGAGAACGCGCTAAGCCCAACACGCCACCTTTGTTTATTTTTAGCTCACAAACATGTGACTTCTGCTTTATGTAGGGAGGTCTTTCACCTCTATATTTCATTCTGATCTGCAACAACTTTTTCGACAGTGCTGTTTGATCAAAGAGATGGGCCCAATCATACCTAGATCATGCAAGGACACAGTTCTTTGCAAAATTTAATGATTGACCCTTGCATAAACGAGCAGAAGAAAAGACGATAATTTTGTCAATAACGCTTTGCATTTCATAGTTATACTCTCAAGATATTCCGCGAGAGAAAGAATTTAGTTTTATGGCTTAGTATTAGTATAATACGAAGTTTGGATAAGAGGTTATATACTTCTTCAGTTCACTTTACAACTGTTTAATGAAAGGCCAAAGCTGGTTCCCTGTCTCGGAGAGGACTTCAAGTGAGTACCCTAGCAGGCAGGTATGCAACACGCTAGCGAGAAAATGGTTGCCTCGCCTTGAGGTCTTTACAGCTTTTGAGAGAACAAAGAAGTCAAGAAGCTGATCCTCGAGACATCACCTCAACCCCCACCGTCAACGTCAAGATGTCGGGGCCGCAGATCTCTTCAGCAGAGCTTGACACGTCAGATATCGGTGGACTGCCGCTAGCTACACTAACCCTCTCAACAAACGGCCTGCAACACAACGCCATCATTTTGGAGGCGTCAAGGTCTCTAGCACAGCTCGAGACATCAACTCAAAATCAAATTCCACTGGTGAAGCTGGAATATACAATGCCTCTAGATGAAAGCGCTCACATTAACGGCAAGACAGACGCAGTCACGGTCTCTCTACCACAGTCGTTTTCAACCTCTCTCATGTCAGTCTACCAACCATATCGAGCAATCAACCTAGTCATCCCCTCAAGACTCTCCTCGCTCAACTATCCAAGTTAGATCTTAGCCTTAAACCACCCAAAGCCAAGTTCACCTTGTTCCCAGATCTGCCACTGGAGCTGCGACAGAAGATATGGGAATTTGTAGCAAACAACCCCCGATCTATCAGCCTTTGCTTCTCAATTGATGGACGAAGCTGCTCAAATGTGTCTCAAGGGCGAATCAAGCACTCTATTCCACTAGTCCTTCAGGTCTCTTCAGAGTCACGCGCTGAAGGTCTCAGATACTATACAGTTTGCTACGACAAACACGTCGGACATAAATTCTAAGAGTAATATTCTCAATCTCGTGGAATTCCTCATTGCTTGTAGCTTAGACGAGTTTCACGAAGCACGGACGGCACAGCCACCAACAGGAGCAGCATCAAACACCACTGCTGGGCCCACTGCGCCTCTCCAGCTGTCAGAAACATGGAGTTTAGAGGAAAGTACTCTTCACCAGGTCAAGTACGTGCTTATGCTCGCAACTTCGAAATGGCATTTGCTGGATCTTCCGACAGAAATCCATTTAAAGTCAATGAGGATACCCGACCTTCACAGGGTTCGGGAACTGTTTCGGCTCCTCCCCGGCATGACCAACCTGTGTGTGGCGACTGGGGATAATGTCTTCGATAAGGATCATATCGTAAACTTTCAAACAGCAGATGAAGGACACTTCTGGAGAGCACTTATTCTGAAAGAGCACGGGATAATGCTGAAGGAAGAGATTGAACGTCGCATTGTTCAGGATAGAAGTTTACCTCCATGCCTGAGAGCGGCAACTTTGATGTGCAAAGTGATGGCTGTAGATCGCATGAAAGACTGGAACAAAAAACGTCCATTGCTTCTTGCGGAGGATTTTGAGCCGGTGGGGCTGGTTGAGGGAGAGTACAAGGATAAGTCGCTGACTCGCCCGAGTCCGGTGTCGAAGCTTTCTTTACCAGTTGCAGGGTCTTGAGGTGTCTTTCATTAGGACTAGATGAACTTGACGACAATTTACAGATGATTGGACTTTATGCAGCAGATGCTGGAACGGTACTTGCTCAATGGTGGAGATTCAAGGGCTCGCTGCGCATGTAGATGAATTTTATGACGTCGACTCTTGGTATTGTAATAATTCTGGGCGATCTCGTACCAAGTAATAACATTAAGAAGGGTGTAACATTTCGCTAAACGTTACCATTCTACCCTCGATGATCTCAATCTATCCTTACAGGACTAGTGTTTCTGCAGTTGGAACTTATCTGACTGCCATTTCGATTTTCTGCTCGCTCGCCAAGATTCTTTCTTTTCCTCTCCACTCATTATCCAAACCACCGTTCTCCTTGCGTCTATTCTAGCACACTCTCAGTATCGCAACATTGATCGCGAAGGTTGAGGGCCACTTATGAACAGTTCCAGATCCAGCGTCCAGGATGATATCCAGAGTGGGTATGATCAAAATTTTCACTCCTCTCACTATCGGTGGTGCAAATTGTAGGTGAAGCTTTCTTTCTGCAGCAGCCAGTGTTATAAACGAATAGAGTAGAAGTTTGTCACACTGTTGTTACTTCCTACAAAGTAAAATTTAGAAGATAAAAAGACAACAAGTACAGGAATGACTCATTGGCACATAGGAAACATATGATAGGGACAACGAAACACAATGTTCCTCAATCTCTGCAACAGATTTAGAAGACTACTTATTTTCCATCTAGTACTTTAAATTTCATCTTGCCCTTGGCTTCTCGCTCATTTGCCCGTTTGTGTAAGGTCTTGTTCTTCGATTTCAAATCAAAATACCACCACTTCCCATCATTAAACACCAACCAACAGTAGCATTCCCAGGATTTATGCTTAGAGCATTCTTTTCCAAAAGAATTTACTCGAACCTGTCTAAATCCACCGCTCGAAACAAGGTCAAACACGATATTCTTTTTGGCTACCCTCCCTTCAAAGAACTCCACACAGTAGCATTGAGCGGTATCGTGAATCCGGCATTTATCACCCTTGAGGACTGCTTCGTCGTCGCCGTTGTACCAATATAGGTGCTCGCCAACGTAAGAGTTAGGGAACATCCACCGAGGCAGCTCCCTAACACACCATAATTTGAAGGCAACTTTATTCGCGGTCTTGTGATCTGGGGTTCGAGAATCAATGTATGCGTACCACTGCATTTGACACTCAGGTAAGCAGAACCAGAGATTTTTCTTTTGTTTGGGATTGGCGTCATTGCGCCAAATTTCCTCGGGTAACGATTCCTTGCTGGGTGGGCAGAGTTTTTCGTCGTGGCCGCGCAAGACCCCGGACTTTCGCTTGGAATACCTCGGTATTTCAAGAATTCTGTTCAGACGAACCGTCTTCTGGATTGCTTTATCTAGTAAAGAACATTTTGGAGGCCCCAAACGTCTTTGAGACTCTTGATGTGGCTGAGCTTCTCTCGGCTTGGCGGGAGCAGACTCAAAAATTTCGGTCTGGTAAGGCACGGTAACATATCCTTGTGGGAAATTGGCCTCAGGAAGCTTGATATGGGACCTGGATGTTGAGCTATAAGGTGGAGGTGATGGTGGTAGGACGAGTGAGTTCTGCGAATGATTGCAGCACTGGCAACGGTGTTCTTGGGTTATTTGATTTGCTGTGGAATCCATATTGTCGAGATTATGCTGTATGTCTTCAAGAACAGAGAAAGAAAGAAGCAAAGGGCTTTCGTGATGTAGTAAAGGTTGTGTGGAATTAGTACGAGACACTAAATCTTGCAACCGTGATGTTTGAATAGTGGTAGCGAGTCCCGCTTCCGAAGACAGCGGTGACCCAGTGACGATGCACCCCTCACTAGTGCAATACATCAGAAGCTGAAAATCTACAGATAGGTAGGTCACCAAGAACCGAGCCATCATAGTATTGAGAATATATCACTAAAAGAGAAATTGGGGTTCGAGCTCTTCGCCTCTAAGAAGTGTGTTTCTTGATTGGAACTTCCAAAGGCTATCCTTTTTCCAGACTTCAATATTAGTAGATTTCTTTGCGTCTTGCCCTCTATCGAGCGTCTGGTACACTTTTAATATTATCCGGTGTTTGCAACAGTGCACTTTGGGTATTACTAGCTTGGAACCATCGAAAGCTGCACCTCTCTGTCTCCCCATCTTTCTATCTCATACCCCTTTTACCCCCAAATGGCACATTTTGTTGATGCACTTGAACAGTGGAGTGACAGTGGAGTCTGAAATAAGCGAGTCTTGGCTAGTAAATGTAATAGCCAGCTTTTATACACTCCGAAGATGTGGTCCACTTCTAAGGCTTCTTTTAGTTACTCAGGCCCGCTCTGAAGTACGCTAAAAAAAATGTGCTATTTAGCGGTGGAAGGGATTCAAGGAATTATAAAACCAAGTAGAAGCTAGATACTCCGAAGAGACGGCAAATATGAAATAGTAACATATGCAATGGAAAAATCACATCTAGTCAGGAATGATACTCGAAACTATGGAGAGCCTATCTCGTACTTTTAATTTCTATCTTGGTACAAGCGGGAGCTTAATAGGAGCCAAACAAGTGAACTCAAATACCACGAGGGTCTTAGTCAAGACACGATGGCATACTTACTGTATCACAAACTTCACGCATGTATGCTCGAACCTCAAGTCATCTCACCACACCGGGGAAAACCATAGCTTCATCCGAATCAATCTCAATACACTACGATTGTCAAGTGCAGTATCAAGAATACTCCCCATTCATCCACTTCTTATAAATCCTCCTCCCCAACTCCGCATGTGCAACAGTCTTCGGATGCATAGCTTTCTTCACATACCATGGATATCCCGTCCTACTCGATTCCTCGAACCTTCCACCATCCCCTGCTTCGCTCGTCACCCCATCATGATTACGCTTTTGATAATGCAAGGTCTTCGCCCAATTACACAGTAGTCTCTCTGCTCCATCTGTCCGACGCTGTTCATATCCTTCGCGATTACATTCCGCCGCTAACCTCTCAAAATCCACGGGTTCCTCTCCAGGAGGACGGAGGACATCCCCACCAGCGATCGTGTCACCACCGTCTAAGATATCTTCCCCCGCAACCGTAAAAAACCACGCATCCCTCTCCCAACTCTTCCCATCCCTCTTCTTCCCCTTCCCCATCCCCTTCCCCTCTCGATCCCCAACCCCATCTACTTCCCTCTCCCCCCCACCAACCTCACAAAACCTCCTCCCCTCAAGCACCCCATCCCACTGCTCCAAAAACACACTACTCCTCGAATTCCCAAAAACCAAGCTCATCTGCGCAATTGCTACTGCAATTTCAATAACCCTATTCAACTCCTCAATCAAACCGTTCAACCTCCCCCTGAACTCCCGACTCAAATACCTGCCCCCCACAAAAAACCTCTTCCCATCACACTCCTCCGTATCTTCATTAAAAAACCTCGCATACCCCACAACAATAAGCGTGAACCCTCTCTCTACCCCACTCAATTTCAACCCCCGTCCAGCAACATCCACAATCTTCAAATAACTCTCCACCAATCTCGCCAACAACTCAGGGTCCCGAATCCGTGATTCCGTAGCATTGAGACTCGCTTCACATGTAGACGGGAAAGTGTTGAGCATAAGGCAGTTAGTGACAATATTAGCGAAGCCGACGTCGTTGCCACCTACTGACAGAGTCGCCCAGGTGCCGAGGGAGCCGTTGGAGATTGCGTCTTGGAGCAGTTGCAGCTGCGAGGTGCGGTTGTCCCAGCCGATGGTGAGGATGTCGTTTATGGAGGCGCCGGTGCAGCCGAGATGGAAGACTTGAATTTGTTGCGAGCTGTTATCTCCTCCTCTTTTACTTTCCGAATTTGCTTCTGTTTGCGAGTCTTGGTGGGAAACAGATGTGGAGGGGGACGTGCTATTTGCGATCTCGACGATTTGGTAGGGATAAGCGCCTTTGCATTTTAGGCATGAGCCAGTGGGGTCGAAATCATCAGTTACCCAGGAGCAGTTCGCTCCTATGCCTGCTGAATACGAGTCGCCTAGTGCGTAGAAACTACTCAATCGTGGTACATTTGGCAAGGTCGAGTCTGTGGAATGTGCTGGTGAGAGGAGAGGTGCTTGGAGTTGAGCTGGGGCTTGAGGGATCATCATCTGAAATCAAGTTTGAGTAAGCTGAAGGTGAGAATCTGTCTGTATGGTAGATACTATATTGATGAGTGTCGAGGTATGAATAAGTAAGTATGTCCTAATACCAGCATTATTCCAGAATGTTTTATGTTTTGATGAAGTTGAGGATATACTGTTAGACTTCCAGAATATAATCGGGTGGTTGCCTATCGCTTTTGCACGTGGTTGTGGCTGCTGACGAAGGTGGGAATGGTGGCCCGCTGACCTACATGGCGCTTGACGAACGACCAATTGTCAAGATGAAGATTGATCAGGACGGCAGATAAACAAGTTGACAATGCCTGTTTTACTACGCAACGGCCATTATAATATAAGATATTATGGTTGAGAGATTCGAGCTATCAGCTTCTATGAATGCTGATATCAGTGAGAATTGCAGAAGCACACGATCTTTGCAGTGTCGAGTTAGTCCTGGCCCATGATTTCTATTGATGTTTGAAAATTTCCCGCTGTACACTTCAAGAGTTGTACGAATCTTTTCAGTTAGTATCCACTGTGCTGGGGTTCTTCCTTACGTTTAATCACAGCTTCCCGAGCTATGATCAACACGCATAAGTAAATTGAGGGAGTTCTCCATTCTAGCAGATAGTGACCTTTCATTGTTGCCTGTGCTTGGATATGTAGATTTAGCTATGCTGAAAGCTCTGTAATGGGAGTATTTGTTGATACAGTAGGAAAACAATTAAGCAAAAAATGATATTTACTTGGACCCAAGAAAAAAACTTCCAGGCCTGATGACAATCCCGCTAGTTCCCAAAATAGACTTGAATGCCCCAGACTCCCGCGAAAGGTAAGAATAATGGCGCTTCTCTAGAGCACTCTCTAGAGTTTTCGTCAATCCATCTTCAAGACCATGTTGAGTCATCGACGCAGCAAGCGCTTGCTCGAAGCGAGGCTCAGCTTCGTCCCAATCATGCTCGTTCTGATACATCACCCCTATCCGCATCAACAGCCATATAGTACGGTCGTCGTCAGGGCCAAAACTGTCAACTGCTTCCTGCTCTACGCTCCGAAGCACGTCCTTGGCATCGGCAGCTTTCCCCGCCTGGACGAGAAGCTTGGCGACATCGACTGAGGCTTCCATAAGCTCTTTACTCTTCTCACTATCCGATTTCCAGATATCTGCGAGAAATTCTCTTGCTCTGGTAAGAGAAGCTATTCTGTCCTCCTCCCGCTGAAGGTTCTGATAGAGTTGGATAAGTTCGCATCTGGCTCGTATGTTCTTCACGGCTAGGGTTCCTGGGGACTTTTCACATTGGGAAATCAAACTCAGCAGAATGGGTTCGATGGACTCATCTTTTGCGTTGACATGTGCTTTTGCTGACCCAAGTCGGGAGTCGAGTGCCGAAGGGTTGTCGTCTGCCATCCGAAAAACGTCAGAAAGTCGGGATTGAGGATTTCCAGAACGATTCCTCGAGTTCCCAGATGCTGAGCCACCCTTTTCTTGACGGCCATCTGGATTTTCCCAAACCTCGGTTGCCCGGTAGAGGAATGTGAGTGCGTCTTCTGGACGAAACCAGCTGTTGAGAAGATCCACAACATGGAGGACATGTGCCGTCGTTTTCTCGTCCTTCAGACCCCACCTCCGCACGTGGTTTTCACTCATCCAGCCCAGGACTTTGTCGGCATCATTTATCCGATTATGGTAAGTGTAAAATGTAGCCAGCTGATATGCCACCGCATTTGTGTCTTCGTGTGTCGGTGAAAGAACCTGTTCAAGGCCTGACAATGCCTCAAGCAACTTATTTTCTGCCTCCTCAGATCTTCCCTGTTGATCGAGTTCCTGAGCCTCCCGTTGCATAGATACAAGTTCGGCTCGCGTATGACCATTTGAGGTGATCCTAAAAGAGTTGAGTTGTGGTGTCGAAGGACAAAGTGTCGGGGTCCACATTTTGGTGTTTTTGAATGAGATTTGAGGAGAAAGTGCATTGTGTGGTGACGGGCTATTCGTAATGTCGTGAGGCGTCTTATATGTGACACCAAGTGGAGTGGGCGCATCTGAGAGCTTATTAGAATAAAAAAGTTCATTTGAAACGGCCTCTTACTCGCGATGGTTTCAACGTCTTCTTTTCTTGTTCGTCTTGTACTCCGCTGGATGCGTTCCAGAGTCCATACACGACCCCCCAGCAAAAAGATTGTCTCTTTTCTACTTTCAATCCTTCTTTTATCCCCCTTTGCGAGCATCCACTGTGCCATCTCATTCGACAGATATTTGCACCAGCCCCAGTGCTTGAACTTTTCTTTGTACTGCTTGACTCTAAACACATTTTCCGTCAGCATGCTGTTGTGTGTTCAGCGAGAAATACAAAGGGAAGGAGGGGGATGCCGGGTAGAATTGGACTTACGGCGCGTTAAAAGAATATTCTGTGGTCATGATCTTCATAACTTCCTCGAGCGGCTTCTCTTCGTCCAAGTATAACTTTTGAATAACCCTTTTGTGACGGTCCCAATCTAGAGCAGCATACTTTGAGCGACGAGCCGCAGGGGCTTGTAATGGCCTGGAAGAGGAGGGGCTCATCAGCGGCAGGCCACTGTGTTCAGGTCGTTTGTTGCTGGCCCCAGATAGAACGTCTGCAAGTTGAGGCGGCGTTGGCGCTCTGTCCGGATTTGGTGGCACGATTGGAGAGACTGCTGAGAATCTCAAGCTGAGCATACTCGGTGGTTGAAACGAGTTTAGAGCTGGTGGTATAGCATCAGACCCTTCCTGGGGGCCGTAAGTGTAAGAGAGCACTTCATTACCGGCTTGACTGCTCCAGGCAAAACCATCAGAGGGGGTTGAATATGAAGCATTGTACTGCATTTGATCTGATTGCTGAAGCCCGGCACGATCCCAATACTGCGTTCCATGGTCAGGCTCGTGGATTTGCTCGTCGTTCATGGTAGGCAGAGATGGAGTGATGCGGCGAGCGAAGGTGGATGAAAAGACCTACCTTGATCATCGTTTGAAGGGGACTCGCGAGCAACAATATGGTGTCTTTCTGGATTTAGGATGTGTTTCGTGGGATGCCACGCGCGGCTGGAGTGGACTAACTGGCGTGGGATGAGGATGCCAGTCTGCCTGACATCCCTGCGGATGATTGAAGATCCCTGAAAGCCCACCAAAGTTCCGCAAAAGTTCTCCAACCAACCTTGACCCCTCAACGCCACCAGGCACGGGTAACGCCGCTCCCTGCGAACCAACTGCAGTGTGTCTGATCCGAGATGCAAGTGGATCAAAAGATCGCGAATATTCTCCAAGGTTCCGGGCTGGGACGACCTCAGGGTAACATCATCTTTTGATCGAACTGAATTTTTGGAAATAACTCTATAACTATATATCGTAGAGCGTTTCTGAATAGCGTAAACGATTCCTAAGGGTTTATTACTCTAATAGTATCGCGATAAATAATAATTTAGCTATTAGTAGAAAAGAGAGATAATAATATAGTAAAACAAAGGAAAATTCTACTTTCTGAGGCGTGTTAACTTAAGGCTTATAGGAGTAATAACACTAAGAAAACACTAGTACCTTAGAAAATATAAAGTAATTATCTCGATTTTATTATTATTTACCTTAAGAGACGCGAGAAATCTAATAATATTAGCGTATTATATAGTATAGTAGAGTTATTAGCTTAGGAGGTTAATATAAACTACTACTAATAGATAGCACTTACTTATAAACTCCTATTAAGGAATATATTACTAAGAGCTTCTAATATAACTGTTCTAATAAGATAAGTACTTTTATCTTTAGCGGAATAAGCTATATAAAGAGCTCCCTCTTATATAAGTATTACTATAGGTATAGCTATACTAGGTCTTAGTAAGTCGAGATATACCCTTATAAACTTAATTATATCTATAGTAAAAGCTTCGTAGCTCGATATACTTATAGTAAGGGAAATCAGACTAACTATAAGGTCGATTAAGCTTAGGGATAAATTATAAGAATAACTATAGAAGGTAGAGAAACTGAATAAGTATATTATAGATACTATAAACACTAAGCTAGTTATAGTCTTAAGGGAGGCAGATACTAGCTATAACTAAAATAATAGCAGATAGACTACTGCGATAGTATAAGCTATAAGAGTATAAATAGGAAGGTGAATTAAGTTAGCTAAGCTAATACTAAGTAGAGATATTTTCTTATATATAATTAGTATAAAAGCAGCTAAAAGACTAATCTTCTATAAGGAAGAATAGTAAGAGAAGCTTACACTAGGGTTTAAGCTTATAGTTATATTACTTACCTATAGGGTAGTAGTCTTAAGTATACTAATCTATAGTATTAATATAGCTAAATAGGAAAAAGTGAAGGAAAAGCTATACGTAGGTAACTTAGGGCTAATTAAGAGCTTAAGTGAAATTAAGCAGATTACGTAGTTCTTCCGGAAAAGAAAAGGGAAAAACTATAATATTATAGTAGTAAAATACTACTAGAAGAAGATTACTAATATAATAATTAGAGCTAAGAGAGTAATATAGGAAAGCGCCCTAAAGCTGATATAGTAGTATAGTTAAAGGGTATAAATTGTTTAGTACTTTAACTGTTATAGCTTCGATTATATAGCTAGAATATACTAAGCTAAGAGGAAGTATAAGTAGTATAATAAGAAGGACTACTTTACTAAGGAATATAGCTCCTATACTAATAAGAAGATATATAAGTATACTAATTATAAGAAGAACTATATAGCTTTCTTTTTAGAGTATAAGAGATATAAAGAAGCTATTAAATAAGTAAAGGTAGAAAGGAAGAGACTAGTCTTTAAGTTATTTTTCTTAACCCTAATAAATATTACTTTAAGAGTATTAGCGCGAAGTAGTAAGGAAACCTTAATTATAAGCTTACTAGAGCTAGAGAGAGCGAGGATCAGCGCTATACTAGAACCCTCTTTACTAGATAGTCTTATATTCGATATAGTAGATATAGTAGAGAACCTTATAGAAATAGTATAAGCTATACTAAAAAACCTTACTTAGCTAAAGAACTATACAAGCCTCTTTAAGTCTATTAAGATATTATTTATATTAATACCTTAGATATTAGTAAGAAGAGTACTTATCTAAAGCTCTCTTTTAAAAGCTAGAAGAGATTATAATAGATATATACTAGTAGAACCTTAGAAGATAAAGCAGAGAAGTAAGAATAAAAACTTTCTTAAAGCTAAAAGAGTAAAGTATAATAGAAGTAAGTGTAATAGCACGGTTTAGCGTTAGCTAGCACGTGAGCGAAATAACCACGGATCAGGTGATAACCTCTCTATTAGCGCGAATATCAAGCTAAGGAGCCCTCGATTCCGTGGAGGGCGCTCGAGCCTATATAGACAAATTCCCCGGGCTATTCCCGATTAGGACTAATTATATTTGATATAAAACTTGACGTAAACTCCTGTAGTAGCGTAGAGCTATTTCCCTTTACGTATAACTAAGTAGGTAACTATCAGTAAACCCCTTTAGAGTTAACCGAGCTCTACCGAGTCTTACCGAGCTTTGCTGAGCTCTAGACTCTTCCTAATTAGGTATAGTAAAGAAGTGGTTACTACTACCTTTATATCACCTCCCCCTTTGAAAAAATCGAGTTATAAGCTTAAAAGCGTAATAAAACAATTAAAAAAAAACAAAGTAGAAGTGATTATTAGATATTAGAAATAAAAACAAGTAAAACACGTATAAAATCAAACTAATAAGTAAATAAAACAAAGTACTTTTATAACGCTAGCAGTCTTATAACTATAAATGGTGTATATTCACTAGATATTCCTGGACTACTCGTTCCTTATTAGGACTAGCTTTTCGCTAAGCCTTCTTTATCCGTATTATAATACAGGCGATTTCGACGAGTTTTCGGTTCTAGGCTTGTACGTAGGTTGTAATACGCTCTCTGTTAGGCTTTAAGCCTTGTAGCTTGTAATTCGACTTATAAGCGTCTAGCGTTAAGAGCTTTTCGTTAAATACCTGATAAAAGGGGTTCGCTACGCTATCTGGCTTAGTGAAGAATCGAGCTATAGGCTTAGCGAGGTGAAGTAAATACGCTGGTAATAAAGAAGCTAATTCGCTAGCTTCTAAAGCTTGTTACGGCGTAAGCTCTAGAGTAGGGAATCTAGGCTCTAGTTCGTCGATATTAGTCGACTTGGAATTGTCGACTGGGGTTGTAGCTGTAATAGGCTGTTCTAGCTAATCCTTGGCTTCTGATTCGCTTATAAGATAGTTACTTGTAAAAGTAAAATCGTCGTTTTGTAATAGAGCGTCAAAGGCGAGTTTTGATTGGCTAAGAGGTCTCCCGCTGTTAATTTTATAATAATTATATATAACTTTAGCTGAATTACTGAAGCTGTTTATGTTATACCACGTGTTATTAGGGGGTTAGTCTTTCCACTCTACTTGATATTGTATCATATCGTTGTAATAACGATGAGCTAGTATACGAACTAGGTTATATTTATCTTCGTTGTATTCTATGTCGTCTATAGCGTCAGTGATATTTGATTCGTCGTTAGCTTACTTATACGCTTTCCGTAATTAAGAGGGGTTAATAATAGGGTAGATTTTTATTAAAGGAGGTAATTCTAACTCGTAGGCGTAGCCTACTTATTATATAACTTTATAAGGACCTCGCTTAATAAAGTCTAGCTTCTTTAAGGGCTATATCGACTTAAGGTTTTCTATATATAATTACACGTGATCTCCTACGGTAAAATCGATATCTTATCTCGAACGATTTGTATACTCTCTTTAAGAGGCCTACGCTTTACTTATATATACCTTCGCACGCTCTATTACGTTATATATACGCTGTGAGGTGTTTATTATATTACTCTTTTAAGTGCGTTCGTATTACGTAACTGTGTTATTATCTTTAGTACGCTGCGTATTAGCGTCGAACGGTGGTAGAGCTAAGCGAGGTTCGTCGTTGGATCCGGATCCTGGAATTGACGCGGGAATTGCTATGTTTTAGTATGGAATTGATATCTGGGTGGAATCCGGTAACCTAATATCGCTCCTGTTATATAGCGTAGAGCTATATTCCCTCACACTTCGGTTACCCTTTTGCACGGTAGAGCTACCCTTTAGCTCCCGCACCGGCGTATAACTGGTCCTACTTAGCGTAGAATCTAGTCTGGGTGTTTATTTGCCTTGATATTCCTTGCTTAAGTGTCGAGTAGTTAACCTTAACACTTGACGATTATTTAAGCTAGTGTTATTACTAGTGTCTGAATTTAAGGACTTTGATAGAGTTTTAGATCTAGTTATAGCGGCTATATTGTTTTTTCTGATATTATTAGCGGCTTCGCTAGATAATTGCTCCTAATCAAAGGACGTCTTAGGCTTATAGCTGTTAAGTACTTCAAAAGGACTTAGCTACCCTAGGCTAGCGTGCGGTAGTATTAACTGCGCGTAGTCTAATAAGGGTAGTATTTCAGACTAGTTATCTTAATAGTGATTTAAGAACACTTGTAGTCGCTGTTTTAAGTAGCGATTATAGTTCTCTGTTTAACTGTCGGTTTACGGGTGATACGCTGTAGAAAGCTTTAATTTAGTTCCTAATAAGCGATATAGTTCTTACTAATATTTAGAAACGAATTAAGAGCCTCTATCGCTTATAATCGTATTAGGGGCGTCGTAGTATTAATAGACGTATTTTATAAATAACGTAGCTATCTGCTTAGCGTTTATTCATCTATTATAAGCAATAGAAATCGATTGCTTTGTAAAACGGTCTATAACTACTATTACGTAGTTGTAGCTATGTCGATCCTTTAGTAGCTCTGTAAAATCTATACTAATATCGCGCTAAGGCTTCTTAGGAATCAGTAAAGGTTATAATAACCCCGGCGTTTTATCTGTCGATTTTTTAGTCCTTTAATAATCGTAGTACCTATTAATATAGTTAGCGATATCAACTAGTATATTAGACTAATAATATCGAGCCTTTATAAGCTAATAGGTCTTATCTCTACCGGGGTGAGCTGTAGAGATCTGATTATAAGCCTCTTTAATTAGCTGATATCGTAAATCAGTGATATCAGGGACTAATAGTCTTCCTTTATTGTAACGGTCCGGTATTTACTCGCTATAGATACAGAAGGCTATTATTAATCCCTGATAATTAAGAGGTAGGTGTATTATATAGACGGAAGATAGTTACTAAGTATTAGAATACTATTTAAAGTTAAGTACGAAGCTCCTATCTAATAGTAGATATACTAGTCTTATATAGAACCTTTATTCGCCTTAGATCCCTTAAGATACTAGATCCTTAGATCTTTAGATCCGTTTTTCTATAAAGGGATCCAGGGATCTAGGGATCTATCACGTGACCTAT